CTTCACGAAGTATACCCCTACCGCCTACCCGTACTATTCCTACACTACAACGTCAGCTAACAGCACTCACCAAAACCGTACGCGAACACTGGAACTTCTCCGGTTATGCCTCACGACTGGAAATAAAGCGTCATGTAGTCTCGTTTTCAAGCGACTGCTGGACTCGTCCTTCAACACACGAGATATGTGGAGAACGTCCTCATCCCGTTTCTTCCTGAGCTTCGTCAATTCTTGACCACCAACCGTATCGCCCTGTCGGATGCGCCGTTCAACAACGTGTTCAAGTCGATCGTTATGCTCTGGGCGAACAAGGTCCTCGGTCCAAAACCAACCGAGATGGCGAATTCCGTGATCACTAAGTTGCAAAGTCACGGCTGCAAGTGCGCACATTGCGTCCAGGTCTTCAACTTCCTCACGTCCAGCGCCGACAAATCGTGCCGCATGGAGAGAATAGGTGCACCTAAGAGGAAGCATGTCGAGCAGGAGCTCAATAAATATGCGCGGACCGCCGCAACGTGGTCTATGATACCGGGCAGCCCACAGGGCTTGACGGTGAGTGCGCCCGATTGTTTGCGAATTGCATAGCCTAATTCCCATGCGCACAGGTTACGAAAGCCGATTCCATATATCTACCGGTTCAGTGGAAAGCAACTCAAGCCAGAAGTGCGGCTATCTTGAACTCCGTTTCCGCGAATGCAACAGACTTGCAGAAGATATTTGGTCCAGACCACCAGGTGATCATGGATCTGTTGGCTGGGCGTGTTCGAACTCTTGCGACAGCACCGTCCAGGCTCCAGAGTGCAACTGCGACCTCCTCGGCCTCTGTGGCTGGTTCCGCTCGCATGCCATCAGGCGCCTCAGCCGCTGCTCCCGGAGCAACGAACGCGACGCCAGGTCTGAATACGAGTGGCAGCTCGTCTATGGCCTCCCATGCCCCCAATGCGCCCGTTCGTCACGTAAAGATAGGTTCGGAACAAGCCGCCTCCTCACGTGGTATTTCGTGCTCCGCACACCGACGAAGGAGGGGCTTGCTCGAAGATGACTGTCATCCTTGGGCTCGATATGGGCCCCTAACTTATCACCAATCGCGTCTTTCGCCTCACTTCAAGCGAGGCAATCGTAGTTTCGAAGTAGCCCTGATCGCCTGTAAAGTCGTTATAATATTCTATGTGCTTCGTGCATTTTTAGGAATTGCGCAAGTTTGGCTTTGAATGGCCAGAACAGTGTTTTATGTAGAATATTCACTATGCTGCATCGCGGTCACAGAATATTCTAAAACTTTCAAGGGTGTAAGTTATCATGTCAAGGAACATCCTCCACCTCTTTGGCGAGGCCAGAATGCGCATATACTTGGTGTGGATGCTCCGCCGCTGTCCAGATCCACGAGATCGCGTTAGCGCCCGCGCGAGACGCGCCTCGACGCGTCGCGTCGCGTCGTGTCTCGCTCTGTGTGCTTACCTTCCTGACGCGTATACTCAGGGCTCTCATGTCCGAACCACCGCGGACGCCTCCTCGCCGTGCAGCGCCTGCGCTTGGTAGCGCTACAAGAAGTCCCGGGACACCACGTCGTCACAAGGTTCCTTCGAGCAAGAGCACCCAAGGCACTCGCAGGCGAACCGCAAAGTACGCGACTGCGAAGGTCAAGTCCGATTTGAAGGAGGCATTTAGCCTACCCTTTGAGCCAGATGACTGGCAAGCCGAGCTGATCTCAAGGGTCTTGCGTGGATATGACAGCATCTTTTGTGCAGGTACAGGCTATGGCAAGAGCCTCGTCTTCCAGGCTCTTGCGAAGCTGGGCGGGAAAAACAAAGCCGTTTTAGTGATCTGTCCACTGAAAGCTCTCGAAGCTGACCAGGTGCGCTATGTACTTTTTTCTTTGGGGCTTCAGAACTCAGGTAGTCGAGGGTAGGTTCGGGAAGCCGAGGCGAAGGGTTTGCGGGCGGTGATGATCAACGAGGACAACTCGAAGACTCGCGAAGCCTGGGCGGAAGCACGTACGAAGGCGCAAATGATCTACATCTCGCCTGAGATGGCCCTATCCGACTCGTTCACCAAGCTGTGGAAAGATGGCAAGTTCCGGGACCGCGTCCAAGCTGTCGTCATTGACGAAGCACACTGCGTTGACGAGTGGGGCAAGGACGACTTCCGGAAGCAGTACCGGCAGCTCAAATACCTTCGACACTATACCGGGCACTCGATTCCCTTCGTTGCGTGCACGGCCACATGCTCATCTGCCACGTTTGACACACTGTGGGAGACCCTAGGCTATGGCTACCGCCCGTTCTGGGGAATCGATGTAGGGAGCGACCGCCCAAACTTGTTCTTCGACACTCGTCCCATCACCAACAAGGCGAACCCTGTCATCGACGTCTTGGGGATCCTACCGCCTTCCTTTAGCTCAGATACACCTCTCGACGCCGTCCCCAAGTGCATCCTCTACTTCGAATCCGAGAACGCCTGTTTACAGGCCAAGATCACCCTTCGCAAGTGCCTGCCAGCGCACCTCCGCGACACCGTGTACGCCTTTTCGTCGAGTATCTCCGAAAAGGCAAAGCGTCAGGTTTGGGATCGTTTCCGAGAGGGTAGCTTGCGAATCCTATGCGCGACAGATGCAGCGGGAATGGGATGCAATGTCCCGGACATCCAGTATGTTATCATCATTGGATGTCCGCGATCGCTCTCTGTTGTCGCGCAGCGCTGGGGACGAGCAGGTCGAGACCGCTCGACGCCCGCAACATGTCTTCTACTTGTGCCAAAATGGGCTTTTCGGCCCGATCCTGCGCAGAGTGCCGTGGTTAACCCGGCCATCCGACGTGTACGGAAGACGAATGCGGCCACGACTACTGTGAAGCAAGAGACGAAGAAGGATGCTGAGCAGCGAGCTCGTCTGCCGGCGCCTCTGGAACAGTTCATCAACGTGAACACTTTGGAAGGCCAGAGTCGTGAGTACATGTTACGTGAAGATGCAGAGATATGTTGCTCACTCACTCCCAGGATGCTCGCATGCGTATGTTGGTCAGGCCTTCCGTCCGAACACTCGATTGGACAATTACCGGCTGCTGGATAACTCGGACGAACCTACCCGTGGTTCGCGAGCCAGTGCTTTTGAGCTGTCATGGACCACTCTGGACCTTGGTCGGCACCCCCTCGTACGCGGTGCTGCAATTACTGCACACCGCGGAATCCCCATATCATTCCCTCCTGCTCGAATGATGACCGCCGTTTGCGAGCCTATGCTGCCGACTTCGCGGCGCCCCTTGTCGAGCTGTCGAGTCGCCCGGCTTCCCGGACAGCAAGCTCGATTGCATCTTCCGCCTCGGTAGCTCGCAGCGACGACTTCATCCCAGTGAAGGGGAAGTCGCAGGTGGCGCAGTATGAAAGGGAGCAGCTCCGCAAGATGCTCGTTGCCTGGCGAGATCAGTTTGTCGACCCCGAACGTGGCTACCGCTTCATGTCGAGGGAGGTTGACCTTCCCACAGCTCTGATTGGCCAGCTTGTCGAGCAAGCTGGGCAGTTCCTCCGCCTCCATGACATCGAACACAAGGATGTCTTGAAGGTGATCACTTGGGACTCGGCCTCGGAGGCGGAGCTCAATGGGCTGATCTCGGTGCTCGCGGACTGGCGTCTCCGTGTACGTCTTTCTACGACACCAACATCACAACGCCGAGCCAGCAAAAAGGCCCGCGTCGTAGACCTTGCACCACCCATCAAGGCGCCGGATTTCATTACAAGTGCCAGATTAACAAGTGCAGCTGGCCCACCCATTCAAGATAGCTTCGTCTCGACACCGTATGAGCTGTTCCGCATTTGTCAGGATTGTATGATGCTCATGATTGGGTTGGCAGGGCAGTATCAATTCCAAGCCGAGCTGCATTTCCGCAGACTCCACATCTGAATCAGCCCGAGATCAATCCATGGTCGCCTTCATCATACGAGATGTACCGTGCGCCGCACGGGTCACCCTACACCGCGCCCATGGGACACCGACCCTTCGCCCACCCACAACAGCGACAAAACGAGTACGCCCCCGCACGACTACCTGTTGATAGCATCTACTCGCCACGAGAGCCGGTATCAGTGCCAACTATGGTGCCACCCTTCATCCCTGCACCCGTCCAGCAAGCGTCGCCTGCACCGTCTTTTGAGTACACGCCACGTGGACCATCTGTACTGCAACCTCTTGTTTATACACCCCAAGGTTCGCCTGCGCCATCCATCAGACATCTGCGAGGCCTACCGGGTGCGCTACCTGCTGTTGGCTCAGGGTGGCAGCATGGCCCATTTGCTACGCCTCAACGTATTCATTCAGCGCTACAGATGCCATGGCCAGGCGTGTCGCCACCTCATCCTACACCGCCTATCATGTATGCTGCCCAAGGCATACCATATAGTAGGTACACTGTGTCACCTTTTCCAGCACTCCATTATGCATCTACGACTCCTGTCCATACGACACCATCCGGCTCGCGTACAGTAGCAATGCCACAGACATACTCTCGAGTCCCTACTGCTGACATCTACCCTGTGCACTATGGATCATCTATACCTGTATCAAACTCGCCACCTCCCCCTAATGCACCGAGTCCCATAGAACCATCCTCGTCTTCCACTCCGTGGAGATCATTGTAATTATCATATGTAATCACATTGTCATTGCAGTTGTCAAAAACGGTACCATTGTCCAGCACTGATGTCTCCGGATCGGGCGTGTCCTTTGCTTCCACACCCGCCCCACCAATTGGATAGCCAACTGCAGGGTCAAACGTCGTCGACTTGATGTACTGAGAAAACTTCCCATTTTGCCAGGCCCGTGCGCCAATATTGAATACATCGACAATCGCGGACTGAGGTTGGTCATTTGCGCCCGAACTCTTCTTTTTCCCTTTGGATTTGCGGGGTGGTGCTGGAACGAAACGAGGCTTGTCCCGTGACAAGGTATGTAGGCCCTCATTGATCATGTCTTCGACCAAAACTCGCATGTCGTTCTGGAATGATATCTCTTTGTGTCGTCGCCGGCGGTCAGGGTCACCGAAGAATCGTGCCACGAGGTGAGATATATCCCGGAAAGCCTCCACACTCGCCGAACCTTTTGCCATGATGTACTCAATCGTGACAGCATTTCCCGATGCAATGAAGACACGCTGCAAAAGTGACCCATCACTCAGATTCAATTTTGATCCTGGACTGGACCAAATTGAACGCTCACCTTGACCCAGAAATTACACTGCTCGAGGTACAGATCGGCTGCGATCCATCGACCATGAACTCCCCATCGATTCACAAACCATGCCTTCTCCAACGCTGTCCGCAACGCAGCGGGAAGTTCGTACTTCCACTTGACGTGAACCTCGACACACTCGCGCGCGTAGTTGTGCTGACCTGCGCCTTCAAAAGAAAACGCCCAGTACTTCAACACTCGAAGGACACGGCCCGCATCCGCATGTGCTACGGCATGCTCGAATTCGCAGAAGAAGAGGGCATCGCGGATGAAGTAGATCGAGTGTGCAAGGCAGTCGTCCCCAATGGACTGAGCCTTGATTGCCTCGCTTCCCACCGTGAACCGCTCTCCAATCTCCCTAGTGACTTCATGGAGATCCTTGAGTGATGGCGTCCAATTCTTCAGGTCATCCCAGGACCCGAGGCCCTTGATAACGCTGATGCTAATTCCTCAGTAAGCCATACACAGTTGAAGCACCATCAAACGCACATCACGCAATGCAGCAGCCTCGCAATCAGTGAATGCCTTATTAAGGCCTTTGCTGCAGCATAATTCGGCTTAGAGGCGTCCCAGGTGCGATGTAGGAGTCCTTTATGAGTGGCCAGTGACGAACGATCCAGAGTCGAGTTGCCGAAGTGAACACGCATAAGCATGTGAGTCGCTTGCAGGGCAAAATGCCATAGCGCACTCGTTTCTTCGACGTATTCGAGGCGCTCCATAGAATCCACGTCGTCCACACGCTCGCGTCTCGCAACACGCAGATTTCGCGCAGTAAGCCAGTCTCCTTGCATGATCTTCGTCTTGCTAGCCCATTCTTCCTCGGTGAGAGTAGACCGCTCCTGCATATCCTTCAAAACCTCGATAACACCCTTTTTAGACCCCTCGTTGACATCGAAAACGCCAAAGGGCCGAAAATCGGTTACCTCAGGCGCCAACGGCCGGTCTCGTGGCATCGCATCTGCGAAGGCCTCTAGCATTTGGCCTCGGCCCTCCCAGTTTTGGCTACCAGGTGTGTACCGTATCAACATCTCGCCAATGAGACTGATGAAGGCCTTCTCCATGTGTTCATCGTCAGCATGAGTTGGGCGAATGTCTGAAAGGCGTGCCTTCGCTCGCTGGCCCCGGAGAGCAAGCTTCGCCTTGAGGTTCAATGCTTCTTCGTCAAGCCCGGGCAACAGAACAACGGCCGCATTCGTCGCATGGATCATTGAATGACGGTTCGTGATTCGCTCCTGGAATTTACGCAGATACAAGTTGATGTTGTCGAAGATGATGTAGAATATTGCACTACTGGTGAGCACCGCGATGGCGAGGCGTATGGCATCCTTCGACATCTGCACTTTCATGTCCTCTATAGTCGTGATTGAAACTGACAGGCCGATATTACTGAGCATGTTCAGCACACGAGAACTGGTCCCTGAGATGCCGAAGAAAAGGCCAAGGGGGAGTGCAAGTACATTTGTGGCACGATTTCGGACAAAGGCAAGCATCATGATTGCCGTGATGATCGCCTGAATACAGTGAGTCTCGAGCCTTATACCACAAATGTGAAGCTACGCACTATCATCGGGTTACGGGTGAATCCCAGGTACTGCGCACGCCAATCCTCAGGTGCCGGCCCCGTGTCCGCAAATGGATCACTGGCAATACCCTCCGAATGTCCTCCGCCTCCGGCGCCTTCGACTGGCTCGCTCCCAACAGGTGGTACATCCTCTTCTCCATCCGACGTCTCCCCTGCACGACGTTCCAGTGCCTCGGCCTTGCGCGCGAGATCCTTGCGGTACCGATTTGGCGAGGCAGTGAAGACATGGAGATACGAAATGGTGAAAGGCGCCAGTGTTCGCAGCCTATCTGCAACTGCCGCGGGATCCAAGAGTCTCCGCACATCGGCTATGGTGAGTTCTTTAAGCCGCACTCTGAACGAGTTCTCTTGAATAACACGGTTGCTCTCGTCAAGCGCGATCTTGTGCGCGCAGGGCTTGACAATCCGCTCGTGGAGCTCGCCTCGGGTACGTGGCCACTCGTCGTGCCAAATATTGTATAGTTCTGATGGCCCATACCACTCGCTCTGGCCTGCGCCTTTCCGGATGCTCAGGAAGGTTCCTGCTCGCTCGCGGACCACCCGGATCTTGCTGGTGAAAGCGAACGTCAGCAGCTTGCTGAGTGCTAGCCCGAGGTATATTATCAATGAAAAGACAAGGTGCAGCTTGTCGGCCTCCGAGGTTGGCTGAGCAGTGTGTTCGAAGACGTCATCCCAGTAGGCTCGGTCGAATTTCAGATTTTCTGACATGTCTCGCAGCAGGACGAGACAGATAAGAGTTTGGCTTACACATGGCGACCTCGGAAAACTCCTGCACCATTTCTCCAGAGCTTCGCGGAAGCAAATCCGCCAGTACGACAGCTCAGGGCGCGCCGACGCGCGACGCGCCACTTTGGGTTTACGCGCATGTAACGCGTCTGTCACACGCAGACACGACCTGTCACGTCCCACCCTCCGTCTACTGTATGATCTCTGCAGGAGATGCAACTTCAACAGGGCATCCCCAATTGCCTGGGATAATGAGTATGCATTTAATGACTATTGCTGAGTAGTTTTGGTACACCCGGAGGCATATGTTGTATGTATCGAGGCCTCGCGCGCGTCAGGCTGTGCTTCGACAGAGTCACCCTCGCGCGATGTTTGTAGCATCGCACCAATGCAGTCGTAAAACACCGTATATTCACAGAATGTTCATTGGACTCGTAGCTACAGGTTTCTCACTGACAGCGAGGGAATCGGAGTATGTGGAAGCACGCTGCATTTTTGCGACTGACCCCCCTAGTCCCAGCCACTTTCGAGCAAGCCCCTTCTCCGAAGGTGGCCGGGTACCGGCCCGGAGACAGGGCTTGCTCCGAACCTAACGTAAAGATACCAGACGCGCGAGATCGAACGCATTCTCTCCCGTCCCGCACACCCTCACATCGTCGTTCCTCCGCCGGGCACGCACGACAACCCCGCGCAACAAGCAAGTCGGGTTTGCCTCCACGACGCAGCGCGAGGAACACAACGGGTGGTTTACCTGCTCGCACTGTGATTTCTTGACGCGGCGCAAGGGCGACTTTGACCGCCACGTCCGCACGCACTTCGCGCTCAGTCGCGGGCCAGAGTGGGTCTGCTGTGGGGTGCCGGAGGAGGACGCGCCAGGACACTCCGGGGAGAAGTACGAGCATGGAGGGAGGCGAATGGTTGGTGGATGCCTTAAAAGCTTCAGCCGGCGGGACTCATGGCTCCGACATCTGCAGAAGGCGGGATGCTTGCGACCTGTACATCTGTAGGTGGTGGGTGGGTGTGTAGGAGTAGAAGCCTTGAGCTCGAGTCACTTATGTTCAGCTAGCCACATATTGATGCGTTTAACCATCATCAGCTACTCAAGCTCAAGACTCAACCCGCGTCCCTCATTTTCAGTGATAGAGTGAGCGTGCTAAGTTTCGTGTCTCCCCGTTCACCGTAAAGTCTTCATGTACCCTTTCAAGGTGCTCGCAGGCCACGATTTTATTCGCCAGCGGGTCAGAGTCGTGGATGTTACACACAAAGCTTCCTTGAGGTACGCGAAGCTGAACCCAGAGGTCTCAGAGACAAGCTCGTCGGCAAGGGCGTCACTTGTGTCACATCAGCACAACCTGAGAGTATGGAGTGCGCCGCAGAGCTTGCTCCAGCGACCGTCCTTCCCACGTCAAATTCGGAGGTCGTATTGAGATTCTGCGTACCGGAGACGGTGTACTCTAGCATCGACAGTGCCGTCGAACACAACTTCCTGTAACTTCCTGTCAAGCGAGATCTATCCTGTCTGCTATCCCGTAAGCCCTAAGCAGTGGCAGCATCATGCATACTGCGTAGAGTACTTACAGTCAGGCGATCATGCAACATGAGCATCTTCTGGGTATCTCTTCTATACTTAGCATGCCATTCGGATTCCAGGCGGATTCTGGGCAGCAGTAGGCAGCAATGCGCCATGTCACATCATGGTGAGGAGCACAGGGGAGCAAGAATTCGAAGTGCCCTCGTCATAAACCAAGGTTCCGAGGATATTCCGATCGCAGAGGTCCCTCGGTTACATAACCCCCCTCCTCGCTCCTCGCCTCTCCGGCCTCCGTTCACACCCATATAACACGCACCCACCCTCTTCGCCGTACACCACATGTCAGACAATCCCTACAAACCACTCCCGACCCACGACCCAGAGAGCTCTGAGGTCGTGCCAAAACCCCCCTCTCGCAAGCTCCGCGTACTCAGGAACTTCACGACTCTTTTCCGCGTATTCGCCGTCATGGTCGTCGCGTTCGTAGGCGTTCGTCTGCTCACTCGCACGGGCATGAGCCTTCGTGGCTGCCACCAGAAGGGCTTCCAGGGTGTGCGCAACGTCTCCAGCCTGCCGGAGCACTACACGCTGCCTAGTGGAAACAAGATACCGTCTGTTGCTCTCGGTGAGTTCTCTTTCTGCATGCGCTATCTTGGACTTGCGTCCGCGATGGACGTTCGTGTTCTGACCCATGTGCGGTCGTGCAGGCGTCTGGCAAGCGAGTCCAGGCGAAGTTGGCGCAGCCGTCAAGACTGCGCTCAACGCAGGATATCGGCACATCGACGGTGCCTGGATCTACAGAGTGCGTCTCTACCCCAACTCTACTCTTTGCTTCTCGCCGAGCTTTCTTTGACACCCATGACTTGACAGAACGAAGCGGAGGTCGGACAGGCGATAAAGGAGAGCGGCGTCTCCCGGAAAGACCTTTGGCTTACCTCCAAGCTCTGGAACACTTTCCACGCACCCGAGGATATCGAGGAAGCGCTTGACGACTCCCTTCAGAAGCTCGGCACGGACTACCTCGACCTCTATCTGATGCACTGGCCCGTTGCGTTCAAGAAGGACACGACCCAGGTGGACGAGGCGCTCACTGCCGACCCCTACCCGACCTGGCAGAAACTCGAAGAGATGGTTGAGAAGGGCAAGGTCCGCAACATCGGCATTAGCAAGTGCGTATCCGCATCTGGCCGCTTTCGCATCGGCTGACTCGCAATCTCGTAGCTTCAACATCCCGCGCGTGAAGAACCTCACCGCGAATGACCTCAAGGTTCAGCCCGCAGTGAACCAAGTCGAGCTCAACTTCTGGAACCCGCAGCCAGAGCTGCTCAAGTGGTCGAAGGACAACGGGATCCTGCTCGAGGCTTACAGCCCGCTGGGGAGCAATAAGCAAGTCAAGGAGACGCTGAACCAGCCCGAGGTGAAGAAGATCGCGGAGGCGCTCGGCATCACGCCAGCGCAGGCGATTATTAGCTGGCACGTCCAGCGCGGCACGATTGTGCTCCCTAAGAGCGTGACGCCCTCCCGCGTCGAGGAGAACTTCAAAGGTGAGTTTCAGCACAGGTGGGCTGTTAAGGCGGACAGAGGCTGACATGGGGGCGATTTGATAGTGTTCCCGCTCCCGGATGACCTGTTCGACAAGCTCGAGGCTGCGGCAGCCGCCCACCCACCTCAGCGTGTTGTCAACCCGAGCAAGGGTTGGCGCCTCGACTTCGATGTGTTTGACGACTACCCCTACTAAGGGCAGATGCTGCGCGATAGACCGACGGGTCGGATGTACGTTTGTAAGCTGGAAACTTAGACTTGAAGCGCGTGTTATGTAATTTCATCTTCGCGGAGTCACTCTTCGTTATGGAGATACCTAGGAAAACACAGCAATACGGTTCAACTTCCAGGAACCTAGTTTACTGATCGTGAGTTTAGTAACGCGCGCACCGCTAAGTTGGCCTCGTAATTCCTGCTGTGAGCTTGAGACTTGCGGGCACGTGCCCAACTGTCAACGCATTTGTGGCGGGAAGTCGCAGCAAGGTCATCGACCTGTCCATGTCAGCCATGCTATGCCTATGCGTCTCGACGCTTGGACGCCTCCCGCAACGCATACTGATGAGCGGAATGGCCATGCACACCTTGGTATGATACCTCTTATCTCAAAAAGCGAAGACCATGCCAATAAAATGTGGTGGCTGACCCATTCCATCGAGCATGGTACTATATCCAAGGTTTTCTGGTGGCTCACAGCTCAGCTACCTTGTCCCCTGGATTTGTCGCCTGTAGAGCTACGGACGGTTGTACAGCGAAACGATGGCCGCCTCGGCGGGTACTTCGCGTATCCTCCACGCAGTCTGCGTGTCCAGACTCAACTCGCAAACGGACCTGCGCTCCTGGTGAGTAAAACAACAAGGCTTTGTCTCCCACACGCTGCCTCAAGCATGCGGGTATTCAGGAACGCGTCGGGTACGCTTGTCGCGCCTTTCCAGGAACGGTCAAACGCGCTTGTCATTCTGTTTTACTCAGCGTTTGTTGATGTTGCTCAGCCGCCCTACAGCCACCTTACGGCTCAGGCATTACGCGTCCCTGTCAGTACTCGGTCAGTACCCATGTAAGCCATTTCAACGGGCGCGAACCTTACATCCATCTGTACAGACTCCCGAATAAGAGGATCCATATAAAATGGCGTCTCAGTACTTCCCCCTGTCCCCCAACTCGCAGCTCATTCTTGGGACGACCGCCGTTGCTACGCCGATCCTTCTCTACGCTATCAAGAAACTCGCTTCCCGCCCTCCAACCGCAAACATCGAAATGGCAAAGAAGACGATCATCGTGCTCGGCGGCGGATGGACGGGCTCGCTCGCGGCGCGCCAGCTCTCTGCCCAGCTCGACTCGCACAGGTACAACCTCATCCTGATCAACGACCGGCCGTACACGATCAACCTCGTCGCCGGCGCGCGCATGACGTCCACGACGGTCGACAACCTCGACTCGAAGGACAAGGCGCTCATGGCGTACGACAAGCTGTTCGAGAACGGCAACGGCAGCGTGAAGGTCGCGCACGCGGTCGCGGTCGAGGAGGACAAGGAGAGCGGGAAGGGCGGCTGGGTTGTGCTCGAGGGCGGTGAGCGGCTGCGGTGGGACGCGCTCGTGGTCGCGACGGGCAGCACATGGCAGGGCCCGCTGGCGTTCCCCGACGGGGAGAAGCTGCCGGGGCATGTGCAGCAGTGGAGGGAGCGCGTGAAGGCGGCGAAGGACATCTTCATAGTCGGGGGCGGTGCTGTCGGCATCGGTGCGTGTCCGTGTCCGTGTCCGTCAATCCGCCCGCTGATTTGAGGCAGAGTTCGCCGGGGAAATCAAGGAGGCGTACCCGGGCAAGAGGGTGACGGTGGTCCACAGCGGCTCGAAGCTGCTCACGGCCGTGTACCCGGACAAGTACCGCAACGCGATCGAGAAGAAGGCGCGCGCACGCGGCATCAACTTCGCGTTCAACGAATACATCGACGAGATCCCCGAGCCTGGCGTACGGGGGCTGAGCACGCGGAAGGGGACGCACTTTGAGTCTGCTGATCTCGTGGTACGTGCGTCATTGCTGGGCGAAGGACATCGCTGACGGCCCTCCAGATTCCCGCCTACGGGTCGCGCCCGAACACCGCGATCGTGTCCTCGCTCATGCCGTCGCCGCTTTCGAGCAACGGCAGCCTGAAGGTGAATCCGACGCTGGAGGTGCAGGGCCACGCGGGCGTCTTCGCGCTCGGGGATGTCGTGGACTGGGACGAGCAGAAGCAGGCGGCGAAGGGCGCGAACCACCTCGGTATCGTCGTGCCGAACGTCGTGAGCTACCTCGAGGGGAAGCCGCTCAAGAAGGTGTACAAGGGCAGCCCGGAGCTGATCCTGATCCCGTTGGGGAAGGTCAGTGCTCGTGTCGTGGATTTAAAGCGCGCGCTGACGAACGCTGTGGCAGACCGGTGGCTCGGCATATCTGGGCATGCTGTGGGGCATCGTGCTCGGAGACTGGGCGTCGCGTACCATCAAGGGCAAGGACCTCTTTGTCTCGCAGGCGCGGAAGGGTCGGGGTCTGTAAGCCTGCTCACCGTCGCTCATTCGTCATGCTTTTGTGCTTCCTGGGACTCGTGCGTGTTGTGCTCTCGTGTTGTTTTTAACGTTACTTTATGTGTTACTTAGATCCTGCGATGCATTAATAGAGTCAGGCCAGATTGCGTACGATCGCTTGGCCAATCAGAGCAGGAGCCACGTCGCGGTGGTGTGAACACATGATCGCGATCCCTTGTGAAGTTGGCAATTCTGACTCGGAGTACCTGCGTTCTACGCTACCACAGATGTCTCGTCCGCTCTATTCCCCAACGCTCCTTACAAGCTCGGTACGCGTATCTTCGATCTGCCCTGTGAGTCACTATCTTTCGTTCATGAAAAACTAATGCTGACTGACGAAGCGTTGCGCATGTTATGACTCGTCCTGAGTCGACTGAGTCAGTTCCTTGTCGGAATACAGCACTGGCAAAGGTCCATAGTCACACCACTGGTGGAGCCTGACACGCACAGTTCAAGCTTTCCGGTCATCATTCTCTTTTGAGTCTTCGAGTCCAGCAATGTGACTAGATTGGAGCACTTCGTGCTTCCGTATCATCATGGTATCCCGGGCCGGGCTGCATGCAGTTGGGTGAATGCGGTGACCGGTCTGTTGCGGACTCACGGTGGCCCACCGTAAGCTCCACGCTCGAGCTAAGTATGTCAGTTAGCTGTGTGGCCGACGACCGTGACAGTGTCGAAGGTTGGAAGCCCGAAGCGCAGCACCGTGAACTGCCTCCGAGTCGGACCCGCAGACGAACAGCAGACCACGATTGATCGCAGGATAAGAACACCAGGGCCCTGCATTCCAATCCAGTCCACAGTCACTGTAATGTCTAGGTCCTACGCGCCCGTGCTACCATCCAGCAACCAAACAGGGTAAGTTAACCTTGTATCGCTCCACACATGCTCACACGTTCTTTGCGGCTACAGATGGTCGTCTGCGTCTGCAGCGCTAGAGCCCCATCGCTGACTCGTCCCGATACGCAGCAACTATCCGTAAAAGACAAGACATGCCTATTGGATACACAGAGATAACAACTCAAGTCAGAGAATGTCTGCTTCTGCCGCCCGTGTGGTACCCCTCAGCTGGAGTATAAAGCACACGATGTTCAGCTCGTACGTCCTACTACCACGCCCGCGATCATGGCATTCTCTTCACAGACAGTACCTACCAGTATTGAGACAGGGAATCCTATGAGTGAATTCTACGACTTCTGGATACGACAAGGTAAGCATGCATTTCGTCCTTAGATCGCAACTATGTTGACTGACGTGCGCTTACACCAAGCGTCTGCGCAGTTGAGCGAACCTGCCGTGATTTGGTCAGTCACAACTCGCTCTCGCTTGTGTATGCAATCCTTACTGACTATACGTGCGTCCAGCGTCGAGAAGTTGCGAAAGTTGCACCCTGATGCGTCCATCGTCGCCTTCAGTGATGTTGCCGGTTTCAACCTCCAAGGCCTCCCAGGGGTCAAGGTCGTTTCTGCTAAGCCGCAGTCAATAAGCGTGAAAACATTTGCCCCCGCCGCTCGGATGGTGTTCCGTGAGGGCGGTGAGGCCGGCAAGCTGGCGGATAACTGGAAGTTTGCGGCTTTCCAGCTGACATGGAAGGTGAGTCTCATCAATTATGCAGTTCCCGGGCCCTCAGATCAATGGGCATCATGCATATTGCCGTCAGGATGACGACTTCCTGTGTTATACTCTGCAAGTGAGTTCTTGCTACGGTTTGGCAACCCACATGTAATTGAGGAATTCTTTTCCCCCGCAGTACACCTATGGCATGCGCGGCATCCAAATGTCCACCCATTTTCTCGTGCACAGCTCTGCAGACAGGTGTCACGCCCTGTTGGAAGCTGCAGGTGCATGGCAAGCACAGCTGCACGAGGAGATTCTAGTCTTCGATGAAGCGCGCTGGCAAAAGAGTCACGAGCTCTGGGTTGAGGTCCACAAGGCAAACTGGTCCGACGTCATTCTGAAAGAGGCGTTCAAAGAGCAGCTCATGGGGGATGTGGAAGGGTTCTTCGACAGCGAGGGCTTGTACAAGAGCCTCTCTGTACCGTGGAAGGTGAGCCGGTGTGTACGACAGTGATGATTCGGGGGCTCACCGCGCCATGTCGTACGCAGCGAGGTATAATTATACACGGTCCGCCTGGCAATGGAAAGACCATCACCCTGAAGGCGATCATGAAGACATGCTCCGATCGAGGCTTTGCGCCGCTGTACGTCAAATCCTTCAGACACCACAGAGGCGACGAGGGCGCAATGGTGGATGTGTTCAACAAAGCGCGCGAGATGGCGCCGTGCGTCATGGTACGTTGATCTATCAAAACTCCCTGTCGCATCGAGGATTCATGATGCTTGGTAGGTGCTGGAGGACCTCGACTCCCTAATCACTGACAAGAACCGGAGTTTCTTCCTCAATCAGCTCGATGGGCTAGAGGGAAACGATGGGCTCCTCCTCATTGCAAGCACGAACCACCTAGAGAAGCTCGACGTCGCTCTGAGTGGGCGGCCCAGTCGGTTCGACCGCAAGTTGTACGTCGATTGTAACAGTCCCATGAAAGGACGACAACTAATGATATATCTAGTGCGTTTGACAATCCGGATGAGCGGGAGCGCGCGCTATACGTCAAGTACTGGCAGAAGAAGCTTGACAATAACTCCTCCGTCGAGTTCTCCGACGCCCTTGTGGACGAGCTCGTCTCTGAGACCTCTGGGTTCAGCTTCGCGTACCTCAAGGAAGTCTTGTGCGTAACGCCCACGACTCTGTACCTCCTGCGGGATTGCGGCTAATGAACACTCCGCAGCATATCGTCCCTCGTGCTTCTCGCAAATCCCAAACACGCCGTGACTTCTTCGTTCGGAGACGTGACGAAGGGCCAGATCCAGGATCTTCGGGAGCAGATGGAGAAGGCAAAGTCACAGGCGGCGGCAAAGCCTTCGACTCAAGAGAGCAGTGGTGGCGGAATACAAATGATCGGCCCGCGGTTCTTTGGGGCTATGGCTGAGCCCATAGTCGGCTGAGAGTTGTGTTTGGGACGACTTGTATCTTGTTGGCACCCGGGTGCACTTGTAACAGTTGGAGAATCAGTCGCAGCCGTGAATTGCCTGGCAATTGACGACGTTCAATGAAATCGCGTTGGTTGTGAGCGTGACATATGATAGTGACGTTCAATGAACATGCATCTGAATACCTACGCGCTTTTTTAAACACACTAGACTTCCTGGACCTACTAGCATGGCGTCGTTAGTCGTGCCTCTCGGAAATGAAGACACTAAATCACAAGCATTTGTCCATACCCGACCCCTTCAAAGACACTCTTGGCCCCGTCGACGACCGCGGGTACCACGCGAGAATCGGACGAGCAGTACGTGTCCGAAGCTGACTTCTGGGCCAATTTGACGGTCCATGACGCTAAGGGAGGTGGCTCATGCCAGACTGGCGAAAGAAATGAGAGCTGTGACGGTGTATGAAGGACATTATAAAGACAAGAAACTCCTCATACTCACCATATGGGGTATGCCTTGAGCTTGAGTAGCCGATGACGGTACAAATCCAATAGCATGTGACTAGCGCAACTATGAACATAAGTGACTCGAGCTCAAGGTTCCTGTGTCAATCTATCCCTACACAGCCGCCCGCCATCTAGAGATGTACAGGTCGCAAACATCCCACCTTCTGCAGATGTCGGAGGAACGAGTCCCGCCGGCTGAAGCTTTTCAGGCATCCACCAACCATTCGCCGCCCTCCATGCTCGTACTTCTCCCCGGAGTGTCCGGGAGCATCCTCCTCCGGCACCCCACAGCAAACCCACTCTGGCCCGCGACTAAGCGCGAAATGCGTGCGGACGTGGCGGTCGAAGTCGCCCTTGCGCCGCGTCAAGAAATCGCAGTGCGAGCAGGTGAACCACCCGTTGTGTTCCTCGCGCTGCGTCGTGGAGGCAAATCCGACCTGCTTGTTGCGCGGAGTCGTCGTGCGTGCTCGGCGGAGGAACGACGATGTGAGGGTGTGCGGGACGGGAGAGAATGTGTTCGATCTCGCGCGTCTGGCGCGAGTGGTATCTTTACGTGACGAACCGGCGGCAGATGGGTAGCGGGAAGGTCCGGGAAGCGGAAGAGAGGGTGATCCAGCGTCGAAACTGGGAGAGGAAGCGGACGAGTCCTCCCATGAGGAGGGGGGAGACGATGTGGAAGTCATGGCGCTCGTAGAGCTCCCACTTGCGCTCGTATACGAGATGTCCCCGTCGAAGTAGGGAAGCCCATACGTGTCGACAGTCGTGAGCAACTCCGGGGACCACACGACAGGAGGAAGGTAGTCCCAGAGGACATCGTTCCCAAAGGCCTGAAATGCATCTACTGACTGCGATGCTGAGTTGACATCCGACGGACTGCACAGTACGCGTGAGCAGTAGAAACACACGCATAATTCTATGCACATACTCTGTGTAAGGCAACGGTGTATTGAACGCGTCGTCGATGAGGAGTTCGGCATCCGGGGCAAGGAAGAGATCACCCGATGTCGCATCAGGCGATCCGGACCATTCCCAGTGCTCTGTCGTCAAACCAGTGTCGCCACTGAGTGCGGACGGCGCGTATGTAGGGGGGTTGTAATGTCAGTGGCAAAGGAGACGAGGTCATCGTGATTGTAATACACAGACTGTGTGACAGACATGGCGGAGAGTATCGAGTTTCTGCGCGACGCGGGTAGGCAATGGAGGCATCATGGCGGTCGGAGCCACTGCTTTTATACCTGCGGGTACAGAAAGCATCTCGCCGTCGTCCAGCGCAAGGCGGCGAGGTCGAGGGAATCGAGTGCACCTTTACAAGCACCAAGAAGCGCGCCGCTATACCTTATATGGTGCAAACGGGGTGTCGTGATGCGAAAAGAGTGTATCTTTACAAGCACCACGGTGTTAGCGGAGGTACGAGCGAGATAATCGTGGTAGATCAGCGTACCTCTAAGTAATGTCTACAAAGCGCGCGCGAGTGTCCTGGCAATTCCCATATCGTACTCGGAGACTAGCCCGGGGCGAACGAGGATGTTATCATGAGAACATCCGGTGCAGGCAGCAGCATGGGAGCCTTGCAGAATATTCACTGATGACAAGAGCGACGGTAAGTTTGTGTTGACACCGCAAGAAAGCCATACATACCAGGGTGTAATATCATCGTATGTTCTGCCGCGGTCCAGGCTTCGAGCATCACGCCCTCTGGATGTCACTGCGTCCAAGAAGGGTGCGCGTGGGTAGAGTGTATGGGCAATGAGAGAGTATCTGGACATACATAGGTACGTAGTAGTATGTACCCCCTTGGGTGACTTCACTAATAGTAGTAATAAATAGTAGGCGCGCAAGTCACGGAGCGGCCCGGGAATGAAGCCACCACCGTGACGGTGCCACTGACCACCAGAGTCACTGGCAGACTGCAGACTGCAGTTCGAGCTCTCGTCCTGTTCACAACATCCTTTGTCACTTTTAATCAACTTTCGCCTAGCAACCTCGGTCGGACTCTCTTGTCATATACTAACTGCTCATATGTTCCAAACTACTAGCAACACCGACGAGTCGAGTTGAGTCTTGCCGCTGTGACTGATTCCGCGTTCTACTAGTACTCTTACTACCCGCACGCTGTGTCTAAGAAGGGCCATGTGGGTCGCAAGCAACCCGGATTCTTCAGACCTGGTGTCGAAGGAACGAATCCCGCCGACTGAAAGTTCTCATGCATCCACTAACTATCCTCCTCCCTCCGTGTTCATAGCTCTCCCGGTGGTCCGGTACCTGCAGCAAACTCTGGCGATCTCGGCCCACGACTGAGGACGAAGTGTGTGCGAATGTGTTGGCTGAAGTCGCCCCCATCCAAAGGTGGAATGCTGAACTTCTTCCGCTCTTCATCACCGAAGAAGCCTGTCAGGCGAGTGCCCGCCCCCGCTGTGCATGTATTCGAGTTCAAGCTCGTCAATAACTTGGCCCGCTATCTCAAACCTGACAGCACACCGGTTCATGCCTGCCATGTCGAGCATGGGCAGGTGAACCAGCCATCGCGCTCCTCGCGCGGTACTGGGAGAGCGAAACCGGACTTGCTTGTTGCGCGGAGACGTCGTGCGCGCCCGGCCGAGGAACGATGATGGGAGGGTGTGCGGGATGGGAGATGTCGTGTTCGTTCTCGCGCGCCTGACGTACTAAGCACGTCGCCTTCTTCAGATGCCGAAGAAATGAGTCCCGCCGGCTGAAGCTTCTCATGTACCCGTCACGCGTTCCTCCCCCTCCATGCTCGTACATCTCCCCAGTACATCCGGGAGCATCCTCCTCTGGCACCCCGCAGCAGACCCACTCTGGCCCGCGACTGACGGCGAAGTGTATGCGCATCAGGCGATCCGGCTCCGAGATCGAGGTGCCCTTGTGTCGTGTCAAGAAGGCGCAGTGCGAACAAGTGAACCATCCGGTGCATTCCTCGAGCGGCAACGTGGAGGTAAACTCGACCTGCTTGTCACGCCGACGTCGTGCGTGTCCAGCCGAGGAACGACGTGAGGGAGTGCAGGACGGGCGAGGATTCCCTTCACCTCGCGTGTCTGGCGCGGGTGATACCTTGATGCGACGTTTGCTCATCGGTTTGACGATCCGGCGGCGACGATGGCGCATGGAGATGGCGTGGAAGTCATGGTGCTCATGGACTTGCTTTCACTAGGGCTCGCATATGAGATGCCCTCGTCACAGTAGAGAACCTCAGACACGTCGACAGCACTCGTTGCGAGCAACTCCGAGGACAGGAGGAAGGTAGTCCCAGGGGAAATCGTTCCCAAAGGTCTGAAATATGTATACTGACTCTGATGCGATGTCGGTGCTCGGACCTAGCGGACTGTACAATATGTATCAGTGTTAGAATCACACGCATAAGACTACGCACTCACTCTGCGTAATACACCGGTGTCCACTCTGTGCAAGGCACCTGTGCATTGAGCACCCCGTCGATGAGAGCCTCGAGTTCGGGCATCCACTGGAAGAGGCGTCGCGCTAAGCAACCCTATGTTCCGGATCGCCGCCATGAAGCCCGTTCGAGGTAGATGAAGGCCAGCGATGAGTGTGTGGACGTCATCGTGGAAGTCGACCGTCGAGTGCGTGGTGGGCTCCATCGCAGGGGACGTTGGGTGTCTGGGCGATGCGGGTAGGCGACGGGGCGTCATGCCAGTGGCGACCGATGCCGCTGCCTTCGTAGACGGGACACAAAGCCTCTCGCCCCCATGCGGCGAGAACCGCCCCTTTACAGGGACCAAGAGCGCGCCGCTCTACCTTGTATGGCGCGCTGGGGCATCGATATGCAACTTGAACACGAGTCGATCAGTGAACATAACGGGAGCATTGCAGAGGGGCTCACGGGTCGATGTGATCGGAATACACGTTGACGATTGAATCAGGATGCCCGAAGAGCAAACTAAAGTCTCGGGGTTGGCTCCGTCGACGAGGCGGGTAGCGGTGCATAGTGGTTGTACGAGATGCGGGGGTATTGGGATAGGATGGTTGTTGGTCGACTGCTGCCAAATTGGGAGCTTTTATACGTGCGGGGCCTGCACCCCCTATGGGCCACACATGCCCATTCTCGGCGGACCATGGTGGTTGCTATGCGCCATGACCACATGCGGCGTCGCGGCGCCCCTGTGATCAGGTCAAAGTGATTGTTTGTGGTGACAACAAAAGAGGATGATGCTCACGAACCCTTCTAGCACCACGGCATGAGCAAGCGTAGTGGCGAGATTGGGGCAAGATGATCGTGACACAACCCATACCGAGAAGTTGTGGTACATGGTTAGCGATCTGCCCCTGAAATATCCTTTGTCCCTGGAGCTAGAGCATCAGCGACGTTGAAAGCCGACAATCGCAGGTGAGCCACCCCCCTGTTCGTGAATCGCCACTGGGCCTTGGTTGTGGCCTTAGCAACCGTTTCGATGTAGGGACACACTTTGTTATGAAGCAGTATATAAGGAGGCTCGCGAAGACGGTGAGCTTCAGTCTTCACTCGCCATCCGTGCTTTCGACTGACTCGGAGTCCACTTGATGACAGGCTCCCTTCGTGCAAATACGTCGGGGCAGGACGCCAGCCCTGACGTCGAAGCAGACAACGCGGCTAGAGTCCGTGACATAGTCAGTCGTGCCTCAGCAGAAGATATCATCGCGTACCGAGACTTTGTGAGTGCGAGTACGAGTACTATGCTGCTCAACCTGCTGACTTCTGCGTCGTAGACTTTCCGCGGGAAGCTACTCCTTGACCCCATCGACTCATACACAGTCGATAATGCTGTCTCATGGCTTGACGTAGACCGCTTCAAATCGTGGTACATCCGTCAGCTACAAGCGGCACCTGCGCCTATGCCCCAGTCACCCTCTCGCGTACTCCCAGCCTCCCCTGAAGACCGCTTGTCGCACTCGGCTTCACAACCTACCAAGTCGTCGCGCGGACCTGCGTCCTGTAGCACAACGCACACTGGGTCACTTCGGCGGCCACACAATGTTGTACAGGATAAGGTCCCAGCGAGTCAGGCAGGTACGGAGATGGCTCTCCCGCAACAGCACTCCAATGCACAAGATCCCAGAGTGGTCGGGCCAATGACAGCACTGCTCTACGAGGGATCATATATGGGGCCCAACGGCGAGCTTCGGTACAGGGACGAGGAATGACGAAAGAAATGTGTTAGTCATTGTATAATAGCAGATCTAGTGAACGGTACTTTAGCATGCACACCGCGGTTGAAGACGAGGCCACCTCCTCGAGCCTTAGACCGACGCCAAGCGAATGGCGGCGCGCGCCTTCGACTTCTACTGCGCTCGATCCAAGCGTAGCTTGAGCTTGAGCGGTGCTACACCGCCAATTCGCGTCGAGGTGTGAGCGAGATGGGTGGTGGATGTGTATAATGGTAGACAGTCTAGATGTATGCCACATTAGATCGCGCCCTCTTCCAGCTTGCTGATCATACCTATGTCGTTGTGTGACTGTTGTGGCTGCTACCTCAAGTCCGTCTGTACACAGCGGGCTGGACTGCCTTGTACCGATAGGCTTATGTAAGCTGTCAGCGCGCAAGACCACCGACATCGACAATATGGGTTCTACAGCCTTGACCTTCTCTTTTCGTAGTTTCAACAGTTTTAGCAGGTCAACTGAGGTCATACTAATCACTCATTGACGTGTAAATTTGTGCAGGACCTAATGAGCAAAGAGGATAATTCGATTTGTTCACGCAGGCGCAAGGCTTCTACGGGCGCTTGCCCGATCCGGGCGTAGCCTTGCGGTCTGCTCTGCGCGAGTCCGTCTCTCACTTTTGAGATTGCGCGTATCAATGGGACTCCAAAGTAGCCAAGCAATAGTCAATGTAAATACAAGAATGACAGACCAAAGAGACATATGGGGGCTCTGACTCGATCCGACTCGAAGGCCCGTGCTCAGTGAGTGCCATCCACTCGGACTCGAACATGGCGGTGTATCGTCAGACGAGACGAGTGTATGGCGAGTAATGCATATGCGTGGTAAGAATTACATAAGTGTACAATGATCGTTCTATATGTATAGCGCACGACGCGCACCGATGCTGGATGGCGCATGTCCTTGTCCAATGACGAACCCACAGCTCGCATGCTACACCTCCGGGAGCAATCATGAGACGAGCTACTAACATCTATCTGGCTATGAACTCACTTTTTTCAGCTCTGCATTGCCTGCCCATCTCCTCCTTCGCTGTCTCGACACTCCGTCGTACTTTCTAAACGTGCTCGTTTCCGTGGCTGGGGGCGCGGCGCCGCCGGCCTAGAGTTCGTAGACTGACTCGGAAGGGTTTCGTCGAGATGAGATCCCGACGTACTTGCTGAGGGCGCTGCATTCGATGTAGCACTCGCTATGATTGGGTTATTCGGGGTAACGCTAGGGGTTTGCTTCGCTGCCGCTGCGGCCTTCTTCTTCTCGACACGCGCCTCTGCCTCCTTGGTTCGTCGCACGTCCTGGACAGCCCTGAGGGATGCGGCCATCCGGTGATGTGCGGCTTCACGCAATTCTGGGTCGATGTATGGAATGGGAGCAGTAAGGTGTCGAGGGAGGATTTTGCGGAGAAGGGCCGCGTTGTGCAGTGCATGCGTGTTGATGATGTACCGCGTGTCGTCTTTGTGCTCGATGTATGGCTCTTCGATCTCCGTGAGTGTTCGCTCCTGCTTTCGTCGTTTTCGTCCTGTAGGTTCACACCCTCCGTCGATGCAGTTATGCTGAACGTTCACGACACTGATGACGTCCTTCCAAGGTGACGTCAGTGCATGCGCGCGCCCACAAAATACAAGACTTACTGATGGACTGACACAATTCAGGTTATTGATGTCGATCTTGAATAGCTCTGGCATACCGAAATGGGGGTGCCGGCTGTTAGCCAAGGAGAATTGTTCTACGATGATCGTGTCGTCTTGGTTTGCGGGTCCAGTGGTCGGTTGTAGGATCGCCTTGATACGCCCGACACGTGTTGTATCAGCCTATGGAAATATTGTGTTAATGACAGCCGAGTTTAATGTGAATGCCGTACCTTGAAGTCGTAGAAAATCCATGAGCCGACTCGGCAGACATCTCCGGTGCGCGCGATGACAGAGAGGCAAGTGAACCATTGTGATTGAGGACTGTACTTGTCATCGTGCTGCTGATTATCGGACGATACAGCCTCCCAGGTCGTGATCTGGGATTCAGTCTTCCTGCGATGTATCGTACCTGGGCAGTATTCGAACTGTAGCAATTTTATGCAGCATAGGGCAGTAAAACGAGAGCATACCAGGTGGGGAAGATGCCTGGGATGCATGTCCAAGTCGTCGTTGAACGTCGTCGTTGTCAAAGTAACGGCGCACACGTTCGCCAGCCTGGACGAATTTGCCAGAAGGATCCTTCCACCATCCACCACTGACCTGGTGCTTGAAGCGATCCATGTCAGCGCACGCCCATGCGATGTCGCGACTCGGGGCCTGGTGGTTGGAAAGGACACTGCACATTCGGAAGATCGCGTTAAAGCATTCGAATATCTCAGTTGCATATAGTCCGGCTGGACCCTGATCCCGAATGTCGAAGAGAAGGTGCAGCAGAAGATGGAGTTTCGGCTTGACGAAGATTCGTTTTGGGTCGATCTGCGACCAGATGTCGAGGACATTTGCTATGAGTGTTTTGAGATCAGCCTAAACATCATTTGACGTCCGAGTCAGTGGAACGATCATTTGTACAAGGTAAAAGCAGGTTAAGTTATACCAAGTACATATCCATATCTTCTATCTCGGTGAACCAGAGAAGCGCGCCGAGCTCTCCTGTTGCTTTCCAGAGTTCCCGGACAAGTTTTGGGCACATAGTGTCGTCGAGATGAAAGATTCCGAGCTGCTGGAGGGCCTTGAAGTGCTTTCCAATCAGATTGTCTTTGTACTGTATGATGTAGCGAGCACGTATCGGCAGAATATTAAGGCCATCAACCGAGGACGATTGTAGCCGCACAGCGAACATTTCGAACTGTTTCGGCGACCAGCTTGAGTGTGTGAAATGCCACACATACTTGTCTTGACCAAGCAAGTACGTATGTAGGAGTTCGACAGGTGTTTCGCGGTGGATATCGATACCTAGAAAGGCGACATAAATTGTTCACTATATTCCTCTGGAGATGACCAACGTAAACCTCACCTTCAAGTGATAACAGAGAGTTGAAATGCTCTCCAGGTCGCAACTGATTGCGTAGAGCTGAGGCACCATTAGAGCTCCTCGTACTACTGCAGTGAGAATACAACGTACGTGACTCGGGTGGGAGCTTGTTGTATGTCTCGGGTGGCTGTGTGACGACCCACTCAAGCAACTCGGCTTGAATCTCTTTCTTGATTACAAGGACAACTTGTGTACGATTCCCGCCATGAACACCCTTCAACCGGGCATCAGCAGTAGCAGGGGTTGTGATACGACGCTGCTGTTCATCGCGTGCCCGATCGAGAAGGATCTTGATCCAATGTTCGGCAAGCTTGTCCTTGGTACCTGTTTCCGTTTGTCGCTGTGTAACGTCTTTCTTGACACCGAGGGCTGCTAATCGAATCTGCGTCAGTACGTCGTCTCTCGTCTGTTGGGCAGTACGGAGATTGTTGGGCTTCATGGTAGTCGTATGAGTAGACATTCAGTGGTATGTGTCAAATAACATCGCTACGCACATCAACATCGAAATGCGCATGATAGTTCTGATCAGTTTCGCGTTCCTTTTCAGACCCTCCGAGCTTGCAGCGCCGACACCACATGTTCCCATGTAAACCAATGTGAGAGCAATTCTCCGATTGTTGTGGATTGTCGGCAGGAAATAGGCAAGGAATCACACGAAAAAGAACCTCCTCTTGAACTTCACAGTCAAATGCGGGATGCCAGGTGTTTGCGCCTCTAGAGTTGGGAATTGGTCAGTAAGAATTTGAATGAATCATGTTGACGATTCAAAAATCTGACGTTACCGAGTCGACCATTGCATCAAATTGGGCGCCGGCATTTGCATGCGGTGAAGTCGAGCAGAAGCGGACGAAATATTCTTGGGATAGTTTCGTGTGCGGTAGATTGGCATGTGCAAGGTATATGTTCGTGTGTTCATTGTATTGCTTGCTCTTGTTTCCTGACACGTCATCACCCCAGGCCTTCACATAGCTCGTGTACATTCGGCGACCCTTCGCTATGTCCCGCAGAGGATTGCACCCATTGTAGATACCCTTGGGTAATGGGCCTGAGATTGTGGCGGGCGTGCGCAGTAAGTAAATCAGACGATCATCAAACTTGATTGTCTGTTTGTACTGATCGTGCGACTCACAGGACAGCCTGTTGCCAAGCCCGTTGCTTTCCAGCTCGGGATAGTTGATATGGAGGTCAGAAGTCTTGAACTCAACGAGCGTGTCAAGCCGGACATCAAACTGTGTGTCGCCCCCCTTGACACGAGGTCGTGAATGAGGGTGTGTCGCATATTGTAGCTGAATGTCTCACTCACTTGCTCAGAATCGGTGACCATGACTTCGTAGCCTTCACCGTACACCTCACCCTGTGATTGGTAGCGGTACCATGTATGTGGAATAACCAGCTTGCCCGACGCGAGCATTGCGAGCTCTCCGATGTACCAGTGTGTGTGTCCCTGGGCCCACATTGGTGTGTGCAGTTCGGGATCCATGTCATGTACGAGTCGTTTAGTATGGTACGTCTCACTTATTGTCGATGTCCTGATGGGGTAGATTTCGACATGTGGCCTCGTCTGAGGATTGGCATAATCCTATGACACTGTGAGTCAGTTCCGAGTCGCCCTCCAAATGCGCTCACTAATAATCTGCACACATACCAAGGCTAACAAGTCAGACACTCGGTTCTGATAGAAAATGTCCCCTTGAGGTGAGTGTTTGACATCGGTGTGTACGCCGCAGGTCTGATGATTCAGGTGGTCTTGGGTTTTACGAAACTTGCTGAATGTCGGCACTCCTGAAACACCCAATTCCCGCAGCGCCCAAAGTACGACTTTGAAGTGATCACTTGACAGCCTGAGACGTGGGAGATTATCGAGCATATCGAGGATGAACATCTATTTCGGGATCCATCATTGCACGTCTCGGAGACTCCCAGGAGACTCTTACCACTTTTGATCCATGCGGATACCAGGGTCCTTTAGACTCTGCTGGCCCTGCATATTGTGCCCCACCACCTTCATCGTCACTGATATCGTCTTCTTCATCATCTGACAACCCTGGATGAACAACTCGCAGTCAGCAAGTATCATTCGGGGACATCGAACGGCTTACATACCGAGGTTGTCAAACTGTACGTCTATGTTCGTTCTCGTGGCATCGTCTTCAGCATGAGGTGCAATTGAATCACTCCATGCAGGTGTACTGTTCCCAAACATATTCATCGACATCGCATCATCCAGTGAACGCCAGAGGCGATCGTGCTCTGTCTCTCTCGGACCCGCGGAAAACATGATGGTGTTACCCTCTCCGTCATACATGAGACCGTCGACGAAGCTTGTGGACGCAAGCGGATCCGTGTCGTGCAATGAGGCCTGTTGGCTGATTGTCTGTGAGTTCCCGACTGCACTTGGAGCACGTGCTAAGGATGCAGCACTGAGATCGCGAGCTGCTCTGAGTTGCTGTGCAGCGAGGAGACGCTCAGCATCTGCAGATTTCAGCAATGATCCCTTGTGTTGAGGTGAGCCTTCATGACGAGCAAGACCTTTGCGCTGAAATACACAGGGTTTTCCGGCAAATTGAGAGCAGGGCCCACAGTGAATATTTCCGCCGTTGCGTTCACTGAAGCCTGACAAAATGAGTGCTCGAGGTAAGACAATTATTAATATGAATGGCATGCACATACATGCCGGGAGCTCCTTCTTTTGTGGGGCCATGTGCTTTGCTGCAGACTGGCAGAGGTCGTCAAAGAAGAATGCAAGAAGCAGCTTAAAATCGAGCTGAGCTCAGGTTCACCCGATCGTCCAGTCGATCACGATCTCTGCCCCTGGTTTGGTGAGTCATCAGTCAATGTTGCGCCACTCTCCCTGTCTCTGCCTCCCATTGACAGTTCCACTGCACAGCCTGCTGCGAACATGGTTCGCTCTATGGCTGAGCTGCGTTCAAGTGCCACACCTCCTCGTATTCTCCCAGGTTCAATTAACCATGGCTCACTGTGGACAGTCCCAGGGCCCGAAGGCGAAGCCACCGGGAGCAGCACAGATGGCCCTACAGATGCCGCTCAAAATTTGGACAGACCCGAGGATGCCGACGTGGATATGGAGCCCATCGAGCCAGTACAGCATTCCGACAGGGAGATGTCAGCCATTGACCCGGCTCTCCGTGTTCCTGATGCCCTCGCAGCGCTGCGAGAGCGGACATCACACCCTCGCAACCAGTTGCAATTTCTGGACCCCGTTGCCTCGATGTTCCAGTTGAAGGGTGATGCGAAAGTAGCGCTGCGACGCTTCATTGAGGTGTGCACTGGACCACCTCGCGAGTCTTTCAACAGTCTAACATGTACGTGACTCGGACACATAGGCTCGCAACGTCGAGCGGGAAGTAATGGCCTTCGGCGCTATGATGTCCATCAAACAACTCATTGAGTCGAACACGGTCGTGGCCAACGAACTGTGGACTATACCTGAACGCGTTGAGGTACGTCAAATGTTGTCTCCGAGTCTGTCGTACATTGATATTGGATGTTCGTGATGTGATTTTTGAATTGGTAGGCCGAAATCGATAAGTATGCAATCCGCATCCTCTTCTCGCCGCAGATTGCAGCGTATGATCAAGGACCACTTGATCAACTTGCGGTGAGTATCCTAAAGACTTGTATGTGTCGAAGATCTGCTAAATTCGTGCACTGGCAGCTCATCATTAAGCGTAAACGATGGGGCTTGTCAGCGACAGTTGACGAAGATGAGGATGGAAAATGGGACAAGCTGTTACACTATGCACGCGGCCGGCTGACACAGAGGAAGTCCGAAATGAAGAAGGCGGTACAGTTGCTAAACTTCTGCGTACTGGCCCACATGGCTCACTCACTGTCTCGTTGATATGCAGATTGCTGCATCTTACGACCGCAAGGAAGTCCTTGCAACCGAAGACGACTCTCCCTTGAGCAGTGGCCACGACATAGTCAAATTATGCAAATCTCTGCTCAAGATCGGCACCAAGAAGATACCTTCAGGTACGAACATCAATGTCACACCGCAATTTTGCACCCGGATCGCTTTCCTGGTGAGTTGCACCATTGCATGACGCACTCCCTCACTCATGAATCACTCTTGGACTGTATAGCGCTCTGTTCATTTCGAGCACGGCTCAGTGGAGACGTACTGGAAACACGCCGACGATGAACTCATGAAGGTTCGCAAGGATCTGGATTACGAAGACGATGCATTGTCTTAGTGCGTCATTCGGACTGTCCTTTACATTGTGATGTATCGCCAACCGAAAAATGGCATAGCTTCATGACGCAGGTACTCAAACGCGATCGCCAGCTATTCCCGTGTAAAAACTGGGAACATGTTGATCGCATCAAGGCGTCGGTCAGCCAGACCGAAATTGATCAAGTTCTGCAAACCGGACGCGCCGAGAACATGCAGGCTGAAGGCTGATAGCCCATGAGAATGAAGGTCGTGATAGATGTTGAAAAGTGTTCAAATGAAAGTCATTACATACATTTCCTGCTACGTTTGAGGGGTATCTCCGAGCCCGATGCATCCTCCGCATCTCCATCACCAGAATGTCCTTCCCGTGCATCCTCATCGGAGACACTCGGGGCACGTCCCAATGTATTACGTGCAGTGCGCAGAGCACGGGTGAGTTGCTGTACCTGGAAACTCAGTGCAGCTGCACGCATGCGATGATACGCAGACTCGGCCAGCGCATCATTGAGTCGAGCTTCAAGGAGATCCAAGTTCTCGAGCTTGATGTCTATACCCCAGTTATTCGTGGCCAAATGGGTGTGGATCGTAGATATATAATCACCATCGGGCGTGGACTCGCGGTCATCGCTATCCTGATGCACGGACACTTGATCTTCATCTTCTTCCTCTTCCTGTACATTGGCTGTCTTTTTATTGTTCTCGTGAGCTGACAAGCAATTGAGCCATGAACATTATAGACAGTAATACATTAAGAAGTCGTACCACCATCTGGAGATGAAGCCCGGTTCGACGTGGAGCTGATGCCATCCATCCACTGTGTCTCTGTTGTCTGCGAGTGCAGCGCACCGCCCGGCTCAAAATGACTGTTGAAGGTTGATATGAGTGACCCATAACTCATTCCATATTTATTCTCACCTTGTGATTGACACCTTCGCCCTTGTGGCTGCCTGGCGATGGGTCGGAAGACGTCGACTGGCAGTCGCACTGGGCGCATCTTCAACCAGAGTCACCTGAGAGTCCCAGGTTTGCGACTCCACTTGGGGCTTCAAATTATAGTCTCTGAGGTTATCAAACCGATTATGGTTGTTTTCTGGCCTCGGAGGCATCTTCTCGAGCAAAGCCAACAGAGAAAAAAAGTCGACGGTGCGATCTCAGTGGCGGCTCCGTCCTGCGGCTGTAGATCATGTGATACTGAACTTCACCAACTCTCCGAGACCTTGCCACGTCCTGGCTCCGACCTCCTTGCTGCGCGGCGGTGATACCACTGAAACAACAAGTCCTCTCCCTCACCTTTGACAACCTCCACGCTGATCCCCTCTGCACCGGTGCCCACGACGACTTCAAAGATGTTGTCAGTCCTCCACGCACGCTATGCGCGGCGCTTTTGGAGGGACAACTTGAGGGGTTCACTGTGATGATGCGCATCATCACCGTTGATCCTCAAGCTGTCCGCTCCGTGGCTCAGCCATATCAGTGTTTGGGGCATGATCGCGCTGTGAGTTATGTATGATCACTCAGATTAGTTCCTTATTCCTCATTCACCGCTTTCGCTCATGGCCCAGCAGTGGCACAACACCCTCGCACCTCGCACCCTCCTGCCTCGCTGAAGCCGGTCATACCAAACCTTCACTTATCCTCGCCCACTCGCGAAGTCACCCGCGGCGCGCAATACTTGCGTGCAGCCAGCTGCGGCACCGGGTATACCTGCAGTGGTCTGGGGCATTGCCCTGCCCTCCCCGGGGCGAGCGACGACCCCGCACTGCAGACGGCCCTCGCCAATGCGCTGCGCACAACTCAGCAGCTGCGCGGCAGCGACACCACCCACGAAGGGCACGGAGGCACTCAGGCTGAGCGTCACTCAAGAGGTGGAAAGGCGCCACTCTCGACTTGGAAGCCTTCCATCAAGGAGGCCCTTCAACTGCGGCCAGTGCCGAGGCCAGCAGATGATCCCCGCCCTCGCGTTCGAGCCAAGCATCGCAGAAGGCGCAAGCGGGGCGGCGGGCCAAGCCCTATGCTGCTCGTCGCAGGACTCGCCCTCAGTGATCTCGAGAAGCGCGCTCAACGCGTGAACAAGCATCTCCTGGTGAACTCGCCACCGTCTGCGCATGCGGCTCCGCAGCGCGCCGAAAGCGCGAGGCCCCGCAGGCCGTGCACACGCCCTGCTGGGCCTCGTCACCCACCTGTGCCAAGGTCCGCAGCCCGAAATGCCGAGTCGACCAGAGCAAGACACCAGAAGCCCGCGTTTTCTGCGCACTTCTTGGTGGTCGGTGAACCCTACTGCAGTGAGTACCTCCGGGGTGCCGGGACAGGAGTGCCTTGATCTCGAGTATAGGATTTCGCTGGCAGGGAATTTGGGCAGGGTGAGCGCCTTTTGTTTTGCGCGGATGCGTCGTTGACATGTGCAGTTGACAGAAAACCTGGTGAGCTCTCGCCGCATGTCGCGAGACACGCCTCCTTGGTCCGGGTGTCGCAGTGAGGTTCGTATTACTACGACTCGGAGTCGCCTACTGATACAGATACAAGTACCAGATGAGAGAGGTCAGGGAGGATAAGTCGTGTCGAACAGTGTTGCGAGACTCGCACTGTAATAGCTATGACATGCAATATAATATACGAAACTCTGAACTATTATTCGGTCTTGTATGAGGCCCAATAGCGAGTGTTTGTGAGGTTCGAATGCGCCAAACGAGAGCGGAATATATGATAAATCAGAAATATATTGAATGTTCAGTATGGGCCCGTCGAGGTATCATGCTGGAAGCCAGTTGGGCAGCGACATGGGTCACACATGAGCGTAGGCATAGGCTGTATTGATAGGCTTCCAGCTCTAGGCCGAGATGTTGTCGAGCCATGCATAGCTGTGCCGCCGACGTGGGACACGTGGGAAAGCCAGCTGGCTACCAGCTGTCCCTGAGGCGGCGGTGTAGAGCGCCCATGCGCTGTATAATCCATATATAGCAAGTTCCGAAGTCGCGGAATCGCGGCCCACTTGTCCGCCGGAATGGGAACACCCAAGCCACACTCAGGCTCGCAGCAACTTGAACGTGCACTGCGACGACTTGAAACCTCCACAGCTCTCTTTCGCCACCCTCGACGAAGTCCTCTTACTTGTTGAAGGTTCGTCAAGATCGCTTATACCCTAGCAATCGAATTGAATATACATGGCAGAGGCGCTGACTCAAAGTCGAGTCCAGGTGTCGGACGTGTGGCTACCCGCTACCATCTCGACTTCATCGCTTGGCCACAAAAGAGCATCTGCACGCAGCAGGCTGTGTTTTCAAGATGCTCAGTACGACACCCAGCGAACTTGAAGCCAATCAGTCAGGCTCGAGTGGCACCGTGACACGGACCAACGAAGGCGCCAGCGAAGGTGTGATAGAACACTCCCTTCATCAGTTGCACCGAGGACAATGACTATCGTCTCAGCCGCTTCTGGGAGTAACGAATCAGCCCGGTTCCGGAAGTATGCTTCAACGCCTTTGGCGGACGCGAAGCATCCTACTGCGATAGCTAGTCCATTGTCATGCATCCGTCTACTGGCATTTCCCATGGACATCATCTACGAGGTAAGAAACACAGCATAGACGTTGTTACCACTTCGGACCGAGACCTTCACCGTTTTTCAGATTTTTGGGCAATTGTATCCGCTCGATCTTGCGAATCTTGCGCAGACCAACAGAGCCTTCCGTGCGTTCCTCCTCGAGTCTCCCCAGAGTGATGGACTCTGGAAGACAGTCAAAGTCGTCGCTGGAGAGACTCCTGATGGCCCGCTCTGTGTGCCGCAGGTTGCTTGGGTAAGAGCGATGTATTGTGAATATGAGTGTGCGGTACGTATTTGTTATGACGAGTCACGGACAAGGGCACTCAGCGTATACCCTCCAGGGATGCGGACAGTATTCCAGAGACGAGGTCGACTTTGTGTTGTTGCGGCGCATATGCTTCGAGTGTAGATGGACACGGTACATTTCGGCATTCCTGCTTCAGCTCCCGCAAGCGATCTTGACGACCACTTAGGCTTCTTCATCACGACTGGCTCATAAGCAAGTCTGAACACCCAATCCTGTCTGCGCTCGTCTTGCAGCTCATTCCGTATACATCCAGTCGAGTCAAGCTTTGCTCGTTGCATCTTGTACCGCATGCTGATCAATCGTCTCAGTGAGGACACTCTCGGGATCAGACATCCCAGGAAAACGGTACTGGGAACCTGAAATCGCTGCAACAACGGCCAAGGTTCTCAAATACTGGGAAGATATTGAAGCTGGGAAGCCCGGTGCAACAGAAGCTTTGGATCAGTACAAAGAAGAACGTGTCCAATACACACGAGCGATAATTGAAGTTTGTCAACCTCTCGTGCGTGCGGATACTTCGCGCTGATAGCCATACCTTCAGCACGGAGCGACGTGTAAGGAGTGGTTGCGCATCCGTAAGAAAGAGGAACAAGCACTCAGGGCCACTCAATATAAACGGTGTGTGCCGATGGTTGCTAGAGTGGTAAAATTTCGCATATCTGATTGCTTTTGGTAGCATTGAAGAATTGTTCGGAGAATTAGGCTACACGACTGAGAATCTTGTCCAATTTGAGGGCCACGGCTGGCAGCGCTTCGTTGGGAATGCTAGCGTTGAGGTGACCGAGCAAGGTGTGTGAACGTCTTGCATCTATGCGTCAGGGCAGTAATTTTGCATCTCTGTAGAGTGGCAGCGCGTCCGAGCCGCACTTGAGCCGTACGCTATGGCAGACCAAATCAAGCGTCTCGAACAAGAGTATCCAGACACGATCCACGCTCGCATGGACGTAGTGAAGATTTTGTATGAAACCTACAAGCAGCCTCTGCGCCCTATCGAAAGGCTTCGTCTCCCGCATGTCAGCGTGATCTACGTCACTCCGCCCTTCCGTTCTCTGATCTACGAAGATCTTGGCGCCCCGTATCAAACCGTAAAGGAGCGGTGCAACGAAGCTGCGGGATCGTTCCCGGACATCGTCTCAGCTTACTATGCCAGTGTCGAGTCCGCGATGGTGCGGAGCATGAAGGAACGGTGTCCCGAGCTGCTGGAGCGGTTTGCGGCCTCCGAGTCGGGAGTTAAGCGGTGCCTGTCACTAGCTAGCTCTGTTTACCAATTGCCACTTTCCGCGGATCCCATATTCTCCAAGGACGAGGTTCTTGCACGGTTTCCAAGGATCCCCGAGGATGCGCGCTTCTGGCTACAGTTGCAAGCCTCAGATGATGGTGATGATGACGACAACGACGACGATGGTGATGATGGAGAAATCTTTACCTGGAATGCAGCCGCGCATTCAATTGTCAAAGCCTTGACGATCGCGCTCGGCCTTGACCCTGATGAAACGCGTCCCAGAGACTTGGACGAGCTGGGTGAGATTATGTTCTGCGAAGGTTGCAAGATGGTCACCCCAGATGGCTTGGTACATCATCGAGTCGAGAGCTGGCGTTCAATTGTGAGTTCGCTCATGCGCATGACTGTTTACATTTATCGGCGTACGTGAGCTGATTGTTGCGACATGCCTTGGTAGGTCAAACACTGTTGGGACAACCATTCAGAAGCCCCTTCGCTGTCGATCTTGCTCCTCAGCAAAGAATCCTCTGCGCGGCTACCTATACGCGAGGGTGTGTCTGGCTCGGAGTTGCAGAATGTGTGGACTTGCAATCACTGTCCCGTCTTCCTGGAGGGCCTGCAAACCAAGGGCACTGTCGTGCACCACGTGCATGACGTGTGAGTCTTTTCTATGTATAGTCGATGACGGCTCGGAGAGCTCACCCGCCTTGTAATTGTAGACATGCTATCGACGAGCCAAGGGACTACGTGGATTTCTTCCACGCTCGTCCCGACGTACGCTGCCTTCGCGATTCGATTTGGATCACACTCGAGGGGCTTTCTTACGTATGTATTGACGTTGATGTAGATTGGGATTAATTGCGATAAGTAGTGGGGAGTCCAGCGTCCCTCGAAGATGATGCATGGATCACACGAATGTATTACAGTACAGTATAATTATATGCATCAAGTACGCTCAATTGCGCTGCGCAGTCCAGTGGTAACGCAAGTCGTAGCATTGCGAGGAGAGTATCATATCACTGATGACACGGTATTACAACTGAGAGAGACCCCGAAGCCAAAATATACATCGGAGGCGGGAGAGTATAGTGAAACATTGAGTGACTATTTGAGAGGAGGAGACGGAGTAAGAATGAGAGGAGAGGAAAGTGCGACCAACGAAGGAGAGGGGGTATAACTTAACGGTATCTCTTCGTGATGTCATCGACGGGGGCATAAGTATATGATACAACGACCAATGTACTTCGGTGTCACGTCACGATGACACCCAACCCATACATGCAAGGATTGTCTTGTATGGAGGAGAGCAGCGCGCCTCGCGAGGTTCAGCCGACGCGGCCGTGCGCACTCGACGCAGCCGAGACAGGGCGCACGTCCGCGCTGCGACTGCGAGTCCCATGAGACTGGATCGACCTCGGCGTCGCTGGCGTGTACAGACCCGACGGAGAAGGACATTGGAATGGCGTTCGCGCAGATGGAGGCGGCACACTGCCCCGTCGTCCTGAGCGCTGCGAATCCTTTTGAAGGACATGCCGGAGCTGTTCCTTCGCGGAATGCAGAACGTCTGCGTCGTTGCCGTATGACCAGTGTTCGTCCACGTCGTTCGCTGTGGGTTCAACCAACGGCGCGAATATATCGCTCATCGTAGGTGACTTGTCGAGACCCTCCGAAGGTTGGGCCACTCGGACGGAGTCCGCGGGGGTGAGGAGAGCTTCGAGAGGACTGACAGAGCGAGAGTCTGAGATCGGTAGTTCCGCTGGGAGCCGTGCTTTAGGCCTTGGTAGGCGTCCACGCTCTCGCTCCTGCCGCTGCGGTTGGCCTGGCGTCATGAGGAGGGCGGATTCGTTGAGTGCGGACCCAGACGAGTCCGAGTCTGCCGAGCTCGTGCGCAAGATGGCGTTTGTGAGCGCGGAGAAGCTGAGCTCCATGGGACGAGGATGAGGCGGGTGCTCGTGATGATGGTGCAGTTGGCGGTGCGGCTCGTACGGATGATGTGCGTGCGCATGGCGCGATGCGCTCCGGCTGGCACGCCGTGGCGAGCGGCTCTTAGAGCGCGTCGTGCATGATGGCGAGCGCACACTCTCGAGGTCGTCGATCACGTCTGCATCGATGCGCACACCAGGCCGCGAGCGCGAACGCGACTTGGACGACACGCGGGATGGCATCTCGGGCGGGGGTGAGGCCTCGTCGCCTTCTGCACCCCAGCCGATGCCCCAAGCAACCTCGTCTACCATCGCGATCGTCCATCGATTTAGAACAGAACGTTCCAAGCAGCCAGTCAGGACGCGCTCTGCACCGTGGCCAATACCCTTGGGCATTTCGTACGCACCTGCGTGATGAAGAGATGTACGTCAAACTCTTGCTATTTTACGTGATTTACGACTGCCAGACTTACCATGCAGAATCTTCATCTGCAAACGAGGGTCATACGAGTCCACAAACGGCAGGCGTCCTGTCAGAAGAGTGTACAACATGACACCCAGTGCCCAGATATCCTGTGCAGGATTGGGTGAGCGTGAGGCCGAAGACGACGGAAGGAGAAGTTCCGGGGATGCATAAGGGAGCGATCCCTGGGGGAACTCTCGGCTACGAGTTGGCGTCGTCGTCGAGGAAGGGAGGGGCGTAGAGCCACGATGGCGTGGGCCGCTATGTCGCATCAGAGATAGGTGCTTTTGCAATGGCCCTTGCGTGCCGTGCGATCTTCGTGGCAGCGTGGCAGGAAGGCCTCGCGAGGGCTCACTGGTCTCCGCATCGGGTTCTTCGACCTCGCCGATCTTGCGTGCCATTCCAAAGTCTGCGATTCTACACACACCCATCTCATCTACGAGCACGTTCTCCAGCTTCATATCCCCGTGCACAACCCCTGCCACTTCATGCAGATATCTCAGCCCCCGCACCACCTGCCTGAACATCATCCCCGCATCATCTTGTGGTAATGCCGGGTGTCCATCTCGCTTCAAGATGTCGAACAGGGTGCCGGCGGGGCAATATAGAGTCGCATAATAATCTGCACGAGCGGTTTGAGTAACGGAGAATAGCGGTAGAACATGCTCGTGGCTGAGGGACCTCCAGATGGTCATTTCGCGATCGAGTCGCTTGCGAGCTCGCGCAGAAAGATCGGTTCGCCGTACGATCTTGACTGCAACACTGCCGCCTTCAGACGAGGTTGCCTGGCGGATGACTGAGAACCCTCCAACACCAATGACAGGGCCGAGCGTATACCCGGCTATAACGGCTCCCTCGGCGTCTTCAGGAATGGCGGCCTCGGGCATTGACGGGCTGAACGAGGATAAGAACAGCGCTGCCGGCGATTGGGAGAGGTCCGCAGCAGGAACATGGCCCGCAGAGAAGGAATACGACAAGGGAGATGTCACGAAGGAATCTTGAGGTTCCGGGGCCGACGTCGCTTGGACATCGCTTGGTGCATCGTCTTGCAGCTCCCGACTGAGCACCTCGTCATGTTTGAGAAGCTCTTGAGTCTTCAGGTAGCCGCTACCGCTATCTTCCTCGGAAAGGAGGTTCGCGAGCCTTGGCCGCGTAATGAAGGTAGGTTCATTGGGCGAAGGTGGGTCTGAAAATGCGGTCGTAAATTCTTGGGCGGCTAGAAGCATTCACTGAGCGGTGTGCGACGCAAGTTTGGGCTCGGAGGTCAAGAAGAATGTCTGACGATGCTGAAGAGCCTCGGGCAGAGATGGCTGTAGGAGAGCAAGGAGGGACAGAGTAGGACCTGGCGGTGGTAGGACGAGTGCGAGTAAGCAAAGTCAGCCTGGTCAGTGCGGGGCCGCCCTCGACAGCGGGGCTCCGTATTAGGTAAGCATGCTCTGCCTTAAATGGCAAGTGACTAGTTCAGCCTGCAAGTTCGCCTTGATGTTGAAGTTGAGTCTCGATTCGTGGAAGTACTTGGCCAGTGCGATCCATCATCGTCTGAACTGGCATTCGGTACCAAGCAATTTTGGACGGATGGCTCGAATTGGCAGCAGTGTATCTCAGCCAGGCTGATGATGGGTCACACTGCTACCGTGGCGGCTGTTGATCATGGAGGTGTGGGCGATATCCTTGCTATTACAAGTACTAAACATCTACAGGACCTCGCACAGCGCTCGACCAACGAATCAGACAGGCCGCTATAGCTGGGTGAGAATTGAGGCACCGCGTCTATCTGAAAGAAGACCATTCGGAGGAGTCTGCCATAAGACCTATCTGCTTCTCCATGGCTCGTCCTATGAGAAGTGGTGTCGTCTCGACTCTTCCCATGGTACACCTTTTGCTTATCTCTGCTTCTGTCAGCTACGGCGGGGCTCGTGCTCCTCCGAGACTCAGTGTATCATCCCGGCGTAGGTACTAGTATGTATAGAGACATTCACTCCGTTGTAGCTCCATCGAACGCCCTTCCGCTTCCCGTCGTGTGCTAATCCTCGATATGAAGCAGGACACTGGGATATACATCGACCGCGACACCTCTGGACTGAAGTCGCGGAAGTCGGACGGAAGTCTGAATGTGTCCGATGATGCCCGCCTCGCAGAGCTCGGGTACAAAAGCGAGTTCAGAAGAGAGTTCTCCGTGAGTAGTCTATTAATCGAGCCTCGCTCATACTGACTTTCAATGTATAGCTCGTTGAGACAGTCGCGTTTTCTTTCTCGATCATGGCGGTGATCAGCGGTATCTCTTCGTCGCTGTCCCTTATATTAGCTTCCGGTGAGAATCGCGACGATTCTTGTTGTCTAATCTATTTACCGAATGAAGGTGGTCATGTCGGACTCGTCTGGGGATGGGTCATACCGGTTCCTTTTGTGTTATGCGTTGCAGCAGTCATGGCCGAAATGGCCTCCTCTATGCCGTGCGTGTGTATGGAAACATTTATGGAACATTGCAGCTGACCTTCCTACCCAGTACTAGCGCAGGCCTCTACTATTTCTCTGCGAAACTAGCCCCAGAGAAATATGCCCCTCTCGCAAGCTGGATTACCGGATGGGCGAACATAACCGGCCAAGTAACATTGGTGTGCTCTATTGACTACACGCTGTAAGGTTCGCACATCCACGGTATAAAGCGCCTACTCATCATCATAGAGCACAAATGATCACCACAGCAATTGCTGCGGGAACAGACGGAAGCGTCATCTTAGGCCCTGGTCCGACTTACGGGATACTACTGGCGATGTTATTTCTACACGGCATGATTTGTTCAGCAGCCACTAGAGTTTTGGCGCGACTGAATTTGTTCTATGCCGTAGTGACGTGTGAGTGAAGATGCCGTTTAAATGCTGCGGTGCCGTTTCTTACACGACATATCAGTTGGGGCTACCGTAGCGGCGACCATCCTTTTGCCTGTCTGCGCAGGAGAAAACAGAGTATCTACGAAGGTCGCTTTCACCTCCTACGAGAACTTCACCGGATGGTCCAATTGTGAGCGGCCCAATTTGTCGAGTCGTCCAATACAATTTAACGCATGTTGTAGCCGGCTGGGCGTTCCTTCTAGCTTTCACAGTGCCTATGTGGCAATTTACAGGATGTAAGGATCACGACAGATACGCAGGACGCTCGCCGACATTGACCTCCTATTCCAGACGACTGTGCCGCACACGTCTCAGAGGAAACAGCAGGGGCAGCGAAGGCCGCGCCGATAGCCATTTTGGTTTCGGTGGCCTCTGTAGGCTGTCTCGGATGGATACTCAACATCGCGGTGTCGTTCGCTATGGCTTCAGTGCCGGACTTGCTCTCGACGCAGCTCGCACTCCCCATGGGCCAGCTGTACCTGGACATCATCGGCAAGAAGGGTATGCTTGCCATATGGTGCGTCACCATCACGGTGCAGGTAAGTGCTTATTGTTTCTAGGAACGCTTTCGTGACTTACCGTGACACGGCAGTTCCTGTGCGGTGCGGCACAAGGCGTGGATGCCTCCCGCGTAGTCTTCGCGTTCGCGCGCGACAACGCACTGCCTGGGTCACGCTGGTGGAAGAAGATGAACCATCACACCCAGACACCCGTGAATGCCGTCTGGCTCGTCATGTTCCTGGCTGCGATATGTGGTCTCCTCGGTTTCTCCTCAACAGCTCTGACTTCCCTGGCGAGGTAAGATCCATCGTGAGCGTGTCGCACCGGCCACTGACTCCTTGACAGTGCCTCTGTGATTGGTTTGTACACGTCGTACACGACCCCCATATTCCTCCGCATCACCTCCGGACGACACAAGCTCATCCCTGGGCCTTTCTCGCTCGGCCGCTGGTCGACACCGATCGGGTCGATAGCGGTGGCTTGGGTGACCTTCATTGTCGTGCTCCTCTGTTTCCCAACGACACAGACTCCGATTGCAGCCAGTATGAGTGCGTCACGTTTCTATCATACGTCCCGAACAAGCTGAAATGATAGTGCTTGGTGTGTAGATTACGCTGTCTTGCTAATCATGGTCGTTTTCATCTTTGCTGGCGGCTCATGGGTGCTATCTGCACGGCACTGGTTTACTGGGCCCCTCCCGAACGTGGACGATCGCAGTACGACAGCTTCGTTCAATGTATACGAGAAGGAGGTTAGGAGATGAAGGATGTCCGAACGCCACAAGGGCGCGAATACATTCAGTATCCCAGATGCACTGCATGTCAATCATTGTAACATCAGATTCGATAGCGTTTGACGGTTTTTGCTGCCAGTCGTGCGCGTTATTCACCAAGGTACTTCACACGCAGCCACTAATAGTCATCTCGTTCCCTCCATAGAGTTCATAATTCAGCGCAAGCAGTCATTCATCGCCATATAACGGTAAGGATCAGGTGTCTAGTTTTGATTCACGAATAATGTAAGCGAACTAGCCGATGCCCGTGCTCCGCTACAGGTGTGCGGCGTCACGGTTCGATTGTCAGTATATCTCTGAGTCAGATACATTATCTACAGCTTCGAGCTCACGGCGAGGCGAAAGCACTCAAATATTATGACTGTATTAATTTGCAAGGGTAGGCGACTTCTGTAAGAGTGAAGTTGAAAGGCCACTCAGCCGTCTCCCTTCGGGAGTCGGCTTCGTGGCCCCATGCCAGTCTGTGGAATACCGACTGTTCGGGTGGATCTGCCTCGACTGACACTTGGCTCCCCGGCCGAGCAGCAGTAAGGGGGGCACAACACAGAATGGGTGATATGCAGCACACCCATGCCCATGGCCTCTCCGAGTCGGACTACCCCATCGACTGCTGGCAAGCTAGTAAGTCTGTCTGTCTCCCGAAGCTCGCTCTTACTTTCGGGTGGTACTATTGTAATGAATATGCCTTCAACGTTCAACCCCTGTTTCTCCGCACAGCAGTAAGGGAGAGCACGATGCCATTGATCAATAGCAGACCTTCGAGGATATTCAAACTTGCAGCGCACCTATGCTCATGGCCTCCGGGTGGCTACTCTCTAACTCGGACTCGTGCGCGTTGTGCTTGCATCATCGGTAATGCCGCGCCGCGTCGTACCTGACATTCGCTCGACCTTGCTCGTTCACCCTCATCCTCGCCCATCTCATCCCTTCATCCTCGCCCGTCTCTGTCAGCTGTTCGTCCCTCCCTGCCCACTCGCTCTCGTCCGCGCCTGCCGTCTGCTGGCCCTCTCTGCTCGTACCTACGCCCGCGGCGCGCGCCCGTGATCCGCGAGTCCGCTGTGTTTCTGCCCTGCATGCCCGCCGGGCATTCGCCCTCGCGTTTGCTGTGCGTGTCGCGGCCCGCTTGGGAGCCCGGTCGCCCGCCTGTGTGCGCGTCCGTCGGCTGTGTCTGCGCGCAGTGGGTGTCCGCCTGGCGCGCTCAAGGTCTAGGGTGTGCCAGTGTGATGTCGCCTGCCCGCTCGCCTACCCGAGCGGCCGCTCTCCCGCCTATCCACTCGCTTGCTTGCCCGTCCGATTGTTTGTCCACGCCTGCTCACCTGTTCGGCGGCTCGCTCTGCGCGCGTTCGTCGGCCGTGTCTGCGTGCTGGGCATTCGCCCGGTGCGCTCGCGGTCGGCGTGTGCGTCGCACTTCATGAAGCCACGGCGACTGCGCCCTGCGCCTGCCCATTCTCCCATCCCTACGACTCCTTCGGTCATGCACCCGCGGCCCGTTCGTCGGCCATGTCTGCATGGGGCATTGGCCCTGCGGGCGTCGTGCGTTATGCTGCACGTCACCGCGTCCTGTACCTGCAGTTAGCGAGCTCACTCGTGTTGTGTCTGCACTCACGGTACCCGTCTCCATCGCTGCGCTCGGTGCCCTCATGTCACTCGTGAAGGCACTGGCTGACCCCCTCGTTCTCGTCACCTTGCTTGTCTGTGTCATCCTCGTCCTTCTTTGATTGCCCGTTGCTCGTTGATTTCTGTGCCTTACAGCTGCCCTGCTGGTCCGCGCCCTCCCATGCCAGAGCGAGAAGTCAACTTAAGTGCGTCTGAGTGTAAGTCTGAGTGTAATTTAAATGAGGAAGGATGCCAGGTAACCGGTAGGTGTTGCGGCTAGCGCGAGCTCGGAGCGCTTGAGAGGCTCGGGCAGCGTTCGGGCGTCCGTCTCTCAGCCAATGAGAATGTCTCTAGCGTTTGTCTCTTGCTTCTTGTCTCGTCTTCTTGTCTCCAATGTTTGTCTTAGCGTTTGTCTCGCGTTCCCACGTTCACGCCTCTTGTAGAGTAGATAGTATACAACAGGCAGTGCTTGACGTTTGTACAGCCAGATTTTGTGTCGGTTCTTACCACTTTCTACAATGCAAGGTCCCGGACGAAATGGAAGAAATCAACAGAAGACCCATTGACGCCGTACTTGTAGATCTGCATAAATGTTACAGTCAGTCGCGGCTGCGGCAAGGTTGAGAAGACACGCACGAAATGGGACGCCACCCAGCTCGAGAACAGCGCTCGTTGATACGTCTCCGGTAGTCTCCTCAGGAGTTCCTCGACGCCGACCTGATCGACCAAGGTTTTTGGAATGGCCCGCGTCATAACGTTCTTCCTCATCACAGGGTCGTCGTACAAATCTGAGCTTTCCAGCTCGGCTTGTAGATCGTTCAACGTGCTGGACAGCTCGTCGGAGATCAGGGTCCGGAGCTTGGAACCTTGTGCACGAGTGTGTTCCTTCCAGATGCACGAGAACTCTGCGGCTGCGTTCTCAGAGATCTTGGTCTGGATGTCCTTGACGTAATTCTCGTAGAAAGTGGAAGGCTTCCCGTCTTTGAAGATCATCAAATCGACGTATTCTTCCGTAGAGAGAGCGAGACCAGCGAGAACCTCCAGGGACGAACTCGTGACACCACCTATTCATGGATTCAGCTTTGGAAAGTGCACGCACAAATGGTGAGACTAACCCTTGTTGGCACTCGAGTCCTTGAAGAGTATGACCTTGCGCTTTTCGAGATGCAGACGCGCTTGCTGAGTGAAGAATAAATTGGCACCCTCAACCACAAATTTGAAGTTTGGTTTGCCCTCCGCGTCGACTAACGCGGCCACGTTTGAGATATTCACGGCCTCGGGCCTTGTTAGTGTGTCAGTCAATCGCTTCCATAGCGTTCCATCAACAGCACACTCACCTGCCACCGCACGGTACGAACAAGTCAGCCTTGAAGCGCAAGTGGGCAGTGTTCCTGAAGTCAGTTCCATCAAGCACAACCTCGCCAGCTACGAACTTGTAAGTCCCCATCAAACACCTGACTTGAACTACTTACAAGGCAGTTTGACATCTTGTTCCTCTACAAGAACTAGATAACCATCCTTGCTGAGTTTTGACCGATCGAAGTGCGCCACAGGCACACGCTTTTTGCTAGCCTGATCAACTCCTCGCGATCAAGGCCAGCGGGGTCAGCGAGAACGCCGCTCCCGTCGATCATGACGATAGTTTTGTCGGAGCTGAGAAGAATCTCATCTGCAATGACATTGGCAATGTGCCTTGCATCATTGGTAGTGACACTTACTTGAACCAAGGTCACCATCTTCGATCGACAGGCGTTAGCATCCGGAACCCACCTCGACCGGAAAGACTTACCTGGTCCACCTGTCTGCACCTTTGTGATGTCCTTCTCCCGTAATCCGAGTTGCTTGTAGATACCCAGTACGTACTGGCGAATCGACAGAGACGTCATCCCGTACGTATCATGAGGAATGCCACCGAGCTTCTCTGCGCTCTTGCCGGTGGTGAAGGACTTCCACCACGTCTCGGCCCCACGTTCACGCGCATGAACTGCAGAAGAAGTCAATTCATGTGTTCAAGTCAACAACCTGCGGTAATACTCACTGGCCGCCCAGTCCATCATGTCCGCCGTACCCTCTGGTGAGATGGGTGAGTCAATCGAGACACTATCAAAAAGTATTGGAAGCCTACCATCTGGCCCGAAGAAGAGGATCTCATTCTTGCCGTACAAGTCGACCAGTTTCTCCTTGATGCCCGGGCTTTGTCCCGGGATGAGAAGGTCAATGACGGCCTGCAGAAATAATGTCAGCATTACAATCCAAGCAACAGCCTGTGCGTTGATTTACATCGACATATTTCTCAAAGCACAACCGAGGACTCGAGCCGAGTCTATGGGTGGATGGTCGTCAGCAAGCGCGAAGCCCCGTGACGAGGTGGCACATACGATGGCAGAATGGTACCCTTCGCGCCACCCTCAGGTATGTCCTTGTTCTTGAGGGATTGCGTCGAAGCAAGGCCATAGTTCTCATCGAACCTGACAGGCACGCGTCAACAGGCGCCGATGATAAGTACAAGTACGGAAACTCACAGCATGCGTTGGTTGATGGAGTAGGTCTCCCTATTCCGAGACATAACCAACCGGATGCCGCCACGCGCGACATCCCTGAATCGGATGTGGAATCCACGGAACTCGCCACCTGAATGTACATCGTCAACCTTTGCAGTCCCGTTTGCGTGAGAGACAATGTACCAATGACAAAGAACATCCCGAATGGCTTTCTGGGGTACTCGACTTCAGGAAGGAACTCCGGCGCAAGGCGGAAGGACAGAGCGACCTTGGTCGGTTGGTAGAAGTTCGTCTTGAGCACATGCCTGAAAAGCCCTGGTCAGCGGTATCACACTGCGCTCGACGTCCACAAGCATACTTGTTGAAGATGAGGAAGCTCTCGAGCACTTGGAGCTCGTGCTTGTTCGGCACGGACTTGCGGATCTTGTCGTACAACTCCTGATCACTGAGGATCTGATGGGTCTGCAGACGCTGATATGAGAGTGTCGGCCTAACACAGTTAGATCAGCGAATGTTCGCGGGGTGTCGTCACACGAGAATGCTCACATGAGATTGGCTTGGTCCGATGCCGGATAGTGCACCATGGCGAAGTTGACATATAGCAAGTTGATCTGTCGAGCACAGTCAGAGATCGTCTAATTCTGTAGTCCAGGACCATCTCACCAGCTCAGGATGCGCGTGGATGGTCTGTGCAATGCTCTCGCGCGTGAAAGTTTCCTCACGGAAGCGACGCTTGATGTCGTTCAGCACCTCCGCGTGTGATGCATTAGACTCATCGAGAATATTACGCAAGGCAAGGTACGAAGGCCCCAGGCGGTTGCAGAAGTGCTGCGCGAAGATCCAGCCACAGTCTGAAGAAATATAACATTGAGTATGATGCTGGGCTCTGGCGATGTATGTCCCACTCACAAGCATAAGTCGCTTCCTGCACTGCGTGCCCCTCTGTAGGACCCGCGCCGGCGTAGAAGAATGGGTTGTCGGGCAAGCAATAGAGCAGCGAAGCTTCCTTCATGACCTGGAAGATCGAGTGCTCGATTGGAGGGGCATGCGAGTCCGGGAGCGGGTTGAGGTACAGGCACAGGATGGTTATCCCGTTCGAGAATTGTTCTACGCGCGATTCAACATGAGCATTCGCACTGACCCCAAACTGGAAAGACGTACCGACATACTTCCTTGCAGAGTACAAGGAGTAGAAGTGGTACAGATTCGACAGCGCGCTGAAGAACTTCTTCGTGCCGCCCTTTTTATACCCAACGACGAGCCGTCGCTCGCGGCTGCCTTCCACCTCATAGACCTCGATAACGGGCCCGTACCGCGTCTCAACATTCCACATCACGCGCTGGTACAGCTCCAGCGTGTTCTCGCTCGCCTTCTCGAGGAAAGCCGCGTCGGACACCGATCGAATGTCCGTCTTGCCGTCCGTGCGCGTCGACGCGCGAGGCTCCTTCGGAAAGTTGCATTTCGTGACAAAGTAGCACCGCAGCTGCTGGCTCGCCGTCGCCGAGATGCCCTGCGAGCGGTACGTCTCTAGTCTGAACGCCTTCTCCGGGGTGCTGCTGTCCAGGAAGAGCTCGTCGATCCTGCTCTCGCAAGTGGCGCCCGGCCCTTCCGTCGATGTCTTGCCGGGCGTGCTGGTATGGATGAACGTCGCGCCATCCTCGTTCACCTTCTCGAGATCGATCACGAGCTTGGACGGGTCGTGCTTCGTGAACGCGAGCACCTTCGCGCCGAAGAGCGCGATGATGTGGTCCGAGATCACGTCGACGGACTCAGACTGGAAGTACGTGTCGTCGATGCCGAGGTGCGTGTAGAACCAATTGATCTCGTTCGTAACCAGCTCGCGCGGAATGAAGCCCTGCGAATGCGCATCGCGTCAGTATCATCCTGATTCTGTGGAACGTGCGTGATCAGGCAGAGACGCGTTCGTCTTCACGCGTTAGAACGTGCATGTCGCGTAAAAGCACAGAAACACGGTGTGTAGATGATCGCGCTACGCGACGCAACATGGTGGTGGGACGATGGACTTCAAAAGGGATAAGGAGCCCAGATGCGCTCCTTGCTACGTACAACGCGACTTTTTGCTACTGACTCCGAGACGCGTCGCATTACTGTCCCTCGGGACGGGAAGCGACATGCCTTGTATTTCCCACCTCGTACGCTGCAGAGGTCAACGGTTTGATGGAGGCAACGGCTAGTGCGCAACGGCGCTGTTGGAGGTGGCAATGCCCTGGGCGCATCTCGGTGCCTGTCGCCCTCCTTGCAGATTTCGCGACGACGGGGGCAAGAAACGCGTCCTTATCTCTGGGCGCACTGCGCAAGCTGTGCAGATCCAATTCCCAACGCGGCCTCGTACACGACGGAGAGAACACACCACGCGACTCACAGCCCCGGTTCCAAGCCCCCTGAGGCAAAGGACCGCCCCAGGCAAAAGAAACGCGTAGACTCACCTTGGACGTGACGTTCGCGAGCACCTTCGCCTTCTGCTCCTCCTTGCCCTTGAACACGGGTGTGGTGTAGCCCGGCACGTTCTTGATACGGTGCGTAGACTCAAGCAGACCGGGCACCTCGAGGTGCCCGCCGGTCGGTGTCGACGCCATGGATGCGGGATAATTTGTGTGGTCGTGGAATGCACGGGTCGTGAAAGGAAAGTTGGAAGCTGGGGGAGAGATGGAGAGCGATCTGCGAGGGGAGAGCCATTTTATATACTCGAGGGCCGACGTAATGTGAGCCTGATGTAAACGGTCTCAGCCTGGTCTGGACATTTTGTTACGCTTGTAAGATCCGCTGCTAACAGATTTGAAACAACATGAAAGGTAAATTATCATTGCCGGTAATCCTGCACCGGCGCCTCTCACTTCGCTCCAACCTCTCCGGTCGCGGTGTCTTCTTACCGCTGCGGCCGTCTCAGCCAAACACTCTCTTAGTCTACGACCCACACAAATCCACATAGCCTTGTCGAACGGGCCCAACAATGATGTCTCGAAACTAATGATGGTGGCTAATATTGCCTGAACGCGTCGGCCGAGGTGGTCAGAAGATCCGGTTGCAGACACATCGCAACTGGAGTCAAAGCTGAACGCATGCGTACGCTTGGGTCACGTTCGCCCACGAGCTCAACAGGTGCTGCCTCGGACAACAACAGCTGACCATCGCACTCCTTGCAGCGGCAAGGGGACCGCGATGCGATTAACTGTAAATGTCGTCGCGAGCGCGCAGTGGCCGGAGAACGGTGTACAGCAGATTCGGAAAACCTTGTCCGACGCGTCCCCGCGCGTGCGAAAATTCAAATAAATCAAGAAAATGACGAAAATGCGGAAAAGTCTAGGAATCGCGATACACGCACCGTAGCCACTATAGAACACCGTGTACGCCTTGTTACAGGTTCGCGGCGTATGCGGCATGTCTATTGAAGGCAAGTTGAGGGTGGTTTTGAAGGTTGTGCGATGGTCGACGTGGCGGGCAACGTTGGGCGCTAATGCTCACTCCCGGGGGACATTCACTGCAGAACACCGCTGTGGGTACTCGATATGACCCGGAATGTATGCGTGATGACTTAGAGACATGGTTACTAGATGAATATAACCTGAGAGGAAGAAATTTGTGCATTTGACGGGCAACCAGGTCAAAGACTTGCCTCCCCGAAGTGCTCGCATTGCCAGTGCCAACCTGAGATGGCCTACTCAGATTATATCCTCAAGTCTTGTTCTCAAAGCTTTCAATAAGTTGTCGGAGAGTTTGTGTTATTTCTCCGGGAGTCCCGAGGCCGCGACTTCGCATTTCCGGCTGGCCATGAAGCTTGAAGGCTATGTGGCAAGTCTTACAAGACAGGAGCTTCGTCACTGAAGACAGGGCTGCATAAGGTCTCGGCTTCCTCGAATATCGCTCTGGCATTCATACTGTCCCCATGTCGATGTCGGGCCCAACTTCGACTTGAAGTTGAAAATCGCCAGGCACTGTACTGAGCGCTGAGCGCTGAGGCGGCCCTCCTGATTGTCATTGTCCCACAAGCTACTACATCTGTTACAATGAGAAATACATTGATACAGCTGTACTGCGCGCGCTGTTCGGGCTATATCGAGCACCCGATGACACCCACAACTGCATTTTGCAGTGGATGCTCTTGGGATGCTCCTCGGGGAGTGAGCGTTAGCGCCCAACGTTGCCCGCCACGTCGACCATCGCACAACCTTCAAAACCACCCTCAACTTGCCTTCAATAGACATGCCGCATACGCCGCGAACCTGTAACAAGGCGTACACGGTGTTCTATAGTGGCTACGGTGCGTGTATCGCGATTCCTAGACTTTTCCGCATTTTCGTCATTTTCTTGATTTATTTGAATTTTCGCACGCGCGGGGACGCGTCGGACAAGGTTTTCCGAATCTGCTGTATTTGCGGATAGGGAGGATCCGGTGAAACGGGAGTGGCACGATGTGCCGTTAACGTTCTACTCTCGGAGGGTAGGTAAGCCTGTTGCTATCCGTATTGAGTTGTACTTGTTCAAATAGGTCGGCCGGTCTGCAAGGGCGAGAACAACCTGCCGTGCCCCGTCCTGAGCGCTAGGGACCGAAGGAGTGCGGTAGCAACTCGAGTTTGTTTGAGATTCATATTGCCCTCGTGATGTGGCGTGCTGGCTTCCGGAGCATAGCGTGCTACTGGGTGATCTCAAGAACACGTATTCGAGGAGGAGACTGGTGAGTTCGTCCTCTCAACTTCAGACACATGTTCGCATAATGCGCGACAGAGCGCGAGGCTCATGTTCTAAGTGCTAGAAGCCTGCGTCCGATTTTCCACGCGGCGCGAACCTACAGAACCTTTTCGTGACTGCCCAGTCTGTCAGCACACCAAAGCTAATCCCACTGCCAGGCACCGCAACCTTTCCCGGTGCTCAGAACGGTACCGCTCGAGTTGCCTGCCGCCGATTTGGTTTCGCCGCGGCCATTCACGTAGAGAAGCCCAAGCCGAATGCGATTATACGGGAGACGACTGCAGCGGAAGAACCAGTGCTGTTGTGCGCATGACAAATTACGTTGGCGCACTGATTACCGCGCGGATGAATTGCGTGTGGCCATGGGCACGATGCAGGTCGCACGAACGTTGCCAACGCGAGTGGACTCTTCAATGGCGTATATTTCGCAAAGGTACGCTGCAATCCGAGGTTCCTCATACCATATGAAACATTCTGCCAAGTGCAAAGAATCCGAGAAGTTACAGTCCGTGACAACCGCGCGGTCGGCTCAAAGGTCCTATACATATGTTGACTGTCGAAGAGTCGTTTGCGAACGCCACACCGGAGCTGGGCGCTTCAGGTTCGCGCCCGCGGCCTAACCATCCGGCCCCCGGTACTGCAACACTGCAACCAATATTGTATACTGCTCTTGAGTTGCTTGGATGACTCTAGGACCAGATACATATGGTGATCACACGTTGAAAAATAGACATTATTTCCCCTTAGAAAAGGCTGCGAGTACTTAACTTGGGAGTTGAAACACAGCCTGTGCATCTGATAATATCATCTCCACAACCCTTGTCGGCGTTCTAGACCGCGCTGGAGGACTTCTGACCAAATGATGAGGCTTACGCTGTGAGAATAATATGTGCATGTAAAGTCGAGCCGATTCCGCTCCGGCGATAAGTGCAGCGTGAGGGAGGTCCGAAAGCCCTCGACGTCACGTATCCGCTTCCTCGGGTTTGGAGGGTATAAGAAAGGCGGAACGTGCTGGGTGTTCCTAATTTACCCCTTTCCCATACCCCAGCAGTCCCGTATACCTCAATTCATTAGCCGGAGTCCGGGATGAGCCTCACTCTGAACGGGGGCAGTCGCCGACCCTCTCCTCTTCGACCAGCATCACACTCCAGTGCATTCCAACCAACAATGGCAGCCATGGACGACGGCGTACACCCAGTCATCCACACCGGGCGGGTAGCAGTCATTACAGGAGCGGGGAGTGGCATCGGACGAGCTGCTGCGCTTGAGCTCGCGAAGTACGTACAGCGTCTGCTTTTCTCCATTGAGATGCTCATCCGCCCCCAGGATCGGCATGAAAGTCGCGATCGCCGACGTGAACGAAGAGCCGCTCAGCAAGGTCGGGGCAGAGCTGACGAAGGTGGTCGGGGAGGGCAACGTGCTCGTCGTGCCGACGGACGTCAGCAAGCTCGAGGACGTCGTCCGGCTGCGCGATACGGTGTACGAGGCGTGGGGCGAGGTGAGCTGGCTCTCCCGGGCAGCCCTCGTTCTCGTTGGGCGGCCGCGACGACATCGCCGGCCGCGCTCGCGCTGTGTCTGTCTGCGTGCCGCTTGCTCACCTCTCGGGCCGTGTGCCTGTTGAACAGGTCGCCGTGCTCATGAACAATGCCGGCATTGGCTTGCCGAGCAAGTCTTGGGAGGGCATTGATGCCTGGCGCAAGACCTTCGACGTGAACGTCTTCGGGTGAGTGTATCCACGATGCCGGCCTTCGTGCTTTCGCTCATGATGCGTGACGATTCAGAGTGCTCAACGTACAACAGACGTTTGTGCCGTCCATAATCCACCAGGAAAACCCGGCTGTGATCATCAACACCGGGTCGAAGCAGGGCATTACCAACCCTCCGTACGTCGATCTTTGCCCCACTCGAAAAGTCTGCTGATACTTGATCTTCAGAGGCAATCCCGCGTACAACGCTTCGAAGGCTGCCGTCAAGTCTCTGACAGAAGGGCTCGCGCACGAACTGCGCAACAACGTGCCCGCAGCGAACGTCACCGCGCATCTCTTTGTGTACGCCTAATCATGCTGCAGGGATATCCGGTCATGCTGATGTTTCCGCAGTCCGGGGTGGACCTGGACAGGTATGACCGGTGACAGCAGTGGCGCGGAGAAGCCCGCCGGCGCATGGACCGCCCAGGAGACTGTCCTCTACATGGTGCGCACCACGACTGCGGCGCACCCTATATATCGCTATCTATGCTCAACCTTGGTTACCTTCTAGCTCGACTACGTCCGCCAAGGCAAGTTCTACATTCTCGTGCCCGACAATGACACCAGGCGCGAGGTCGACCAGCTGCGCATCCTTTGGGGTGCGGGCGATCTCGTCGAGGGCCGCCCCGCGTTAAGTCGGTGGCACAAGGACTACAAGGCGCTCTTCGATGACTACATCAGGGAGGGCCTCAGCCAGATGGAGTAAGCTGCGGCTGTATCATCTTACGCGTAGTAAGCGGAACGAACGAAAGAAGGAAACATCGCATGTATGTATTGTAGTACGTTGACGATGGACAGTCTTGGAGATGAGGCCGTTCGCGGCTGATGTGTAAGTATCGTCGATCGCATTGCTGTGTTGCTCTAAAAACGTAGTGATCTCTGGATATCGATTTTCTGTGGACACTTCGTGACCAAAGTCGTGATAAATACGCATGGACGCACTGACTGTTCCACCGAGGCAGAACAGCATTGACACGGGTTATCGGTCCAAGGGAGATGATGTATTCACCATGGCAACTTAAAGACTTGTAGAGGAACATGGGTAGGCGTTTGAAAATAGCTCCAGACGTCGCCCAGAACCTACTATGTATCGATCGCAAGTTCCTCGTAGGTCAGTCCATGGAGTGTACACCACAACGGTACGAAGCGCTCTTCAGGATGAACATGGAAGAAATCGATGTAATCTTCCGGCTCCTTGATTCCATGTCTACCACGCCAACAAAGGTGCGCTTGTCAAGCAACCATCACCCGAACACAATGAAGCGTAGACTCACATTTCACGCACATGTTCCACGACCGTATTTCGGGCCTGCAGAGCCTCGAGATGAACCGAACAATGATTACAGGCCCATTTCATCTGCATCTGTGCAGTTTTCGCATCCGGAAGGCACCGTATCTTTGCGGAGGCCTCCTCGCTGAAGAGTGAGATGACTGGCAACTGGGGACCTTCTATATGCTCGAGCCAGCAGTGTTGGATCTTTTGACAACAGTCAGCTCATAAATAATACGCCCCGCAATGCACACAGGCCATACTCACGATCGTACGCCAACTGTGAATCTCGAAGTACACCAAGCCATACGAGGTATCAGAGCACTTGGCATTTTCACAGAATACATGTCTATCAAGTTCGTCAAAGTCTTCAGGTCGCGCCTTGTTCGGATCGAGGCCTAGCGCGATCGCCAATGGCTTGAGGATTGAAAATCCAGTCATACTCCAGTCGAAGATCCCGAGATTGGCGCCGTCGTGAGAGGCCTGCAATCTTAACCAGAAGAGCGGCACTGTATAGTCACTGTGCCCCTCTCGGGTTCTTGACAAGTACGACAGTACTGCGTCCATAGACGACATTAGTACAGGGTCGAGGCCGACCATGACGTACGACTCATAAACAGAGCAAGCTAAGGAGAGGAGGTGCTGCATATCGACACCTGAGTTCTCGAGCTTCGTGCAACCTTCCATGCTCTTCAGCAACGCGCACTTGACACTGGCATGATAGCTCGAGATGATGTTCGGGAAGTGTTGAGCGGCCTCATTGCATTGCTCCTTGACCAGTCCAATTGGGGCAACGAGATTCTCGTAGATCAGAGGACGGAAGGTCGGAGTCATGTAGATCATATCGACCGGTGGGAGATGGACCCTATCCATGGGGCGCAGAGGCAGCTGGTCACAGTAGTCGTGATACAAAGTCTTCAGCGCATTCATGCGAGCGCGTATCGTGTCCGGATGTCCCTGTTCGATACGCTTGACTCGGCCTGCCATGAGGCGCGGCTCAAGCGCAATTCGGACGCGCTGCCACGCTGCAGAGATGCGTAACGACTGCTTCAATGCACGGATACAAAACGTTCACACACCTTGCTCGGTCACCTCACGGCAAGCTTTCCCGATGTGGCGCTCCCAACCAAAGCCTTTGATTTTCTGAACGTGTTCAGTCGTGTAGCCCAACTCTCCGAACAACTCTTCGATGCTGCCAGAAGTGTGAGACGTACGTCACAGCGTCGTGTGTACCGATTGCCGCACTCACCGTTTGAATTGTGTGACCCTAAGTGCCTTTTCCTCTTCCTTACGCGTATGCACCCATTCTCGACATTTCGTTGCGTGCTGGCGGCCCACATGTTAGCGCTACCTGAATCGTACGAATGACAAGATAGCAGACTTCGGTAATGGCTTGTACGTATCGGATGCGCTCTTGCTTGATCTTGTCCAGAGCAACTCTCGGCGCACTCTTCCCTTCTTGAGCATCCTTCCAGTAATTGAGAACCAGATTCGTTGTTGCAGTGATATCGGCGCTCCAGTACCATTTTCCTGGGATAGCTGATCCATTATCATTCTTCACTAACACCTTTGATAAACATGTGGTGCAAAGCGCGATGAGAATTTGACTCAACAAGATGTGTGCGGGATGAGTTGCAAGACAAAGGCAGAGAGCGCCGAACGATCAGAAGTACTCATGAAGGTGTCGTGTTCAATAAGCCTAGGGCAGTGGTCAGAATTGCATACAGAAGCCGTGCAGAGATATCAACACGTACCGTTCCCGTCTACAGTAAAAGCATATGCGCCGTAACAACGCAAAATTGACATCATCTCTGGCAAACTGTCCACATCCCTGAAGGATTGTGAGGTGAACGCCCTTTTCAATTGTCCATATGATCGTGATCACGGATACGTACCACACATTTATATCCACAATACATTGCTCTTATCCAAGCAACCTGCGGCACGCACGCCGGACCGTCCGGGGTTTCTCCAGCAAGCTGTTTGACCGTCTTCCACAGTCCATCGCTCTGGGGAGATTCTAGGAGTGCGCGGAAGGTTTTGCAGGTCTGTGCCAGATTCGCAAGGTCGAGCGGACACAACTGCCCAAAGATCTAAGAGACGGTGACTGTGTTAATTAGTGGCAACATCACCTATGCTGTGTTGCTTACTTCAAAGATGATGTCCAAAGGAAATGCCAGTAGAGTGACGCCCGACAGCGCATTTGCTACTGTAGTAGACTGCTTTGCATCCGCCACAGGCGAGGTAGCGTACTCTTGGAGCAGGTCTCTCCGTTCGCCACTTCTAGACGCAGCTGTCGGAACAATGGTCGTTGCAGCGATCATCTCATGTGAGCGCAACATTGGCACATGAGCGAGAGAGCACGATATCTCACCTTCGTTGGCGCTTTCAGTCGTCCGTACGTCGACATCTCTGCCACTCATACCTGACTGGGCAGCTTCGCTGTTTGTTGCATTCGACATTACAAAAGCATAGCCTGCTGCGTGTACGTGTTCGTTTTGCATCAGTAGTCGATCGACGAAGGCGGACAGCTACACGTCAGTGTTTCAACGTTCAACGTTGTCAACGCAAGTTCAATTCAGTAAGTCCTTTGAACCGGCGTTGCCTGTTTGTGAACTTGAATGTTCAACCCGATGATGTGAGGCTATACTAGACACTGTGGACAAACCTGGTTCACTTAACGATGTTTACGTCCTATGAGATAACAGACGAGAGTCGTTGAGAGTTGAAGGCGGCGCAGTGGGCGTTGACAGAAGACATAGACCGCCTGAAGGCTGAGCGAGGCTGAGTGTGGCTTCGTTCCCTCGCGATCTCGTGACTCCGGGAGTTACTATACATGGCATACCAATGGCATAGACACTCCTCCTCTTCTCAGAGCCCTTGAAAGCGTGTCTCGTAACATCCTCTTCGCTGTGGCAGCACAGGCTGTTACATGCGTGTGTATGTCTAGGGATTCTTGCTCATACTACGGACGCGCACACAACTCGGCTGCGGTGCTACATAAAGGGCGTGATGTCCGTGCGAACGACATCATGCTCAGGCTGCACCTGGTACCGCGGGTCATGGCAAATATCAACGCCTATGAGGTTACACGCCGGTATCACTTTTTTTTCGTTGTCGAGACTCGATACAGACTTACCGCCCTTCCTATGAGCGCATTCACCACAATGCGCCAAAGAAAAAATGCTGCTGCCAGTCTGCACCGGACGAACTTAACATTTGAGTCGCGGCGGGTCTTTTCGCCCTAGGCTAGTGATTGAGCGGTCACCGATCCCAACCCCTCGACACCACGATATGTGAATTGCTAGGATACTCGCGCTTCGTGGACGCTACTGCAGCAGGCCCGGGGGCAACACATTCGACGCACAGGAGACATGTCAGCGAGGCGTCTTCGATGTGGACAATGGACAGTTCAGGTGAAAGAACGCTACCCGTGTACCGCACGTTTGGATGCGTACATGTAGAGGTACGCTCTGTCCATACTCGGATATCCCTTCCTTTTTGGGAACAACCGGCCACCCAGTGGCTGTGATATTATTATGAGATCTTGATCTTACATGTCACCGGCTTTGTCGACAATCGCACAGCAAACAACTCTGCTGAACAAATCACTATAGCTAGTAGCTGGTCAGTGGACGTTGCGCACTGGCCCGTGGGTACCTTTTTTGCAGTTACTTGGACCCTCTCCGCTATATGTTCTAATTAGCTAGCAACAGTGGACCCGATAGTCTACGTCGTACAGAACTAGCAGTGCCAGTGAGTCATTGCATTTTTATGGTCGACCCGAACGTCTGAATGACATTGCCCATAGAGTTAATTAACTAGTATGTATTGACCGGATCCGGCCACTCACATCTACAAGTCTGCATATCCTGATACACCTCATAACTTGGTGCTCACGAGTGCCTCAGGTTGAGCCTGAGCGTATACATAAGTGATCTAGCTTCATGACCGCCGCGCTTTCACAAAGGTTGTGGCAGCAACTCATCGCGTACTTCCTTGGGCCGTGGGTTTCATGAAATCGCAGAGACTGTCTTCGATACAATCGGGAGGCCTCATGGTTTGCTCGATATGGATGGTGCTTGTAGAGGTACGCCGATCTCACACGATTGTCTCGCTGCTGTGCCCGCTAACGCCGTGGTGCTTGTAAAGATACACTCTTTTCGCATCACGACACCCCGTTTGCACCATATAAGGTATAGCGGCGCGCTTCTTGGTGCTTGTAAAGGTGCACTCGATTCCCTCGACCTCGCCGCCTTGCGCTGCACGACGGCGAGATGCTTTCTGTACCCGCAGGTATAAAAGCAGTGGCTCCGGCCGCCATGATGTCCCCATCGCCTACCCGCATCGCGCAGAAACTCGACATCCCCCGCAATGGCCACTCACTCTGCCTACTACTTCTACGATGACCTCAACTCGACCAATTCCGACCTGCTATTCCCTCTACCGGGTACCGTGGTCCAATCATTCGTGAATGAATCATGCGATCCATTCAGCGTGTCGATGTCGTACGCTACTCATGTCTATGATGTGTCCAGCATCGCGACTGACGCACATGTATGATGCATCCAGTCACCCAGACCTCGGTTCGGACACAGAGATGCTACCCGGAAGTGTCCTGCCAATCGTCACGGAAGGCAGCTCTCTCTGGGACTACGCTCCTTCCGCCGCATGGCCTTCAGAGGTTCCAGACATGAGTGTCGCCGATGCGCCGCACTTTCCTACCTTCGACGACGGTGTCTCGTACCAAAGCCCCGGTGATAGCTCCGAGTCAGCGAGCATCCTATCACCTTTCCCATCTTACACCTCCTCCTGGGATTGGTCAGGTTCTCTCTTCGGATCGCCTTCTGAAGCCTCCCCCGACGCTGCTTCCCCCGATGCCTCGTCATCCTCAACTTCTCACGAAGCATCATCCGCCACCAATGTCGACTCCGAGTCTGCGAAAGGACGAGGAAGCCGGTCGTCACGTAAGGGCTCCACCCGCCCGAGGCGCATCCGGTCAAGTTCATCCTGCGCTATCCCGCGCTCTCTCGCTTCGTCGTTCACCAGCCGAGTCGGCATGGCGGCTCCGCGCAACAAACAAGTTGGGTTCACTCCCTCCGTGCAGCGTTGGGAGCACAATGGCTATTTCATCTGCCCGCACTGCGACTTCTCGACTCGGCGCAAAGGAGACCTTGACCGCCACGTCCGCACGCACTTCTCCCTGAGCCGTGACCCGGAATGGGTCTGCTGCGGGGTTCCGGAGGAGGACGCTCCCGACCTCGGTGGAGCAAGCTACGAGCATGGTGGACGCAAGATGGTTGGAGGCTGTATGACAACGTTTAGTAGACGCGACTCATTTATGCGTCACCTGAAGAATGGGACGTGTATCGCGCCTGCGCAGCTGTTGAAGAGGGGGAAAAGGAGTGGATCGATGTAGAATTATTCATCACGTCGAACCTTGCATACTATCTACGTCATCTCCGTACTGCTTGATGCTAAGCATTATCGGAATCATCAAGAAATGGCTCCTACAGCGCAAACTACCACCGTCCGTGGACGGGGTGCTGGAATAGATATTACAAACAGTCCGAACTCTTCTCGTCGGCACAAACACAGGCAATACTGTACACTGAGAAACCTCTTGCAGCTAAGACATAACAAAACAGCATACGATGCCATCTGTCACGTACCGTACTCGTCCTTCGTACGAGACCACATACAGTCCACAGCCCTTCATATGAGTTCCTCGATCAGTTCTTCTGCATCCTCAGGGCTGGTCAATCTTAGAGGGAAAAGCAGTGGGTCTGGGCGCTGGCGCGCTGATGGATACAAGTGGAAGAGGTCGACGTTCTCTTCCGGAGTATCAAGGGCATGCCTACAAGCGAGTCAGCATTCAGACAGCCTACTCTTGACACAACGTGTCGTAGAATAGACTCACGTCTTTTTCACATGATCCAACACCATCGGATAGGTCTGCAGGTTGTTCAGATGGATGGTGCAGTGATTGCAGCTCCACATCTCCTGCTGCCAGGCGGGATCGGCCCCCTCCGCACGGCGGACAGCAGCGGACTCATCTTCATTCAACGCCTTCCAGTTAGATTGTGATAAAATTTGTAGAGGCAGATAGTGGGACATGTTCTCCAGGAAATGCGTCACCTAGAGGACACAGAGAACAGCGACACAATCAGCACATGTAAGGAATCACTCATGATATACTGAAGAAGCTTACACCTGTTCGCCAGGAGTACGCTCTGTCCCGAGACTGTGGGGCCTCACGACGCCGGCATAGTTGGCATATGAAGCGTCTGTCCAACCTGTCTAGGTCTTCGCATCGTACAGTCATGGGATCGAGACCGAGCTCCGCAATCATCGCCTTCACCACCGAAGCCCCGCGTGAGTTATAGCTGAACGCCCTCTTTAGATTCTCGTACAAATCAATCCAATGCGTCGTCCCGTGCTGATGATGTTGCGCTGGGCTCCCGTCATAAGCCAGATGTGCCAAGGCATCTGCCGAGGAGAGGCACATGTAACGGTGGGAGGAGAAGACGGAGCTGGCCAAAGATAGCTGATCATTGCCTTGGTCTATTGGTAGCAACCTGGCCTGCTCGTTGACGCGGCCGAAAACCCCCATGCCTGCCATAGATTGCAGCAAGCAAGCATTGAGCGACTCGCGGTAACTTGCGATGTATTCGGGAAGTCGTATTGCAGCTTCATTGCACGCGGCCTGCTGGAGCGGGGTGTGAAAATTTGCGTAGACCAACGAGCGGAAAACAGGGGTGGCGTAGATGAATTTGGTCGGCGGGAGATGGATCCACTCAATAGGACGCAGCGTGCGCTTGTAGTTATCGTATGCGACGTTGACGAGGAGTTTCCGCACGTCGAGGGCATACGTCTGGCCCATTTCTACCCGCTTGCATCGTGCAACATCAATCAACGGTTCGAGGATAGGCCTGATACGATTCCAAACTGGCGGATGTCAGATTGGGTGAACAAGGTAATACGAATACCAACTTACCTCGCTCGGTTACGTCACGGGTACGGTACGACTCATTGTGCCGTTGAATCGCCCGGATGTCCTGGTCCAAGTATCCCAGCTCCCGGAACCGTCTACAGATTCTGCGCGGAGAAAACATATCAGCACAGTATAGAACGACACATCGGATACCTACTCGTCATATCGCCTTTGGATCTGCGAACGATTGTCTTGGTCACGATTTGTCTCGAAGTTGTCCCACCATTTCTGGCATTCCTTGGCGTGCTAAGCGGTTCTACGGTGAATCAGACAACGACGAGTGCGATGGCAAAGCGACGAACTGCTAGAACAGTGTGCACATATTCGGCACGCTCGTCTCGGAACTTCTGCATCCTCTCGCTTGCGCCGGGAATCCGCGAATAGATGTCGCCTTGAAGTTGTCCGTAAATCTTCGCGATGGCATAGATGTCATCCTCCCAATAAAATCTTGATCTTGAATGCGAATGTCCATGGGACCATCCTCCGGCTGGATCAAGCGGTCAACATCAAGAATCATCATGCAGATACCTATAGCTCAACTGTCTGTGTACGGAAGCAGTTCTAGGATCCCAACATCGAAGTCCGGGTAGCGTTTCGCAAAAAAGCCTGCGTAAACGAATCTGCAGAAGAGCGGTAATGAGCTGGATTCATTAGATACTCTCAGCAGCTCACTTTTTCTTCTTGCATTTCACGCACGCGCGCCGCATGATGGCGAAGTCTATCTTGTGTACATTAGGCGTGCCGCACACCTGGTGAACAGGTCAGACTATGCGCCAGTAGAGTTGAACGTGATGTATGGTTTTCGTTACCTGGCATTTGGCTCCGCCGTAGATCAATCTTGCCCAGGCGGACTCCGAGACCTTCGGTGGGCAATCGGGGACATTCCAGACGGCTTTCCTCGCGATCTTCCAGATTTTGGAGGCTTGCGGAGATGTGATCGTTGCGTGGAATGCTTGATTTGTCTGCGCCAGGTTAGCTAACTCCAAGGGAGTCAGCAATGACAGAATCTGTAATGTACGTCAATAGAGTAGATACATTCATCAAAATGCTATACTGCATACCTCGAAGATGATGTCTAAGGGGAGTGTGGGGAATATAGTGGCCCCGGCCCGGTTACGGATGCCGCGACGGTTGACCTTAGAAAACCCCAAAACAGTCGTCCTTCGAGCACGCTTCTTCCGTCGGCTGGCATTTGAGCCTTCCCCACGCGCCTCTAACAATGAGGACAACGATGCTTCAGTAATCGATATCGCTGCGATAACAGCTTGAGTGTAAATTACCTTCCCAGTCACTTGTATTTTCTCCAGGATCGCCAGTATTGGACTGGTCACTGTCGTCCGGGTCAACGGCGGGTTTGGAATTCACAGTCTGTGAAGCACGCCGCTTGGAGCGACGGGTGGTGACGGGCATATCTGGTGTGCAGGAAGGCGGGTCAGTCACAAGAGAATCGCGAACTAGATAGCACCCGCCAGACGGCGATAAGGCGCGGACACCGTTTTCGTACTTACCGCAGATCTGTGACTTCACTGCACGACTCAGAGGCTTCGAATGGCGGCAAGTAACCACGCCTCAGCTTATAGAGTGTCTTCCTCGACGCGCGAGCGAGAAGTGCTGGTCGCGATGTGGTCAGAAACAACCCGGAGCAACGCGAGGCGCCCTTGATGTGGCGGATGACCTCACTTGATATGGCGTTGATTACCATATTCGGAACGGCGTAAGTACTTATGTGAGGTCGCACGCAGCAAGCATCGCCTGAGAGAATAATGACAGCCCAACCCGAGCCAGAATAAGAGCCACCGTGCATATACGGAGGGAAGTTCTATATGATCTTAGTCGTTGAAGAGTGACAAGTATGTCTCCGGGCCAACGCTATACATACGTCGCTGCGTATACTCTACAAAGACTATATACCCTGATCGTCTGTACTGTCAGCGTCCTCAGAGAGGCTGCGGAGCGAAATGCAGGCGAGCCGTCGGAAACGCGTGAAGAAGACATCGACGTTTTCTTTCGGTTCACCAATAGCATGCCTTATAGTTCATCGACAGTGCATGGATTCGGGCTGGAGACGACGGTCCATCGTCCCTACCCAATACCCTCCACATGGAGTGAGGCCAGGCGTGAGCACCTCAGCCCCAAGCTGCAGTCGTGCTAGGATGTCCGTTGAGTAAAAATGAGTTACGGCCGGTTCACAAGGAGGAAGCCAACTAACCTATAGTTCACGATGAGCCGCCCTTCGGTGGCAAACGACTGTATAGGATAGTCAAGGTCATGTGTGAAACTAAACATGCTAACAGACCTTGAACAAGTTCAGAACGGTGTCGTCAGGAGCCGGAGCGAAAGCGAGGTTGATATAGGTGAACTGCGTGCGCAGAGTAAAGCAGTGTGAGGGTCGGAGGGAGCGTCAGACGAACAATAAGCCACGAATCGTACCAATGGGTCTTCAGCCTTCCAGCCGAGCTGCTTCCTGAGGAAGCGAATAACTGCGCGGAATTGATTGAGCGCATTGATCTTGTAAAGATTCTGCTTCATGATAGGCGCGTTTCCAACCGCCTTGAAGAAAATAGGGACTTCCGGCCATCTGAGCTTGGAATGCAGTCGAGAAGTCGAGAAAGTATACCTTGGACTGGTTCTGGTTTCCTGTATATCTGGAGAGCATCGCTGGCGGCTTGCATAGTGTCAAATAGGGGCCGCGCGTCGGTTTCTGTGGTAGTCATAACAGTACAAGAGCGTCGCGACGTGTTCACACGGCTGCACCGCTAACAGGTTGTCCAGTGGTCACAGTCTCACGGGGGGATATGAAAGGTGCCGAGCCTGTGTGCAAGAAGCACCCCCGCAGAGTCATGAGGGCTGACGAAGTCGGATGGGCTGAGATGTACTTTCAAAGCAATCGTGATATCCTTGAGGAGGATTTGTGCAGCAAGAATGACTGGAGACAGTAGTTGAGTAGTCCACTGTGATGCCACCGCAGATGAGCGGTTTGAGGAGCGGTCAAGGGACGGTCCTGGGAACTTGCTGGGACTCAGAGCAGCGCGATCACATGACATGCGCCGCCACAGTCGCGCATGGCGGCGCCTATCATGTAGCTGTTGGTTCGAAAGCGAACCTTGCCGAGCAGCCTGCTCCCGACCACCACGTCGTCCCCAGTGACACCCCACCCGCCTGCCCAGAGTCGACTGCGATGGCCTCTCTAGCCTCCGTGACACGCCAGATGGGCGCACTCGAGATCTCCTCGAAGCCGAACACAGCGCGACCCACGCACGAGAAGAAACCGAGCCAGCCGAAGAATGTCTCGCAGCTGCTATCGAAGTTTGCGGCGCCGAACCCATTCCCTGCGAAGGCTGCGATAGCCAAGACCTCGTCTCAGACATCTCTCGCGAGCAAGCAACCTGCCCGGCCACCCTCACCACCGAAACTGACGATAAAACCTGCGCAACCTACCATTGACATCGGGCGTTATGACGGAGGGTTGGAACTTGACAACGAGAGTCGAGGAGAGCAGGTGCATGGCGAGGCGGCGGAGACCCTTGCCCTAGACTCTAGCGTATCTCAGTAAGCCCAACTTTAGCTAGCTTGCGCCCGACTAACGACGGGTAGGACTCGGCCCACGCGTGAGTGGCACCTCACAGACTTCGACATCGGCCGGCCGCTGGGAAAAGGCAAGTTCGGACGAGTCTACATGGTCCGCACCAAAACCGAGCCACACTACATCCTCGCCCTCAAGACGCTCTACAAGTCTGAGATCGTGCAGTCGCGCGTCGAGAAGCAGATCCGGCGGGAGATCGAAATCCAGCAGAACTTGCGGCACCCGAACATCCTGCGCCTGTACGGCTACTTCCACGACGAGAAGCGGATCTTTCTCATGCTCGAGTTCGCGGGCAAGGGCGAGCTCTACAAGCAGCTCACGAAGCACGGATGCTTCACGGAGAAGCGCAGTTCGCGCTACATCGACCAGATGGCGGACGCGCTGAACTACCTCCATACGAAGCACGTCATCCACCGCGACATCAAGCCCGAGAACCTGCTGCTCGGCATCAACGGGGAGCTGAAGATCGGTGACTTCGGGTGGAGCGTGCACGCACCTGGAAACCGTCGGACGACGCTTTGCGGTACGCTCGACTACCTCCCGCCGGAGATGGTCGAGGGGCGGGATCACTCCGAGAAGGTCGACTACTGGGCGCTGGGCGTGCTCACTTACGAGTTCATCTGCGGCGCTCCGCCGTTCGAGGACATGACGGGTTACAACGGTATTTCCTCTAGTCATGTTGTCAGCTCCCCTATCTAACAACATTGCCTCTCGCAGCGACATACAAACGGATCGCGAAGGTAGATCTCCGCATACCGTCGAAGGTTTCTCCTGAGGCACGCGACCTCATCACAAAGGTATGTTACCGGGGACGCTTCTGGCTGCCACCGGTACTAACGAACATCTCAGCTTCTTCAATACGACCCTGAGAAGCGTCTGCCACTCGAAGATGTCCGGCGCCATCCCTGGATTGTCAAGTACAGGTCCAAAGGCCATTCCACTTCCATGCCCATGTCATAGTAGTATGGCGCGCGACACATACTCCAGTTCTCCGTATGCATATAACATCGTTTTCCCGTGTTTCCCTCTTCAGCACTACATTCATACGATTAGTTATTAGGACATCTCATGCATCTCGGATTGCTGTCTTGTATTCTACTGCGTTTGGTCGATTGCAAAGACACGCTGCATTGCTCTCATACTCAGTGCGTCTCAGTCCGGCGGGTGTCATGCCCTCTGTTGTCAGCCATACTACACGTTGACGTGGCCAGGAATGCACTGATCCTACAACTTTGCGGCTTTCGGAACGCCGTATCCTGTTCTATCTTATATAGTAAAGGAGAGTGGTCCCGCTTTTGGACGCCGGCGCTTCCGCTCTTTCCGTATCCGGTAGCATAATCGTCTCGCTTATTCTGTTTTGCTCTCCGCACCCTCCTCCGCACAGCAGACGGCGGTGCTGGAAGACCCCGCGCGCTCTTCACCTTCCGACTTGCGCATGGTGTCGACGACGACGTTTTCATCGTCCTCGCGTCTCTCTTTGCTTTCATTTGTTTTCACGTCCATCATTCAGTTGCCATGCCCTCCTCAGGCTGCTTGCTCGCTCCGAGTTACTTCTGACGAATCTGACCATCCATGTTGCCCCTGCAGTGCTAAGGATGGACGCAGGTAAGTGAGCAGGTACACCCGCATTGACATACCTGAGGTGTCCCCGGGTACAGGTGCGGTGTGCGTTCTTCGCCACACCGTAGGCGCGGATAACGAGTGGACAGCGGGGAAGGTTGGGCGGCTGGCGGGGGTGGAGGGTAGAATGGCGAGCGGCGGGCGAGGACGAGTGCCCACGTGTGAGTGCAGATGCGCGCGAGCGAGCCCACTAATGCAGGCACAGGACGCGGCGATGTGCATCACAACGTGTGCGGCGACTACGAGCGGGCAGGACCAGTGTCTCGCACGCAAACACACCCGACGAGTGCAACACGGCCACCGCCATGACAACGTGCAGGGAGGAGGACAAGCGGCTCGGCGGCTGCGTTTCCCTCCTTCTCCTCCACTTTGCCCCTCTCCGGTGCACGAACGAACAGCCATGCACTAGACTGCCGACGGACGGACGGCGAATGGTCGAGTGGACGAGCAGCGGGAGAGCGAGCGGGCGGGCGACAACACATGCCGAGCGGACAGCAACGATAGCCAGGGCCGGGACGCGCGCAACACGCGCGAACCGCGAGCGCGTAGGGCCAGTGCCGCACACGCAAACACGGCCGATGAGCGCGCGGGCGGACAATCGGACGGGCGAGCGGGGTTGGCGAGTGGACAGGTCACAACACATACGCCGACCGCGGGGGCGCCGGGCGAGTGCCCAGCACGCAGACACGGCCGGCGAATGTACATGCAGGCAGGCACACAGGCGGGAAAGCGGGCAGGTAAGTGGGCGGGCGAACGGACGGGCGGGCAAGCGGGAGGACGAGTTGGCGGATTGGAGAGAGAGCGTTGAAGAGACGGGAGAGCGAGGAGAGCGACTCCAGGTGGGTGAGCGGGGACCGTGGGCAGGGCCGAGGTGTGTGCAGCACACGCCGACCGCGAGCGTGCAGGGCAACTGCTCTGCGCGCAGACACAGCCAGCGAGTAAACGGCCGACAGCGGGTGCTGTCACGGCACGAGCGGGGTGGAGATGGGCATCGGGGTCCGCCCACCCGCCCTGCACCCGTGACCCGCGGTGAGCTAACCTCGGTTTACGCGGGTCGCGGGTTCGCTATGCGCCCTACAGTGAGTACGATCATTCTTCAGGTCTTCTGTCCTAATCCATTGTCTATAGAACTGTTGTCTACACCACCAATGACAGGTGGTGAAGGTGTCACGCGAGGAAACTTACATTTGATTTTACTACAAGTCCACTTCGCCGGTAATGCAAGAAGTGTACATGCATGGACAGTTCAGTTGAGAGTGTGTTAGATGGTGAGCTAGAATACATAGATGATATGTTGGATAAGGAGCAGCCCAGACATGTGTAGGGAGTTGCTGCGTAGATCAATCATATTGTATATGTTCTGTTCAACTGAGGCTTCCAACGACTCGCACGTCACCTGACACTGCAGGTCAGTACCGAGCAAGTCTGGTGCTGATGAATTGAGAGATACTTTCAGTGACACAGGATTACCTGTGCGGCGCACGGGCAGCCTGCTAGTTACTTCTAATGGAGTCAGCTGCACGAATGAGGGAGAATGTGCGAAGTCATCTATGGCTACATGATCGTACACGCATCGGCGACGAAAACTAGCGTCTTCTGTAGAGGACAACTTGGACAGTACAGCGCTGTGCGGAACAGAAGTACAAGAGATCTAGAAAGCTAAGTCATGGTAAAGTATGCATGGTACATTGGTAGCAGTTGATACGGCACTTGTTTTTGGACGCTGCGGAGACCTAATAACAGCATGACGAATGAATAATAGGGAGAGCCATTTCCCCGCTCAGAGCCATGGTGTGATGCTCGTTAGTAGCTACGCGGGTGAGCTCTGCCTCGAGCGCGTCGACATCATTGCACGTCAGCATGCCACGGCTCCTCAGTACTTTCACGATCTCCTTGATCCATTGTTGGCATGTATACGCGCCCCCTGGCGAGATTCGTGTCTCTAGCCTTGATCGCGGCCACGATCTCGTAGAGCTGGAAGCGCGCGAAGAGATTGGGGCCGGCGATGCGCACCAGCGCGATCAGCGCTGTGGAGGACAGCAGCGAAGCGGCGTCGCTCTGCTTGAGCTGGTAGAACCTGCCGTTGGCATCGAGGAGCTGGAACTTGTAACCCGACCGCTTGTCATGTGGAGATACAAGCCCCAGTAGAATGTATTGTCGCTGGGGAGTAGAGTTCGGCAGGTTCCTGCCACATATAGGGCACCAACTTCGACGAGAGGGTAAGCTGGCTTGCGAGTCGCGCGTCGGTAGATATAGTACTCTGCATCGCAACATTGGGAGGACTCAGCATTCGAGCCACGGACAACCCATGAGGTCAGGCGCTTACCACGACGGCCAGTTAGCCATCGTGAACCACCACAACGACCATTCCAAATCATATTCATTGGCGTAGTGAAAGCTCGGAAGGGATAATACGAGCCGCTGCCAAGCCGTCTTCCCGACGAGTTCGCCCTCCGGGCCCCTGGTCAACTGTAACCCCTTCAGCATGGTCGTGAACTCCCAATATTGGGGGTACCATCCAGCAGCTTCCCAGTCGATGATGCCGGTGATATGGCCATCCATGACCATGATGTTATGCGGCATGAGATCGCCATGGGTGAAGGCGACGGCGTGAGACATGTCGTAGATGTGCTGGTAGTTAGAGAGATGTCCCGGAAATTCTGCTTCCAGGCCGTTTCCGCAGGGAGGATTGGGATTAGCTTGTATCGTGTCGTAGAAGGTGCGAACATCCGGACATGGCCCAACAAACCAATGCGGTAGGCGTACGCTGCGAATGTTCTGGCCATCGGGTCCACATACACTCCCGCCGTACGGACTCGAGTACATCCGCATGCGATGGAGAATATTGTCGAGATCGGCAGCAATGCTCTCCACCTCCGAAAGAGGTAGGGTTCTTATCAATCAAAAGCATTTTGCCAGGTACACGATCCATGAGGATGGAGCCGTTCTGCCCTTCGCCATGATCCCCGTACGACAGCATGCGAGGGACAGGGAGTCCCATGTTCCGTGCGGTCATCATGGCGATCGCCTCAGCCTCGCGAGTGCCCTGCGTCCGTTTGAGCAGGAGGTCGAAAGGGAGCAGCCATATCCCCAGACCTGTCGGGATACCGTTGCGTCGGCAGTACCACCTTGACAAAGGAACGAGAACCCAGTCGTGAAAGTACCCGCGGAGGCGATTGAGCCAGAACCAGCCTCTCTTCGGTACAAGTGGCAGGATTTCGAGTGTCTGCGAGCAGGTTGCTATGTGAGTTATAGCTGTGACGCACGTACGAATAAATCAATATTACCAGCCCAATATCACCTGCCTTTGGGCTCGGCATAGTCGGCTTTTCAGAGTCTGTCACACTGGTTGGGGTCAACGGTCACCAGTGTGGACTGATGCAAATTGGCGTGTTGAGAAGATCGGGACCGTGGCGGCTACGACCGAAATACGGCCAAGTTCAACTTGAAGCTTGAGCTTGAAGTCTCTAAGAGACTCAAAGTACGTACTTATACGCGTCGGTAGTACTGCGACCACGTGACGTAGCGATATGGCGAGATAGACTGTAGTACAGTATTACAGTGGTGGTTTCGAGAATGAAGTGTCACACGAAATTACAAGTACATGAACAAGCTGCGAACGAGAAGCCAGTGTGTGCGCAAAATTTGGAGTTCCATTCAGCAAGAGACACGAAATGGCCGCTACAAGGGACTCAGTACAGTCACGACCAAATTTTGACGATCATGTATCACTAGTAAGACCATGCCGAGTGAATGACGGGGCGAGCGATGCTACCAGACAATGCCGAGGCATGATATTGCATGTCAACATGCGGCGATCCCTCAACACCTTCACGATCTCCTTGATCCATTGCTGGCATGTGTACGCGCCTCGGGAGAGGTCCGTGTCCTTGTCTTTTATCGCAGCCACGATCTCGTAGAGTTGAAAGCGGGTGAGAAGATTCGGCCCTGCAATCCGCACCATTGCTATCAGTGCTATGGTGTACAGCAATGAGCCCGCTTCGCTCTCCCTGAGCTGGTAGAATTTGCCGTTCGTGTCGATGAGCTGAAATTTGTAACCTGTGCGGGACCCGTTGGGTGCGTGGAGGTATAGCCCCCAAAAGAACGACGTGTTGCTCTCGTCGAGGTTACGATAGGATATTGCCACATAGAGGGCTCCGACCTCGAGTCGGTTTGAATCGAGGACGACATTGGACATGACTGGAAAGATTGCGTTGAGCATCTACACATCACATAGAATGATCACTGACTGTTTGTGCGGTGCGTTTCGAAGGTATCTGGACTCGGTGAGATTGAAGCATTCCAGCCGTTTGCCGCTTTATATGACTGACCAGTGAGGCAGCCCGGTAGCGGCCCCTTTCGTATCTCCCGAGTCATGGGTCTATCGCAGAGCAGAATGTGCGATAAGGACGAATCTGGTAGGAGAAACGCGACTCGAGTCAGATCTAGTATCCAGAGTTGGCGAGCCTGTGATAGAAACTGCAATGGTGGATGACGCTCATAAGGAAGCAGCTTACACAGTCCGCGACGATGTGACCAGAAGCTGTGAAAGTTATCGCTTCCAGCGATCAATCTCCTTCCCGCATGGAATGAGAGCGCCGCAAATGCAGACATCGTAGTGCAGTTGTTGCGAACGCATTAGAGTCTAGGCTCAGGAATTGATCTTACTTCGTCCCGAAGTGGACTGTTAGACTGAGTACTTACAGAGACTGGTAGATGAAGCCAGTATATGACTTCATCCGATAATGGCCTCACCAGACTTCTAGCTCGTTGAGACATCAAAGAAGACGTCTACATCGCACCGGCGCAGGTACATGGATTACGTGGTGGGATGATTCGCTGTCTGTTATGTCAGTAGCTCTCAGGGCGAGTCAGAGAGGCCCCCCACCTTCGGCGCATCTCACGTCTGTAGCTGGTGCCCCGCCGGTGGTAAGATCACGATTCACTGAAGAGTTAGTGCTAATTATGGATTCAAACACTCACGCGATTCCCATGGGCAATGATATACAAGGTGGTTCAGGTGTGTCAAGACTCCGTGATCTCTGCAACATGCGTTGGCCATTGGCAGTGGAGTGAGAAACATGACTCGGATCACCGATATACAGTGGATGACGAGGTTCTAGCATAGACAGACTGCATGGAGGCAGCCGAAAGCGACAAAAGGCTTCGTGAGTACACTCATCGAAGATGTGCGGAGGAAACCTCTCACATCGGAGAATAGGCGAACGTGTACGCCGATTCATGCAACGGCACGGTAGACAATTCGAGCTAAAGCGACTAACAGTGAGCGCGCTAGTCGTCAAGAAAGCGCAGAAGGAACGAACTACTCCACCTGATCACCACTGCGGCCAACTTTCCATTGTATACCACCACAAAGACCATTCGCATTCATACTCGGCTGCGTAACGGTAACTTGGCAGGGACAACACCAGTCGCTGCCACGGCGTCCTTCCAGAGAGTCTACCATCCTCTCCCATGGATAATCGCAGACCCTTCAGCATCGTAGTGAACTCCCAGTACTCGGGGTACCATCCGGCTGCTTCCCAGTCGATGATGCCGGTAATGTGTCCATCCTTGACCATAATGTTGTGCGGCATGAGGTCCCCATGAGTGAACACGACTGCGTGCGACATGCTATACAAACGCCGAAAGTTGGTGACGTGGCCCGGATATTCGTGTTCCAGACCGTCCCACCACGGAGGATTTGCTGGTACCTCGATCTTGTCGTAGAAAGATGAAGCGTCCGCGCATGGCCCGACGTACCAGTCGGGCACACGTGCGCTGCGAATGTCCTGACCATCCACCCCACAGACACTCGTGCCATAGGGACTCGAGTACATCCGCAAGCGACGGAGAGCATTATCGAGATCGTCGGATATGCTCTCTATTTCGGACGGAGAAAGTCGTTGATCACCTCAATGAGCATTTTGCCAGGTACACGATCCATGAGGATGGAGCCGTTCTGCCCTTCGCCATGATCCCCGTATGACAGCATGCGGGGGACAGGGAGTCCCATATTCCGCGCGGTCATCATGGCGATCGCCTCAGCCTCGCGAGTGCCCTGCGTCCGCTTGAGCAGGAGGTCGAAAGGGAGCGGCCATATCCCTAGACCTATCGGGATACCGTTGCGTCGGCAGTACCACCTCGACATAGGAATGAGAACCCAGTCATGAAAGTACCCGCGGAGGCATTGAGCCAGAACCAGCTTCTCCTCGGTACAAGTGGCAGGATTTCAAGTGTCTACAAGCAGGTTGCTACGTGAGTTATAGCTGTGAGGCACGTACGAACATATCAACGTTACCTGCCCAATATTACCTGCCTTTGGGCTCGGCATAGTCGGCCTTTCTGTCACACTGGCCACCGGTGTAGACTGGTGCGTGCTGCGAAGATCGGGCCCGTGGCGGCTACGGCCAAGAAAGTACCTGGTAAGTTCAACTTCAAGTAGAGACTCAAAGTACATGGTATGCGTATACGCGTCGGGAGTGCGACCACGTGACGCAGAGATAGACAAGTAGTACGCGTAAATAAACTTTGGCTGCTGAGTGTCACCCGGTTTTTTCCAAACACACAAACCGTTGAATTTGACTCGGGAGGAACGCTGGGCTTGCTGATAAACTGCAGTGAAGCTACTCATGGCCGTGCTAAAACTTATATTGAGCGTTGAGCGTAGCCGCCCGAGCGTCGGCCCGCCACTCCCAAAATGGAAGGCCTTCCCATAAAAGGCAAGGCGTCGGGCAGTATCCATGCCGCCCGCGTTACGATCAAGGGCGCGAGGTGTGCGGCGCCGCCCCATTGGGTGATAAGCACTGCCCGTTCACACGCAGAGTCAGACGGCGCAGACTCGGCGGGGCGCATGCAAAGTCAAAAAAGCAGACACGCCGCTGTCTTGGACATCCCTCTTCATCTTCCCGACTCCCAAGTCTTTCAGGATTGTCTTCACCGAGTTCCTCTCGACTTACTCAAACGCTTCCTCAGCATGCCGATTACGACTCGCCGGGCCAAACTGCGTTCTCTGCAGCGCACGGATTCGGAACCATCGATCGACGAGGAAGGTTACGTGTCCAGCGCGCTCAGCGATCCTGACGACAATACGGCGAGTGATTTGGATTGGAAAGGTGGCCGTCACTATATTTAGGGGAGAGAGAATGCCATGTTGAGTACCGTCTTATCTAGACCATCGCGGTAGACGGTCGGATGGTAGTCCGCAGAAGAACGTGTTCGCGGGGAGACGGCAGCGTCTTCCAAAGGCAAGAGCAATCCCCACAAACTTGAACTCAGTCAATTCCCAGCACTTCCCCTCGATATCGTCTTTGAGGTAATTCGACACATGCAAGCATTACATTGACATTGACTCGTGGCTAGATACTCGCTTTACTGACTCCCACTGACCTCGCCAATCTTGCGCAAACGAATACGGCATTCCGCACGACACTCACAACTCCTCAAGCTTCCAATATCTGGAAGGCGGCGAGGAGGCGTACCGGCAATGCCCCGGATAGCCCACCAAGTGCTGGAGAAGTGTCCTGGGCCAGATTTATCTACGGACCATCCAAGTGTCAGGTGAGTGTCTCAAGCATGGCACCCATCGGAAGTATTGAATAGGCCTCTCATCGCAGGAGTGCGGCGTTTCCAATGTCCACCATGTGGACTTCGCTCTCATGCGGCGTGTATGCAAGAAGTGCAAGAGTAAGAAGTACGCAGTCGTTGTGGATTCGTCCTTATGGAATTTGCTGAGGATTGCTTCGGCATAGGCTCGTTTACGCAGGCTTCTTCACCAAGCGATTCCCGAATTTCAATGCCGAAATGCTCGAACTCATTCCCCATACTAATAGTTGAGTCGGCTCGGACTGAACTCACAAATGGATCTCGGCGCTTACTCTTCAACCTAGCTGGATGCTCGTCTACCGTGCGGTCAAAAGAAGGCTCCAATTTCTACTGGGAAGACGATATCTACGCGATGGCAACGATCTACAGCAAGTATCAGATGGACATAGGTCTACGGAAGCCTCACGCGAAGGAGGCATTGCAGGAATACAAGGATCAGCGTGTAGCATATGTAAGAGCTGTCACGGAGGTTCGTCATTCATTGTCTACCTTTCGGGTCTCGTCTGACATTCTCCCAACAGCACGCGACGATATGTCGAGAGTGGTGGTCACTAGAATTCGCCGTATATTGGCACAAAGAACAGGCAGAACGTGTTCAGAAGCAATATGACGTGCAAGTATCATGTCGCTACCTTTCCGTCGTACGTCGCTCATGATGGCCAGCAGACTTGTAGACCGCTTCCGAGAATTGGGCTACGAGGATCAAGATATCAAGAGCATACGTACTAGGCAGGAAGCTCAGAAAGATCGCAACATAACAGAACGAGGTCGGTGATTCTCTCCTCGACCGGTATTGATCACAAATACATTTACCGCAGTCTGGAAGCGCGTCAAGCCCATTCTACAACCATGCATCGAGACTGCACTGTGCAAACGACTTGAGACGGACCAGGCACCCACTATCAATGCACGGAAGCGCCTCGTCAAGAACGCATACGACGACTACAAGCGCACACTTCGTCCCATCGAGTGGATTCACCTACCACCACCTGCGCTCATCTACGTCATGCCGGCGTTCTTCTCACTGATCTACATGAACCTCGACGTCCCGCTTGAACAGACGACATGCGACGAAGCTGCCAGGAATCTGTCGGAGTACATCTCGGCTTTCAAGGACAACCTCAAGGAGCGTCTGTTGCATGCCATGGCTGATGCTGGAGCGTTCGGCAAGATAACCAGACTAAGTAAGTCTCGGGTAGCGGATAGCCATGGTCGTCTCGCGCTTGCCACCTCTGTCTTCGCGTCTTCCGGGCCTGTCTCCCTCTCCTTTGACGAGGTCACGGCGAAAGTAGCATGGACCGGGACTCAAAGCAGCCAGGAGTATGGCTCCGCGTATTACATCCATATGGTCGCAGCGAAGGTATGGAAGAGCTGGGACTCGACCATTAGGCACGACCGAGAAAGCTCTGCGAATTGTGCGTCGTTGATCAAGGCGCTCGGCCTCGATCCTGAAGCCACGCGCCCTGTACACCTGGACAGACTGGACAGACGCTTCCTCTGCCGGCAGTGTAGCGGCGAAGCTCAGGGCGGCCTGGCGTATACGTGGCGTGCATTTGTGAGTCCATCCGTAACACTGGTCCTCGCGGACGTGGGGGACGGGTTCTGACGTGGTGTGCTGCTGCTAGCTATCGCACTGTTCTACGCAACACATGTGGCAATCTTCTTTCGTACGCTTCACAGCCCTCAACGAGGAGGAGTCAGCTGTCGTGCGTCAAGCGGAAGGGGCCGATCTGGCAGAGCAACAAGAGATGTGGAGCTGCAACCACTGTGCCATCCATCTGGACGACCTGAGGACTCGCCCAGTTGTCCTCCAGCATGTGCAAGAAGTGTAAATTTGCGACACATCGTTCATCTCTTCTCATTGCTGATACCCACGTGTAGCCATGCTATCGACGAACCCGAAGAGAACGCGGACTTGTTCCACGCATATCCAACAGTCCGCCGTCGCCCAAAGCCACGGAGATTCACGCCGCGGGCTAGTAATGACGAGCATGCAGTGCCGGGCATACTCTCCGGAGATGCTCAACAGATCGTGCCGACGACTGTGAATGAATGATTCTCACTACGTACTATGTAGCAGGGAGCATGCTGCTACGTACACTGTATGACGCTGTACGTTTGATTCCAGTCAGTCGGACATATCATATGTAATGCTTCCCGTGTACTGGTAAAGTATAAATTCGTGTACGGTCTGTCATCAGCGACCCGACCCGACTCCCTGGACGCAACCCTCTTGAACCCCACTCAACCCAAACTCAACTAGTACATTCGACGCGATTCTTGTTGGGCTTGAGTAGCACCTAACACTGCCAATATAAATTCACGGCCAAGGTTTGCTGACAATGCCGGATGCTGTCATATTCTTGGCGGAACGTCGGCCATTGTTGTTCCAAAATAGGAAGTTCTTACCATACAGGGAGGGTGGGAATATTGCCACAAGGTCGGCCACATCCAAGCCACATCGTTTGATCTGGGACTCGTTACTCAACGGACAACCCGGAACCGTCCACCTTCACCTTCAAGAGACTTATTACTCTCACGCTCTTCCTCAGCACGGTCACATCGACGACTATTTGAAGCCTCTGTTATTTCTGCACACCATTGGACATCGTTCGTTCTCTTCGAAGTTGTCCGTACTATCGCGTGATAACATGTGGTACTGCTCGATTCTCTAGTTTCCAGTGGCCCATCATGCCTGTCGTCACGCGTAGCCAGGCCGCGATAATCCGCTCCGTGCAACTGAACTCGGCAAGCGAGGAAGAACAACCCCGGCTCCTTAGGTCCGGTCGAGCTGTGGAGAATTCAACTCTCCCGAAGGCCCACACGAGAACACACAACCGAGCAAGCAAGTGTTCGTGCATTTTCACACTGGAGCTGGTCTCTTCTGACTCTACAAATGCCCAATCATTCAGCTAACCGTCAGAGATCTACGAGCCCAAACAAACACGACAACCAACCGCGAAGGAAGCGTGTTCGGGTTCAAGCCGACACAGAGAACCTTCAGGCGACCGCTAGCAGCTTGCAGTCGATGGACGCAAAACGCGCCACACTGACTAATCTTCCCTTGGATATAATTTATGAGGTATGCCCGCTTTCAGCTCAATGACAGTGACTTTTGTTTTACGTTGTCGATGTACCGCAGATTCTAGAGGAGCTCATTCCTCTGGCCCTAACGAACCTTTCACAGACTAACAGAGCATTCCGTACCATCCTGCTGGTCTCCCCACAAGGTTGCCGTATCTGGAAAATGGTCACTGAGCCGATCGGTATTCCCGAATGTCCGCCAGACGTCCCACGAGTCTTCTGGACGAGGGCGTTCAATCCTGGTACTCGTCCCAACTGTGGCGTGAGTGATCTAACACTGAAATGGCTGATGTCGACTTATCATCAGTAGCATTGCGGCAAAGTTGGCCACTATTACCTCGATTATGCTTTGATACGGGCATTCTGTGAGGAATGCATCAAATCGGAGTACGTATAATATCTAGTACTGTTCTGATGCTGTGGATACATGATTGGATTCAGACTCAAAACACACCAAGAGCTTGCGCGAGATTTTTCGGCCATCAAAGATGGAATTTTAGAACTCGTTGTGCATACATACCACGGTCAATTTGATCATATCGTCTGCGAAAGAGGAACTAATGACCAGTGCTACAGAGGCAACAAGAGGACGGAAGAGTTACTGGAGACCCGACGTCGTTACCATGGCGGAGACATGCTATAACTATCGTAAAGACATAAACAGCAGGAAGCGCGGTGCAAAGCAGGCATTCGAAAAGTTCAAGAGAGAGCAAATACAACATGTGCGAGCAAGGACAGAGGTATGTGGACTTATCGCTGAAATGCAAATTGTTGACATATACCATCCGCTACTAGCATGCACAGAAGTGCCGAGACTGGGAGCGCATTCGCTGGGAGGAGCTAGAGGGGGCGCGTAAAAGACAGAATGGAGAGTGAGTATGATGAGTATTCGCTATCACAGTGACATCTTCTGACCGGTGTATATCCGTTAGCTTTGCGCAACGATGTCGCGCATTGGGATACGATGGTGAAGACATTGCAGCCGTCATGCCATTGATGCCTCCGCGCAGCCGCTGTCTTGATGCGAAAACCATTGAGTATCTCTGGCAGTATTGTGATTTGAAGTCACGGATGATGGTGAGTGAACGTGCCATTTCCACAAGTTGGCTACCGGTCATAACAACCATCCTATAGTTTGGAAGCATGTGCGACCTGCGATTGAGCCATACATTACAGAACAGCAGAGCTACCACCTCGAAGCCGAATACAACAACATCATCATGGAGCGCACAGCCCTCGTCACCAAGGTATACGACGACTACAAGCGGACCCTACGTCCCGTCGAGTGGCTCCGTCTTCCTCCGCCCATCTTCCTCTTCACCACGCCGACATTCTGGTCTCTCATCTACGACAACCTGGACACTCAGCTTCAGAGATCGCAGTGCGACATAGCTGCGTTGGAGCTACCCGGCATCATCTCCGCATATCAACGCAACGTCAAGGCCACCCTGCTACGAGCTATGGGACAACTTGAGGCCGTCAACCCAAACGGCGGAGCCTCTGCAGGTGGACTGCCGGGACAGCGGACTGAAGAATTGGACAGCCGTGTCCTGCTGGCCAGCTCTACCTTCACCTTCATCATGGATCATGATGTTGGTGGACTCGAAAGCTGCTGCGCCCTCGAAGACGTTCTCGCACGACTCTCTGTATCGCCCTCGTTCTTTCTCAACCGGTATTCCCTTTGCAAAATGTTTTGGCTGCGACTGCAAGACCCTGAACAACATCGTTACGCAGACCGACAGATTAAATGGGATCGAAAGGGACATCAGATCATTAAAGGCATAGCGACTGCACTCGGCCTCAAACTGATACCGCACGCCCTGAGGAGTTGGACGACATCGACCGATTCATCTTCTGCCCATCTGAGGAGTGCACGTGGAAAGGTAATCATCCGAGTTACGAGAGAATGTCATGGCGTAAAGTGGTGCGTACCCCTATGATCATCGCTCGTTTGCGCATATGAACTACAGTGTAACACGGTTCATCAATAGGTTTACCATTTCTTGTGCGATTATCATTTATCAAGTACTACGGTCCGCATTGGTATCCTCAGTGAGGAGGCTTCTGTGGCCCTTCGCAAAACATACGATGAATATGACTGGCTCGCAAGGCCTGGTCGGCACTGGAGCTGCAACCACTGCTCTGTTTATCTCGGTCAATTGCAGACATGCGCGGTTATTGCGCAACATTTGTCCGAGGCGTAAGTCAGCAATGTCTCTGTTGAAACAAAATGTCACTTGAAGGCCTTACCAACGTCATAGGCACGCTATCACTGAACCGAGAAATTGGGTTGATCTCTTCGTCGCTGAACCCAGGGCCTATTATCTGGGGAACCCGATCTATATCCCGGTGGATACTCCCCACGAAGTTATCACCATCGAGTGTGCCGCGGTGGGTACGGGCTGAAGCTTTTCAATGTGCTCTACATCACTGATACGACTAAGTAGTGATATGACAACGCAGGCAATACCGTATATGTACTAGCGATCCGATTTGTAGACATATATATTTCGACCGAGTCTTCGAGTCGGTGCCGTGGTCATGAGTATACTTAGTTTCCTCCTGTTCTAGTCCCGTTGGTCGTTCAGGATTCGGACACTGGTCCTCTGCTACGCATAAGCAGGATTATGTACTACTCCGTCACCCGAGCGACCGTTCAGGCTCACGCCAGGCTTAGTCAGACAGTTCCGTCGTTCGTGCTCTGGTCTTGCCGCTTCTCGAACAACAAGCCTAGTTTGCACGTATTCCACTCTTTGGCATCCATCAGGTACGCCCTGGGCCCGATCCATTCGGCGAGTAACTAGCTCTGGCATGCCGGTGCCACCTGAGTTCGAGGAAAGACTCAAAGGTTGCAAGAAAACTTAGAGCCCGCATCATGTCGCGAGCACCCAGCGTATTCGAAGATGCCATATATATGCTCACGTTCTCAGATCCCAGGGATGACTCAGACACCGTGGTCATTCAGTCTTGTCGTCCGTCGGCGAGATCTCGAGCTCCTAGTACTATGTAATAGTAGGGTGACATCTTCGTTCGTCCGAGCCTCCGAGGCTTTTCGACAGAGCGCCGCGCACGCGCCGACCTAGAGTCGACCTAGGCGTCCGCGTCAATTCCACTACTCAAGACACGTGTCACTGCATATGCATTTGCCTGAGGCAGGCAAGTGCTGCAGTTGAGTACGCTCATCACATTCGCCTAGTAAGTTAACCTCAGACATTCAGCTTCAGGAGCATTCAACAAGGCCTTTTCTCGACGCCGAGTCTTTGTGAAACATGACATCAAAGAGTCCAAAAATCACACGTCGCAGTCACTAAGGCCGCGGGTGGTGTTGGCATACAGCGGGGTGTCTCGGAGCTTGGTGAGATCGCTGACACCATACACGTACTTCGCGTCTATTCACTAGTGGACTGTTGGACATGCTCAGACCTCGTCTGCCATAAACCACATCTTCTCACCCATGGCTCGTCCTTTGATGCCTCGAGAGGCTTGAACATTCCCATGTCCCGGCGTTCCCTCATCTTTACCTCTGTCAGCCATGATGAATTGAGGCCTTTCTCCAGTGCGCTAAGCATCCCGGCGGAAGTATGAAAGACGAGGCATACACTTGTTGGGAGCATATTCCTTTCCCCTCGCTGCTGAGTACCGTTGACGCAGATGAAACAAGAGACAGTCTACATCGAGAACAAACCCTACTGGCCTCACTTGCGCAGTTCGGGCGAACGTCTCGGTGCGCTCGACAATTCTCGCCTGGCAGAACTCGGATATAAGAGCGAGTTCAGGAGACAGTTCTCGGTGGGTACTCTGTGTCGCGTTGGACCTCAACCATGCTCACATCTATTGTATAGCTTCTTGACACTGTGTCTTTCTCTTTCTCGATTATGGCGGTTATCAGTGGAATTTCTTCGACATTATCCCTGACACTGGCTTCAGGTGAAAATTGGGGTCATTGAACTGTGTGGACGATGATCTAACCGGTTTGAAGGCGGCCATGTCGGACTCGTTTGGGGATGGATCATACCGATTCCTTTCGTCTTGTGCGTCGCAGCAGTCATGGCAGAGATGGCGTCCTCCATGCCGTGAGTGTACAAAAATACAAGTCGGTTCTCGTGACTGAAAGTCTCGCCTAGAACGAATGCGGGTCCCTATTATTACGCGGCCAAACTCGCTCCAAAGCACTATGCACCTCTTGCAGCCTGGATCACGGGCGGTGCCAACATCACTGGGCACGTAACACTGCTGACCTACATCGACTTTGCGCTGTATGTACCATCTATCTTCATATAGCGATTCCGCACGCTCACGGCCCACTGAAACAGCGCGCAAATGATCACGACCGCGATCGCCGTGGGGACAGACGAGAAGGTGGTCCTAGGGCCCGGGCCAACGTACGGAATATTCCTGGCTATGTTATTCCTACACGGAGTGATCTGCTCGGCGCCCACGAGGACACTGGCAAGGCTGAGTCTCTTTGGCGCGATCGTCACATGTGAGTCGATCCCATTCTGAGCAGTGATATTGGATCGTTCTCATGCGGCGAGGAAGTCGGAGCGACCGTAGCGGCAATCATCCTTCTGCCCGTCTGCGCAGGCGAGAGTAGGGTATCAACAAAGGTCGCTTTTACTTCTTACGAAAACTTCACCGGGTGGTCGAACTGTAAGCTGTCTCGTGCGATCCACTGTCCAAGACTCGGAGCTGACGCCTGCTATAGCCGGCTGGGCTTTCCTTCTGGCTTTCACGGGACCTATGTGGCAACTGACAGGATGTGGGCATCTCTGACACTGAGGCATGCAGACGCTAACCTGTGTCCTCAGATGATTCTGCCGCACACATGTCAGAAGAAACATTAGGGGCAGCGAAGGCCGCTCCGATGGCCATGCTCCTGTCAGTGGCGTCTGTGGGATGCCTCGGATGGGTATTCAGCATCGCGACATCATTCGCGATAGCATCCGTGCCGGACTTGCTCTCGAGTCCGCTCCCGCTTCCGATGGGCCAGCTTTACCTTGACCTTCTAGGCAAGAAGGGCATGCTTGCGATATGGTGCATCACCATCACAGTACAGGTGCGTGCAAACTGTTAATCCCGGAGGAAATCGCCACTCTGATACGTGTTTGCACGAAGTTCATGCGCGGTGCCGCACAAGGAGTCAACGCGTCGCGCGTCGTCTTCGCGTTCGCGCGCGACAACGCCTTGCCCGGCTCGCGCTGGTGGAAGCAAATGAACCATCATACCCAGACGCCAGTGTGTGCCGTGTGGCTCGTCGTATTCGTGGCCGGAATCTGTGGCTTTCTCGGATTCTCCTCGATAGCCATGACCTCCGCTGCTTGGTGAGACCCACACATTTAACTCCGGTAGCCAGTTACCTATTGACATCCAACATTCAGTGCTACGGTGATCGGCCTGTATACGTCATATGCCATTCCCATCCTGCTCCGCATCACTTCCGGACGCAACAAGCTCGTCCCGGGTCCTTTCTCGCTCGGTCGGTGGTCGACGCCCATCGGGTCGATCGCCGTGGCCTGGTCCGCCTTTATCGTCGTCCTCCTGTGTTTCCCAAGAACGCAAAGCCCGGTCGCGACAAACATGAGTGCGTACAGTCATAGACGTATCATGCGACTTACACTGAGTGCGATCTGAGTGTAGACTATGCTGTCGTGCTCACCGTGGGCATCTCCGCGTTTGCCTACTGCTCTTGGGTGCTGTCAGCGCGGCATTGGTTCACTGGGCCCCTGCGGAATATCGGCGAGGGTGGTGCTGTGGCCGCATTGAAGGGATATGACGAAGAGGTGAGAGACCAAACTATCTGTGAGATGTTCTCATGATTCTACTAATGACAGAGCGCATAGGTTCCGGGTAAGATGTTCGATAGCACAGCTCACGACTCGACTCAGTGAAGGCCTCATGTTTGAGCATTGCTATACTACGGCTAAACTACTTTTCTGCTAATACTATGTTACGCATTCCGCTTTGTTAATTGTAGGTATAGCTTGAAAGCACCCATATAAAGGGAAGTCCCGCATCGTTCTGCCGTCTCATCCGACGATGAGGTCGATGAGTGCTATGGCAAATGGTGCATCGCGCCACAGAATATCATGAGGTGCGCCTATAACACTACGCAAAACACCACAGGTCCAACATGAGCTGCATGAAGGCCAGAACGGTTATCAGGCAGAACATGGCTGTCATAGGCAGTCATGATGACAGTCGGTCTGGAGTGAGGATCCGGCCGCAACACTGTGACGTTTGGCGACCCTCGCCGAGTACGTGCGCCTGAAACTCCTCAAAACACGACTCGTCAAGGAACACGCATCAGTCGCACAATGTGCCGTCAACGTCACCAAGGACCTAATCAGTGGCGGAACTTCAAACCGTCTGGTACCCTACTACTAAGGGGGCTATCATTGTGCGGGGAACGCGCGGTGGTCGACTCATGAGTCTGGTTAGAGCAGTGCTGAGTAGCACATCTACGTCGCATCTCTATCCTATACATTTTACCTGGCATGGTTGCGCACGATGCCTTATTGTGCGATCACTCAGCACGGCGACGCATGAGGTAATGGGTAAACACAACAATAATACCATGTATTATTAGAGGTACGCTCCGCTACGTACCAACTAAGTCTATAATCCAGACGCGAGACCTCGGAGTTGCCGCACCTATGTAAGCATTATGATACACCATCGAACGGATTTACCGGGGGAAGTGCACTTGTCTCGTCGGGGGCGAAGAAGTCGTCCGGCGTCAGCGGGCGCAATTTGAACCCCTGTAGCAACGGCTGCGTTCAGTACGATGGGCCAAGCAGGTACACAGCTCACGCACCTCGTCCTGGCTGCGCGAGAGCCGCTCGTGGTCATCGCCCGCCTCGCGGATGAACTCGCGCATCGAGCGCATGGCAGCGCTGCGGCAGAGCTCCTTCAGGTCGGAGCCCGACAGGCCGTCCGTCTCCTCCGCGAGCTTGTGCATGGAGAAGTCCTCCGCGAGCTCCGTGTCTTGCAGCATCTACGACGACGTGATCAGCAATCGCCGACTACCCAGTGCGAAGCGCGAGGTGGCGCACAAGATTGAGGATCTTCTCGCGCTGCTCGAGGTCGGGGAGGCCGACTGAGAAGCGCTTCGGCATGCGTCGAAGGATGGCCGAGTCGATGTCGTTTGGTCGGTTCGTGGCGCCTAGGACCAATATCCGGTCTGTGCTTGACATCAGGCCGTCCCACAGCCTACGCGAGTCGTCAGTTTCGGGTACTTGACTTGCAGGGAAACGAAGACGAACGTCATGAATTCGGCTTTCATCATGCCGGTGACTTCGTGGTCACCTTTCGTGCGCTCTCGCAGGAACGAGTCGATCTCGTCAATGAAGACGATGCTCGGCTGTGTCTTCCGCGCAAGCGAGAAGAGTGCCGCGACGAGCTTATTTGACTCGCCGTACCACTTATTTGTCAGCACGGATGCGACGATGTTGATGAATGTCGCGCCAGACTCTTTGGCGAGTGCCTTCGCGAGCATGGTCTTGCCGCATCCTGGTGGTCCGAACAGGAGGACGCCCTTTGGCGCGCCAAGGAGGGAAGAAGAACTGAAGAGGTGAGGGAAGACAAGGGGGTAGATGACGGATTCGCGAAGAGAGGATATGATGGGTTCCAGCCCTCCGATGTCTACGAGAGTCGCTGTTATAACCAATCACAAAGCCATGAACTCAACGCACCTGAGAAGCGAACATCGATATCGTCAGGGTGAATGACCTCCGATGCTATTTGTTCTAGAACAACAATGTTAGTAGGACGTTCGCACACCTGATGGCGTACAGCGACGTACTCTCGTATTCGTCCAACTTCAAGTCTCTATGCCCTAGCTTTTCCAGTGCTTTGAGACTCTTTGCCTTCACTTCCTTCCTGTCTCCGGATATTGTACCGTCCATCACCCACTGGCACGAGTCCCGTCAGTACACGGCCTACACGCTGGAGGCGTGTGACATACTCGTATGGTATAGTATAGAGCTGCCTTGCGTCTTTCAATGAGATACTTTGAGATGCATTCAGCATGTAACGACGCACTTGAGAAGCCACGAACAGCGCAACTGGCGACGCAATGCATCAGTACTTTGAGTTCTTCACTTTTAGCCGGGCCTACCATCTAGAATAGCGCGCTTTGTGGATGCTGAGACCGCCATGGGATCGCGGTGTGCGTGCGTCCAGGTGTAGGCCAAGGACACCCAGTGAGAGCCACACAACTTTGACCGGGTTTGGATATTCGACAGTTGACGACGTCCTCCTCGGGCGGGACGAGACGCGGTCGACTCCTTCGCCGGCGTTGTGGCGCACTCAGCTCATCACGTGAAACCATCCCAAAATGGAAACTGGAACTTGGGAGGTGGTGGAACTTCGCCCTTCTGCACTTAGCTCACTGGCAACGTACTCAGCTCGGTCGTCGCAGTTGGTACGCAAACGTTCACGCGCACGATTAAGCCGAAGACTTGTATGCTATCCCACTCGCGCGATTCATCCCAGTCTACTCCGAGCTTGACAGAATTGTCGTCCTCGGCCGGTAGTGGCTCTAGCTACTGTGGACTCTCCCCGGAGTCACAAGCCTTCCGTCGGACGGTCGATGGGAGACTCTTTGACACCGCACAGCTTGAAAGCGATCAGGCGTTGCACGAACAGGCATACAAACACCTCAAGATCTTCCACAAGCAGACCACCTCATTTCGCGGAGAAGAGTACGACATCCCAGTATGGGTCAAGCGCGCGAACGAACGTAGGGAAGACAGCGGCTTCACGATCTCGAAACTGTACCCACAGACGTGCTTCTCTTATCAACTTGTCTGATGCCACTTGCTGATTGCATCACTAGATGAAGGATGTGTACGCAATCCACGAGTTTCAGCCAGGAACATTCTTCCCACTTGTCAGGAAGACGCATGTCACCTTTGTTGATCACAGCTACAAGCAGACAGCGGGTCCATCTGCGCAGGTTGGCGATCGCTTCAAGCAGGCACATGCCACCACGGAGATTCCTCTCCCCAGCTGTGAGCTCCTCCGTCTGCATGCTGCACTCGCAGGAGTTCTCCACCTCAGTGGTGCAGGGCCACTCTTGTACTTCCTCAGGGATGAACCAGGAGTTGGAGGACCTACTGTCCAAAGCTTGGATGGCCAAAGCTTCATGAAACGAGTGATTGGGACATAGAGTCATGACTGGTTCAGCTTCTGCGGTGCGAATAGATCAGACCGCTCCAATGCCAGTGTCTCCGTCGAAGCAAGTAGCAGATGAGTCTGTCGATATCCGAAAGGGTCTCCGATGGGCAGGCCAGAATCACGACCTCTTTAAGCTAGGGAAGGCGATCATATACAAGTATACTCGGGTTACGAACACGTATATGATGGACCTTCATAAGGTACGCTATACTCACGAGTATGTCAGACAACGCATTGGCTTTCATGTACTGTAGTATGTGATTGATCAGTGACCATAGGTGGCTTGCAACCTTGACTTGACGTAGTCGCCAGCCGTAACCACCTCATACTTGGGCGGCCGGTCAGGCGAGACGCAGCTAGATATCGGCTACGATGGGGAAGCTGCGTTAGCGGCACGCACATACACCGGCCCACGACAGTGGGTGCACTCGCCTCCAGCTTCACGTCGTAGTCCGTCCCGAAGAAGAGAGGAATTGAGTACCGACGGGCGCCGCTCCTGTTGATGGCGCGGTGCACAGTCGACTTGAACACGTCATCTGCGCGAAGCATCGTTAGCTCGTCTAACATGATGGCGTGGTGGAGGTACGACGCACTCGTCCAGCGTGCGAACTGGTCTCCGAGGCTAGTGGGACGAATTGACTACGGTCAGCGCATGCCCCGAATGAAGAAGACAACACGCTCTTACTTGATGACCAGCGTCCCAGGAAGGGGCGGCGCGTCGATCCATTGCTTCTCTCTGTTTAGCACTTGTAGCGCTTGTATGCCTGGCTCTTGCCATAGTATGGTGAAGCACTGCATCGCGGGAGTTACTCTGACGCATCCGCAATATGACATTTCACAATCGCACTGACCTCCCAGCTGCATGCCCGTGCCAAGGATTGTCAGTCTCTCAGGAGGTGTCGAGAAAAGGCGGTATACTCTGTATGCGCGCCGATACCCACGACCCGATCGTCGACCGGTCCTGTTTGTGGTGGATAGTGTAGCACACGCATGAGTGCAGCCGCGTTCTTCGTCTAACCAGTACACGATCGTGAGCGATACACTCGTCCAGCCTACTGGCATGTGCCTCGCACCTTATCGTCGAAGAAGTCCTCCGGCAAATCCAGCGCCAGAGCAAACAGCGGAAAGAGGTTCTTGCCCAGAGCGACAGCATCATGGCTGGCTCAGTTTCAATCCCGATGTTGAGGGGGAGAAGCCCGAGAGGACGCTCACTAGTATGTCAGGGCTGCCTCACGGAAGCCCGCCGGTTCTCGAGGCCAGACGTTCGCCCCCGCCATCGCACCATCTTTCGCCCGTCTCCCATCGTAGTTGTCCGCTTCCAACGCCTCCCATCCAAACTCGAAGCCTTCATGCATATCCCCGTCGCTGAGCGGGTCGTTGCGGCTGCTTCGGACTGGGTTGTAGCCTTTGAAGTTCGGAGTCTTCTTGTTTTCAAGCTGGCCATAGACGATGTAGTCAAATTACGGGATGGTTATAGTCAAAGGTCTACTTACCTCCATCTTCTGTTCTAGAGGCAGCGAGAAGTACCCCTTGGTCGAGGCGAGCGCCTGCGCGATCGATGTCTCGGGGATGCCATGGTTCGCCACTGGCGTATACAGTGGGACGTCAGCACAAGGGCCTACCAATCATAACTGCACGACCAAGAACATGAAACATCGCGTACCGTAGAAGAATCCGACGTTCATGCAAGCATCTCTCACAGTATCGGCTAGTGCCTTGCGCACCGCTGGGTCCTTGCTCGACACATCATTAAGATCTCTGAAAGGCAACCGTTAGTCGATGTATGTGCTGCATTTCACGGGGCAAGCACATCACTGGTATGTGGCTGAACGCCTGAGTCGACTCAGCCTTCTGTGCAGCATCCACGAGAGACATGCTGGTCGACGTCTGTTCCAAAGTCGGAACTTGCCTAATTCGCCAGTGCAGCGCTTGTCCAGTGTGACAGCCTCCGGCTGCGTAAGCACTAGAGTCACGGCAGCAGAACTGCTGCAGAAGGCTACCCGTGCCTACGCAAAAATACCCATTGAACTATACAGGGCGAGATATACGCATAGATACAGCTGACTAGCGAACATAGGTAGCTTGCAACTTCGACTTGACGTAGTCGCCAGCCGTGACGTCCTCGTATTTGGGCGGTCGGTCGAGCGAGACGCAGCTAGGTATTGGCTACGATCCGAGAAAATGACCACGTCAGCAAAGCGCACTAGCCCACGACGGGTGCACTCGCCTCGAGCTTCACGTCGTAGTCCGTCCCGAAGAAGAGAGGGATTGAATACCGACGAACGCCGCTCCTGTTGACGGCACGATGAACAGTCGATTTGAACACGTCGTCTTTGGGAGCGCCGTCAGTCGGCAAGCACATCTGGAATCATGGAGCAGCCACGACGGAGGTTTACATACTCGTCCAACGCGCAAATTGGTCTCCGAGACTAGTGAAAGATATGCATCACGATCAGGTAATGCCGCCCGTGAGGTATAGCAGGATCTTACTTGATAACCAGAGTCCCAGGAACGGGCGGTGCGTTGATCCATTGTTTTTCCTTGTTCAAGACCTGCAGCGCTTGGATGCCCGGCTCTTGCCATAGTATGGTGAAGCACTTCAGCGCAGCAGTTACTCCAAGGATCAGTCATAGGCGCGATTGCACTAACCTCCCAACTGCGTGGAGTCGATAGAGAGGATTGTCACTCGCAGCAAACACATTAAAGGAGAGAGGTTTACTCTGAGTGTGCGCCGAGACCTACCGCCCTATCGTCCATGGATCCTGTTTGTGGTGGATAGTGTAACAACCGCATTATCGCAGCCGAACTCTTCGTCTGACGAGTGCTCGATCGTGAGCGGCTCCGAGCTGGTGCAACATAATGTGTGCGACCTACCTTATCGTCGAAGAAGTCCTCCGGTAAATCCAGCGCCAGGGCGAACATCGGAAAGAGGTTCCTTCCCAGCGCCATGGCAGCATGGCTAGTTCAATCTTAGTCTCCTTACTAACACCGAAACAGAGAACCCCGAGAGGACGCTCACTAGTATGCGAGAGCCGCCTCACGGAAACCAGGGGGCTCTCGAGGCCAGACATTTGCCCCCGCCATCGCGCCATCCTTCGCCCGTCGCCCGTCGTAGTCGTCGGCTTCCAGCGCCTCCCAGCTGAACTGGAAGCCTTCCTGCACGTCGCCCTCGCTCAGCGGGTCGATGCGGCCACCCCGGACGGGGTTGTACCCCTTGAAGTTCGGCGTCTTCTTGTTTTCGAGCTGGACACAATCGATTGTCGTCAGAGCTATTTGAGACAACATTGCGACCATGACGAGCCCTCTGTACCTCCATTTTCTTCTCTATTGGCAGCGAGAAATATTCCTTGCTTACAGCGAGCACTTGGGCGATGGCCGCTTCGGGGATGCCATGACTGACCACTGGCGTGCGTGGTCCATTAGCCAAAAGACCTACATCATGCTATAGATATGTTATGTACCATAGAAGAAACCAACATTCATGCAAGCCCCTCTGATGGTATCAGCTAGTGCCTTGCGGACCGCCGGGTCTTTGCTAGAGACATCACTTAGATCTCTAGGTAACCGTCAGCTATAACAGTATTTCATAAGTTAGAGGGGGGTGCGTACATCACTGGTATGTGGCTGAACGCCTCGGTCGAATCAGCTTGCTGAGCAACATCCACCAAAGACATGTTGGTCTGCTGCAAAGACGACACCTGCCTGATCCGACAATGCAGCGCTTGATACACTCACGGGTCATTATCACTATCCGAGCCTACTTTCCTGCGACAGTGCATCGACATTCAATAAGGTATTCCGCTCAGCGACTCGTCACTACGCATCGACTTTCGCCTAAGCGGAAGCAGGACAGACACTCGACTGCGCATCGATAGTGTACGAGAGACACACACAAGGGGTAAAAAACCAGAAAACGAAAGCAGAGACGACAGCGGAGCGACAATTGAGCCACGATACGATATCGTCGCGTTATGTCGGTACTTCCTCTGTGGTCCCAGAAACCTCCATGGAGACGTCTCCCGGATCATCTCCGACTGCTCCATCTGCATTCGACCTCGCTTCTCTTCGCGCCTCCGCTTTGGAGCGGAGTTCGTCGATCTCTGCCGTCATTTTTGCCTGTGTCACAGCGATAAGTGGATAGTTCGACGACATCGAATGGTGCACTGAACACTGACAACTCTCGCTTCCACATTAGCTATGTCAAAGACGGAATACGGTGACTTTGGTGGTGGGAATTCCTTCTTGCGACCTGAATGCCGGATACATGAGCCATGCTGTAGAAGTATATCGTAGAGGCCACGTACTGAATGCAGCATACATGAACACCTCGTTCATGAGTTCATGATTCCGTTTGTATCTCGTCAGGGCGAGCGTTCGAGTGGACATCATGTCCGACTCATCTTGGAGGTTTCAGAGAGTGAAAACATCAGACACAAGCTCACTGCATACCTGCAGAGTCGTCGTCTTCTATTCGCGCTGGTGGTGGTGCACGCTATTCAGAACATGAGTATTACTATGCGACCGGCATCTGGGGACGACGTACAGCATTCATGCTCCCACTGCGATCTCGCTGACTTCTCCGCTCCAGCGCCTCAAGGTTGTTATTTTGCTGCGCGAGCATAGCCTGCTGGTTCCCTATCCCCCCGAAACTCATACCCATCCCTGGTGGACCCGGTCGCTCTGCAGGGCCCGAGTGTTGGTTAGGGTAGACTTTCTGGCCAATCTTCTCGCCCATGACGAAGAGCGCGGGCTCGTTTATGGGACGAAGTGGGTAGTTGCGGACGGGTTGGTTAAGGTTCGGCATGATGGCTATCGTGAGCGAGATGTCAGCGTCGACCAAAAGGCGATGGTGATGAACTTTGAACTGTCAAACGCACGCATTGGCTGCCCACGGCCGTAGTGGATGAGGACAAGTTGCGGATGGCCGCCCTTGTGCATCCGGTAGCGTCTCCGTACTCTCCAGGCCGTTGTATCAGAAGAATTGGGGACGAAACCGAACTTGACCTCCATGACTTCTAGTTCCTGGCATAGCCCCTGTTTGAGAATTTGTGCACAGGTGAAGGAGATTGAAACGCACTCTTCCGGGGCCCGCCGGCATGATGATCTTCTGCTCTTGATCCTGATACCGTATTCCGTCCGGAGGAAACGGCAGCTGTTGGGTCATGAAGATGAGATATATGTGGCCCTCTAAATGCGTAAAATGACATGTTCTGAATATATCATAGATGAACAGCGCAGCGGACTCACCTTGCGGTTTGTCAATGTATCCCCACACAAAAGGTGTATGTTGGGCGAGTTGGATGGCACGCATGAGCATGGAGACGGCGGCCTCATAGGATACATTGGCTTGCGGACCCAAAGGTTCGGGATATCTGAGACATAGACCTTCGTGCTGGCTTGAAACAGACATTGTGGCGGAGGAGCTGTGGCGAGCGAATGTCGGAAAGCGAGACGCGTCCGAACGCGTTTACCGGCTATTGCGTCACGTGTGCAAGAGGACTGTTATTTGGCTTTGTTAGTTTTCGAAGCAACCGCTTTCGGATTTCTTGGGATTTCCTAATTGACTTCGCAGTATGTACTCAACGCCGTCGGCAAAACAACCTGGACATGATCGGGCATTGCATGTGATTACTCTACATCGAATGACCAACTGCGGTAGTGTACATACTGTATCAATACATTATTCTTTGTTTATCTGTTCAATACACTAGGTGACATAAGTAGGCTAGGCGAATCACCACCCAAGCTCCGAATCAGACGTCCGCAAACAGTCCCTTCAGACGATCAGCCATACTAGGCCCTCCAGTTTTGGTAACGAAATCCAGTCGTCGGCTCCTCCATTCGCCCTTTTGTGTGAAGCATTGAGGAGGAAGGAGAACGGTACCTTCCCGCACCTGTCGATAACACACAACCTCCCGGATGACGTCGAGACTACCTTGATCAACGACAGCTTTCAGGAGCCTCTGTGCCTTCTCATCTGTGGTATCGGATAGATCTTGCCAGATGTTGCATGCCACATGATGGACAGCGACGAAGCGGAGGAACCCTTCGGGCAAGCCTTTTACCAGCGCGCGTAGGTAGGCACCGACTACTTCTGGGTCACGTTCTACCGGCCATAGATACTCCCCAAGACTCCCCGTGAGGACAGCTTCGACGGGTGTTCGTACAGTCTTCAATAGATGACCGTAGTCAGCCCAGAGGTATTTCCTGTAGTCAATCGGGTACCTCATAGACGTGGGAGGCAACAGGAGTCGAGCGAAGAGCGGATGTGAGAAGGATATCGCGTCGTACAATGCCACAAAGTCGGTGTAGAACTGGTAGAAGGGGGTTCCTGAACCGAGAAAGCGCGTAGCAACGCTTTCTAGACTTGGCGCTGAACCACGGGAACGGGGAAGAACCAGGGAGCTGGTCGATGCGCTCGCCGAGAAAGGCGCCATGAGGTCTTCCATGAACTGGCCGACAGTCTTGTCGCGGAAGACTTCCTCTGTGGAGTCATTATGCTGCTGGCCGTGTTCGAGCATGTATACCTTCATGCATGAGAAGATCGTCTCCTCGCGTGACATCGCGAATGCCTGAAGCCCATGCAGTTGTGCGACCTCTCGGACAACCCGGGCGAGGAGCAAGCAGGCCCGCACGACTTCCGTCTCGGACGCGTCCCACGAAGAAGGCAACGACTTGAATACGTCGGAGTCGCCCGACCGCAAGAGGTGATCAAGCGGCGAGCACATCCAGTCTCGCGTGAGAGGAAGGGGAAGGGTACGTCGAGTGTTCGTGACCAGGACTCCCGCTGGAGGTAGTCTCTGCGTGGTCGAGAGCGATATCGAATCTGGAGATATCCACTGTGGCCCTATATACGCATGCTCCTTCGGCCGAAGGGAGTAAGCCAGGAAAGGCTTGATCGCGTCCATTCCGCCCTTCCTCCAGATGACTGGAGGGACCGTCCATCCGCGCGCACCCATGAAGCTGGGCGTAATGAGACTAGTCACGAGATCGACGATGTGCCGAGCTGCCTCTTCGTCTCCTGGGAGGAGCCTAGACAGAATAGCCAATGCCTGAGCCATCCATAAGGCATCCGATACGCCGGGCATATGGGGCGACAGTTGGAGGTAGGAACACAGCAACAAGGAAAGGGATTTGCAGAACGCATAGCCATACGAGACGGATCCTTGAGCGAGCGCAGAATCCCATATGGGGTGAGTCGTGATCTGAGCACAGAGATCAGAGAGCTCGCGGAAGGGTAATTGGAACGGTGGGGAATCGGGTGGTCCAGATGACTGCGGCGATACGCATGCGAGCCAAAGGCGCAGAGCTGCTGCAAGCCGGCTGGCATGTTCGGCCATCTCTTGGAGCTTGGGTAGGTCCTCCGGCTGCAGGGTACGCACGCCAATAGTGGCGAGCTGTCCCAAGACTGTGCTGAGTGTTCTCCCAGAATTCTCGACTACGATCTTCTCTAGGCCGTCGCGGAACTGGTCTTGAACCGCAGCGATGACGACGCCCCTCTCCTTCTCGCCTCCCTTGACACCGTTGATCTTCGCTCCCTCCAACCACGCCGCTGCGGCGCGCCAGAGCGCAGTCCATACAGCGGCATCTTCCTCCGCTAGCCTTTCCCTTATCTCCAGGATATCGTCGCCCCATCCCCAGCCAGCAACTTGGCTCCACAATATCTCGTGTCCAGGCGACGTACGGTGCGGGTCTCGCGCGCAGACCATCCACGCCTCGAGCAGGGCCAGCCACGCCTCACGCAATTGCCGAGATCGGCACTCTTCCGAGAGTACGTATTGACCGAGTTTTGTGAGATGTTCGGATGCGGTGGTTGCGATGTGCGAGTAGAGACCGTACGAGGCGAAGACGGTGTAGAGATGGAGAGTACCGTTGAGGAGAGCAGTGGCCAGGGCGAGAGGATATGGCGACGCCGGAGGAAGGGTAGTGACGAAACGCAAAAGTGCATCCGCTGGGTCGAGTAGTGCCGATGCATTCGTACGGGATGCTGACGCGAGTGTATTGAGGAGTTGTAGCGCAGACGGATCTGGGCGGGGGGTGGAGTCGGTCGGTGGAAAAGGTGTGAGAAGAAATCGCTGAATCACGTTGGCGACGAGCCCGGTGGTTGGGACAATGCTGTTTGCTATAGCATTCGTGTGCTGTGCCAGGCGATGAAGGATGGCCAACAACTGTGCGAGTGTCTCCGCAGGCTGAGCACCCGCTGAGAACGAGTTGCTGATCTGCGCGAGGACATATTCCAGCGGCAGACTAGTCAAGATGTCTTCACCCTTGCTATCCGATGTCGATGGCGAAGAGTCCGGCTGACGGGCGGCTTGCAGCTCGACGCCTTCGACATCGATGACATCCTCGTCCCACCCGACAATGCACTCCCACATCACCTCGATAGCTCGCGCGCCCACGCCGCCACGCTCTACCATCGCCTCGACGCCCGTAGCCAATGCTCGCTTCCGGACAGCCTCGGCCTGTCCTTGCAGCTGCGTGATGCCTTGTTCAGGGTCCCGCGCCCGCCCCTTGCCCAACCTCCGAATGATGCGGCCGAGCACGCCGAGCATCGTCGCACGCTGCGCTGGGACAGTCGAGCGTGAAAGCCAGAAAACGTCCTCGAGCGTGTACCCCGCGCGGTCCCCGTCCGCATGGTGATGCAGGCCAAGATGCGTGGGCAATGTCGCAGACAGTTCCGGCGGGATCGGCGTGCCCGTCAAGTCAAACCGCAGCGTCGAGTCGGGCTCGGGCGTTGACTGAGGCGCCGCCGAGGACGGACCGCCCTCGATCCACTCGAGCGACGGGTCGTGTGCAGGCGCCGTGGGGAAGAACCGCCGACGGATATCCTCGGGTGTGCCCTCCCCCAGGCTGTTCACGGTCGTAGCGGAGTGATCGACAGCAGGCGCCTGCGCGTCGCGCCGTCGGATTGGTCCAGTGTTACCTTTCCATTCACCGAGCGACGTGGTGGGTCCGTCTGCCGGAGATGGCGGGGGAAGCGCGAGCGCCTTCTTTCGTGGGGAGGGCGGGGCGGACTCGTAGACGTGAATGTCCGTGGGTGCGAGCTCCGCGAACCGGATTCTTCGATCGGCACGACTTGAAGGACGTGTTCCAGGTCTGGACAACGCTGACTGAGGAGGACTAGATGGTCGAGACGTCCTGCCTGGAATCATCGTCAGGGAAATCAATAGAGAGCGAGCACTCAAGTGCTTACCGTCTGCTGAGAGAGGTGGAGAGTTGGGTGGGCTCGGGACCATAGGTATCTCTTCTGCACCCTCGATTGGCCTCTCCTTGCGTTCCCGGGCCTCCCTCGCCTTCCTCAGAATCTCACCTACGTCAGGCCCGAACTTCTCCAAAATCTCTCTCCGCTCTTGTTCCCGCTCTTCATCCGTCATGGTGTCCACTCGTCTTCGATTCTCCTCCTCTATCTGTCTTCTCCAGTCACCGGACTCCCCTGACGCAGGCTTCGCAGCAACTCTCGGCTTCGGGATCTCGACTTTCATCGTGGGCTGAACGACAGGCACATATTGCGGTTTACTCGGCTCGCCTTTCTTCTGTTCCTCTCTTGCACGCGCGAATGCGCTCTTTGAGCGGTGCTGCACGGACGGGAACCCCGTCTTCCCTGACAAGCTAGCTTTGAATGTCGGCGCATTCGGCTTCGATTGGGGTTTGCGCTCGAAAATGGAGCCGATGAGGGGCGAGTGGGACGTTGTCATAGCTGGGATAATTGATTAGCGAAGTCCTCAGGTTTAACGGCTGGAGGCAAGAGACTCACCAGAAGTTTTGAACGCAGTCGTGAAAGACGCGAGAAACGTCTCTAACTACTTATAGCGCAACGAAGCACCAAGGCAGGCAGGCAGGCGCGAGTCTGTATCCGTAAACCCGGCACCCTGGGTAGCGTTGGCGGTAATAGGTGAATACCAAGTGTACTGGCCATAAACCTTTGAAGATTCTTCAATTCAGCCTATCTGAAGAAACGTAGACTGAGTGTACGGTTGTCAGAGGCAGGGCTGAGCGATGAGGCAGGCTGAGGGGAGATGAGGGCGGCGCCAAAGCGATCTATCTACTCTACAAGAGGCGTGAACGTGGGAACCGGAGACAAACGCTAAGACAAACATGGGAGACATTCTCATTGGCTGAGAGACGGACGCCCGAGCGCTGCCCGAGCCTCTCAAGCGCTCCGAGCTTGCGCAACTGCCCGCAATACCTACCGGTTACCTGGCATCCTTCATCATGAATTCATCACTCAGACTCGCGCGGGGCACTTAACTCAAGTCGACTTCTCACTCTGGCATGGGAAGGCGCAGACCAGCAGGGCAGCGGTAAGGCACAGAAACCAACGAGCAGCATGTGATGGATAATCTGGAGAAAAGCGCGAGGAGGACACGGACAAGCAAAGCGACAAGAACGAAGGGGTCAGTCAGTACTTTTACGAGTGACAGGAATGTACCGAGCGCAGCGATGGAGACGGGCGCCGTGAGTGCAATTACACGCGAGCGGGCGAGCTAATTGCAGGCACAGGACACGGCGACATGCAGCACAACACACGACGATCGCGAGCACGCAGGGCTAATGCCCAACGCGAAAACACGGCCGACGAACAGACCGCCGTGCCTGAGCAAAGGAGTCAGAGGTATGGGAGAATGGGTAGGCGCAAGACGCAGTCGCTGCGGCTACATGAAGCGCGACGCGCACGCAGACCGCGAGCGCGCCAAGCGAATGCCTAACACGCAGACGTGGCCAACGAACGCGCGCAGAGCCAGCGGACAGGCGGGCGAGCATGCGGGCAGATGAGCAGGTGTGGACGGGCAAGCGAGTAGATGGGCGGGAGAGCGTGCGGGCGAACAGGCGAGTGGGCAGGCGACAGCACACTGACACACCTCGACCGTGAGCGCGCCGCTGGGCGAACACCCAACGCACGCAGGCACAGTTGACGGACGCGCACGCAGCCGATATGCGGACCCATAGCTACGAGCAGGGAGAGCCAGCAGATGGCCCGCGGGCGCAGACGGGAGCGAGTGGGCAGGGAAGGACAAATGACTGACAGAGACGGGTGAGGACGAGGGGATGAGATGGGCCGGTCGAGCAAGAACGAGTGAATTTCAGGTACAACATGCGGCAACACCAAGGATGCAAGCACAACGCGCGCTCGAGTCTGCTTGAGCCCGTTGCGTCGGACGCGGTGCTGCCGGTGCATGAGAACACTCGACACCATCCCGCATCTCATGTAGGCGACGACGAATAGCGGAAAAGAAGTATGTTGCTATCAGATCCCTTTTGCTGAACTTACTGAATGCTTCTACTGTAACGTCCACTCGCATCACCACACCGACACGCCAACTACGACTACACAGGCATCCGTACGCTCCTCCCATCGAGCAATGGCGCGGGCGAGTGAGAGAAGTGCGAATATGGTATGTAGAGCGAGCTTCTGGAGGCAAACAACGACTCATCAGCTTTCCAGCAATCGATAGGGTGGTCCGACTCGGAGAGACCATGGGCATAGTTGTGCCGTACGTGACGTGTGCATATCACCCATCCTGTCTCCCTTACTGCTGCCCGGGGAGACATCTGTCAGTCGAGGTACCTCCCGAGCAGTTGGTATCCCACAGACTGGCATAGGGCCACGAAGCCGACTCCCGAAGGGAGGCGGCTGAGTGGCCTTTCAATTATCAGTCTCTTACGAAGTTGCCTACACTTGCGAATTAACACGGTCACCATCATTCAGCACTCTCGCCCCGCCATGAGCTCGAAGCTATAAGTAATGTAACCGACTCGGAGATATAAGTAAGTTGCAATCGAACTCCGCATACCCGTAGCGGAGCACGGGCATCGGCTAGTCTACTCTACAAGAGGCGTGAACGTGGGAACGCGAGACAAACGCTAAGACAAACATTGGAGACAAGAAGACGAGACAAGAAGCAAGAGACAAACGCTAGAGACATTCTCATTGGCTGAGAGACGGACGCCCGAACGCTGCCCGAGCCTCTCAAGCGCTCCGAGCTCGCGCTAGCCGCAACACCTACCGGTTACCTGGCATCCTTCCTCATTAATTCATTACTCAGACTCGCCGCGGCACTTAAGTCGACTTCTCACTATGGCATGGGAGCGCGCGGACCAGCAGGGCAGCGGTAAGGCACAGAAATCAACGAGCAGCATGTGACAGATAATCTGGAGAAAAGGGCGAGGAGGACACGGACAAGCAAAGCGACGAGAATGAAGGGGTCAGTCAGTACTTTCACGAGTGACAGGAATGTACCGAGCGCAGCGATGGAGATGGGCGCCGTGAGTGCAGATACATGCGAGCGAGCGAGCTAATTGCAGGCACAGAACGCGGCGACGTGCAGCACAACGCACGACGCGCAACGCACGACGATCGCGAGCACGCAGCCTGAGGGCTAATGCCCAACGCGAAAACACGGCCGACGAACGGACCGCCGTGCCTGAGCGAAGGAGTCGGAGGCATGGGAGAATGGGCAGGCGCAGGGCGCAGTCGCCGTGGCTTCAACATGAAGTGCGACGCACACGCCGACCGCGAGCGCACCGGGCGAATGCCCAGCACGCAGACACGGCCGACGAACGCGCGCAGAGCGAGCCGCCGGACAGGTGAGCAGGCGTGGACAGGCAATCGGACGGGCAAGCAAGCGAGTGGATGGGCGGGAGAGCGGCTGATCGGGCAGGCGAGTGGACAGGCGACAGCACACTGGCACACCCTCGACTGCGAGTGCGCTGGGCGGACACCCACTGCGCGCAGACACGGCCGACAGAGGCGAGCGAGTGGGATCCCAAGCGAGCCACGATACGCACAGCAAGGGCGAGGGCGAATGTTCGGCGAGCATGCAGGGCAGAAGCGCAGCGGACTCGCGGATCACGGGCGCGGGCGTAGGTACGAGCAGGGAGGGCTAGAAAATGACGTGCGTGGACTGGAGCGAGTGGGCAGGGAAGGGTGAATGGCTGGCAGAGACGGGCGAGGATGAGGGAATGAGACAGGCGAGGATGAGGGAATGAGATGGGCGAGGATGAGCAAGGTCGAGCAAGGTCGAGCGAGTGTCAGGTACGACGCGCGGCAACACCGAGGATGCAAGCACAACGCGCTCTCGAGTCTGCTTGGGCCCGTTGCGTCGGACGCGGTGCATGGGAACGCTCGACACGTCATTCTGCATCTCATGTGGACGGTGACGAACAGTGAGAAACAAGTATGTGAGCCATCAGGCCGCGTTCCTTCAGTCCGAGTGACAGTTCTGCTAAAATTACTGTATGCTTCTACCTTGACAACCACCCGCACCACTACACAGACAGACACACTGACTATGACTACGCAGGCATCCCTACGCCCCTCCCACTCCGAGTCTGGGTTATGATTGTATGCAAAGTACATGCCCAGATCGGGGCAACACTGTCCACCCCTTACCGGCCGCTGCAGTGATGAGGCACTTCCCTGGGTGCATTAATATGGCCTGCGAGCGGTTATGGTGGTCGAACGGTGCGTCTGCGTGGTCTAACAGCTGCTCATGAAGGCGAATTTGTATAGCTGATAAATGTACGTTCGAGCTAAATTAATGATGTTTCCTGAGTCCGGCGACTGATGGAGTTCATCACCGCCCACAGACTGCATTGAGTGCCACAGCAGGTGTGGTTGGCAGCGAGTATGCACCCAATGAGAGGAGCATGGTGAGCAAGGGTGGTGCGGGACGAGCGCGCGAAGCCAGAGCTCCCCGGTACCCAACAGCACGACGAGAACGACTCAGCGAGGACAGGCGCGGGCGAGCGAGGAGAGCGAATACATATGGTATGTAGAGCAAGCGTCGGGAGGTATACAATGACTGACCAGCTTTTCGGCAATCGATGGAGTAGGCCTACTCGGAGAGGCCATGGGCATGGGTGTGCTGCACGTAATGCCTGCATACCACCCATTCTGTGTTGCAATCTCTTGATCATGTTGCCCGGGGAGACAGGCGAGGCAGATCGACTTACTCCCGAACAGTTGGTATTCCACAAACTGGCACGGGGCCACGAAGCCGACTCCCGAAGGGAGGCGGCTGAGTGGCCTTTCAATTAATATCAGTCTCTTACAGAAGTCGCCTACGCTTGCAAATTAGGACAGTCACACTTTTCGAGCACTCGCCCCGCCATGTGAATGATTTATTCGAAAGCGCATACCCGTAGCGGAGCACGGGCATCGGCTAGTTTATGCCACATATGAAGTAGTAGGGCACGTGGATCGCCGGATTTGACCTTGCTCTACATTTTTTCTACATTTTCTCTACATGCTCTACTGGTGCTCTACCTGACGCCTTGTCGGCTCTTATGGTCTGCGACGCAAACTAGCTCTACCTTGACTCTATCTGTCCTCGTCACAGTAGGTCAGTGTCTCTCAGGCTAAGTTACGTCTCATCGTTTCAAAGATCTGACTTAACACCGCCGTTCTCAGGCTGGAGCTTGCTCTGTGCTGAAATTTCCTTGTAAGATCACCTCCTGAGGACACGACGTTCAACTTCACTCTCTAGGCCAGATTCAAGATGCCCGGCACTGCGGGCTGCCAATGGTCGGCTATGTGCAACTTGAAGGCATATTATATCAAGATTCAAGGCTACTTCCGCGCACCACGGCTACCTCTGTCATAACAGATTATCTCGAAGAGTGTGGTCCAGCGTGCTACCGATGTTCGATTGACGGAGATACACCAGGTACCGAACCGAAGGCTCGCGGGAATCCGATCGAGCGCGCCTTCAACTGTATAATCCGGCATACGTATGAAAGCCCAGTGAGACAGCGGTCATGCGCTGATTCTGGGTGAGTACAATGTTGATCTTTCCATGAGAATGCTCACCACAATTGTATCCACGTCGTCCGGTAAGTTCGGGCTGTCACGCAATACGGCGCCTCAACTCATCTACACTCTCCTCTCAGGCAGGCCGATCTTGATTCGGCGGACACTTCAGACATACCTCTATGACGATCGTCGATAACATATGCCTGGAAGAATCCACAATTGTCCTAGCTTCCGGAATGCTTCATTCAGCCTTCGCTGTCTAAGGCGCTTGACAAGTCTGGAGGCCCCGACTACGTACGCGCTCTGCGCTTGTCGCTACCCTGTGGTCGGCAACGAAGGCTACTAATAGGGCTGTGCGGGTATGGAGAGCCTCGTTTGTCTCAGGTCTGTCGAGAAATGACTACGACCTTCAAAAAAGTACATTCTTACCCCGCACGTTGGTCGATACGCCGCCTGCTCCATATGCGCGTCCGCAGGCGTCATTGAACCTTCTGTCTTTCACAGCGCCGTTTTACACCAATTGCGAGTTCGTGACCGGCTCCGCGACGTCCCGGTGAGTCATGTATGACATATATCCGTATGCAGGCACAGCTTGCGTGTCGTACGCATGATACGCACTGGCAGGCAACACACATGTACAGGCGATATTTATCACTTGTCAGAGGAAGTTTCCGCAGCCGGTGACTGAACCGCTGGCGACCAATTGTCTCGGGGACACAAGGGCTACTCGGTGTGGTTGTGCAAAGTGTTCCACCGCGCCGGCACCGCGTGAACGTGTCCTTATCTGCCAGGTTTCGTTCTCGGAACCATTGGAGAACCACCCTATATTAGGATCCATGACTTACATCGAGGAAGCTTCTTGGCTTTGTTATGACTGGATGCGCGCGGTTCAATGGCAGTGTTGTCTGCTGGGTTGGTATTGGTTCTTACGCGTGGGTATATCCTGTAGCTTTCATGATGGCCAAACAATGCAACTTGTAACGCAGGATGCGATGTTCGATTATTACTGTACTTCTAGGACTCACTACACATCTTCATTATACAACGTAACACTAGCGTACGGGTACATATGCCGTCGAGAATTAGTTCGTGGGGTCGTAATAATAGTCCGCTAAGTTATCTCGAGTAGTCTAGATATATACAGTATATGTAGGTGTCAACGAGGCCGGGTGAGGAGCTGGTCAACCATGGTGGAAGAGATGCCGAGGGGCAATGTTGTGTCTTCTATTCCGCGCGAGAACGATAGGTGTCGTGACGCCCGCGGGCGCACTGGCAGATGGGAATTTGTCGCGACGGCACAACGCCATCGTCTATAGGACATCGTCAACTCTACTCGAGACGTGACTATCGGCCATCGTACCTTTCCTGCACGCAGTGCCGATGTGCTCAGAAGAAGACAGGAGCAGACGAGCTCGCAAGCCCGCGAATGTTGGACGCTCCCCCATTTGGTCTAGGTGCAGGGGAGTTCGACGCGGGAGCAGATGATGCGACGGCGACAGCCGCGTTGTACGAGACGAGGACGGCAGAGTCGGACTGCATGATGCAACGAGGATGAGGAAGAGGCGAAGTAGTGGTCGATGCGATCTTCGCTGGATGTGCGGTCGGGCGGTACGGTTGCTCGTGGGTGGTTTGGGTGCTGAGGAGAGCTATCGCCGCTCGTGCACAGACTTCTTATACGCAGCGCCCCGTTCAACATCGTAACCTGATGTGCCTGCGAAACATCTTCGGACGTGGCTGTTACCCGGCCGTGATCCCCTCCAACTGAACGCGCGGGAATGCATCAGTTAATGGACACCCCTTGCCAGTAGGCCGTGACGCGGCCAAGCGTACCACTGGGGCGCCCGGCGCGCTCTGACTCTGAGATCAGCTTCTGCGATTTAATGCACAGTTTGACATGAGAGAATCGAGATGCATCAAGGCCCTGAGCCGCTGAGCGGAACCAGAGAGCCTGAGGCGTCTGGAAAAGGTGATGCTCTGCACCGCCCTCGCGGTTTCATGATTGGTGGAAGCAATTGGGCGGCAATGGGTTTCCAGTTCGAGAGTGAAACGCCAGGCAGGTTCTCGCTCAGAAGTTGCTGAGTGGTTTGTAAGGACAGCGCTTTCGGGCGAACCACGCAAGCGGCGTCTGTGCGGGTGTATCCATGAGAGAATCCGCAGGGTGGACGGGATGATCTGCGGTAAGGGGCGTTCCCTCGCTGTCGACCCCGAGCAAGTCATTCCCGGCTCAGACCATCGTGTCGGAACACGATAGTCAGAGGCATTCTCACAGGACCCTAATGTTGATTCAAACGGTCTCCATGTTGACAGGCGGGCAAAGGCGGACAACTGGGGCAAATCGCAGAGAAGCGCGCGGTCAGAGTTGATATGCGCCTGGTCATCTGAAAATCACCTGTACAACCTTCAGGAAGGAGCGTTACCTCCACGAATTGGGGACGGAGTCTGTCAGACTGACTCAGACATGTGCGAAGCCCCATGCATCGTGGCCACCCGTATCGGTCCACCTGAAGGCGTCCGGGCCATGGGAGCTCGTCCGCCGTTGGTCCAAGGCGGCAAACTCGACCTACTATGCCTCTGGGTCAGTCATACCAGCGTCAAGGCCTCTCCCGCGAGAACTTCGTTACCATAGTTTAGAAGTTCACGCATCCTCCGTCCCCTGGCCTTAGCTTCATTCCGGTCAGTTATCGGGGAGCCTATCTGCCACTGCGAAGCGTGAAGTCGGAGCATTAGCCTGGCGCCAACACACACGCAGCCCGATCGACGTCGGGCTCCCAGGAGCACGCGATGTGAGCGAAGCAAAGAGAGAGGAGGAGACGAGGTTATCGCCGATTCGAGGTGATATATCGGTGGGGAAGCGAGAAGCCATGGCGAACAAAATATGAATGAATGAATGGCAGAAGCTTCTTCCATTGACTCGCCCGATGCTGCATATCACCAGGATAGGTGAATCCCGAGGAGGACGAGAGACGGAGCCAGTGAGAAGGGGGTGCTGGGGTCGGATGCAGGATGTGCAGGCCGAGAGTTGGACGGAGAGTTGAGGTCAGGAAGATGCAAGTCCCGATAAGCACCGAGAGAAGCCAGGGTGAGGAACTGTCCGGACAGGCTGCTGAAAAACGTCAGGCCGAGTCACATCATGGTTGTCGCGGAAACCACAGAAACAAATTTGTGCGTTGATGATTCGATGATGACCGAGTTGTCGGCACCGTAGCGTGCTGTAGACCCCAACATAATACCGGCATAGTTGACGGCTTCCATGCCAAAGTCACGGAAGATGGGCTGACGCAGGCCAGCTTCTTGCACCACACCAGCAGGTCCAGACGTTGCCAACGTAGATGCATGGTTCAGGTTCTGAGACACATACATATGCTGGTTGTGAGCCGCAGCGGTGACTTGCTGCACTTACACGGACTGTTACAGTTATATTCTTACACAACCTCCGCGATGATTTTTCCACTGAAATATTACAGCATCGCGTCAAAAGCAGGTCCATCCAGTGACACGTGCCACTGACCTATTCTTGTTGGCCTCCATCTCACGGTGTGCTTCCTGTATCTCTGTCCACGGATAAGTCTGCACCCGGGGCATGTGTCGAGGACGAGGGGTAAAAATGATGATGTCAATTTATTTTGTGAGAAAATAGGAATTTCTCCCACCTTGTGGATGTACGTTCGCACCTCGCCGTCTCCAGCACTGCCAGTGATGTGGCTAAGAACACCATCCCGGAATCTGGAAAAAGGAATGGTTCAATCACCAGGTGGATTGTACAGACTGAGACGTGCTCACTTCCTCACAAGGTCGCCTTGGTAAGCCGGGGAGCGAGCGCGGAGCGTGGACCCTTGAATGCGAAGTCGCTTGTACAATAGAGGGCCCAGACTGAATTTCTCAACTTCGCCGCCTGTCAACGTTTTGGGGTTGAGTCTGACAAATGATGCAGCGCGACAGACATATTCGTACCGCTGAGCAAGCCGAGCATGGTCATTCTTCCGTCAGCGGCGAGAGCGTCAATATTCTTCTGCCAATGGCTCTGGCCGACGAAATCAATTATCACGTCGACACCTTTACCGCCAGTGGTCTTTTTGGCCTCCGCCGCAAAATCTTCGGTCTTGTAATTGACGACATGCGTAGCGCCATTGGGAATGGAGAGCAGCCAGTCAAGCTTGTCTTGGGTTGAAGCGGTGGCGGTAACCGTGTTGCTTAAAACAGTCGAGCATTTAGACTGGTCTCTGAACTCTCAATCTGAGACGGGCAAAAGCAGACTTACGCGCCATAGAGCCGGGCGAGTTGAATCGCAGCGACGCCAACACCCGATGCACCCGCGTGAATGAGAACGTCGTCCCCCTTCTTCACTTCGGCGATGACAACCAGAGCCTGGAATGCTTTTTGCTGGACGTCAGTGGCAGATCCCACGTTGACATACAAGCCGTATTACCGGTGAGGAAATTCTCCGGGATGCTCGCCGCCTCGTGCCACGAAAGGTGCGATGGCTTCTTCATGACATTTGTCTCTGGGAGAGTGATGAACTCCGCGTACGCGCCCTGCGACGAGGATGATGGTATCAGGCATCAACACTTTCAAAAATAATGTTGCGGGACTCACTCCGTAGGCAAGACCGAATACTTCATCGCCTTCCTTCCAGTCGGTAACGCCTTCGCCGAGTCCGGCTATATGCCCGGAGAATTCGACACCTAGGATGGTAGACGCGCCCGGAGGGAGGGGGTACTTGCCCTCCCGTTGAAGAACATCCATGCGATTGAGGCCGAAGACCTTGACCTGGAGGCACGCTTATGAGTGGACGGAGGGATATCGAGATCAGCTTCCTACCTTGACCAGGACTTCCCCCGGCTTAGGGCCAGGCTTCTCGGTCTCGCCGAGATAGAGGTTCTCGATGGGACCTTTGCCGTCCTTAATAAGAATCGCCCGCATAGTCTTTAAGTCCTAGATGAAGTGTGGTGGGAAATTCGGCGCTGCCTGCCAGATGGTCCCGTTAGTTCGTGGACTGAACGCTTGAAGTCTACGGGTACGTTGACGTACTAGTTGATATAATCCACTCGAGCTGCTGGGATTATCCTGAAAGCTTCCTTGATAATGCCGGGACCTGCAGGTAGGAAAGGGAGGAGGACTTTTGGATCAGTGCTCGAACTCATGCAGCACTTTGACGTCGGGAACCCGATGAGCTCATCCTGGGCGTCTGCGAGGCTGAGTAAGGCTGGAAAATCATAGTCTCCGTTGCTGACCAAAAAGAGTAGGAAAAATCACAGACTAACTTAGAACGAGTTGAATGCTATCGATATGTAATAATAAGTACAGGGATTCTCGAGTTAACTGATACGACGTTATAGGGAGGTAAGTAACCAAATTTTGTCTCTGTTGTTCTTGTCTGCAATCTCGACGCCGACTCACACTGCTCGTGCCATTAGTATTAGCAAGAAGTGTATTCTCTGGAGTGTGGTCTGCTCGCTCGCTGTTCAACCGCATCCTGAATCCAGATATGCAAACATCGGCCTACCCCAGCAAGTGCTGAGCTAGGAACGGTACTGGGCTGTGGTCTGCTGTGGTAGGGATGGGGATAATCCTCGACGTACCAAGTGCCAGTCACCGGGATTGAATGTGACGTGGCCACCGTCTATCTGCCGTCCGGTATGCTCCATTCTTGCGACGCATCTAGTGGCCATGCCTGAAGCCGACGATATGGTGTTTCATTGTGCGAAGAGCGATGCCTTGCTGGCAAAAAGGGGCGATGCCGTGGTATAGCCGTATGATAGCGTGAGTGCTATGTTCACGCAGATGGTCTCAGATGTAGTCGGGATGTTAACGGGACGAAACAGTCAACATGCCGTCACCATGCTGTGCACTGCAGCATGACTGTACATCCGCTCGCAGCGCCTGACCCAATCTGTCTTGCACTGTGCTTGTTCTCTGTAACAGGTTTTCTCGGTCGTAATGCGGAGAAGCTCGGCTGATTGAGGAAGGGGGAGAGATTCGGGGCGATGTGCAACCAAGTGATCTCCTCAGGGAGGATTGGTGAGGTGACGCCTTGGTCGAGGCTGGCGTTGTGGTTATCGCGTGAGCACTGTGAGGTATGTAAGGTGAAAACTTTCAACGGTCTAACGTATTGTGCTTCTGTTGCACTACTAGGAGCTGAAACCAACTACGGAAAGGTCCGTCGTGCAGGCCAGCACCCGCAGGCTACGGCTGCACCCCTGATATTCAGCATTGACGCCGGTTTGCACTTGGTTCTCGCACACAAATTGTGGATGTAGATGGTGCGCCCAAGCCTTCTATTTTCTACCAGACGCCAGACCAGATCCCATGTGGGAATCAACTCGGTGATATCAGGACTTAGAACTCCGGCCCCTCTTCTAGGGTGATCATACCTAACTGTACCAAAGTACGGGACAGGCACCGTACTACTAAACCATCCTCAGCCGCCTACGTGTGAAGCGATCTGTCACCGAACGCAGCGGACAACAGTTCGTCGACACTGAATCATCCGCAGGCATCATTTATAGGCCATGCAATACCGAATGATGCTTACCAGGAACGTGCAGGACGACGAACTGCGCCGGTCGGCCTCGAGGCCTCTCCAGTGAAAGTACCTGTGCGTGCTCATCTCCGCAGAGATTGCCGCCGGCCGCATACAGATCCGCCTCTGTGCATGTAACATCCGAAGTGAGATCTGAAGCAGTTAGGTCCGTCGGCAACACACGTCACGTCCCTCACCGCCAGGGGTATACGTTACTGTGGCCATTATTGCTAATTGTGCGTCAGTGAGAACGTGAGTGGTTCCGATCATCCTAGTCACCCAGCGGCATTTACGAGCTTCTTCGATCAAACGCCCACAGAGCTGTGCTGCGGTGGGCGAATTGCCGTTCCATTAAGTATATCCTTGACCGTATAAAACGGGCCGATGCACTCTGCTGCATCTCAAAGCAGTCCAAGTCTACCCGCTCCTGTCTCAGCTACTGCAACTCACCCACTCATAGAGCATCCTAAACCATCCTCTAATTCTAACCTACATTCGAACGTCATGCCTTTCCGTGCCAACTTCGCCGTCGCGACTTCCTCCCCCATGTTCGCCCACGCGCGCACCCACCGTCTGTCGCTTGCCCCCGCCAGCAAGCCGAACACCAACCAGCCCAGCAAGCCGCAGACGTCGTCGTCCTCGCAGAACGCCATCAAGGGCGCGGCGAGCTCGGCAGGCCCCGTCTTCTTCTAGCCCATCGCCGGAAGGCTCAGCGCTCGCGCTCAGCTCTCAGCCAAGCCACGCGAGCGTTGAACAGGCGTTCTGCATCGCCACCACCAATCACCATATGCTGATCTTCTCTCGCTCCCCATGACCAACGCAATCACCGCCCGACGCCTACACCGCCATCTCCCCCATCCACGCTATCCTAATTCGTCCACGCATACACGGTCTTCATCGCCCAATCACGTCTCAAGCTTGTCTCGCCCGCTGTTTGGGCCCGGTCGCCCTCGGCGTTGGGCGTAGATCCCCCGTCGCCCCCGGCGGCTTGGTTCCAGATTCATAACTCCCTGCACATCGGATCTTGCTACTATTCGGCCGGGATCTCGCCACCTTAGCACTCGACAGCCCTCCTTACTGTGTATGGGCCGTAATGCCCTAGATCCTTGTTCAGAGGTATGCTAGACACCTCAGAATACGAGAAAATAATAGAAAAATTCAGCATCATTGAGTGGACTCAGTACACAACTCTCGTTGAAGTAGGGTGAGCCACACAGACTAGGAAGTCGGCACACCTTGGAATAGCTCACTACATTGAAGAGGCCCATCTGCATGGACTGTAATCTTGAAGATATATTCAAGTATATGATTCTGATTATTTCTAGGCCGCAATGCGCCAGAATCCGAGTGAGTACCAGTCATGGGCGAGGGTTGGGATCCAAGCCACTGCTTACCAAAATGGGTATATCGACAGATGATTTTTCCTGCACCGGATCTTGTGTATTGGCTTGAAAGTTTGTACAGTAGTAAAGAATTATAGAATCATGACACAATTTATTTCATGCTGTAGAGTAGGTGGTAATTGGATGAGACTCGAGTGACCGACTACCTAGGTGGCCGAATCTGACCCGATATAGTAGTACTTGCATGTAGTAACTTATCGCTTCTCTCTCCATGTCGACGCATACATACCTCACCGCCCTATGCCTGTCAGTTTCCCCATCGCCCCTGCCTTCATAATATCACCTTCGTAGCCGTTGTATTACTCGCCACTTGAACTTCTAGAGTAGATTGCTCATACACATACATATAATCCTCTGGATGTAGCTATTTGTTAGCAGAAAAGGTTCGCTTGATATAATTCCACTCTCTGAGAGAACGTCCTGGCATGGCAGCTATCAGTAGTAAGTTGCACAAAGACGTGCTATAGCTGCACACCGTGTTCATGTGCATTCAGAATCTAAGTCTAGTATGGCAAAATGAAGTCGTACGGGGCCTCTGATCCAACTGGTATCGGAGCGGGGCCAACTTCGACGATGTCCATTGCAAGTCGGCTCGCGACAGTCCGGACCCAGGCTCGTCGCTTCGCTAGAATTTACGATGGCTCACCGTACAGGTATAGGTGATGTCCTTCCTGTCATGCGAATCGTCGCGTCGCGGTTAATGCGTACCACGTACTAGCACATCGCCCTTCCGAATCGCCCTAGCTAAATTAATTGGCACCATGTTTAGGGGCTCGATTCGGAGATTTCGCCGTGCACTAGCACCTGCAAGTAGTGGCGCATCATGGACAATCAACCGACAGGAGTGTCTCAATTGTATGTCTGCTCGGGTGCCAGAAAATAAATGTGCGATTCATTAGTCACAGCCCAGTAAATCGAGACTAAGTTGCAGGCCCACCGCCACTCGGTTGATCCTCCGGGGGATTTTCTATAATTGCTGATCAACTTGTATAAAACAACGCACTGCGGATCATAGACACGCCCAAAGGACTGGTAGATCCAATACACCTCGGCGGCGGCTCCCTATTCTTGGGCTGACACGACAGTAGTACACTGGACGAACAAGCCCTAGCAGATGTGCGGGTGAGTAAGATGAGTACGCACAGAAGAACCGTGAGATTGTAGCAACAAAGTATCTAGTACACCTCAGGAAATAATTGCACCGACTCGATAGCTATCCGAGAGCAGAGAGCAAAATGAGCGCCTCATAGATGCTTTTTACCAACGACAGCGTCCTTCGCACTCTTCGCCGCAGGCGCTGCGCCCAACGCCTTGTCCTTTTTCTTCTCACCGCCAGCGGCACCTCGCTTCTTTTTCAGCTCGCCCGTCGTTGGAGACGCAACGGCAACCGAATCCGTGACTTCCGCATGAGCAACGTCCTCCGCGGCCGCGGCAGCTTTCTTGTGCTTGCGCTTGACCTTCTTGGGTTCAGCCACATCAACATTAGCCTCCGCAGCTTCGACAGGAGCAGCGGATGGTGCCGCCGCACGAGCAGAGGAAGGCGCGGGGGCGTCTGTACTCTCGGGTGCAGCCGATAACGCAGCCTTCGACTTGCGTTTCCTAGGCCTTTTGGTGGAAAGCGGACTCGCAGCCACCTCAGTGTCGCCGTTCGCAGCGTTTGCCTTTTCCGGACTGACGCTCGAGGCCTCGTTCGCGACTTGCTCTAGAGCGCTCTTCAGAGGGGTCGCTTCCACAGGCTTCCCCTTCTTCTTGGGCGTCGATGCGGTCAGCCCGGTGGCGGGTGTGTTGGGGGGACGGATGTAATGGTAGACACAACGTGCGTGGCTGTGGTCTCGCCGTCCTGGAAGAAATCCACCGCCGAAGCGCGTCTCCTTTTCCTCTTCGTGATTGATGGCGTAGCGGGAGAAACGGGCTCAGGCGGAACGCCAGCGGACCCCGTATCTTCCCCTCGTGCAGCGGGAGTCGCAGGAGGAGCGGCAGCAGTCTCGGACGACTGCACTGCCTGGACTTCGGCGGCTCCGGACGCGGCCTTCACTCTCTTCCGTTTCCTCTTGGTGGCGCCCTCGCTATTCTCTGCTGAGGCAGGCGCAGGCTGGGAAGACGTCGCGGACACAACTGCATCTGTGGAAGCACCAGCGGTGTCCTCGGACGCTGCAGCGTCGCCAGCCGCAGCCTTCGCGTGCCTCCGCTTCCGATGCCTGGAAGGCGTGGTGTTCTCCCCTTCATTTGCGGTCGGCTGCGCTGGTGTCGTTGACTCAAGATGGGCGGTCATCGGAGCCGTAGCGACCACATCGGTGTCTTTGGAAGCCTCGGCTGCGGCACCCTTGTTCCTCTTTCGTTTTCTTGTGGGTCCAGCGGCAGCAGCGTCCTCGGGAAGTTGCGCAAGTGCTGGTCCTGGAGAAGCAGCACGTGCCTCAGTGACTGGCGCTGTTGTGGGTGCGGCGAACGTGGGCGTCTCGGAGGTAGCAGCCTCAGCATCTACCACCTTCCTCTTCCTCCGCTTCTTTGTGGGGGCTGTGGTATCAGCATCCGCCGCCGGCTGGGCTTCCTTTGTGGACACAGAAGGCAGCGCAGACAAGATCTGGGCGGGGGCCGGTGCTTCCGCGAGACTCACGGATGACCTCCGCTTTTTGCCTTGTGTTGGAACATCGATGGAAGCGGGAGTACCCGCCGGTGAGATGGCCGCAGACACATCTGTCGTGCTCTACAAATAGACATTCAACCAGTCACATTCGGTACAGATCAACACCGTCTATCATACCTTCGGCCCAGCTTTAGTAGCCGAGGACGGTGCACGATCTGCTTTGGCTTTCTTCTGCGGTGTGTCGTTGACGTCTTCCGCAGCGCGTTTCTTGCCTTTGCTATGTTCCTTGGACGACGGAATTTGCTCATCAACATCCATGGGCTCTGCCTCGCCCTTCTTCGTCTTCGTCTTCGACACGGGCGTCGGCGCATCCGCGCCGGCCTTCGTCTTGGCGGGCACGGACTCAACATCTCCCACTTCACTCTCCTCTTCACTCTCCTCGGCCTCACTCTCGTCATCTGACCCAGCGTCTGCGACCAAGCCATCCCAGCGTGCGCCGTCTCCCGTGCCCAAGTCGCAACTCCAGATCGGCAAGCTCGCAGATGAATTGGTTTTGATGTGGAAGCTCTGCACGTTGTCCCATTCACCCTTGATGCGCTTGACGATGGCTGGGAGTGCCATCTTCAGGTTGTCCAGGACTTTGGCCGGCGATTGCGAGACAGTGCCGATCTTGACTGACCTGGGCATGACGTAACATTAGAGAAAACACACAGTCGTACGTTTACGTACGAACGTACGTGTTAGTGCCCTGGTTTTGGTGGAAATAGGTAGAGGAGATGGCGCGCTCGAGCTCGCCCTTCAAGTCCTTGCGCGTGAGGCATACGGGAATAGGTTGTCTATAACACGACGTAAGATAAGGCTCGTACAACATAAGGTATCATGACGCACTTTTTCGCTTCGAAGAACTTCTTACCGAGCAAGCCGGGGAGCAGAGGCACGACCCGCTCGTCGGCGAGAAAAAGGTCGTTCTCCTTCAGCAGCATCCTCCGCGCCTCGAACGGCTTGAACTTGCCCTTGAGCTTCTCGATTCCGACTACTCGAGAGATGAATCGGATCCCGTGAGACTCAAGCAAGTCTTTGTACTCCCGTTGCGGGTCTTTCGTGATCAAGCATACAGAAGAAACGCGAGGGTCTACGATCGGATGTGCGATAGGTCTGCAAGGCCTCAGTAGCGATCGGGAAGCATGAAAAACAAATACTTACATCTTGAAAGGCTTCAGCTTCTTCTCCGGCTGCATTTGCTTCACTGTGAGTGAAAGCCATACGTTTTGCTCCTTCCCGGAAGCAGCTCGGTCTGCGCCTTCTTTTCCTGGATTCGAACAGCATGGCTGAGCAGTGCATCCACCGCAAGTTTGCACTGATTTGAAGAGACGTGGTCGCCAATCAACTCGTCTTTTGCCATACTGCCAGGAGTTGAGAGATAGAAAGCGGCGTGCCAGACACGAGCTGAAGATTCACACCTGCACTCAGCAGCAATTGAGCGGCACTCCATGAAATTTCGCGCACGTGGTCGCCTCCGGTCTACGATCTCAGATCTGCTTCTTTCTGAGTTAGGCAACCATGATGTTGGCCTCTCCGAGTCCAACGACTTTGTAACAGCTGTACAGTGTGCGAGCAATGTACACCAGCAATAAGAATACTGACCAGACCATATAGTGAGTATCTTGCATTAAATATAGTACAGGGTGTCTACTGGTGGTTCACGTTAGGTATGTTGCGAGCGGCCACGTGCCACCAGTAGAACGACTTCACGGTCAAGTGCCGGCGGGCCGCAACTCGCGAACCTCCTGGTTCAGGTCGGTCTTATTTACCGACTACGACGGTGGTCGTTCAAACGTTCACTGCTGGCTCTCTGTCTCACAAACAGGCCTATAGCAATCACTGAACTCAGCTGAGCATGCGGGCGCTGTCTCTGCTGATCGTCACTGTCATTCATCTGGGCATTCTTGTCGGTGCGAACAAGAGTCGGCCGTACGAGTTGCTTATCTTTCGCAACCGTAACAACTCGGACTGCACCTTCGCAACACTGAAGTCAGTACAGGAATACAGGGGACTCGCTGCCTATGGACACCTGGGTACCAAGGAATTGAACGACGCTGGGGAGCGCCTCCGCTTCGTTCAGCAGTATCGCGATGAAGCATGGTCGCAGCTGCTGCAACTCTGCGGCCCGGAGGATAGCTGGGACTTTCCTGTACTCACTGACACAGCTCCTATTTCTGTGCCTACGCCGGCTGAGCAGGATGTCCTCGCGGTGCCGGAGCTAGCTCGCGGCTTCTTCCCACTCGAGTTCGAGTTGGAACCACTTGTTAAATCAGGTCACTCGAGCAATAGGGTTGACCTGATGTTCTTCGCAGATGGATGTGCGTAGCGTAGTGAAACCCACATCCCAATCTCATGATTCACGGCTAAACGAAACAGATACGAGGGACGAGCGAGACAAGTTCATCGAAGATGCTTATCGCTTGGCTATGGACATCTCCAGCAACCAGACATTCTATACTGTCAAGCCTTTACTGAACTTTGGGCCGCGTTCACACCTAGCGCAGAGGTGAGCATGTCTTATGACACGTTGTCCATGGGTCTCACCTCACCCTAGAGCGGAGTGGGAACCGATGGCAAGCCCAAAGAGTGCGCATCTAACATTGCATAGCATGAGTATGGGCGCGACATCTCATGAGAGAGTGAATGATATAGTACACCTTTCGGCCTTTACCGCGACGGAACCGAACTTAGGGCAGTTTATTACGCAAAGCCAGAAATTGCGCGAGCGGCATGTTTCTATTTCGAGGACAAGTGCGATTATCCTATCTTGATGGGTATGTCTACCTTACTTCGCCAAACAAAACGCGGCCCTGACGCCTCGCATGCATAGGCAACGATCCGCTATATGGAGGTAACCACCATTCTCTTTGGGAACCATCACCTCTGTCTGACACATATTCCTACGCTGAGGACTCGGGGGAGAATTCACGTAAGTGGCGTACTTACGCTGACAACGGCACAAAGGCCCTCATCTTGGGATTGCAGCGTCATCACGCCCTCGCTCGCCAACGGGGCATTGGTGCTCAGGTACACGTTCGCTATCTGCGTTGTCTACCTGATCTGACCGATACAATTTCCTACGCATGATAGGCACGAACTCGGACATTCGATAATTGACGTCGGGGAGGAGTACGACGGCGGGCCGGATTACTTCGGCGTGAACGCGCACCACAACCTGTCCGAGCCAATATCCTGGGCGCACTGGTTCACAAATGCTTCGCACACACTGCACCAGCACGAAGAGGTACTCCCGCTGATGTCCGGTAGAGCGCTCGGTCATGCCGATGCAAGCGTATCCGTGGACGATGCTCAACACGTCCGCGCCGTGGTCGATTCGTTCAACTCGTCAGGGGTGTATTCGCGGCACTCGTGCGCTTCTCGCTCTCTGGGCTCCCGCAGCGGGGGACCTGAAAGTCGAGATTGACGGCGAGGACTTGGGCTGGACGCCGAGGGTGACATCGGCGAGGACCGGTGGCACTACGACATCCACCGCGACGACCCGCTGAGCGCGGGCGAGCACGAGTGAAGTTCACGCTCGCGAAGGCGATGTGTGGGACCGCCAGCTCTGCAGTGTGGAAGTGTGGAATTCGGGGACGAGGAAGAGTACGTCTCCCGCATCTGCTCGGGAGGCTGACACTGATGACCGGTGGCCTATCGCAGATTCGTAACCGCGCCCGGGTTCTGCGGCGTGTTTCCGACGTGAGCCACCTTCCATTGAACCCCGAGTACCGCAGATCATGCATGGATGCATGATCCCTCGGTCTTGTGGCGTCGGGCCACCGACACTGACAGATCCTCTCCCGCAGGTTCTCAGACATGAACGAGACGACGTACCGCCCAACGAACGAGGACTGCCTGATGCGCATCGTGACGACGCCCAACTTCTGCAAGGTCTGCCTTGAGGGCCTCTGGCTGGCGCTCCTGCGCCGCGTCGACCTCATCGACGACATGCCCGCGTCGTGCGTACGCAAGGGGTGTGAGTGGACGAGGCGCATCGAGCTCAATTTAGTGCCCCTCGGCCAGTTCCGCGAGGAGCCTGTGGATGTGAAGGAGAGCTACAGCATTCTCTGGACGAAGGACGGCGAGGTGCTGGAGGAGTTCACCGATCAGAAGACGCTAGAGGTGGCTGATGGGGATGCCGCGGGAGTGTACACTGCCCACGTCCAGTACTTGACGGAAGATACGTGTTGACAAGGCTGGTCTCACCAAGTCGCAACGAGAGTACAAGATTACGGGCAGCTGTGACGAGCTCAACTGAGCTGATGCACTCTGGTATGCTGGATAGCGTATTAGGATGTAGAAATCTAGCATACATTTTGTCTACCGTGCCCGGAGACCCGCTGTTATATATGACGTCAGTCATACAATCCAAGATGCCGCGGACGAGAACGTACAGTCGAATCACACTCGTGCGAATGGTACCCTGAAGCCCGAGAGCAACGTTCTTGCACGATTTTGCGCACCCGCACCGAATGCGTTCGTGATGAAGTGTATGTGCATACCGTACATCCGTGGGTATGCATCCAGGTTCACTTCAATCTGCGGGAAGAAAGCCATGGCGTCCGGAGGGAGACCTATTGATACGACACCGGAACCCGAATGCGGCAACGTGAGTTGCTGCGACGGTGGAGGCATGGCCACGCCATGGAAGTCTCGAAGACGAGGTAGGACACAGTCGACGAACATGCCGAGGAAGTCGTACATCTTCGGGCCCTTCAAGTCGACCTTGACACCGAGGGGCGCACCGAGGCGAGTCCAACCACCGATGTTCTGGCCACCCTTCACGATCTGCACACCCTCCACCGTCCGCTGCCCGCCCGAGTGTTCCGACTCCCCTGAGATGGCGCGGAAGGCCATGATAGCAGGCAGCAAGTTCGTGCGGCTGCCGAAAGCTTCCTTGACCATCGTGTGCAGCTGTATGCGCTCCAGTTGGATGACATTCTCGGCGGTGACTGGGGGCGGAGGGGTAGCAAATGCCCTGTTGCCACCGACCGGGGGATTGTGACGGTGCTTTGCGTAGGGATCGTTGGGGTCGAACCGAGGCCGGACGGCCCTGTGTGGTTTCCGATCTGGCTCATGCGTGTAGGTCATGTACATCAGGTCGTCGCGCAGGGTGTTGTAGTAGTGGTCGGCGAGACGACTGGCGTGCGTGTCGCGGACGACGATGTTGACATGGGGGACAGGGAGGCCGCGCTCGTCGCGCTTGAGGGGTTTTCGGATGTGCGGGGCGGCCCTGGTCGGGCGAATGCTTTGCGCCGCTGGCGACGCAACGTGTCGTGGGACTTTGGCGACCGCCGCGCTCATCTGTGCAGCCGATGTCAGCCTCCAAACCAAACTTTGAGGCTACCAAGTACCTTTTAGCGTGCCTGGAGTGAACCGTAGCGGACACGGCGGACGATGGACGAGAGAGCAGAAAGAAGGCGGCTCACATGTCCATAACGGGATAATTATTGCTGATAACTCACAGTTTGGATTGCATTCATGGTTACAAGCGACGGAGTAAGTAATCGCCGAAAAGCTGGCTCGCGTACCGGGTCGTCCTGATGCTGCCAGTGCTTCGACTTGGCTTCGACCGTCCTTTGCCGCTGCCCTTCCCGTCCAACTGCTGCCATTCTTTCCCCTCTTTTCTTCGCCATTTGTGAGCGGCAGTACCTCCTTTGGCCCTTTCTCTCCTGAACCGGTCCATGGCACTCACTGCGACCGCTCAATCGGCACTTCGAGAACCTGTATGGGACGAGGAGATCGTTCCGACTTTACGCAAACGTCAGTTCTTTCCTTCTTACGTACCCGCGTCTGTCCTTGACATGCTCCACAGGCCTACAGAATGAAAGCAACGTACTCGCGCGACGGATCTCAGCCGTCTCGGTCGGCTCAGCCGACGACCATACCGACATGTACCAGTCAACCACTTCTCTATCGCGTGAAGACGCGACCACGCCGTCAGCGCACCAATACTCACAACCGCAGGACTCGAGCGCCGTGCCAAGGGCCAATGACAAACAGGCCAGACCGAACGGCGAGAACGCGCAGTACTCCCAGTTCTCGCATGCTCGCGCGCGCTCCCTCTCCCAGCCTTATATGCTCGACCCGCCCAAGAAGACCGATAAGGTAGCAGGCTCTTCGGCAGCGACACCGCCCATGACCAATGGGGGTAGCGCGGGCAGGATGGACGAACTGCACTCACTGGACGAGGGTCACGAAACGTTTCCCATGCGCTCGACAGTGCGAATACCACGTCACAACGCCTCGGACTTGTTCGACGAAGCACCACCGTTCAGCTCCTCGACGTCGTCTCGCATCCAGTCGGAAGATGAGGCTCTCGGTCGCGCATCTAGCGACTCTGAAGAACGGCCGTTCGAGCATTGGTATCGTGGCGATATCTCGCGGAACGGAGGTGTCGGTGAGCTGCGGGTAGGTCGGCGCACAGAAATGCTGGATATCGCCAACTACGGTCACACTTTGCGCAATGCGTCGTCGCGCGTCGTGAACAACGGATACCAACGATCACGATCGAACTCGCGAAGTAGGGACGCTGCTGGGATGCGGCACGGAAGGCAGCGCTCCGAGAGTATCAGCGCAACCGTAAGACAGGGCGCTTTCCTTGACGAGGATGAACTTGCAGCACACGACGAAGTCTTGGATGAGGAGTCGCCTGCTGATGTGTATAGCGACGGATATGAAGAGCCGAGCGATCCGTACGAACATCATCCTGACGGTACAGCGTCTTCGCCGTCCCTGGCGCTCTACGCCGCTCAGAATGGCACTAGCATCACTGCGCGACATCGACCTAGTCAAGTCGGCCAATCTCGGATACCGACCCCGTCGGCTCATAGGGCAGCCGCCGCCGTAGAACCTCGCACGCCAACACCCACGAAGACCTACCGCAATGTGCCATCGCCCAGCACGACAACATCCACGCCTTCTACTCCCCGCACACGCCAGGGTCTCCCTCGATCACAGACCCAGCCCCCAAAGTCCACCCAGCGTCAGAAGACGTCAACGCCGTCAAGCTCCTCGTCGACGGCGAGGAAGCGAGGGGCTAGCCCTGGAGCATCTACCTCCCTCAGCAGCGCAAAGAAGACCAAGGCGAACAAAAAGCCGCCTTCTTCTATGCGGCGGACGGTCAATAAGCAGGAGAACAGGAGATCCATTGGCCAGTATCCTGAGCCCGATGGGGACGACATGATGGACGCCATTCCGTCGTGGACACAGCCTGTACCGCCTACAGGAAACTGGGACGATGTGCGTGCTCTTATGCCGTCCGTATCTGCGTTCCACTCTAACCATATTGCGACAGGTCGTGCTACCTGTCGTTGCACGGAAGAAAGGGATGGAGGGTCACTATTCGACTGCGGATGGGAGCCCGAAGCCACCGCAGCAGAGGGGCAGCGTGGTCTTCGAACCGGTGAGTGTCTCTACTTGCACACCTCACAACCTTACTCACGCGGTCGCTGCAATCCAGGCCCCAGGGACATTCGGATTTGACCATACGAAGTACCGTCGAAATCCAGACACGGTTGCAGATTCCATACCCATGGACGAATTTGGCCAGAGGGTGGACGGAGAGCGGACGGGACAGTTCATCATGGGCGAGCAGCCGAGACCCCAGCCTTCCAGCCTCACTCGCTCACGCTCACGTCCCGACCCTCCGCCGTCGCCTCCTCCCTTCGCACATTATACCAACGCGGAACCTGCACCTCTACCCACACCAACACCCGCGTCACACGCTGTGGAGGTGCGGAAGGAGAAGCCCGGCAACGACGACGACGACGACGCCGGAGGCTGCTGTAAATGTGTCATCATGTGATGTTTTATTGCACTTGGGACTCTGCTCGAAGCTTCTCTCGCTCCTCTCCTTGCAGGCCATGTTGTGCGTGATAGTCATATCCGCTACGTTTTCTGATGTACCATATTGCGCAGTCTCGCATCGTTTGTTCCCCTTTTCGTTCTATTGCATGGGATTTTGCATTCACATTCATCAGGGCTGCCCGTACGCGTTTTCACCACCTGCATTGCATTGACCGCGCTCCCCCCGTCTCTGCCACACGGACTCGGCATCCCAGTGCCTTTTGCTCCGGCACACGCACTGCATCCACCCGCCCCTCCGCCCGTCCGTCTATCCTACTTACCGCTTCTCGATTATGCATCTTTATGATGATGACGTGCGTTCATCCCTTCTACTACACTACATGTATCATTGAATTCCGGCTTTTCTCATCTGTTCATTCCGCATCATTGATTCTGGAGGTGTTTAGTTGTCGACTTCGGTCGTCGGTCGCTCGTTGAACAAAATCAGCATACCCTAGCATTTTAGTACACTAGACACTTAAGTTAGATGAACCAATGTCACGATTCTCTGCCGCTTCGTATCGGAAGTGGCCTTCGGGTTCCTCAGTCAATGTGAGATGGGCACTGGTTCATTGACATCAAGTGGCCAGCAAGCCAGAACGCCAAAAGAGCGGAACAAAACATCAAGTACAAGGAATTCGCACTAATGAAATCGGTATAGCATAATCTATCATAAGCATAAGTGTATCAGTCCGCGCAGAGTACATACAAACATCCATCCGCCCGCCGGGTATGACATTCGCTCGTCAGCGTACAACGTCGTCGTCACGGTCACGACAAGATCTGAATGAGGAGATCAACACAATATTGGTATTCCACTGAGCAGCGCGCGACTTTAAGGAGATACGCACTGCGAGGAGGACGACGCGACGACGACGACAGGATGAGCATGAGGCAGAGCGCGCGCCGCCCAGCCTTGCGTGGTACTCGTGCGCGGACTGCAGCTCTTCTGCTGCGCCGGAGGTGTCGACTGCAATCGAGGATATGTTCGACTCGATGTTGTCTGGGGGAGGTAGTCAGACAAACAGACGCCTGGTGAACGACGACGACACACCGAGCATGCCGCCCTGCTCCTGGACGAGGGTGCCGAGGTCGCGGAAGATCTCGGACAGCTCGTGGATGCCCGTCTCAATCTCGCGGATCTCGGCCTCGCGCTCTTGGATCAGCGACTCCTGGAACGCGAGCTCCTGTGGGGAGAACTGGTTCTGGAGCATCTGCGCTTGCCGTTGTGAGGGCGTGGGGCTGGAGGGCCGTTCTTCGGCACTGAGACGTGGTCAGCACTGTGGACGCAGCACGGTCGCGTGGAGACGTACGCTGCAGCTTCGTCCTCGACTGCCATCTTCACGCCCTGCACGACTGTGCGCTGCCGTTCTGCGCTGACCTGCTGCGCTCGCTGGAAGGCAACTAGAGACAACTGGAAGTCGTGCGAGGTCTTCTGCAACGACGTCTTATGCCGAGGCTATCCATTGTACGCGCATGAGCACGCAGCATGTAAATTAGGTTCGTTGTAGCGCACCAGAGTGGCCTGTAATGCAGATAACTTCTTCAGGTCATCCGAACCGCGCTTCGCCATCGCACGGGTAGACTCTGTCAGGTCATGGCTGCGGAAGCCGTTCCAGTCAGGATCTGGTGTGGCATTCATTGACTTATACGCACAGAGACTTCCGCAGGTTTGGCGAGTCCCGCGCCGTGCCAAGCTGGTCCACCAGCTTCAGAATCCCCTGGACATTCGAGTTAATCTTGAAGACCTGGAGGGAGAGCGACGACTGGAGGTTCAGGAACGCGGCCTCTTCCTGCGACTGAGGCACAACATTGCGAGGCGAGGTTGGTCGCTGTGCGAGCCCGGTTTCGATGTCCTGAAAGCTCATTGCGTGAGGTAGGGAGGTAGGGATGGGGTGTGAGTGCGAGTTGTGCCGTGGCTGCTCGCAGCGACGGTGACACAAGGTGAGCCACTGGCACGTGGTTTAGCGACCAGCGTCTATTCTGTTGTAGTAGGAGAATGCTTCCGTCAAAATGCCAGTGTATACGGCTACAGGATGTAGACCACAGACATTACCATGCAAACGGTCTGTGGACGAGACAGCTGTGACTCCTAGATTGTTTGATTTACTGATTCTGCGGAACCGCAACACAAGTACAGTACAATCATGGCAGTCGCGATCTCATGACTCGTCCCAATATGGCATGTCTGTCTAGGTGCGCGTCTCGCCGCGGGCAACCTCTCGACTCTCCACGACAGTACCCACCCAGTTCCTCTCCATTTCTCTCTGGGTGCGGCCGCTGCATTGCTTGCAAGAACTACTCGCAATTCTCTACGAAGGTCCGAGACGACCCACGAGGCTACTGCACTCGGCACCCACTGAGTGGCAGCGACCGTATTGTGTTCACCTCAGCGACTGTGCTACGGACCGCTTTCTATTCCGGCAGCTGTGACGCTTTCATTTCTGCTGTGCTCGGAGCTGACTCACGGAACTCCGGAGGACCTATATATGCGCTCTGCGACGCGTCGGACACCACTCCTTTGACCCTGCTCTCGTTAGCCATCCACCATGACTTCTCCGGGCAAGACAAACTCAAGCGCTTCATCGAACAAGTTGCTCCGTGCCTACGTTAGTATTCAGCGTACCTTCTCAAAAATTACGGTCAATGACGTGTGGTTTGTAGCAATTGGGAGACTCCCTTGGCAAGGGCGCGTTCGGCCAGGTCTACCGTATGTCCGCTGGGTTCGTGCTGTTCGTCCGCTCGCTCATACAATGTGCACAACCAGGGGCCCTGAATTGGGCTACCGGAGAGACCGTAGCGGTTAAGGAGATTCAACTGAGCAACATCCCGAAGAGCGAGATCGGGCAGATCATGGTGAGCGTCGCATTGTGCGGTCGGCGTAAATCCCGTTCTAACCCCGTGCTAGTCGGAAATCGACTTGCTCAAGAACCTGAATGTACGTCATAGAGATCGCAACCCTCCCGATTGTTATGCTTGACAGTAGAATTCTAGCATCCGAACATCGTCAAGTACAAGGGCTTTGAGAAGACGCCAGAGTATCTGTACATCATATTGGAGTGAGTTCCACTTGTTCCGACTCTGTGGCACATGCGCTTGTTTCGGCGTAGTTGGACATATTCCAGCATCAGCAACGTCGTAACGATGATCGGACGAGCAACACCCAATGCCACCAAGTGTTTGGCGTCGAGTCACTCCATCGTCTAGGTCACAATTGCTGATGTAGACCATGGGGACATACGTTTGCCACTATGTGGGTTGCCGCTAGAGAATCTCAATGACACGCATGCATACGCCTTGCCAGGTGAAAGAACCAAGTCGTGTCACGCGAGTGCTGTCGCGATTATGCTCTCTGGTGTGGACTACTGTCAAGCTGCTGTGTTGGATCGCACAGACACCGCTATGCGTGTGCTACACCGTCTCCTTGTTCATCGACTGACACTACCGTCTTTCTCCAGATTCTGCGAGAATGGCTCGCTGCATAACATCTGCAAACGATTCGGCAAGTTCCCCGAGACCCTTGTCGGCGTGTACATATCGCAAGTGCTCGAAGGTCTCGTGTACCTCCACGACCAGGGTGTGATCCACCGCGACATCAAGGGTGCAAACATCCTGACGAACAAGGACGGATGTGTCAAGCTGGCCGACTTCGGAGTGGCGAGCCGGACAGCGGCGGGCGCTGTGCGGGACGATGCTGTAGTAGGGAGTCCATATTGGAGTGCGCAGACCTCATCTGAGTAAGTGTGGAACGTGCGCATTGATGCCTTGCCCCGATAGTGGCGCCGGAGGTGATTGAACAATCGGGTGCAACGACCTCATCCGACATATGGTGGGTGACTCAAAGTCTCTTTGACTATGGCTCGTAGTGATACCTCTGCGCAGGAGTGTTGGTTGTACCGTCATCGAGTTGCTCGAAGGCAAGCCGCCATATCACTTCCTCGACCCGATGCCCGCGCTCTTCCGCATCGTGCAAGACGACTGCCCACCAATACCGGAAGGCGCCTCACCGGTCGTCAAGGACTTCCTGTACCATTGTTTCCAGAAGGACTGCAACCTGCGTATCTCCGCAAAGAAGCTGCTCCGACACCCGTGGATGGTCGCCGCGCGCAAGCAGATGGCGGGCCACCAGAAGAGCCAGGCCAGCGAAGCGCGGAATGGCGCGGCGTCCCAAGCGCGCCCGCCGAGCAATTACAACTACGACGAGGCGGTCCTGAAGGTGCAGGAGTGGAACGAAGCGCTCAAGTGTAAGCCCATTTTGTCTTGTCGACCATGACACGACCGTGCATTGTCTCATGTTTCGTCGATGTTAAGCTCCGTCACGACCAGCAAGACATCCGGAGCGCCGACGGGTGGATGCCCCTCCGTCGCCCACCCTTCCGCCGGTCAATATGCCCTCATCGCTGCGGCCGATTGACTCAATAAACCAGTCGGTGGCTTCCTCCGCTCCGACGAACGCGCGTAAGCCGGTGCCGATGAATGCGAGCAAGGGCCCCTCGTCGGTGCCGGTTTTGGGCCACATCCGCGAGACGCTCCCGATGCCGTTCATACTGCAGCCCCCGAGGAGCAGACGGACAACTGGGACGACGACTTCGAGGAGGGCATCTCGCTGACGAAGATACAAGGTATGCCCAGCGATGTGATGATTCATCCCGTGGGTGTGTGCTTACGTCCTTTGTACAGCATTGGAGAAGACATCAGTCGAGGAAGAGAAGGAGAAGGTCGAGGTGGAGGATAATGCGCAGACGATAAGGCCGACGCGCAGCCCCGCAGGCCCGACGACGGTGCCTCTCCCCATGGTCACTTTACCTGATGCAGACACGGAGTTGGGCTTCGACGATGACTACTCGGACATCCTCGACGATGATGACAAGCTACAAGAGAAGGTTGCTGACTTCAAGGTAAGCGTTTCAACCATCAAGTGTTTTGTACCACTTGCTGACTATAGGGTACGTAGATGAAGAACTCATTCCGACGTGGCCTCTTCCACCCGAACGACATCAAGACGTATGGCCTCGGCAGCACTTCTCCTGGGCCCATGACAGCACCTCTCCCGGACCTTAGCCACAAGCGGTCACGTCCTGGCCTCAGTCCAGTCGTCGCTACGCCGCCACTTGCCGGATCCTCGAGCGCTCGGAATGCACATTCACGCTCGTCGTCATTCATAGGACCAAGTGGAAGCGGCTCGTTCGGGCGTGCGGAGTCGAGGCGTTACCCGAGTCAGCCCGAGTTCGGAAAGTACGCTGAGGATGACGACGAAGATTATGATGATGTCTTCGGAAAGGCGAACGGGACCGGTAGGTCGATAGTGGCCATTGTGCTGCGGTACTGATCTTGGTGGCCGGTAGCGTCACATCCGATCGGAACATTGCAGCTGAATACTCGTCTCTCAAACAAGTCTTGGGTAAGTGCTCCCATATATATGTCACGCTGGTGATCCTCATCGCCGTCTTAGCTGGGAGACGAGACGACGAAGAAGATCCATTCGCCGAGGTGAGATTGGGAATTGTGCGTCCGAAGACGAACTGACACTTGCAGATCGACGAGGGCTTCTCGAGGAAGACCTGGAGGCTAACTGCAACGCGACAAATATGCACGGCTATCCGCCACGGTCACTCAGCTCATCGACGAACTCACGCCTTCTGCTCCGGACTTCCAATTGCGCGAAGCGTGCGATCAGCTTGTGTGTCTGCACTCGATTGATCATAGAGCCCGTTTACTAACGATATGACACAGCTCAGTATATGGCAGACGCCCCAGAAATGCAACCTCAGCTTGTGTCCGCGCATGGGATGCTCGCGATCTGGAAGTATTAGAGGGCCGATCATCACGAGATGTCACTATGAAGCTACTGCAGATCGTCAACGCGGTACGCATCTTCTTGAGCGAATAACTGCTTGTTGCTGATATGCTGAACTTAGCTTGTGAACACGGATATGGGTTTCCTGGAGAGTTTTTGTCTCATTGGGTTGGTATCGCTCACTGCATCCTCCACCTTCTCGCTAACCGCATCTTAGAGGCATTCCTGTCATCATGGGCTTCACGTCCAAGAAGTACCCTCCAGAATGTCGAACAGAGGCGTCCAACTTCATCCGTCTCCTCTGCCACTCCTCGTCTTGACACTACAGATGTTCATCGCGTGAGTTACTGTGTCAATGTCGGTGCCTCTGCGCGCTCAAAAGTCTTTCAGCTGTCGAGGGCTGAAGGTGCTCGTCGACCTTCTGGAAGAAGACTTCTCAGAACAAACCGATTTGGTCAATCACGCGCTCAATGGAATCTGCAGCGTCTTCGACCTCCAGAGCCCCACCACGAAGAATGACTTCTGTCGAATGTTCATTCGCGAGGGTCTGCTGGATCCCCTTTCGTCAGCTCTCCTCAATGTGATGTCAACAGAGGGCGACGTTGCGGCAGACATGAACAAGAAGATCATTCAGATCCTGCTTGTGTTCTGCCAAGTGTCCCAATCGGACATCCATGTGCGGAATGCACTTGGGACTCGTAAAGTAGTGCGAAGTAAGTTCGTCTTGTTATATTGAGTGACAACTTATTGACGGTTCCTGATAGGGCTATTGCGAGCGTGCGAACTGCTACAGCCGGAATACCTCGTCCAGATGCTCAAAGCTGTCAAGCATCTGTCCATGAACGCGAACCTGCTCGAGGTGTTACAGAATGCTAATGCGATGGAGATCCTGGTGAAGATCCTTGATGAACGAAGTTCTGGTCCTTACGGCACGGTATGTCTGACATCAACCAAATGAACCCCCGAGCTGACGATGCGTCACGTAGGAAATGTCCAATCATATCTTCCAGACCTGCTACAACTTATGCCGTCTGAACAAGGGTCGACAAGAGGAAGCTGCACAGGCTGGCATCATCCCGGGCCTCAAACGAGTCTTCGAGTCTGGATCACCGTTGAAGCAGTTCGCCCTGCCGATTCTCTGTGACCTCGCGAGTGCCGGGAAGACCTGCAGAACACTTCTGTGGCAGCACGACGGCCTCGGCTTGTATCTACGATTGTTGGAAGATCCGTACTTCCAAGTCAGCGCTCTGGAGTCGATCCTGTCATGGTATGCACTTTTGAAAGATGCAGTATATGCAGTCGTTGACTTCAGTTGATAGGTTACAAGATGAGACAGCCAGGATCGAGGACCAGCTCACGAAACCTGAGTCGCTTGATGCCCTTCTCCGCTGCTTCGTCAACGCCAAGTCGAACTCGTTCGAGAACCTCCTCGATCCATTCTTGAAGATGTGCCGCCTATCTACCACAATCACGATCGGACTGGCGAAGTCGCAGTTCTTCAAGCGTATCATCGACAAGCTCAACCACAGCAAGGCAGTCGTGCGACTCAATCTCTTGCGTATCCTCCGAACGGTATGCGAGGCCCATCCTAATCGCGCGATGCTTGTCGAGCGCTACGGCATATACGACATCGTCGTCAAGCTCAGCAAGGAGGACGGTGCGGTGCTCGTGCGCGAGCTCGCCAGGGAGATCGTGCCGTCGCTCGCACCCGCGTTGAAGCCGCTCTCGGGGAGATCAGGGAGACATGGCGATACGCCCAAGGGTAGCAAAAGCGCTCTGGCTCCCAAGAGGATGAGAAGAACAGCATCCGAATCGATCCCCTTGACGTCGAGCGAGATGCCTGCTCTCCGTAGCGAGGCTAGCATCCGTCCAGCCACGCGCCGGGCTGCGGCGACCGGTAAACCGTCTAGGCAGAGACTCAACGACATTTCATGGCAAGCCACGGAGCGACAGTAAATACGAGTTGTTAGAATATCATATATCACGGTAATAGTCGCTGGGTTTCGTCGCACTTCATTGCATTCAACTCTCCTTGTCTACAAGCATGCTCTTAACATATAGCACATATGCATTTACACTCTTTACCATCCTCATCGTCGTCCTTGGGCCATTTTACTCACGCTGGTCGTGAAGATCATCATTGCAGTAGTATATTGTTCGTACATGTCCGAGACCTGGATCGCAAGGGTCGGCGCAAATTAGACCTCGAACATGTGTAGTAGTAGTATTATACTTAGGAAAAGCTGAACTCGGTGCATACAGCAAACGTACGGTCAGTGGTGTCAGCTCAAGCTCAAGCGCAACAGGGCCGTTTCATGAAGCAGTGTGTCGCCTTGTTACATAGAAGAACTCAAACATGACAATGCAGGCGACGAACTACATGTAACATGAGCATCCCCTGGCGGCGGCACGTCGTCGAGATTTCTGTCGATGACCGGATAGAGCGACCTATTGAAAGCATGTGCAACGAACTGCCCGACGTTTGCTTCTATGCGAGAACATTCAGCAATGTTCTGACGAACGGTACTCGTCAATGAGCTCGAGAAGGTCACTGGGAGCGCCTTCCGCGCTCGACAATGTCCATGTCAGGGACTCGAATCTGCAGGACGCCCTCAGGTCTCGATTCAATACATACCGTGGCCCCAAGCTTCGGCCTGCCGCTGTCTACCGGCCAGCTGCTCAAATCAAGCCTGAATCACGCATCTTCACCTACTGAGCATCTTGACTGCACCTGAGGCTTCCGCAGACAGAACAAGTCCCCCAGCTTCATGAGTCGCCGAGCTTGCGTTGGGCTATGCGCGCAGGCTGCCAAGGCTCACTATCGAGATGAATCTGCTGACGAAGTCCGTGAAGTCCGTCCAAAGTACTTACATAAGTACAGGTTGTGTTCCATCACATGCATACCACGCAGAGCGAACAATAAGTTATGTTAAACGTAGGTCCTGCTCTGCGGTTGTGGTCGTTCACTGGGCATATCTCAATCAGTACAGTGTGGCAAACATGTCGTATGTCGCACTCACATTGTACCCTCTGCCCACGGAACCATGTCGTATTCTTGACAACGTCCGCACTATGATGTTGACCTTGGCTTCAGAATAGAGCTGAAGCTGAAGCTCGACTTTTGCTGCATTTGCTTAGGGTTCTTTGCGCTCCGAGTTGTGCCTGCGTCCGAGGACATGCCCCAGCCGTAAGAGGCGGACAAGGTACCGAAAGCTTCCTCAAAATTCTTCGTCTGCTGCGGCGGTGAATGCTGCGATGTCGCTGCGTTGCGCTATAGACGACCATGGTGAGCGTTGTTTTCGGGGCAGCCTAAACGAGACTCACTTTAGGAACCAAGGTTGCTGTGGAGCTTGCCGCAGAGATGGATGTAGGAAGCGTCGTAGAAGACGAGGACGCGGAGACTGTGGGCGACATGTTCGACGAGTGTGCGTGCTATCCTTGCTAGCGTTGGCTTTTGGGAGTCCCAGCTTGTTGTTCGGCCTTCGTATGGCTTTCTCCAGTTTTAGGTATGGTAGTGGCAGCACTGACTATATGAGTCACCATGACTCTGTGCAACATTGGCAGTTCGCGTCAATCAACTGTCCAAAAGCACCGCCTGTAGTAGGATCCGAGCCTTGACTGAATTGGGATCGCAGCACCGCTTGTGCTACTACGCCTCGAGACTCAAGACTCCGATGTGAGATCGTGCCTTACCATACCGCTGAGTCAGTTGACACACAGAATACTTACGATAAGGCTGGGCAAAGGCTGGGACCATGTTGGCGGTGCTATCATCGATAACATTCGAATCCTTTACAAATTGGCAGGTTTGATCTCAGCCGCACAATCGGCGACTGGTCGTCACCTGCGTGTTCCATCATCTGCGAGATTGAGGTGTCACAACAGCCCGAAAGTCGTCTTGAAGCTCACCTTGAACGCCATATAAGTGCTCTCCTTGCACAGCCAAGATGTGCGATATACTCTCGACTTGTGAAAGCCGTTTGTACCATCTCCGCTTGTCATGCTTGTCCAAGGTGTGCTTGATCGCTTCTAACGCCCTGAGCTTCGCAGGTGAGTCTCCTCGATTACGCTTGCGTGTGAGGGAGCGCGTGTGCTCAACGTCAACGCCCAGGTCCGACACGCTCTCGGGAAGTTATCGTCAAAAGATTTCGCGTCCTTGATTGCGATGTTCATAACACTGGAAAGGTCAAACATCTTGTTGATCAGCTTCTGGCCCCGTTGTTTGTTCCCAGCGTCGTGAGATCTGCGCAACTCTGGTCAGCAGTCAGGTCTCAGAGAACAAGCGATGTTATTGTGATACTCACCTGAACGACCTGTAGTACATTCATGACCGCAGCTAGAGTGGCACTCGCCGGCATACTTATTAGCATCTGAAGGTGTCGATGCGATTAGACACAGGGTCAGCCGCGCTGAGGGTAGGGGTGATAAAAATTTAAATTTAAATACACCGTGACGAACAGATGCTGCAAGCATATCCAGACATCTGGACCTAGCCAGTCAAGAATACTGGGCCCCTTCCGGCACATACGGCGTGACAAGCAGAGGACACTGGCTTCCCGCCATGTGTTTGCCGATGACATACGGCCGCGTCAGTACACTAGCAAACACACATCAGCAGTAGTCTAACCTGACAACACGACCGACTCACACGTTGGCCTTGCCGACCTTCTCGTCCGATTCCGCGAAGGTGAAGTGTGTGAGGAGGATGAACAGGAAGGTCTTGATCTCGATGATCGAGAAGCGCAGCCCGATGCACGCCTGGGCAAACCGAGCAGTGTTAGTGGAATACTGAGTGTATGCGGAGGCGACGTACCCGAGGCCCAGCGGAGAACGTGAGCGTGTTGTTATACAGCCCAGGCTGGGAGACTACGGCTTCTGGCAGGTTATCCCACCGGTCAGGCCTATCAGGACCAGCCTCAGACCCCCACCGCGTCTAACAGGTAAACAACACGCACTTGAATGCCCAGCCGTCCGGGCCCCAGACTTCCCTGTCCAGATTGAAGCCCTCCACGGGGACGTGTATGAACGCGCCCTTCGGTACCCGGACCTCCTTCACCTCCTGTGTGCTCCCATCCGGCATACGCGTCCGTACAGGGGTCGCCGCTGGGAGAACGTCGTCGCGCGTCGCCACACGCGCCGAGGAGTGCACGGGCGGGATGAGGCGCATCGCCTCGCGTATGACGTTCTCCAGGAACTTCAGCTCCGCGATCCCCGCGTAGAGCCTTGACACCTCGTCGGGGGTCAGCGCGGAGAGCGGCGTGGGCGGGAGGAGGGAGAGGAGCTCGGCGCGGAGGCGCGCCTGGACGTCGGGGTAGCGCGCCATGAGGTAGAGCATCCAGGTGATGGCAAGGAGCTGGTATCGGAGCCGGCGAACATAAAGGTGTTAATGTTGTGTAGGATGTCGGCATCAGAGATGCGCTGCTCCGGTGGGATGTCCGCGGACGCGTTGGACTTCACTGGAGAGGAATGAGTGGAGGTATGTTCTCTTCAAGTAGAGGGACGTACACAGGAGGCTGAGAAGGTCCTTGCCCTGGTAGGTCTTGCCTTGTGCTTCGGCCTCAGCAATTTTGCGTTTCTTCTCTTGTATGAGGTTCCCTGCTACGCGGCGGATGACCTCCTGGCAGCGTTGCACTGTGTGGGTTGCCTTGTTGGGCTACATCGAGTATGAGTTCGTGATTCATCATCATTGGAGGAAGAGCTCACGAAAAGTGTCTCTAGTATCGGGAGGTATATAACAGCCAAGCCCCACAGCGCGCCTGACTGCTGAGATACGGCGACCTCAAACATCTCCTTGTATGCGCTGAATAGTTCATTCGTCTCATTTTGAATCGCGTTGAACTGGTAGTCGAAGCCTTACGGACGATCAGTAGCCGTGACATCACGAACCCTTCCCGGAGAAGTCTCACCAGCAGACCCGATGACATCGAACGTTGCGCGACTGACCCAATGGCACACATCCAGCTTTAAGCCTCCCGTCTCCTCCGTCTCCTTCTCTGCATCTCCCCATGCTGGCTACCAGCCTCCCTAACCATCTCCAACCACTTCTCCTTCAGCTCGTCCCCCTTCGCGAACACTAGCGGGACGAGCTCGCGCATGTTCTGCACTGAGAACGCGGGCGTCGCGACGCGTCTCTGCCGCTTGTGCACAGCGCCCTCTGCGGCGAGCATGCCGCAGCCGATGAGGCCCGTGATGAGGCGCCGCGACTGCCACGGCTTCTCGTAGATGTGTGAATGTTTCATGACGTGTGCGAGCGTGAGCGGGTCGAGGGTGAAAAGACGTAGGTCCCACTGGTGTGTGGTGATCAGCTTCGAGGGCGGACGTACAGATTGGGAGACGTACTGGAAGAATACCCCGGATCATGACGTTGCGGCCGTATGTCTTGACAAAGTGCTCGTGGGTTCTGGGGGAGACGGACGGACTGTGGGGACCAGCTCAATTAGCTCTTACGAATAAAGAGTCATCGACGCCGAGCAAAGCAAACTATGGGCGAGTACAAGCTCATGGACCATATGTATGCCCCGTCGGAGCACTTCACGCATTGGTAGTGGGTGCGTACGATACGACTTCCTCGCAGGAATGCGAACCTCCCAGCACTGTCCACATGATGTTCTATCGCCATGATAGGTTGCGATGGATTGACATCACCGTTTGACCGAAACACTGCGCCACCCAGTATCTGTACACATGCGGAGGACAGCGATGTAGGACAAGGGCACTGGGAACGTCTTACGAGCCTCCGGTATGTGCAAGCCAATACACTCGTGTGACATCGAACATTGGCAGCATATACTCTCTTAGCCATGCATTGAGCGCATAGCTTCGTATGTCTGAAGTTACGCCCGGGATGCACTCCATGTCTTTGCTGAGCCTAAGGGCACAAGTTTGCCGATAGCACTCTCCGGGCGTGGTAGGTACAACAGAAGTACTCACTTCATAACCATTCCCAGCTGATCTCTGAAAAGCCCTTTACTCGGAGGACCGGGTAGGTTCCTGAGAGGGTTGTACCGCGGCTGGATGAAGATGAGGTAGAGTAGGTACACGAGCGGTGCGCTCAGCACCACGAGCAGTAACTGATTGACCATAGCGTTGTGTAGTTAGTAGAGGTATTGCGTCTTGAATCGTCGAATGAGTCGTGAGTGTTGGCGAGGCGAGGAAGACGGCCGCGCCCGAGAGCTATTGTACAGGGCGACGAGAACAATAGGATGATCTGAGGGGTTCTGGCCTCACTACCCGGTTCCGCCCAGCTCAGGCAACCCACAACCTAGAGCATGTCTTCTGAGCTCATTCGCAGCACAAATCTGCTGCACCAGGTCGACTGGCGAGAAAGGTGTAGGTGGGTAGGCCTTGCCCATGAAGCGGGAGAGGGAACAACTTGAATGGGCGTGAGAGGGCGCCTACGCGGTCGTGTCGCGGGCGCTCAAGCTCAAGGAGCTCACGTGATGGCGCTTGGCCAGAAACACCTCTGCCTCCTCCTCGTCCAGCCGTCCATCGTCACTCTGCTACACTCGTCAGCGCAGCCATGGTTCTGCACTTCTTAGCTGCGGAAATTCCAGTTGCGCACTCTGAGTCTGGGAGTCTCAGTCATCGAAGACGAGCAAGATCTCACTTGGGAGGACTGGGTCTCCGATTCGATCGAAAATAGACCCTGCAAATCGCTCTTCGAACAGGACAAGACGTTCGCGTCTGTCCTGAAGCTGCGAACCACGACAAACAGGCTCACGGAGTCGATTTGGATGCGATCTCTTCGCGTCTCTGTACGTCGTTCCGCCGTGCCCCTTTCATTCCGCCCGACTTAATAGCTCCGCTGCTAGCCTTGGATCCCTATCAGCGCATTCGCCTGATCAACTGGATACGAAAGAGGTATGTATTCACGCTACTCTGCGCCTTTTTTCGGACGTCTTGCGCGGTGTCCCGCGTCGCAGATGCACTATGGAGACACGCACTATCCTCAGACGTTTGATCTGTCATGTATCCCAGTTTGCGACCATGGCCATAGGCTGCCTACCCTTCTCATTGTTGTGTCACAGCTATTGCATCCCCGCCAGTTTGTGTGGTTTATTGGACAGACGGATCTAGTGTAATTTGGCTAGGAAGGGCGCGTCGTATATTTGCAAACCCGACCCACGTGTTCGGCCTCTTGGTGGCCCACAAATGCATTTATTGTTGCATCGGATGGATGATCTCTACGACGGCTCATTATGAGTGGATGTCTGCTTGCCTCAACGTTCCTATCTAGACAAGACTTTTGAGCAGTTACTGATGCGTCTTGTAGAAACCCGCGCCGTCTGAAGTTCTAGCCTTGAAGGGACACGAATCCCTATTTGCCTCAGACGAGTACCTCATTCCTGTTATCGAGGACGATCCTCTTCTCCGTACGTCCCACGCGTCTGCAACTCAACCCTCGATCTGATACCCGCATAGAGGTCCACTCTGCAGACTGGTCCTCCTCCGAGGAAGATGAGCCTCAAACTCAACCCCTGCAGATCTAGAAGACGCGAAGCGACGCATCCGCGCCCTTGGGCGCAAGCTGCAGAAGGCGCGCCAGGACTTCGTCGACTACCGCGCATTCGTCGGCGAACGCCTCGGGCGCTCGGGCGTCGTGGAAGCACTCGCAGAGCCCGCCGCGTCCACCTCCACACACATCGCTACGCCCCTCCGGGACGACGACTCACACTACTTTCAGAGCTATGGCGAGAACGGTGAGCACCCCATCTCCCTTCTGGACGCTTCGCTGACGTCCCGCCTATGGTTAGATATCCACGCGGTCATGATCCAAGACAAGGTGCGCACCGCGACGTACGCGCAGTTCATCCAGTCGAGTCCAGAGCTCTTCCACGACGCGGTCGTGCTCGATGTCGGCTGCGGGACGGGCATCCTTTCGCTCTTCGCCGCGCGCGCAGGTGCGCGGCGTGTCATCGCTGTAGACGCTAGCCCTGTCGTAGAGAAAGCGCAGCAGATCGTGCGGGACAACGGCCTCGAGGATGTGATCACTGTCGTGCGCGGGCGGGTCGAGGACATACAGCTGCCTGAAGGTGTGGAGAGCGTGGACGTGATCGTCTCGGAGTGGATGGGCTATGGGCTGTTGTATGAGAGCATGCTGGACTCGGTGCTTCACGCGCGGGATCGGTTCTTGAAGAAGGAGGGCGGCGTGATGGCGCCGAGTCAGTGTAAGATGCAGCTGTGCCTGTGTGAGGGAGGTGAGATCTTCAAAGAGCGAATCGGCTTCTGGAGCGATGTCTATGGTAGGGAAGTCCTTAAATTCCCCAGGAGCTAGAGCTGACCGGGATGTGTTAGGCTTCGACTTGTCCGCGATGGGAACGAACGTATACGAAGACGCGATCGTAGACGTCGTCGGCCCAGAGGCGGTCCTCAGCGAGCCATGTACCGTCAAGGTAAGCCATCGTCTCTCACGATCCACCCTCCCGCTCACGCCCATCTCCTAGGACCTCCACCTCGCCAGCATCACCCCAAAACAACTCGACTTCTCCGCACCCTTCACGCTCACGGCCACCTCCCTGCAGCGCACGAAGGCGTACGCGCTCACCCTCTACTTCGATACCTTCTTCACTGCGGACGGCGCGCCCGCCCCGCCGGACGCCCCGGTGCACGTCGTGCGCGACGGCGACCCGATACTTGCGGAGGTCTGGCCGCTCGGCTGGCGGCCGCACACAGGGCGGCGGATGAGCTCTGGGCAGGGTCTGAAAAACGGCGAGCCGGCGAAGCGGCGGGTGACGAGCTTTACCACCGGCCCCGCGAGCGTGCCGACGCACTGGAAACAGACGATCTTCTTGCTGAGGGAGCCGATCACGGTGCATGAAGGTGTGTACGGCTGGTCGTGGTGAGGCAGCCTGATCTGACTGTGAAATGGGCGTGCAGGCACGGTGGTCCAGGGGACGTTCAAGTGCCACAAGTCGACGGATAACTCACGAGAGTTGGACGTGGAGATTCACTACACGGTGAAGGACCCTGACGAAGCGCAAGCACCGGGAAAGGTGGTGGTGCAGTTGTACAAGGTGCGGTAACTCGTGGAGGCGGTCTGTTTGACGCGACGGACGGGGGAAACCCGAATCGTGAAGGAAGGCATATATTATTGTATCAGGTATCATTGAAAAATGTACGTGAACGCATAATCCAAACAGCTGCAGTAATCAATACATTTTTGCATGGCCTGCTTGGCGGTTCGACTGACAGTCAACACGGTAGGCTGATGTCGTTGCACATCCCAATTTCCAGAATCTGAACAAGGCATACTCGCGGCGCGGCGATGTCCTGAAGTCACGTGGTCGTGTAGCTATAGAAGTCTTATAATGACATCAAGTTGGTCCCCATTATACCCGGCGCATGGCGATTGTGTCGCTACTAATACAACCTTTGAATTCTCTCTGGATCCATACGTTCCACATCGACGCAATTGCCTCTCAAACGAGCTTCGGATAATACCTTAAGTGGAGTCTCTCTGATACTACTTACAGCTTCAAGCTGCCATGCCTCCGTCGACCGACTACGCAGCCTTTCGCGCCGTCCTACGCCAGAGCAAGCATGTTGTAGCAATAGCAGGCGCAGGCCTGTCAGCTGCTTCAGGTGAGTACGCTCGATGCGCATCGGACTTGTGGATCACATCTGTCCCTTCAGGCATTCCGACCTTCAGAGGAGCAGGCGGATTGTGGCGCTCATACGATGCCATCAGTCTTGCTACGCCTGACGCCTTCAACGAGAACCCAAGTAGGGTGTGGCAGTTCTACCACATGCGCAGAGAGAAGTGAGTCGCGTATGGGTGTCTAACTGAAGGTAGCTGACTCAGTTGGAATGATCACTGCTTCCTAGGGCTCGAGCGGCCGAGCCCAACGCAGCGCACATGGCGCTCGCCGTGCTCGCCGTGCCTCACTTCCTCAGAACGGTTGCGCCGGACGCAAATTCACACTCGTCACGCAGAACGTGGATGGCCTGAGCCGCAGAGCGCTCGAGAGAACCCCAGGGGCGGACGAGGGGACCGCACCTATCCTCGAGATGCATGGCCGCCTGTTCGAGACGATCTGCACATCCTGTGGCGACCGCCGCATGAACATGGACAGCCCTATCTGTCCGGCTCTCGCAGGTACAGAAGCGATTGTGGAGAGGCATGAAGAGGAGCCGGACATACCGCTTGACAAGCTGCCCCGGTGTCAGAAGTGCAGCGGCCTGCTGAGACCCGGCGTGGTTTGGTTCGGCGAGATCCCGCTTCATCTGCATGAGATCCAGCAGATAGTTGGCAAGGCTGACCTGGGGCTGATCGTCGGCACATCTTCGACGGTGCGGTTCAAGTGCAGTTGATCGATGTGGGTTCTCGCTCACACTGTCTGCATGCATCACAGGTCTACCCAGCTGCGGGTATGCTGCGGATATACAAAAGCGCGGCGGGAAGACGGCAGTCTTCAACCTACAGGAAAGTGACGGCGATCATGTCACAGACTTTCTGTTCATGGGTCCTTGCGAAGAGACGTTATCCAGAGGGCTTTTCGCTTATGGCGAGCGCGCCGAAACAGGTATGAGCAAGAAGATGTAGATCCAACATCACATCCAATATAACAGCACATTGCGATCGATCATGTAATCCAGACGAGACGTAGCCCTTTCCCTTCCCAGAAACAGACCCAGCGTCGATAGCATACACAACGATCAGCGCCCCGACTACTCCTTCGATTCACCCTAGAAGAAACTTTCCGTCTCGGTGACTTGCTCGACATCCTGCACGTTCTGCTCCTCGAACACTTGGCCGTCAGGCTCGTCAACGTAGGTGTCGGTGACCTGCTCCTCCTGTGTCTCCTGGAACGTTCCTCTCCGCCAAAACTATCCGTCTGGAAGGTTTCTGCAGCCACGGGTGAGTGATATTCATGACTTCAGTGCTACGTGCGATGATGTTGGCAATACATACCTGAGGAATAGTCCTCTTGAACGGTCTCTCCGTAGAATGCCATGGTGTGTATGAGGATGAGAAGGTATGTATGAACGGCGCGGTCGCGAGTGTGCTGTGAACTCGAGGCTCGTATGAAGACGCTGTGATGCTCTGTAGCTCGGTGAGCCATCCGTCTTATATCTGACCTTCTGTTCCCATCGCCATGTCAGGGTATGCAGATCCGGGGCACTGTTGCCCTTCTGGTGCGGTTCTGCGAAGACGACGCCAGCGCTCTGTGGTACGACGCTGTGCGGTACAATGACAGTTGCTGGGAACCATTTATCAGGTGTGCGTTGGGGAGAGTGATAATTGGGCTGACAGGGCTCCGGCCGTGCGGATATGGATGGCTTCCAGGTCACAGCACACTGCGCTTCGGGCAGAAGCGTCGCCGCGTCAGCAACGCGTACTATGATTCGGCAGTGAGTCTCACTGGTCCCGCGAGACAGGGATGCTAATGTTTCTTTGTTCCGAGCGGTTCAGAGAACGCGGACGAAGCAAAGAAACGAAGCACCTCGCAGTATACGGAGACAGTGAGCACCGCCCTAGTCCTCTTATGGGCCAGACAGCCTACCAGCACGGTGAGAATCCATTTGCACATGACAGAATTTGGCCCTCAGTCAGCTTACGGCCCTCGACGGACGCGCGGGATGGCTGCGGCGGGCGATGATATCGGTGGTTGCACGTTCAGGCAGTGCTATACGGGGATACTATGTAGTAGGTTATTTCTGGCCATCCCAACAGGAACCCGTACCCACATGCTGGCTTATGGTCGTTCACAACTGCCACTATGCTGTTCCGAGTGACGATCTGCTTCCTCGGCCGGGTTCTCGAGACGCATAGCCATTCGTGAAGCCAGTTGTGAAGCTCCAGTGGGGCGTCTCTGGCGTAACTCAAAGACAGCGCACGTTCGGCATGGACTTACTGTATTTGAACACGTTGCACAGATGACAGCGCTGATGCTATCAGGACGCTGTTCTATGCGGTTCGTATGTAAGTTATGCATCGCAATTTTCCCTGAGCGCATTGCTGACTACTAGCTTATGGCGCTTCCAAGCTACTAGTATGGTGACATTGGTGAGCGATTATGAAGGACAGCCAGCGCCGATCGAGTGCTGCGTATACGCGCCCTCGCTCAGCGCTCATTGGTCACTCCAGCTTCCATATGAAAAGGCACTTCACTTCGAGCGACTTTACTCGATCTCGATGTTATACTACAACAACGGCCGTGTGATGTTTAACTCATAATCTTCAAGGAGTATCCTTCCCAAGATCGCTCGAGTATTCATTGCCTACAAGCGAGTGCCTCTGCCTCCGCATCAGTGATCCCGTCGTCCGAGTCGGAGCCCCAGCCTCCTGTGCAGCCGTGGCGCATCAGTGAAATATCTTGTACGGGCGTGGTACGTTACAGGTCCCCTGTTCATCCATTCTAGACAGTAACAGAGGATCCGCAGCCCTTGCGAGATGTCAATCTTGCAGAATTATCGGCGACCCTCAGACGATCGTCGACAAGCCGACGTACAAGCGCAGGTGCTCTCTGATTTTGCGACGCTCCGGAATAGCTCCGGTCCAGCTGGGATCACTGATGGCGACATCGTCACCTTCAAGGACGACGACTTCACAGGCGAAGGCAGGAGCTTGTGCTAGTCACGCTCACGCACTTCAACGACAGCCCGGTGTTCCTTGAGTTAGTACTGAAGTTACGGATCTGTTGATCCAAGCGTGGGCGCAGACGGGAGACGAACATAAGCGCGCCACGCCCGATCAACCCGGACTGCGAAGGTACGTCTGCCTGGTGGTCAGACGAGCATCGCACGAAGTTCTCGTACTTATCATAATCATAGCAGAGGAAATTTCTGGCCCTGTTTGAGAGGCCTTCAATGTTCGCAGACCAAGACACCCGAAACACACACGGTGACATATTGATGATGCGCTGTGAGATCCTGAGACCTTGGGGCGTCAAGGTGCGATCTAATATCCAAAGATGTGATGTGTGGCATGCCACTCTGTGTACTTGGGATACTGAATGATACTACTTACAGTCGTTTGCAATGCATAATGGTTGTCGCATGTGCGCACGTGAGCATCTTGTTTCGCCTCTTGAGCTGGCCCCAACGCGCCTGGTAAGTCCCGTTACTTGTGCAGAGTGCATAGAGTGGGTCCGTGACAATTTTCTCTCAACCTTGGCCACAGTATTAAGGATGCCTGGCTTGTACCTTCGTCGCGAAACATGGAGGGTATCTAGCGCAATTCCAGGTATTCCGAACATATCGGACGAGGGGTGCAGGTGCCACTGTGGCGTGCCGTCACAGCGGATGTGGGGCGATGGGAAGCCACACTGGCCGCTGGCAAACGCGAAACGACAACCATTTTGAAAACGACTGTATACGATCGCGGGCCCGACGTCGGATGTTTTTCTTGCGGCCAACACTGCCAGGTACGATTTGACATACATGAATAGCTGTGCGGACTAGAAACTGATTGCATGTGCCAGGGCTGCCACCAGTACTCGGCGTGGCCGTGGCTTATCAAGGATGGTCGCCAACTTGAAGGTTATATAGAAGGGTACACGAGTGTTTCCCCCAGCGCCATTGACCGTCTTGAACCCGAAAAATCGCATAGGTGCGCAATTAGGTACTCGCATCTGACTTGCGCAAAGATTAACAACCCGGCCCTGTTTTTACCTCAGCGCATCCATTGATATGGAGCATAAGCTGCTATCCACGGCTTTGGCACTCCTTGTGTCATATGTCTTCCTGCGATACATCCTTCGCAAAAGTCTGCGAGACAAGGACGGGAACTCGATCCCTCCAGGACCCCCGTTCCGCTTCCCCTTCCTTCCAAGATATCCTGAACACATCATCCACAAGTGGGCGAAGAAGTATGGTCCCATCTACTCTGTCTGGATGGGCAATCAGCTCTTCGTTGTTCTTAACGATCCGACCGTCGTCCGAGACCTGTTGGTCGTCAATGGAGCTAACTTCTCAAGCCGATGGAACTATTTCATGAAGAACCAGACGATTCTGAAAGGCGGCGCGATCACGGCTACTCCCTACAATGAAACATGGTACCGTGGATTCTCGCCAAAGCGTGAACTGACTGACACTGGCGGTGACAGGAGGAAACATCGAAGAATTGCTAATACCATGCTGTCCTCCAAAGCTGTAGAAGGATACACAGCAGCTCTTGACTATGAGGCGCACATGCTCATCCACTCTCTATACCACGACACTGAACAAGGCAAGGCTTCCGTCGACCCTGCGCACTACGTTGGCCGCTATGTTCTCAAGTAAGCAAGACATGATCCGCGTTGGGTTTCGCTGACACCGTCAATAGCAACATGCTTTCTGTAACATTTGGTACTCGTACTGGCTCGGTTACCGATCCTCTCGTCAAGAGAGCACTTCTTTTGGGTATGGAATTCATGCGACTGACAGGTGAGTAGCCCGGGAACGTCGCCTGCATCCTCTGCACAGTGTTCATCTCCCTCAAGGGCCGTGGACCAATGCCGTTGACTTCATCAAGCCTCTGCAATGGATACCGACCCTACCCGTTCGCGCGGTCGCAAGCTGAGCCAAGACTTCCTGGACGTATATGGCGCGATGATCCGCCACGTGAAAGAGCGCATGGACTCCGACGATGATGTTCCCGATTGCCTTGTAAAATCCCTTCTGGCCTGCGAGGAAGAGGAGCATCTGAGCTGGACCGACTTGTGCATGCTCACCACCGCTTTCGCTACTGGTGGCTCACACTCGGTGAATACATTTCCGGCATCGCTGGGCATCACTTGATACTGATGATATACAGACGTCTGGAACCATTCACTGGTTCCTCGCCTTGATGCCTTCTCATCCGGAAATCCAGGCAAAGGCGCATCAGGAACTGGACCACGTTATAGGACGTGCTAGGTGGCCCTCACCTGAGGACGAATCGTGCTTGCCTTACGTGCGAGCTATCGTCAAAGAAGTGAGTCCGAAATTGATCAGCACTGTGTATTGCATACCGACCGTGCACCAGGTCCTCCGTTGTCATTCACCTTTCTGGATGGGAACCCCTCATTGTTCGGACAATGACTTTGTCTACCGTGGCATGTATATCCCGGCAAATACAGTGATGGTTCTGAATTGCTACTCGCTCCACCAAAACGAAGAGAGATATGCAGAAGCGTGCGTCGGTATGATTTTGCATACGATCTGCGTCGATCTCACGTCCTATGCAGCCTTGAATTCAATCCCGACCGCTTCATGGGCGACAACCTTTCCAGTACGGAGTCCTCTAAGCTGGCGAATCCAATGGACAGGGACCATTGGGCTTTCGGAGCAGGGTACGTGGGAAATGCGCATGCCGCAAGCTACCAAATATTGACTTCCCAGCACAGTCGCCGTATATGCCCCGGTATGCTGGTTGCGGAGAAAGAGCTCTTCCTTGCAGTCTCAAGACTGCTCTGGGCATTTTGTATTGCCGCTGTACCAGGCAAACCCCCATGCCTGGAAGAGTATGATGGCAACTCTGGTCGCACACCCTTGCCATTTGAAGTAACCTCGTGCCGCGTCATGATCAGGTCGGTGCCGTGCTTGACACCTTGAAAGAGGAGGAGATGCCCACCGGTCTGGTATACACGGACGACATCGACTTTAGGCTCGCCTGAGACAATACGGGTCCACGACCACTACGCCGCGTATAGAGGTGCTACGGATAGCTAGAACCTGTAGTCGCGATGCCACACCATCTCGGTTACTGCATGTTTATTGGACATCGTGATATTCGTTGGGGATGAAGTTGTACATTACTGGTCTGCCATACACTAGTACTTACAATACATACTGTCCTACGCCCGCAACTTGATATTTACTTTGATTTTAGCCTGATATTCTCCGCTTGACACGTCCTGCGCACACTCCTGAATATTTCAAGATCAACCGGAAAACATGTTGTGTACTTACGTATACGGTGCACGTGTCACGCACTACACGGTCGCCTACTTAACTTAGCTGGATAACGAAATGGGATTACCTTTGAATTACCCGGCCTCCTCCCCCTCCTCTCATGATCAAGAGGTTTCGACGGCGTTCCTGGATACCTGGTCTCTGAGTCCTGGCAGTCATCCTGATTCATGATGCGCGTTGGTACTGCGGCCTGCCACTGCCCAACCACTGCCTCTGCGTACATATTTCGCACAACAAACCTGACATGGTATCTGAACACGGGATATGGTACGGGATATCCAAAAATATATTTTGAATATCCCGTTCGGGATATTGTGATCGGAGATATGGAAAGTCTGGATGCTCAAAGTATCCCGAGATGGAATACTTTGAATTTCCCCACATAGTATCGCAGGCCGGGATATGGTGAGGGATGTTTAGAATATCTCTGGCCACTGTGACAATGATGTCCATTTCCGTCTACCCATCGTCCTAACCACGTTGCTTGTTTTCTATTGTCCAGTGTCATGCGCGGTCACGGACATGTCACGCCGCAGGCCCGAGCTGCTACTTACCGTAAAAGGTAACTTTGGCTCCCTGCCGCCGCGGCGAGTCGCGGTACGATGTCGCGTCGCGGTGTGGTGTGTCGCGTCGCGTCGCGGTACAGTGTGTCGCGTCGTGTCATGGCATGGCATGGCGCGTCATGTCATGGTACGGCGCGTCATGTCATGTCATGGCACGGTACGGTGTGGCGTGGCATGTCACGATACGGCGTGTCATGGCATGGCATGGCATGGCATGGCGCCGGCGCGGCGTGTCATGGCATGGTACGGTACGGTATGGCACGGTACGGCGTGTCATGGCACGGTACGGCGCGTCGTGTCATGGCACGGTACGGTGCGTCATGGCATGGCACGGCGCGTCGTGTCACGGTATGGCACGGCACGGCGCGTCGTGTCACGGTATGGCACGGTACGGCGTGTCATGGCACGGTACGGCGCGTCGTGTCATGGCACGGTACGGTGCGTCATGGCATGGCACGGCGCGTCGTGTCACGGTATGGCACGGCACGGCGCGTCATGTCACGGTATGGCATGGGCCGCATGGCATGGCACGGCGCGGTACGGTACGGCGTGCCGTGTCATGGCATGATGGTATGGATAATGGTACATATACTTCGCTCATGTCGCTTTATTACAATCAAATTATTCTTGCATTGTACTGTGACAGCCTGAGTTGAACAGGTATTGTATTGGCGTTAGGTACAGCCTGAGCCTCAATAATGTATGTAGGGTACAATTTACTTCAGTGGCATGACATAAGCACCATGCTCGCACTGTGCCATGACACGGCACGCCGTACCGTACCGCGCCGTGCCATGCCATGCGGCCCATGCCATACCGTGACATGACGCGCCGTGCCGTGCCATACCGTGACACGACGCGCCGTGCCATGCCATGACGCACCGTACCGTGCCATGACACGACGCGCCGTACCGTGCCATGACACGCCGTACCGTGCCATACCGTGACACGACGCGCCGTGCCGTGCCATACCGTGACACGACGCGCCGTGCCATGCCATGACGCACCGTACCGTGCCATGACACGACGCGCCGTACCGTGCCATGACACGCCGTACCGTGCCATACCGTACCGTACCATGCCATGACACGCCGCGCCGGCGCCATGCCATGCCATGCCATGCCATGACACGCCGTATCGTGACATGCCACGCCACACCGTACCGTGCCATGACATGACATGACGCGCCGTACCATGACATGACGCGCCATGCCATGCCATGACACGACGCGACACACTGTACCGCGACGCGACGCGACACACCACACCGCGACGCGACATCGTACCGCGACTCGCCGCGGCGGCAGGGAGCCAAAGTTACCTTTTACGGTAAGTAGCAGCTCGGGCCTGCGGCGTGACATGTCCGTGACCGCGCATGACACTGGACAATAGAAAACAAGCAACGTGGTTAGGACGATGGGTAGACGGAAATGGACATCATTGTCACAGTGGCCAGAGATATTCTAAACATCCCTCACCATATCCCGGCCTGCGATACTATGTGGGGAAATTCAAAGTATTCCATCTCGGGATACTTTGAGCATCCAGACTTTCCATATCTCCGATCACAATATCCCCGAACGGGATATTCAAAATATATTTTTGGATATCCCGTACCATATCCCATGCTCAGATACCATGTCGCGTTTGTTGTGTCGGTTCAGGCGACCATGCGTGCGGCGGTCAGCAGACCCGCTGGGCACCCGAAAACGGACGTTCCGGACCTAAGGATCATCGGCGACAACTGGGCGACAACGTCATATCAGGACACATTCTGGGCAATTGATAGTCTGAGCGTCACGTCCAACAATATTCTACCCCGCAATTGATGGGAATTTCGACAGCATTCCCCGGGCCCCTGGGACGCGCGCAGGCCGCTGCTTTATAGGCCATCCTTCGCGCGCCGACGACCGACGAGCCAGCTCGGAGTCTCCTCGTTCTCAAGGATGTTGGCGCACGTAGCAAGTTTGTTGGTCCTTCTCCAGGCAGTGGGCGCCCTGCCCCAGTTGTCGACTAGCGCTGCTCCTGCGTCGAGCTCTGTGTCCTCCACATCGTCGAGCGGGTCATCGTTCGTCGTTTCGACCGCGACCGCGAGTGCCTCCGCTTCAGCCTCGGCGGTCCCGTCGTCGGAACCCCTGCCTCCCGTGCAGCCGTGGTGCATCAGCGAGATATTTTGTGCGGGTGCGGTACGTTGTAAACCCCTGTCCATACATTCCGGACAGTAACTGATCCCTCGCAGCTCTTGCAAGATGTCAACCTTGCAGAAGTCTACAGCGACCCCAAGACGATCGTCGACAAGCCGACGTCGAAGCGCTCGCAGGAGGTGCTCTCAGACTTTGCGGCGCTCCAGAACAGCTCCGGTGCAGCTGGGATCACGGAGGGCGACATTGTTGCGTTCGAGGACGACAACTTCACGGGCGAGGGGCAGGAGCTCGCCGTGGTCACGCTCACGGACTTCAACGAAAGCCCGGCCTTCCTCGAGAACGTGACGGACCCGCTGATCCAGGCGTGGGCACAGACAGTGAGCGGGTACTGGGCGGACTTGATCAGAGAGACGAACACGAGCGCGACATGCCCGATCTACCCGGACGCGGGCGACTGCGAAGGCACGTTCATACAGCTCAACCACACTTTCGTGATCCCGGGCGGGAGGTTCCGTGAGCAGTGTGAGTATACTTGTGGTCTGGCAGTGTGATCAGAGTACTGAATCACAGGGTGTTCACAGACTATTGGGACTCATATTGGATCGTCCAAGGCCTGATCCAGAGCGAACTGTATGACATCGCGAACTCGACTCTACAAAACTTCATGGACGAGATTGACACGTTTGGTTTCATTCCTAATGGCGGGCGGATATATTGTGAGTCAAACGCGGCTACCGACATCGCGTTCGCTGCTCACGCACGCTTAGACTTGGACCGTTCGCAGCCACCCATGTTCACTCGCGTAAGTGGGACCCGTAAATTCTGCTGTCGATGCGAGCATTGAAGGCAAAACCAGATGGTCGCGGACTACGTCGCCGCTACGAACGACACGGATATTTTGACACGCGCAATCCCGGCCATTGAGGTACGTCGTCAGCGAATGGTGCGTGGGAGGATGCTCATTCACGGGGTCAGACTGAGTTGCAGTGGTGGGTGAACAACCGCAGCGTGCAGGTGACGAGCCCGTACACGAATCAGACCTACACGATGTATCACTATTCCGTCAATAACACTGCGCCGCGACCTGAGTCCTACATCGATGGTGCGCACCTCACCGTGATCATTGTGGAACCATATGACGCTGACGGGCATGTTTCGCAGACTACACTACTGCGTTTGACCCTACCTTGCCCTCCCTGAACGAGACGGAGCGCTCGGCGCTCTACGCAGAGCTTGCGAGCGGTGCGGAGACGGGATGGGACTACTCGTCGCGGTTTGCTGCGCAGCCATTCGCCGGTGGGACGAACAACACCAACCCTACGCTGCGCTCTCTGCAGGTGCGGGAGCACGTCCCGGTCGATCTCAACAGCATCCTCTGTAAGCGTTCATTGCATTGCAGCATTGCCGTGCGAGTGACTCTAGCATGCGCACTCCAGACAAGGCACACACCCTGCTCGCGGACATGTACAACTCCACAGGCAACGACACGGGTGCTGAGGCGCACCTCGAGACCGCGGCCTCCCTGCGCACAGGGATCCTCGACTTGAACTGGGACGCAGAGAAGCTGGCGTTCTACGACTACAACCTGACTGCGGGCGCGCGGAACAGCATCTACAGTATGGCGACGTTCTACCCGCTCTGGAACGGGATCGTGCCCGAGGAGGTGCTTGCGAGTGAGGAGAACGCGTTCGGGCACTTCGCCGGCGTGAACCTGGTGATGAACCGGTATAATGGGAGCTTGCCCGTGACGTTCTTGGAGACGGGCCTACAGTGGTATGTCACCCCTGCGAGACTCGCTCGTCTGTCATGCACTGAGCGTTATCTCTCGTGCTACGCAGGGATAACCCGAACGCGTGGCCGCCGCACCAATTCATCGTCCTCGAAGCGCTGTCCGCTCTCCCGTCCAACCTCACCTCGGGTGCGCTGCCCACTCCGGCGTCGAACGAGTCAACGTACGCGCTCGTCCCTGCCGGACAGCTCGGCGTTGCGGAGGACGGACTGCCCGGGCAGGTGCTCAGCGTGGCGCTCGGGAACGCAACGAAGCTCGGGCCTGAAGCTGACGTGAGCAGGCTGAATGGCACGGTCGTCAATGGCGGGAACGCCACCGAGGGCGAGGGATGGGCGGATGTGCTCAAGCGCGAGGTGGCGAATCGCTACTTTGCGAGCGCGCTGTGCAGCTGGTGAGTGGGTTTTCCGTTTCCTTCGTTCTGGCTAGATTGGTCGCTGGACGAGATTTTGTTGACTGTTGTGTGAGTGCTGCGAATCTGTTATGGCCCTATCGGGTATGTGGGATACACCGATCGCCCCTGCCGCGATCAGTAGAGTGGAGTGTTTGAAACCATCTTGATCCATTGTGGGTGGCCAGTCTGGGTGCTGATGACTTGTATGTGACCAGGCACGCCACTGGTGGATCCATTCCGGGATTGCTGCCGCAGCTGCCTAACGAAGTCTTGAACATCACTGGTAGCATCGGGAACACCGGTAACGTCAGTAATTGAACTTCAAAGGCTTTACGATGAAGAGCTGACGCGTTCCTCAAGATGTTCGAGAAGTTCAACACCACCGATGTCGACTCGTCCGGCAGTGGCGGAGAGTACACTGTCCAGGTAAAACATCCCGTTACTGTGATCACGTCTCAACCTGATACTCACGCTCGATGCGCAGGCTGGTTTCGGTTGGACGAATGGCGTTGTGTTGTACATCGCCGCAAACTATGGTCGCGTGCTCACGGCCCCCGACTGCCCCGATATCCTCGCGATCGTCGGCGCGAGCAACAGCACCACTTCCACGACGACGTCATCCGCCGCATCGTCTAGCTCAACTGTGAGTACAACTGGCAGCGCGTCCGGGCATAGCTCGACTGCGAGCACAACTGGCAGCGCGTCCGGGCACAGCTCGTCGGGCCTTGCTAGCAGCGCATCTACGCATTTTTCGTCGAGTGCAACAGCTGTGGCTATCATTGGCGGTATCCTGATGACTTTGCTAGCATGATTAGGAATCTTGCCACCAAAAGGGTTTACTGACCCGCGTATGTGACGGACTCACGAGCGGAATGATCTAGGCGGACTCCAGTTATTGGTTGGGGATACTGTCAACGATGTAACGTAACGCATACGAAGGAAGTGTTCTCGGTACCGTTTTGTGTCCGGGAGGGTGCTTCGACCTCATATTGCACACGGTAAGCAATAGCGGATGAGGAGCCTGCGGGTGACTCTCAATATGCAGCCATGCCTGTAAGCCGAGTCATCTCGTTACTACATAGCTAAATTCACTGGCAGGTCAAATACAACTGCATCGTTCACAGGACGGTCCGATCAACCTCCAGGGCAATCCAGGGGTCACCATTCCCCAACGCCGCACACTCAGTAATTTGGTGCTTCTCACGGTGTCACCGAGTCGTACCAAATCATTGTAACTCCTTCCGACAGTGGAAACCGTTTCTGCGCGGTGCATACGTGAGATGTCAGAAGTAAGATGTATCAAACTCTTGTATCTCCTTCTGCGCGGCGTCACGTCAGACACGCCGGTGCGGAGGTAGGGTGCATCACTCACTGTCAAGGGCCAAGGTGAGCCTCCACTTTGCGTGCTCGCGTCTGATGCTATTGCGACAGGGTTCGGCTACTGAAGCTGAAGTATTGATCGGTGGCATGGAATGCTTGTACCTCAACTCAGAAGTTCGCCACACCAACATGACTATACAAGGTGGGTCTATCATACCCATCGTCAGGTTGTCTGCAATCGGACTGAGGAAGCCTTCACTGCGTCGTCACAGTATAAGTCAGTAAATGTCGCAACCAAGATTCAAGTGAACTACAAAACCTACAGCTCGGATTGCATATCCACTGCTTATCAAGTGATAGTATGTGTGTTCCCTCCGGTGACAATGCGGCTCGTGATACACTGTATCCATCACTCATGTCATTAACTAACTTAGTAATTTTACTACGCGCATCGGTTCTAACATATGTCACCTCAGACCGTTCCCATCGGTCGCGGACGACGATGTCTTTTGAGTCATCAGCAGTAACCCGTATCGTATAAAATGGCAATGGAACGCATCCCAACCTCACGTCAAAAATCGAAAACGAAATGTCTGGCAAAGCCGAGGTCCTATCACTGCTTTTTCTGATTAACAAGGCTACGCAGGACGCTCTGGCAGCATACGACAACGGTGGCCACGACGTTCCCCTCCTTTCATCAACCGATGAGCAATTGGTCCTCGCCTTGTCTGAGAACATGCAGCTGAAGAAAGCCGTTCGTCTTCTGGAAGGCGCCTGCGACCAGCTCTGTGCTACGCTCGCGCCGCCAGCCCTCACTATGGTCGACGTACGTGCACCAATGATATTGTCTTGAAGACAAATGACGCATACTAAGTTTCCTGGCATAGCGTTCTCAAGGACATTATGCTCAATGCCTTCGTACAATTTTGCGAGCAGGCGTAGCAGATGTGCTGTACGACCATCCTGTGGGAATGCACGCCAGAGATCTAGCGCCATTGGTGAAGATAGAACAGGGAAAGCTCAGTCGCATCCTGAGGTGTCTGGCGACAAGACACTGCTTCCGCGAAGGTTACATTGCTGATGACTTCTCATCTGCTACACGCTCATCCGTTGACTTTACAGTCGCAATCGATAAATACGCCCACAACCGGTTGTCCTTGATGCTCCGCAAAAGCAATCCGATCATGCATTTAGCTGACGTCTATCTGACCGACATAGCTACCGGTGGAAACGTTCTCTATGAGACGATCACAGATCCGCGGTGCATGAATTCGGATGACCTCGCCAAGGCTCCTGTCATGTACGCCGTCAATGGACCAGAGAACGAAGGTGCCATGTTCTTCGACTGGTTGCGAGCTAATGTTCGTGAATTCTTTGCGTCTCATTTGTCGATCCTATCTGACTTGGAATGGGAAGCCTGACAGGGAGGAGGTAAGTCTTTCAAGCTCGCTCTGATTGGCCTGCCGCTTCAAGATATTCCGAGTCTAGAACTTCAACTTTGGGATGTCGGGCATAGGCATCCTATTTGGCAGTCTCGCGTCGCTTGAAGGTGTGGTAGCATCCGATATCCAATTGATCTTAAAACTTAAGACTCGTCTTACACCAGATTTCCCTTGGAAGAGCATCTCAACAGTCTGCGATATTGGATCCGGTGTCGGTGCCTACGCTATACCTCTCGTTCGACAATACCCGAACATCACCTATACCCTGTGTGACATGCCTGCGACTGTTGACCAAGGTGAAGAGGTATGGATGCGTCTCGTCTGATACTTACGTGACACACTCGTGCTGACTCCGTCTTCCACTCGAAAGCTATGGAGCAGCGAATGCCCGGACATTGTTCAGTCTGGGAGGGTACTGTTCTCCGTGCTCAACTTCCTCGAACAAGCCCCACCTCCTGGCCAGGATGTCTACTATGTGTGGCCTTCAAGTTGCTTTGCTTGCGGTAGCTGTGTTGCTGACTTCTACACCAACAGATGCGGGCGATTCTGCACAGCTGGTCGGATGACCAGGCAATATGCATCCTGAAGAAGATCCGACAATCGATGGGGCCTACAAGCCAGTTCTTCGTCCGTACGTATCTCTGGTCCTACAGTGGTTCACAGAAAACTGATTCAGGGCGGCAGACGACTACGTGATGCAACACTTGGTCCGCGATGAAGATGAGAGTCAACAGCTGTCCGTTGCGGTGGACGACGTGGGTTTCGGATAGTTATGAGATAACCCGCGCGCTCACACAATTTCATGTAGGCCCCCGAACCTATGCTTCGCAATTTCGGTGCTGGTAGAATGCGGGCATGTAATCAAGACATGACCATGCTGATAGCGTGCAACGCAAAAGAGCGCACACTTCAGGAGATGTCAGCACTTGGGTATGTTCGTCCTTGATTCTGTCGATGAGATTTGCTGAAGTTCACATTTACAGGCAGCAGGCTGGGCTGCGCGTGGTGAAGGTTTGGGACCTTGCGGAAGCATGTGTCGTGCAGTATGAGATCGCTAGTGCATCTTGAATGGAAGTCGAGGTGCTGGACGCATGTAAAGGCATCTCCCTGTCAAGCCCAGTAGCCGTCATATTTTTCAGATTCGTGCATGTGTCACTGGAAAATGTATACAGAGATAGTCAAACCCAGGTAAAGCCTGCCAAGTGCGCCCGGTCGCGGTGTACAGGTGCGGAAAACGGGTGCCGTGTTACATTCGAAGTCATTGTGGCTTGTCGATCAATATAAAGGGCCCGGACACAGAAGTGTGGCGACAACTGGCGTTCGGGCTGTGGAATAAACTTGTCGTTCACAACAAAGTGATCAGAACCGTAAGTCCACAGAGAGGGTATCAGTGGTCAGACCACTTGCTAAGTATGGGTATATCGTACACGTCGTCTATAGGGGTATGAGTGGTACACTCTGAGTTTGCGATGCCTCCGCATTGTACTGCTGGAATGCCGCTTCAATTTCTGGCTGATAATCCTTCATTACTAGAGCCCTCCGCGGTGTGCCTTTCAGCGAGTAGGTGAACGGCTTGGACTCGTGCGCAAAGATGGTAAGCTGGACGCGCAAGATCAGCATTGGAGCAAATTGATAATGTTACATGGAGGTACCCACGCGTCTGTCGATCCTTGCATACGGCGGTGACATCGCGTTCACCCTCTCGACTACAGGCCTGGAAACCGATGTAAGTATGACCACTTGATCCACGGACAACAATACCGACATGACCATGTCGCCTATGTCGATAACGCAATCGTGTTCTCCTTCCTTTGCCGCAGATGCGTAGTCCAGTTCGATGACGACGCCGACCTTGGACTGGCCGCGGCCGAACATCACCGCTCCCTTGATGCGTTCATCTTGACATAGCTGCGACTCTGTTCACGAAAGCTTGGTGATGTCCTACGAGTAAAAGGAACCTACGACCTCACCTATGGAAGAGGGGTAGACCTGTTGTCCGTGGTCAGCGGACTGCTACGGTGTGGCATTGACGGCGACATACAATCTCTCCCGTAGAGAGCATGATCTGATCATCGACTCTGCCAAGAACCTTCCAATAGCCGGGCTTGTTTGGGTGGGGCAGGAGCGAGTCACCGGGAACATGTGCATCTTTCCCATCAATCTCGCTGTTGATAACTGGCAGTGCTTGTGTTGGTCCCGCCTTTAAAACAAGCCAATTAGTGGGTGAGGCTCCGGTTCCGGAACAAGACATACTGTGACGACTAGACGGTACGATTGCTCGGCATCATTGTTTGGCAGTATGGCACCATTAAGCTGGCTGTTGATCTCGAAGTACTCCCAATCTTCATCATCCGTCGCTGTGTCACAAACACCGTCAATCAACGATGTATCTGTAATGGAAGGAAACGTACCTCGAAAGATGGTACTGATTAGTCCCGTCTCAGTCCTGCACTCTGTCAGAATCAACGTCAGTGGAACTGAAGACGTTGCTCACGTTCCGTAAGCGGTATGTAGTCTAACACCATTCTTAACCACCAAGTCACCAACCGGTCGACTCAAGAATCGTCCGCCATACACCTACGTCGCAACATGATCAGACAAGCTTTGGCTGGACATGGATGGGCACCTACTATTCCTTTCATTTGTCTTAGATACGGATATCGGTTGAGATCACACGACCATTGCTGTCGCAGGTTATATGGTGATCATCGCTCGAGTTGAAAGACAGGGCACTCACGGTTATGAGCGACGGAGGTGCCAAAGCGTAGGCAGCTCTACACTCAGTCATGCATTGGTAGACCGCGTCTGCCGTTGGGACGACTGCAGGAGAAGAGGGCGGTAGCACAGCCATGATATAGCCCGTCATCGGCTTAATTCTGGTATGATTAATCGCACACGTAGATATCCGGAGCTGAGACTGACCAGGAATGAGAGGAACATAATACCCCATGCGTGGAACAGCTCAATAGCTGGGCACGCGGTAACCTCGTTCACGTAGTCTCGGGCCGCTGGGATGCGCGTATCAGTCATTGTACCACTCTTCGAGTAGCTTTAACTACCGTCAACTATGGAATAGTTGGAGGTGCAGCGGACGCTCCAGGGAATGGGCTTGGGGAAGGACGTTGAACCTAGAGAGGTCAGCCTTGGAAGCTAGTCGAGAAGGTGTGACATACCTGACGAGTGAGTAATGATAGCTAGAGCGGAAGGATCGTACCGCCGACTAGGAAGAGGGTGCAATGGGCTTTGCACGCGATATAGGTCATCGTAGGATGGCATAATGGAAATCCCCGGGGTGTTGTCAGAAGAAAGGCTGAGGACCTTGACCGCCTCCTGAGCAAGTTCCTGTATCGCAGCTTCCCCGCTTACGAAAATGTGGCAAGCACCGCTGACCGCGACAAGCTTCGATACCACAGAAGCGGAGAAACGGGGAGTTATTGGAAAGACGGGAATACCGGCAAGCGATAGTCCAATGAGTGTAGTCGCATACGTGACTGTGTCTGCAGAAGCGTTAGCTCCGATGTCTATTCAGAGGCATAGAGTAGGACAAAGGCACCCGATGCAGCAAGAATCACGACGAGTTTGGCGGGCGTCATGTCGTCCACAAGCTCAATTCCAGCAGCTTCGGCGACATAGCGAGCTGCGCGTTGAGCCGCAGGTATCACGTCGGAATAAGTAAGATGTACCGGTCCCGTGTGGTCATGCCAGAGGAAGACGCGTTGGTGCGGGTTGTGTTGGTAGTGCCAATTGTATACCTCTGGGAGAGTGAGCGATCCATCACGAGGCGCTGGTACATACTGTGAACCAGACGCAGCCTGAGCGGAACGCGAAGATGCCAGCCATCGAAGTAGAGCGGAAAACGGAGCAACACCCATGTTCAGACACGCTTCTGTCAACCACAGGGCGATGTTTGACTATATGTATATGTATCCATGAACCTGATCCCGATACGTGACCACTAGTGCGGACTTGGTGCGGACATCCCGGACCAGTTGCTATCTGACCGCGAGATGTTTCAGCTTCGAAAGTGGAAGCCCCATAGCATGCAATCTGATATGACTCCGCGGAACCTCTGGTGAGAAGAGAATGGACAATAGCGTACAGCCGCCGCGGCCGGGTCTATCACATAGACCTGTGCTGCCTCCCGGGAGCCAACGGTCTTGGGGCGCGCGCGCCTCGCACCGTCGCAGTCTCCGCGGGGTCATACGTATTTGTGACGAATTCCTGCTCAACATGAGCAGTGATAGGCATGATCAGAAGAGTAGCGAAGATGGTATATACCCCCTAAACTCATGCGACTAGTGGCGAGCTGGTGACCAATCGAAAGTGAAACGATGCTAAAAGTTTCACGCCCTGGCTACGGAGTAGCTTTGAAGATAGGTGTCTTGATGATATCGGCACTGTATTGACTACCTCGAAGTAGAAAGCGCATTAGCAAGTAGAGAAGCACATGCTCATGACACGACGCTCCGAACGCGATGAGGTCCCGCATGACCTCAATGACCGCGTACGATGATTGGTAGAAATCCTGAAAGTAATCTCATCTTATATTACATGCATGTTCGCCATGTTTCGTTGTCCCGGGTGTGTTTGCATGATGCAATGCAGCAATACCCAAATCCTTTACCTGGTTACCGTACACTATCAGATGTTTTACTGAGCCAATTTAGAGTTGGATCCGACTCACGTAGTGCCCACCGCAAAAGCGAGGTGATGTCTACTGTCAGTTGAAGCCCGAGATGCAGTAGAGCAGTCATCGGCGAACATGAGAATCTGAGAGGCTGCAAGAGTTGTTCAAGAGTTGTTTGAGTGTCGTTGCCAACGTTGCGGCCTCTGTGCGACCACGTGATACCTACGCCACAAAGGTTGCCACAAAGCTTTCGTGCCGGATTGGTTATAACGTCCTCACTACTGCATACAATGGTGCCATCAATCACCAGTCATTAACTGCAACTCTACTATGTCTGTCTCTGCGATATCCCAGACTTTCACGACTCGCAGTCCTGCCCGGTTACTAGAGGCCATCAGCATCAGCTTTACATTGTGCTCCCGTCGGACCTTGGTCGGACCCGTTCAGAATGAGACTCACCTTAAATCAGCTAGATCTCGTACAGTGCGTTCCTTCGCATTGTATGTCAACAACATCGTCAAGTCTTGACCATACATACGCAGACTTCCGGCGCCGAAATTGGGCAATAGAGGCTCCGGGGCCTAACACGTCCGCAGCCCTTCAGCAAACGGTTGGGATAGACACAGCCGGAACGCTAACCATTTCCTGCAGATCAGATATGTCGCCTTCTATGCGACTAGCGTACTGCACCACATAGTCATCTGTTCACGGGGTCTGCCTGCGTAATCGGTTACAGCATGAAGGATGAACACACGTACGAACGAGCAAGCGGCTGCCGGGACGCATTGCCTTCTGGACATTTCTCAGAATTGTCTCGGCCTCTGCATCTGGCCAGTTATGTATGATATTGCGCAGCTGTATTTCGGTAAGTGTGCTTGCCCATTTCGCAGACGGGAGCTCACGTAGTATATGTCTAGACCGGTCGGCGGCGAGCCTTCGAAGAAGTTGAAAGGGACGAATTCGACTCTTTGTGCCTCAATGATATCGTGATGGTCCTTGCTCCAAAGCTTTACAAAGAGTCAGTACACGTATCGTCATGCACTACGGGACTCGCGAGGCACTTACGTCTTTCGCCTGCCCGATGACCTCCGGTAGATCGCAGAGAATAACCTTGACTCCTGGGACCTGCCGCACGAGGGCTGTGGAAAATGGTCCTACGCCAGACGCCACATCGCAGATTGTCTTGTAGTCCGCCCAAGGGAATACTGCAACGTCGACGTCACGGCGACCAGAAACCAGCGCGACGCGATCCGGACGTGCCTTCAAGTGCAGCGAGAGTACCCATCACCGAACCCATTCCGAACATCGCTCTAGCGAAGGTCTAGTGCAATCTGAGTCTTATGTGCACGCACGTCGCTCTTACTGACGCCTACCTCTCGCCTTCCTGGCTACGAAAGAACACCATTAGCGGGCCACCGGAAAAGGGAAGCCAGCTTACATTGGCCTTCAGGTAGTCGAAGAACGTGATCTTTCCGTCTCCTTGCACCGACTGCATCATCGCAGACTCTGTTGCCTTGTACGATGGTCCGCGGACGGGATCACTGAGGTTCTCGTGCAGGACCAACGCAGCTTTGTACACCTCGTGGAGATGTACATCCGCAAGGTCGCTGAGCGGATTGTCCGACCTCAGCACCAATGAAAGGCGATTGTTGACGAAGACATTCGGGCGCACTCGAAAGAGGTTATCCGTTAGGACGGAACTCTTCCCGAACGTAACTCACGCACCTTCTCGGAAGCAGTGCCTAGTTGCAAGGAGACGAAGGATGCGCGCGAGCTTGCCTTTCTCGATGTTCACTTTTGGCCCAAGTTCATCCACATGAAGACCATCCGGGTGCTCGGACAGCACGTCCGCAACACGAACGTGTATGGCGACGCGCATACATGCCCAGTCATACGGCACCACTCGCTACAGTGTCACGCCGAGGTTAGTGCACCTAGAACTCAGAAGAACGAACGTGTGATACTCACATTGATGACAGTGTTCGCAGGAGGGGCAAGTGTCGCGCATAGCTGATCAGAAGCGCCCTCTAGCAAACGTACGGCCTTCTTTAGCGCGAGGTTGTCCGACATGGATGAGAGGGACTTCGTATCCAGGGACGTCAGCGAGGGGACGTCCTCTCCGCTGGCCTCGTACGCAGCGAGCGCATCGTTCGTAGCCTGATTAACCAGCTTCAGCAGTGCTAACACTTCTGCCTTCCCCGACATGACGGAGCGCGAGCAAGGACGATCGCTTGCCGCGCCAATCTTCACGCCTATAAGACGTCACCGAGCTCCTTTCGAAAAGACCTGGGCTGACCGCACGATAGCCATGGTTCAGCTCGTAAACCAGACTTGTCGGCCCTAGGGTCGCCGCGCGGCTCGAGTTCTCCTGATTCACAGCTGGCGTTCCGAAGACACGACCGGCGTGATCAGCGAACACTCTTCTAGCAGGCACAGGGAGTTCGTGTTGATAAGAATTGATGGAAGGTAGCGTTCGTCTTCTCATAGATCATTTCCGCGTGCGCTAGGACAGGCTAGGACATGACGCTGACGAGACCCATGCATTCATGAGTTATCGGCGTCGATCAGACTGGAGCTCATGTGCTTCACCCTGGCTTCACCTCCTGGATCCGTGCGCTGGGCGTATGTGATCGCGCATGGCCGTTGTCCATGGGAACTATCCTCAAATGAGCTGCGGTGGTACCAAGGTTGTCCCGCCCTGAGACCGGCTGTATGTATTGCGGCACAGACTGCTCCGCTTCTCGTTCAGTCTGCCGGTGCATCAGATGATTTCACATGTACATGAGTACAGTACGCGTGATTCTACATGGCTCGGTATGCGCACGGTTACACAGTTGGGGGATCCTTCAGTAATATCCACTCGTAGGAGAGGTGTACATAACAAACAAGAGTATACGCGTGTTTGAAGAATACAGAGAAAATACAATGACACCTGATTGTTCCTATGTAGAACGAGCCGGGTATCTTCAGGTGGCGAGGCCGTTGTTGTAGTTGTACACCTAGACAGCATCGTAGTCTGCCATAGTAGTGCCTCCGAATGACTGGTCACTGCTCGTCATCCTCCCACCACTGCTCAACAAGTTCGGATTGTGGGTCTGCCGAGGGGAGACAAGGTCAATCGGCTTGCCGGTCTACGGACGCAGAGTGAGCATGCAATAGTCTCGGTCACAAATCGCACTCACGTCGTCGTGGATGACAGTAGTCGTAGTAGCGAACGGAGACGGCGAGAACTTGATTGTGCTCTCCTAAAAGATTACGGGCGCCATGGGTCATCTATCCGTTCTGTTCGGAGGTGTTTGGAGTGAAGACGCACCACCACCGCCTGGTTGCTGGGCCTCGCGCCGGAACTAAGCTCGAAGAGGTTCCGACCTCCGTTATTGGTCGACACGGATTGCCGCGCGAGGAGGCTACCAAAGGCGTCAAAAATCCGCGGACCTATCGCATACTCTGATGAAAACCCTACTTGGCGAGGAGAGAGGTGGCATATACTGCGAGACAAGACGTTTCAGCATGGTCCGGTGAGGTCAAGCCATGAACGACCTACAGCCGCCCAAGGGAAAGACGACCATAATGTGTCCGTAGTGAAATCCGTCCCCAGTGAACTGCAGGAAATGTTAGCACCCGCCAAAGAAGCGAAACGAGGTTTTGCATATCGTACCGAAGCAAGGCATATGATCTCGACAATACTGGATACATTGCCATGAGTAAGGGACGAGAAGACGGTCAGACTTGATATAACTAGCCTTGTAATGGCTCCGGTTTGAACCGCGTACGCCATGAGCTTGTTGATGAGCTTGTTAGTTCTGTAAATGCATTCGTAAGTGGTTAGCATGGCAGAGCCGACTTCACTCTCACCTCTTCACTCCAGTACGACTCGTGTGCAGTAGATAACACATAACGCAAGCGATTAGAATGTCGCAGGCAGAACCGCATCCCAGCCAGACGTCGACCGCCCACTGTGTGGAAGGGTGCTCAGCGACGAACTCGAATGACAATCAGTGGCGCCTCCAAGACTCACCGTGACCTTACTGAAGGTCAGGAACTTCTTGAGGCGGTAACTACAGCCAAACATCAGCAAGGGATGACTTTACGAGTACGTAAGGAATCACCATTCTGCCATGGCGTAGAATCCGACAACTGGCAGACGATCAGATGCTGCATAAGTTCGGAAGAGAGTGGCTAACCGAACTGTATCAGACTCAAGATGACCTGGACGACATCAGTGAGTGGGAGGTTCCATGATAAGGGCCCTCTCTACTCACAACGATCCCTGAAGTAACCCAGCGGAAGATCCAGTGTCGAGACACTGTGACACAAGGTAGTCGGCAGATTGTCAGTGTGATAGTCGTTGAGACCTACAAATGAAGATCCTGCGGGCGAAGAACATTTGCACTCCTGTCGAAGCGACACTCTGCGTGCAGTATTAGGATACGGGTCTTCCCAATGCGTTGTACATTTGCTCACAGTGCAAGCGACGTAAAGCAGCCAGTCCCTATGGAACATCAGCACGTTAAGGGGCTTCCGCTGATAGTCTAGGACTGGCTGACCATGTTGCGTAGGCAAGCTTCTGAGTGTTGCCCCAGTCCTTGATCAGGTAGACGTAGATCATGTGGATGTTGGTTGCGCTATAATAAAATTGCTCAGCCAAAGCGAGAAATCGTGCCAAGAGAGTACCCACAGAAGAAAAGACAGGACGGCCCTATGGAATGTGGATCAGCTTCGGTATCACAACCGTTGGTATGTCGCGAACTCACCAAAGACCGGCGACCTACAACAGTCTCAGCGGCACATTCGATACGACAAGCAGGTGAATTGAAAAGCGCACCAGTGCTTTCATCCAGTTAGGGTCATCAGGGAACCGCCTGAAGTAGACGAACAGTTGCGAGACGAGAATGCCATACACCCTATGCGCCAATGTCAGCAGTCGCATCGGTACGGTACTTGGTGTGCGCGCGCGACTTACATAGCAGCAATCATGATGCCCACAAGGGCGGACCCGAAGATGGTGTCCAGCGACGAGGCCATCCTGGCAGTTGATCGAGTGAGCAAGGCAAAGCATTCGTTCGTCCAGCGCGATGAGTTATAACTGGAGCTGGACGAGCATCATTGATGCGGGCATTGCGCCAATGCCAGCGCTCCTACCACCCTATGCCACATGTAGTAAGTCTTCCGCAGATGTGCGGGCCAGTCGCAGGTCAAACGGATCAAAGAAGAGATCTACTTCGCTGCCAACGATGATCATCAAGGTTCGTTTCCGTTTTGATAAGCATGCTCTCCGGACGCCATGCCGAAAGGTTCGGTCATCATGGACCATGTCGAAAAAGTTCAACAGAATGGTTGAGATGTACTAAGTATACACACTGCACCCAGAATACCTTCGTTGTAGCCGGGTCACCTCTCTCAAAGAGCAAGAGGCTCTTTCGAAGCCTCCAGTTTCCTTCAGCATGAGTCCTTGATAATTGATGCAGCCGTAGTATCAACAACTTTTCGACCGCGGTCGAGCACGGTCCCACGCCAGAACGAGTGGAAGCATACCTATAACCCAACATCAATCCCGGAAGTTGACTCGGAGTACTGAGTACTTATTGCATACTTACCATCACGGAAGCAAAGAAAGTCTTGATCAGCTTCATCATTCGGGCTCATCGAACATGCTCCGTGCGCGAAAGTTGCTGTCAAAGTTGCACATGGATGTAAGAGACAGGTGCCTTAGACGGGCCTTAGAGTGCGCTCGGAATGGGTGTGATCGCCACTGATGTTATCACCCATATATGGAAATCAACGTTTGTCCCTCCTCCCTCCTCCTCCTCCTCGGTTCAAGTCGCTCACTAATACTAATAGCAGTGCACAGACTCTTCTGCCATGTCAACATACCACGCTGCTTCAAGTTTGTTATCATCGCTACGACTTATACTCCATCGTGGCTTGCGCTCGCGGACGTGGATGACTCGTGGAGTGTTATAAGGAGTCAAGCTAGGCCTTACTGTCGCCTGCACATTCATCCCAACGCGGGGTACGTATCGGACACATTGTCATGGTGAGTACTTAGTCTCTTACGGCTTCTTTTTCGCTTTCCCATTTGCGTCCAGGCTGGTGCCAATGTTGATCAAGGCAGAATGCGGCATCTCATCTGATAACTACCCGTCACTTAGTGCAGGGTATTGCCACCCCGATGCCACTGTCAACGTCGTACTAGTGAGTTATCGGCTCGTTCCTGAAGACCTGGTGATTCAATGCAGATACAATGCCAGCGCCACGAAGGGCCAAGCAAAGGTGAGCGCTACGTGAGCGCCGTCTTGCTACCTCCTTATGTACTGATGCAGTACTCTTGCATGTTCGTTTGACCCCAGGGAAACTGGGGAAACTGGCAGCCGCACTAGACCAACATATTACATGACGGTCACTACGCAACCGGACAGACTCGCATCTGCGTCCAGCTTCTCGCTCGCGAAGGAAGCCGATAGTACCTCTTCCTCGACCCCAACAGTGGATCGGCACCTCTCAGATCAATCATGGAGAATGTACTTCGGGGGCTAGAGTTCAGAATCGCCTCACTACAGGCTCTCCACGATACCGGAAGTTCCGTGACTTCCCGGCGCATCATCGCCCATGAGCGCGAGCCTTCCTGAGTTCTCTCGGAGTCCGCGGGCGATCTTCTCCCGCAGAGAAATATATACGTAGGCTGTGCTTGGACGGCCAGCTAAATTTCGTCAGTCGACTAGATGCGAATGTCGTGAACAATGACCTGGTATGGACGTAGGCATTTGGTAGGCATCTTCAAGTTGGTCGGCTGAACGTTGCTGACAGTCTGATCTACGTGCATGCAGGTGACGGGACTACTGCTAGGGTAAGGCTAGAAACAGTACTGACAAACTGCATCAGAAAGCGTCCCACAGCGTACTCACAGTGCAGTCATACTTATATAGACAATTGGCCATGGGTTTCTGGGAATCATAGACAACATCCCCGAGCTCGAGAATTGTTCCGAGAGCCCCATGATGCCGACTCCCATCATGCACTTTGACATGAGGTATCCTCAATGGGGATTTGCCATTAGTGACATCACTAAACACGGGATTGCGCAAGTGCGCAGGCTCGTATCGATGACTCGGCATGTGGTCGAACTCGGAACTGTTCGCCCAGTCGTTGACAAACATGTATCACGCTCATGATGGGCCGCCACGAAGGCACCGTCTCAGAGATAGAACTTGGAATACTTACTGATCGCAAATTTGCCGTCGTCGCATCAAGGCTGCTTGCGTAAGTACGATATGCCCCTGGTCAACGCAACCTCGCGTGAAAACCGGCGCCGGCTTCTGCTTCCAGGGGCTGGCTTCCAAGTTCCCCAGATCCGAGCGCAATCCGAGCGTTGTGGAATGGTGCGTCCACTCAAGCTAAACCGAGTTCTAGGATCGCTCACCGTACACGTGTGCCTCCCAGTCGATAGGCCCAGTGTGGTTGTGTCACCTCAAGTTAGGTCTCCAATAGTGCAGGACGTCGACCCGTCCTGTCACTCCTGTGCCAAGTGCGCGACTCACCTCACTATCTCCGTCCAACCATGGCGTCCGAGCCGCTTGCTACACAATTTCCTGACTATGGTCGATGTCTCCGAAAGCATTTCGCCTTCGATCCTGACTTCGTTCCTCTCAATCACGGTGTGTTCTTTCGCGTCTTGTGTCCGTGTATGACTTCACGATTCTCAGGCGCTCTGGGTGCGACGCCGCGAGCTGTGTTGGACGCGTCTAACGATCTGACACTGGAGATGGAGTCCAATCCGGACGACTTCGTGTGGCTCAGATATGAGTCGAAGCTGAACGAGGTGCGGCAGCAGATTGCCAGGCTCGTACACGCGGATGTGGACGAATGTGTCCTGGTCCCGAACGTATGCAATGGGATCAATACTATTCTGAGGAATTTTGAGTGGCAAGAAGGTGACGCGATTATAATCAGTACGTATGCGTTCGTCGAGTGTCGAGCCTCTGCTGATGCTTGAATCTGTTTTATCGCGATCCAGCCAACTGCACATTCAACCCGATCGCCAACGCTGCGCGGCATATCTCCCAGACATACCCCTTTCCTGCTGTAATAGAGTTTCCCTTGCACTTCCCTGAATCTCGTGAGGATCTGCTCGTTCGATGGCGCAACCTCCTGCGTGAATTGGCTTTACCCTCGGCCTCTAGCGGCTCATCGCAACAACGAGTTGTCGCGATCATTGACAGCATTGTGTCCGGTCCCGGGCTCGTCATGCCATGGAAGGAGATGGTGCAGGCATGTAAGGAGAGGGGAGTGTGGACCGTGATCGACGCGGCACACTCACTTGGCCAGGAACGCGTGGATTTGAGCGCGAGTCAGCCAGACTTCTGGGTGTCGGTAAGAAGTCATCAGTTGCTCAGCCAAAACAACCCGTAGTTATGCTGGCACAGAACACGTCAAAGTGGTTATTCGCCAAACGCGGCTGTGCTGTCCTGTATGTACCAAAGAGGTGAATACGCTCTCATCAACTGCCCCTGGACCATGACCTCAGTGTTGCATATGACAGGAACCAACATATAATCAAGACTTCGTTACCTACCGCTTTCCATGCGCCGTTTTCGCCGGACACGTCTACATTCGGCTCAAGATTTGCATGTACGTTCCAGTCTCGTTGTGCTCTCGGAATTATCATAGCAGCTGATTGACATTACCAGGGTTCGGTTCCGTGGACCTCACGATAGCCCTGAGTATTCCTGCCGGTAAGTCACGACGTTTTGATACCCTTACCGGTCGATCATGGTGCTTCTATAGCATTACGCTTCCAGGAGTCCCTCGGCGGAGAGGACAGAATCAACGCCTACTGTCGTGCGCTTGCTCTGGCTGGTGGCAAGCGGTTAGCGGATATATTGGGCACACGCGAGATGGACCAGTCACCCGACCGCGCTTGGACCGCGAACATGGTGGGTCAGTCCACTGCATGCAGCGTGTCAAGATACTAACGCGAGTTCACTAGGTCGCTGTGGAATTGCCTGTACCTGCAGACGTCGTGTTCTCTTTCGAGACCATGCGCTTCTTCCAGATCAGACTGATTGAGCAGCACAAGGTTTACGCATCGCAAACCTTCCACAATGGGAAATGGTGGACGCGAGCAAGTGCTGCGATATACAACGACGTGAGTCAAGCATCACCATTTCTTGTTATCAATGACGCTGCAACTCAATGTTCGCAGGTCAGCGATTTCGAGAAGCTTGGATATGCTCTTGTGGAGGTTTGCCGGGAAATTGCGAAGAGACCCAGAGCAGGCGCAAGACTGTGATTAACCGCGGTATATTTCGTACACGGTGTTTCATTTTATGGGACTCTCATATACAAAGGTCATGTTCACTTTGAGTGCACACCCCCATTTATTCAAATAGCAATGAAGTATGAACGTAATGCACTTGGAGGTCAGTGGCCACGTTCGATTTCAGGCGATAGTGTAAATACTGTAAGGGAGTGAACAATCACCACAGTGTCACCCACCGCGAATCGGGAGGTGATCATGACGTTCTCGGTTCACTGTCGTAGGTCTTTTACATCTGATACTTAATGGAGTGAATACGTACTTATCAAAAGTGGCTACAGTAAGGCAGTACGCACATACTAATGCTCTTTCGTGAATGTCTCCGAAGTGCAAGTGAAAAGCATGGTAAGGATGTTTCACTCTATCCAAACTCTACCAGAGAAGGACCGACACTGCCCTTGTGAGTATACATCACTTCACGGTAAGTTTAGCGATTCCGACATCACCATCCGCAAGTTTCATAACCTGAACAACATGTGTTCGATCCCATCGCACGTTCAACCAGATGGATGACCACACGGGAGCACGACGACAGTATTCAACATGACATTAGAAATCGACGAGCACTATTAGTAGTCGAAGGCTGGTCGAAGGGTACTACCAAGGCATGCCCATGGCCCACTTGCGCCAAACTGTCACGACATACCAACGCCGTCTTGACAGATGCTAACATTCCCCGGTAATATAAAACACTTACCAATGTACAGCGTCCGCCGGATGACACCCACGGACGCCGATACATCATGAACTCTAACAGTGAGTAAACAAGCACTATCCCGGCGGAGGTTTTGAATCTTACCCACCACCTCAACACACCCCAGCCCTCTCTGCTATTCTTGCTGCCGTCAATTCGCCCAGCCACGAACCGTCACGAGTACGTCGACCGACCCCGCTTCCGTCCCAAGTGACCCCACTACGTCAGCCAACCCTCGCCAGCCTGCATTACATCGTGCCCGAGACATCTATCCCGTAGGAGGCAGATACAGGTACGTAATCTCCGGATTGGTCGCGGAAGGCTTGAGTACTCACAACGTTCCTGCTCAGTAGCCCAAAGCAACGTCTTGCACTAGCGCAGCTACAAGTGCTCCTTGCTCCGGCACCGAGATGCACTCCGAAAGTCCAGATAAGGCGGGGTCGACGGAAGCACAGGTATCAGCAGCGGAGTCAGAGGAGCTAGCAGACATAGGGTCCGACACGGCAGACGAGGTTGATGATTACGACAGAGATGACGAAGATGAACGGTTTTTGCGGGACCTGGAGGAGAGACGCAACCTGCAAAGAGTAGAGTTGCACGTAGTTATCGAGATACACACCGAGTCGCATGATTGAGCCCGACTGGGTTCATACACACTCTTGGCGATGACCGGCTTGTTGACTGCGTAGCTTCTGTGGTCTTGTTTGGTGTAGATGCCAATCATGTTCTGAACGATACGTCTTGCATCATAATGGAAAAAGATCTCACGCACCAGTACAACAGGACGTTGTTCCCAACGCAGACTGCCTGATATTAATTGGGTACAAGGCGTCGATGGAGACTGCCTGGTACGTACACATGAACGAGGTACTCACCCAACTTTGAAGATAACTGAGGGACAACCGAAACGGAGATCTGACGCCAAATGGACCAATAGCTTTCGCTGTCAATGGATTCAGTCGTTATACGAAGATAGCCACTCAGCGGAGGATATCAATAACCAGAAGAGTAGTTCCTCCAAATCATCTGGATTGCGCTCGGGGATGAACCATCATATCATGTTTGTCGGCATAGCTATGATCAAATGTGCAACTCACAACGAAGTCTGAGGAGGGCTGGCCCGTATCGCAATCGTCAACGTGCTTCCCACCCCCAGCTATCCAACCATAGGCACATCGAGGCCGTTGAGCATTACAAGTATCATAGCATGATGGCGATCTTTTACATTTAGTGAAGAATAGTGAATACTACGCAAACGCACCTGCCTCGCTCGCAAGAGGCGCTACCCGTCGTCCCAAATCCGGAGGTTGGAGATTGGGATGTGTGGTCAGTCGGCCATCATCCGCTCCGTGTGTAGACCTTCGCCGTATGCCATGCTTTCGAAAATGATTTGTCGCCAGATGCTGACGATAAACTCGACTGCTTCTTCCTCGAGGACCTGTTGTAATCAAAACATACCGACAGCGTTCAGCACGGTTATCAAGGAATGAGCATCAACATAATAAGCATGCGGGACACCCAATGCCAACAACCAAGGAGCTGGCATAAAGCCGCGAAGTACAGCCTATCCCACATGCATATTGTGTTGAAGAACGGGGCAATGGTTCATCAAATATACAGGATGGGAGACGCACCGGCTCGAGGCCCTCGATAAGCTTCTGGGGACCTTTGTGGTCTTTGAGATGTTCGAGCACGAACATGACGAGGTCGTCGTCTTCGAGCTCGCCTAGGTACTTGGTCATCTGCCGCTTCACCAGCGGCTCCAGTTTCCGGTCAATCATAAGCTATCCAGCTCGTCAGCCTCGCTCACAAGCACTATGTGGAATCGTGCACTTACATCTGACAGGCCGTCCCACCGCACCTTCGCCTTGAACAAGGTCTCCTTATCCCTCGGCACGGATGCCTTGATCTTCTCCAGCCGCTCCTTCGCCTTCTCACCGCCCTCTGCGAGATCCAGCTTAGGAAGAGGCACTTTCCGCTTACGCAGACTCTCTTCTTCCTCCTCCTCCTGACCGAACACCGTTGCCTTCTCCTTCGGGCCGGTCTCCTGCTTCGGAGCACCCCCGCCGAGCAAAACGTTGAGCTTGACAGGCGCACCGTCTTCAAGAAGCAGACCCGCCTTGCGCTGCTCCTCCTGCAGCGCCTGCATCTCGTCCATCTGCCGTGCGAGGAAGGCTTCTGACTCCTTGCGTAGGTTATCGGTTTCGCGCTCTTCGTATAGGCGGGAGTCCTCATCCGAGGCCAGTTCCGCGGCCAGTCTCCGAGTCCGCATGTTTCGCCATCGTGCTCTGCAAGTTGTAGGATGAGGGTTGTAAACAGAATGCATGCGGCGCAACGCACCTGTCGGTGTAGAACAGCTCGTCGCTCTCGTCATCGTCCCACACAGCCAACCGCGAACGCATCTCGACGCGATCACGTTCTTCTGCCTCCTTGGTAGCGCGTTCGCGGAGAATCGCACGCTCCAAGGCCTGTATACGCGCTCGTTCCCTAGGCTCGTACCGTTTTTCTCGCTGTGAAGCTATGTGAGCGTGGTGTGACATACAAGTGTAGCTTCGCTCACATCTCGGTACGACTCCTCTTCGTCTCTTCGTCGCTGTCGCTTCCTCTCCTCCTCGAGCTCCTCGTCCGTCTTTCCAGGTGTACTGAACACTCTTGCCTCTGGCATAGGCGAGTCCCTGTCCGACTCCGCCTTCACAAAACCAACAGGCTTATTGTAGCCTTGCGCGCCCTTGCCGAATCCCTGCGGAGTCGAGCCAGCGCCAACGGGCGACGGCGATATCTGCTGCCCGGGCAGTTGTGGTTTGCCCCATTCACGCTGTTTGGGCCCGCTTGGTGCAGCGAGGATGTTCGGCAGGGCCTGCTGTGTCTCTCGCATCTTCTCTCGCTCCCGCTTCGCAGCGCGCTCACGGAACTGCGCAATCTCGGTCATCACGAGCCCCCGCTGCGTCTCTGGAAGATCTGCCTCTTGCAGGTCGTGCAGGTGGGGAGGGATGATGTACTTCTCCTTGTCGATCAGACCGTTGCTTGCTGCTTCTTGTGACTGCTTATTAATGTCAGCAAGGAATTGATCGACCCTTGCTTTCGCACTTCGCGTCAGCTCTTCGTCCGCCTTGACCCACGCATACGTGAGTACAATAGCGGCCACAAGTGATTGTGGAGGACGTACAGGTGTCGCCATTTTCTGTGCCTGGTACGCGTCCAGGAACATCTTCGTCTTCTCGTCTGGTTTGACCTACAGCGCCGCGGTAAGTATAGAGTGGCAGGAAGCATTGCAGTCCACGTACCAGCAGTTTTTTGTTTACGCACCCATCCTCCAACGCAGGTAACTCTACGCCATTGAGCAATCCCATAGCTCGCAACGCACCATCAGGGTCTTGGAACTCTGCGAAACCGAATCCTTGTGGCTTGTTGGCCGGGGTTATGAGACGCTTGAAGGAGGTTACTGCGCCACATGCCTGAGATAGAATATGAGCAGGCAGATAACTGGGGGAAAGTATGATTGTGCTTACTCCGAGCAATGAATTCAGGAAAGCGTCCGTGATACCACCAGAAATCGAACCAATAAAGAGCGTGGTTGCTCTGGGTTGTGGCGGCACGAATTGTGGGTGGTGCACCCCATACTGTTGCTGTGCGAGAGCTGACATCGAGGGACCTTGGCCATAGGACGGTATGGGCGGTCGGAGTCCAAGTCCTAGCCGGTTGGGCATGGGCTGCATCTTCGCAAAACAGAGATCGCTAGTTACGCTGGAATACTAGCTTGTTTACAGCCTCCGGGTGGTGGAAACGAGTGACGAGCAATGGAGGGATGACCGCTGAAGATGATGATACGAACGAAACAGGTTTGCGGTTACAGTATTGGCGGACCCTAGTGTGAAAGCTATCGGAGTCCGAACTTTGGTCAATACACGACTTGCTGGGAATACTAATGTCCATCAGTTGATCATGATTTCCATACTTACTACCTTACTAAGTCATTAATGAAGGCACGTCGTTACTAATACTTACTTATTGAGCTCTATTTGTATCAGAGTCCTATAGTCCTAAGTCAATAAGTGCCAAGTTCACTGGAGAGTATGCTCTGAAGAGCAATAACTTACTTACTGTTGCATCATAAAGGTCAATGATCAGTACTACCCCCCGGGAGGGCCTCGTCGTCGACGAGCCCTGCGCAGACCTTCTCGTGGTCCGGGGGGTGAGTAGTCCCTCTGGGATGAAACCAACATGCGCTATAAGGTCTGTACCTCGCTGTTCAGCGATGCAGCCACGATGAACGATGATGCTTCATCCGAGGATATGGAACCCAATCCATCCTCAAAACAAGCCGAACCAGCTTGCCCCTACCCAGACCTACCTGGGAAGAGCTATAACACCGGTAGAAGAGATATATACGCCCTCACTGGAGCCCACCACCCCGCTACGCCGCAGACAGCGACAACGGAGCTGCGCCCGACGTCCAGGAGCGCCTAACCATGCCCCTGAGACGCCCACGAACGGGCCGAGTGCCGCTTCCTGGCTTTTCTCGAGCCGCCTTCCCGGGCACGCGCCACATAGCAAGCATCCCTAAACACGCCGCCACACCTCCCCCCTTGGTCGTACGCTGATAGATCGATGAATGGACCCCCGAGCGACGATGACATGACACTCCATCCAAACTATTGCCGTTCTTTCCACTGCTTTTCTCCACCATCTGAAATGAATGTGCTCTTCCTCATCCCTACACTCCCTGTACCCTGAGCGTTTCTTCATGGACAATTACGTTAGGCCGTTCGAATCGTATCAAGTGCCGTAACTGGTGCCAGGACCTCTCACAGAAAGTAAACGCTCGCTGCTCCCCCGTCTGTATAAATTGAACCTCACCTGCCTGCTGATAATGCATAACGCACCATGCCGCCCACCACAAGACAGGCAACCGCGTCCAGACAGGGAGTCCAGCACCAAGGGGCCACTGTGACTAGGCCACGTCAGTTCAAAGCGTGGACACCCACTGAGTCATACTCACCCTCATCATCCGGGATACTCCCTCCCTTCCTACCCACACTGCGACACTCTTTCCCCGAGCTCTTCGCAGTCAACATCCAAGTCGAAGGAACCCCAGAGAGGAATGGGACTGTCCTAACATGGATAGTAGAAGAGCGCCCAGTCTGCCATGTCGAGCGGGGATTGCCCGTTGTCCTTGTCGCCGGAGATCTGCGGACCGGCGTAGGCCGAGTCGAGAACGCAACAGACATCCAACGTCACTGGATCACGTGGCTCCTTACAGGCGGCCCCGCGGCGTACGCCATCCGTGTCCCGACCTCGTGGTCCAAACTCACACGTGACGAAAGTCGGATACACACACAATTATATCCCTCCCTCCCACGCTTCCCCCCACCTCACCGCCTCCTCGCACATGATCCTGTCATATGCAGCAGTAACGACAGCCCTTACGAATTCGACTCGGAAGACGACCGCCTATGAGGCACGATAGATGAAGACGCCCGACATGGCGAGACCCCACAACCCCTTAACCGCACAACGGAGTGCGATCGACGCGGAGAAACGGGCGCGCTCGGAGCCAACCCCTAAAATAGGAATCGATCAGGAATGTTTGATGTACCGTATTGCTTCCGAAAGATCTGTCGAACGAGTTTGCCTGCCCACCAACTCACCTGCGACAAGTCGCCAACATCTATGAGCATCCCGGCTGAACTCCGCCAGACGGGGACTGTATTCGAGCACCGCCAGACCCTACCCTATGCATGAACGGTAGGGATAGCACACTCGCCTACCAGCAAGTGAATTCCAAGCTACACTACGCACCCTTGACGTTGTCAGCCACACTATCAACACAGCGATGACACTATGAAACAAACCGTGTAGCGCTAGAACGGAACGAGAGCCGTAACGGAAGGATTCCCTTCCCAGGTTCTGGAGCAAGACGACATTAACACATCTAGCCACAACGCATACGCCTTTCCTACACCAGCGCGTAAACCATCGCGCCCACCAACGCCGACACCACCTCGCGTAGACCGGGCATTTCCCCTACCAGCTCCTACGACACAGGTACGAGGACTCTCTGTCTACAGACAACTCGCTGAACAGGAAAATACAAACGCACTGTGGAGGAGAAGACCGCCCTAAACCGGAACAAAGCGACCCGGGGCAGACGCCGCCAGGCACTGCCGCGCGGCAGATCTCGACAGCGGAGGCTTTGCCTCCACAGAGCCCGCGCGACAGGGTACATATCGCGCCCTCCAAGACCCCGATCAAAAGATCAAACGAACACGACACAAGCGCCGCGGAGATTGAAGACCTGTCAATCGGGCAGGGAGACCAGTACCGCTCAGGAGCAGGCGCAGCCAATATGGGACATGGCCCCTTCAGCCGACCATGCAATGAGTACGAAATCCCGCATGCACTGGATGTACCCTGAACGAGGAAACCCACGATACGAACGTCCCCGAGGCACCACGGACACGCGTTGCTACGTAGGACCACACTGGAGCGAGAACACGGCCAGCGGCTGCATGGAGCTAGACCCCCGCTCCAACCTGTCGACTTGCTAACGGTAGCGTGTAGCGATCACCAAGCCCCAGACGGCCAAGACGTGTACACGACTAGCAGAGCATCCATGCTACCTACGTCGACTTGGAAAGGGAACAAATATAGGAGTCCAAGAGCAACGCGGCCCAGAAAAAGGGTACGAGAGACTGACAGAGAAGGACTACACCAACACCAGCCCAGTCCCCACAGGCGATACACATTTTAGATGGTTCTCATTTCGAACCGTACGCTGGTTATCAAACATCTGGACCCCACTACCGCTCTCCTGACTCCTCCCGCACGGAGACGCCTCACCGGGTCCACCAGGAACAACGCGAAGGCGTACGCGCGCAAGTACGCGCATCAAATTACCTAGCGAAAGACGCACAGTAGGAAGGCAACACACCAGACCGATTTCCGCGAGAAGCGCAGCCAACACGCCACCACCTCTGACAACCGCGAGAAGGAAGGCCCTAGATGTTCTTTTCCCGCACCATCACAGCATCCTGACAACTGCGAGAGCGGCGCTCGCCATGAGCTAGCCATGAGGATAAAAGGAACTCTGAGGCTACGCTCACAGCCATCCCCAACTCTAGATATCTGGCAACCATCGCAGCTCGACAGCCAACATGCACCAGCCCTCTCGCCCGGTCTCCCCTGCTCTTCTCGCGAACAATGGGTCTCCTAAACTCCCCGACAGTAGCGAAGTCGACCCGTCGATCGCCCGCCTGCGCGCCGCCTCACTTGTTAAGTCTCCCAACAAGCGAGTCAACGCTGAGCCCCTCTCCTCGGGCGTCGCCAACCCCTGGGTCTCCCCTAGGGCAGTCTCGCCGACGGACCGTACCGGCGTTTCTTACGCAAGCATGGCGTCCCGTCCTACGTCGCCTCCGGCCCTCCTCGCTCTGAAGAAAGACGATCTGCGAATGACCGCGCCCTCGCAGCGTGGTACGGCTGCCCAAGGCGAAGGCCCCTCAGCCGTCAAATCGGTGCAGCACGAAGTGATAGACGTTGATGAGACGAACCATGAGGTTGTCATAAAGGGTATGTCTACTGTCGCGCCCGCATAGTGCTCTATCCCATAGGCTGCCTAACATGTATTCTTAGAAGAGGAAGATCTCGAGCTCGACGCGTTGGCTCTCCGGCGCGCTCGCTCGGACAAGCAGCAAGTTGTCGCCAAGATCAAAAACAAAAAACAACGATCCAAGAAGAGCGCGAAAGCGGCCGGTAAGGCGCCTGCAGTTGTTGGAAAAGGGCTGCCGAGCTCGATCCCTCCTGTCAACCCTGACGCCCCACCGACAACTACCACCTCCCAACGCTCAGCCAGCGATGCGAGGAAGAGACGCCGCGTCTCCACCGATATCGACGGCGACAATGCGATGGCAGGCACAATAGCACGCACCCAGGACGCGCCGACGCCTGTCGGACCCGCCCAGCAGTCAGTTTATGTGGTCGACATAGGCAACGTAATGGGCCCTCCGCAATACGATTGGCCCCCGAGGACCGGATCGACCCACCAGCAGTCACTACGTCTGACGCGGAAGAACACGACTTCATCATGCTCGAGCAGACCTCTAAATCCGACAACGAGTTGGAGGCTCAGCGGGTTAGTATCCCTTCGCTCTGCCTCTATGTACTACACCGCTAATACCCTGATCAACGTATCACCCTCGTTCGCCAGCACGTAGAAGAACACCCAGGTTTCACCTACGCCCGTCGGGCGTCAGACGGCTCCTACACCTCCCAGAGACTCCACGCGAACAACCCCGAGCACGCCTACACCTACCTAAAGCGCAGCACTGTTCTGCATGAGGGTGACATAGACGGTATGAATGCGAGCTATACCTACCCACACAATGAGCTAATTCTTAAAGATAGACATGTACGCAGAGACGACTACCTTTGCGCACGGACCACCACAAGCACAGGCCGGCCCCTCCAGGCAGCGAGACTCGAGCCGACCGCCTCAACGCTGGGGCGAGGACGTGGATGAGGACGACAACGACTTGAGTGCGTGCCCATCCGTGCGGCAGGGAGACGTAAACTCACCCATAGTCTTCATACTAGGCCGTCGCATGCGGGACGTCGAGGCGGCCAGTCGCGCCTCGCACTCCGTCTCCCACCGCCCTGCCCGCCTCTCGCCAGCGCCGGCACCGGCCGCCAACCTGCACCGAGAAGCTGATGACCTTTTCGGACCTCGGAGGCCCCGCTCGCCCTCGTCGATACACCCCCACCCCGTTCACTACGCCCCGGGCCCCTTTCCGATCTTCCCCGCTGACCCCGCACCTGCCAATCCTGTTCATGCCGGTCCCGCACCCGCTGGTCTCGTCCCCGCCGGTCCGGTCCAGCCTCTAGCACCGGCACAAGGCCCATCGCAGTCGGCGATGATGACGCGACCGCCTCACGGTGGATGGCCCCTCATTCAGAGCGCCGATATGGACCTACCCTTCCGCAACGTGCTCGCTACGCAAGCGGAGGAGTGGCGGAGAGCGGAAGATATGCACGTATACATCCACTTCCCTGGCCGGGGCGCTCATGACCGCGGAAATTTCGGACGCCTCTGCGCCGCTGACGACATCCTGCGCACCGCCCTGCGGGTTCCTACCTCGACTATCACCCAACCCATCGCTGCTACTCCCCCCACGAAACCGAATTCTAGCCCCCTGTGCTACCGCGTTGGAAACCTGACGGTGAGCCAGCGCGACCGGCTTATACGCGAGGGCTGGGTCTCTACATCGGGAGGCACGTTCGGAATCATATCCCCCGAACCCGCTCCGTCAACCTTCATGGCCGGCTTCCTGCACCCGGAACGACTCGGCAAGACGTCGGAGGAAGGCATGGCGAAGGAGTTCAAGAAAGGAATGATGACCAAGACTATGTGGGAGTATGTACGCGCGCTCCTGACGATAGATATCAGCACCGGCGGACGCTGGCGCCATCTCACGGTCGACGACGCTCACAACTTCATTCTGAACTCAATCAGAGTCAGGAAAATCTCCATCCGCGACTCCCGGGACGACGAAGAGGAGCCTGTTGCGCTTCTCTATATGGAATCTCCGACGGCGGACGCTGGCGAATGGCAGAATTTCCGTGAGCGCGTTCGCAACTTCACTTTTGGAGGTCCATACGCAGGTCCCCCCGAGCTGATCACACGCAACTTCTACTGCCTATTCTGTCACTCAATCGATCATCCGACGCACGCCTGCACCATCCCATCGACTCCCGGTTGGAACGGCCCCTCCCTCGACGATGTGCGCGACGCACTGGCAGCTGACAGGCGGGCGCAGAACCAAGACCAACGCGGCCGTGGAGGCAGAGGAGGACGTGGCGGACGAGGCGGTCGCGGCAGAGGTAATGGGCGCGGTCGTCGCAACGGTGACTCTAGCGGGCAACAGAGAACGGGCACTGTCTAAACGTCCAGCTTACTATATACTGTGCACTTCCCATCTACCTGTAACGCATGATATCACGTCCCCCCTATTCTTGCTCTGTACACGCTCTGATACTAGCGAATGAATATCTTGCTCTTGCGTACTCACTTGCGAGGGTTTCCCCCCGGACAGTAACATCACACTACTACTGTCGTTAAGTCTGGAAGCGCACAGCAGGCCCGGGCCCAAATATACTGACCATGTTGGGACAGGAAAGCCTGGGAACCGCTGTAGCGTGCTATTGTTTTGTACGGGCACTCTTAGACTTGTCCGGACTGAGAAGTCAAGCTGAACGACAGCATGTCTCCTGAAGGAGCCAGGAGCGCTCCTCGCCCCTAGTGGATCGTTGTAGCTAGGGTGCGTACATCAACGGCTACAAACTACATTGATAACACATACACGGATGGAAACACAACAACTGGTACATCTCCCCTCCGCCCGAGAGATCCCGGAGTGTCCCCCGCCCGCATCGGGTTCAATGATCGAGCAGAGGGTCCTGGCGACGGGGCCGCCCTACGTAGTGCATCGTCACGAGAAGATGACGAGCAGGGAAGCACGGAGGGCTGCGTCACTCTTCCCCCCACACAAGACGCCGCGGAGACGGCTCAGCGTGTCCCGGCAGGACGAAATGTCCCCTCCGGAAGAAAGACCAAAGCGAGTCTTCATATTGGCAGCCTAAATGTCAACGGCAGGGGCCCCCTGAGCGGGCCTCGAGACCATAAGTGGAATGCCATAAACCAACTACTACGCGAGGAACGCCTAGGTGTCCTGTGCCTACAGGAAACGCACCTCGACCAAACGCATCTGGATACGATACACGAGCTATACGGACGACGAATACGTATATGGAACTCCGGGTCAACGTCGTCCACAACCGTCCAGGGAGTTGCCGTGATACTGAACCGGGAACTAGTGGACGTGTCTGGCGTAGCTTTCCAGGAGCTAATACCCGGGCGGGCTATACTGCTGACCATGCACTGGCATGCAGATAAATACATCACTATACTAAACGTATATGCGCCCAACTCACCGACAGAGAACGCAGCCTTCTGGACCAGGCTACGAAGCATGGCAGAAAAGGGACGATTCAAGAAGCCTGACGTAATTACCGGTGACTTCAACCTAGTCGAGGAAGCCATAGATAGGCTGCCGGCGAGAGAGGATTCCGCCCCCGCAGTGGCTGCCCTGCGAGACTTTACTAGGCATCTCGACCTGTATGATGGGTGGCGCCTGTCGGAACCGCACATGAAGGACTACACGTACCCGCAAAGAGGCAGCATGTCGAGATCACGCCTAGACCGCATATACACCTCCGACCCCCTGATTCGAACCTCTCATTCCTGGACTATTAGGACGACCGGGGTACCTACAGATCATAGGCTCGTAAGCACCAAACTTAACACGGCGAACACACCGTTCATCGGCAAGGGACGGTGGGCGATGCCGGTCCATCTTACGGAAGATGACGTCTTTATGAATCAAGCGCGAACCTTAGGAATCGAAACCATTAAAGAGATGAAAGACACAGAACGAGATGACGCGTACCGAGGCCACTCGAGAATCCAGCACCTACACAAATTGTTCAAGGACGGAGTGAAGAAACTAGCTCAAGATCGAGCCAAACGCAAGTCCCCGAAGCTAAAGGCCGAAATAAACCGCTTACGAGCCCACATACAGGAAGTCGAGGGCTGTGATACGTACCAGACCTCCGGCGACCTACAGACGGACGCTGCGATACTGCACGACAGGGTCCACGATTTGGAGAAGAAACGACAAACATTCTCTAAGCTCACCACAACAGCCCGATACGTATTAAACGCGGAGAGAGTGTCTAAATACTGGTCCCGGATCAACAGGGAGAAAACACCGAGAGACGTGATCTACAACCTACGGGTACCCGACACAACCCCACCACTGTTTGAGGCTAGGTCCAACAAAATGGCAGCGTTAGCACGGGACTACCATGAATCAGCTCAGTTTGTAGACGCGCCTGGCTTCTCGCAGGATGCACAGATGAGGGAAGCCGAACACATCCTAGGACAAGTGACCCACACCCTGACAGATGAGGACGGCGTGATGCTGAAGGATGGCGTCTACAAAGCGGAAGTGAAAGATGCACTACGCAAGGCTCAATCGGGACGGGCCCCAGGTCTAGACGGAATTCCATATGAATTCTGGAGTACGCTAATGAACGGTAGTACAAAAGAGGGCGTGTTTGATAGCCTTGAGTATCTAACCCTAGTATACGCTGATATAGAAAGAAATGGCCCCTCCCCGGATGGCGGATTCACGGACGGATGGATGTGCCCGATCTACAAAAAGGGAGACAGGAGAGAAATAGCAAATTACAGACCGATCACGCTCCTGAACTCAGATTACAAGTTGTACACCAGGACACTCACCTCCCGCTTGGGCCAAGTAGCCGCCAAGCTAATCCACAGGGACCAGGCGGGCTTCGTCCCCGGCCGACATATTGAGGACCAGACACAGACGTGCCGGGTCCTAGTCGATTATGCAGAAGCAACTGAGGAAGATGGTGTAATAGTCGCCCTCGACCAAGAGAAAGCGTACGACAAAATAGACCACGCGTACCTCTGGAAGACCTTAGAGGCTTTCGGCCTACCCATGGGCTTCATTGCAAAAGTTCGTGTCCTGTATGTGGCGGCAAGGACAAAGATTGTCCTAAATGGCGAAAGCAGCGGCTTTTTCGACGTCGTAAGAGGTGTGCGGCAGGGCGACCCGCTCTCCTGTCTGTTGTTTGACATCGCCATCGAACCCCTCGCAATACTCCTACGTAAGTCGACCCTGAACGGCTTCCGCATCCCAGGCGCGGCCGATCGCCTGATCACAAAACTATTCGCGGACGATACATCCGCCTTCTTATCCAAGCGCGATGACTGGACAGGACTGTGGGACATCCTGAACAGGTGGTGTACGGCCTCCAGAGCAAAATTCAACAACGGGAAAACAGAGGTAATGCCGGTAGGCTCACCGGAATATAGGCTGTCAGTAACCTTGTCACGCAAGCTGGACCCCGATGACGCCAGCTCGAGCCCAATCCCCCCCGACGTGCGAATAGCGACAGACGGGGAACCCATTCGTATCTTGGGAGCATGGGTAGGGAATCATGTTGAGCAAGTGGCCGTGTGGACTCCTGCCCTGACTAAAATCAGGAGCTTCTTGAAAAGATGGGGCCAGTGTAGACCGTCCATGATCGGACGAAGACATATCGTCCAAATGGGACCCGGCGGGATTTCCCAGTACCTGACGGTGGTCCAGGGCATGCCCAAGTCCGTGGAAACTGAACTGAAGAAAATGATACGCACCTTCGTCTGGAACTCGGGGAGTATACCACCGATCAATACGGCCACCCTACATATCCCCGTGGAAGACGGCGGCCTTGGTCTACTAGACATCGAGGCAAGAAATGACGCGATAGACCTCATGTGGCTGAAACGCTACCTAACGCTGACAGACGACCGCCCGGTCTGGGCCTATGCCATGGATGCAATCATCAATAAACACGCCAAACGCACCACAGGGGAGATCCGACCAAAAGCACAGGTAAACACATACCTGCAAAATTGGGACCCGGCACTTGGCGCAAACTCTAAACTCCCGCTATACATTAGGCGGATGCTGACCGCTGGAAAACGATTTAATGTTAACCTTGAAGCTATCAAAGTGGACTCATCTTTAAAGAAGCAGCTGCCAGCCTGGTACCACATCGGAGCTACCAAGGCACTTCGACGACTCAATAACACTAAAGTAGGAGATTGCCTGCGTGACCACCACAGTGTAGTGGTGATCTCGGACCTCTTGGCGGCCACAAGATCGTCCTGCGGCGACGCCCCGCAAACACCGACAACATTGTGGGAAGATAATGAATGTGACTGCATAGAGTGCGCAGAGCTGCGAGCCAGAGGATGTAAACACCCGGCGACCTGCAGGATCGCCGCCTTCCGTATCCTCAGCGAGATTCTGCCAAAATGGAACCCCCTCTTTCCTGACGCAAAGGATGGACTTACTCTGACGAGTAGACGTCTCGAAAAGAATGGTGAAGCGATCCTAGAGGATGGAGATCGCCTCACCTTTGACCCGTCGGTTACATCGAATGGGAACATATCGGAAACCTTCCGTGCCTTCGTCGCCCCAAGTACGATCTCCGACCCACCGGCCATACGTAAGCGTCCAGGACGACTAGTTGCAGATGAAGCCACAACGGTCCTCATTTTCAGGCCAACACCTAAACCGAATGAGCCGAACATAGCCTCTAGGAACGAAGAACTCACCTCCGCCGCTTTCTTTGGCGTCAGAGATCCACGGAATGGACTGGTGGACCACAATGCTAACCTTGATACGGACGTGCACCCACCAGGGGAACTACTAGCCGCACTATACGCGGTCCCACTGACCCCACTTGATGCACCACTCTGCATCCTGAGCACTAATAATGTGCTGACAACCCTCGTCTTTGAGCGAGCCCCCATCTGGGAGGCCAAAGGCTGGATAAGAGCTCCCCTCGCAGCGTACCTGAGACCACTCCTCAACCGCCTCCGTCAGCGCTGTGCACCGACAACCTTCGGTAAAATTACGGACGAAGACACCTGGGCTATACTAGAGAGAGCCCGTCAAGATGCGTCTATGATCCCCCCAAGAAATTTCGTAATGGCCCGAGCCCTGACACTGGAACTTGACCCCCGCTTCGAGCTAACGGGAGCCCGCCTCGACAGCTTGACCCAGGCTCTCGCCTATCACGGTATCCTGGGGCTAAAGAACACCGAGGCTCGGCGCACAACGAAGATCAACCTCGAATTGGTTCGCACGCACTCACCTTTGAGCGTCCCCCTGACATACAGTGCTATATGGAAGAGCATACGGCACCGGGACTTCAGCAGGGCTTTCGCGGTCTTTCTTTGGAAAGTCATGCACGGCGGACTGAAATGCGGACTGTACTGGAATAAGATCCAAGGCTATGAACACAGGGCGCAGTGCGGAAGCTGTGGACTGCCCGAAACGATACAGCATATCCTCTTTGACTGCGAGGCCGTAGGACAGTCACTAATATGGTCCCTGGTCAGTAGAATATGGAGCAGGAGAATACATGGTACTCAGTGGCAGGCCCTGACACAGGCTGACGTCCTCTCGATTGGCCTAAGAACATGGAAAGATAAAAAAGGACGCATACGCCCAGGCGCCACGAGGCTTTGGAGGATTTTAATATCTGAAGCTGTACACCTAATCTGGAAACTACGATGCGAGAGAGTTATTGGACATGCCGGAGAGGAGAGCTGGGAACACAGTCAATCCGTAGTTTGGAACAAGCTGCAATATGCTCTGAACAGCCGACTCTCACAGGACGTAGAGTCGGTGCGGAGGAAATATGGCGACTCCGATACCAACCGGCGTTTAGTCCTCGCAACGTGGAACGGTATACTACGGGACGAACCTGCGCTCCCGGAAGACTGGACAAGATATAAGGGTTTTTTAGTGGGTAGATCACCGGCCCTACGAGTCGACCTCGAGCCGGATTGATGAGCCCCACACTGATTGTTCAATCGTGCGTAAACGGCATTTTTCACCCTGGATTGGCGAATATGGGGAAACCCATACGCAGGCTGGATGACCCGGGATGACCCATTGTCATCTGCGGGCGTCCGCGACGGCCCTCCAAAAAAAAAAAAAAAAAAAAAAAAAAATGATCAGTACTACTCAGTATTGACTTATCATAGTAATGATCTAGATAGTTATAACATGTAACGTTCACACTCTTACTCTCACTTCTACCACCACCTCACGGACGTCCACACATGCGAGTCTGAATGCTGCAAGCTCGCCCGCTGAGGACTAGGCTGAGAAGAGGAGTATTTGCCGGACAGAACGCACGTTATGTTCCTCTCGCTGCTTCCGGCCCTTGCCCTGGCATTTGCATATCCTGTTCTCAGCGCATCTTCCTCTCCGAACGATCCATTTCGCGACATTGCTCTGCAGGCTCCTAAGGCACCAGAACTTCCCATTTGTTGCCTCAGACCCCTAGAACCAGTCGAGCCGAGCGCAGGAGACGATGTCTTCATCTCCTTTGAAGACTGGAAGGCCAGACGGCTTGGCGAGGCAGGGGAGCAGCCCTCCCGCTCTTCGCCATCTGCCAACAATGCCCAGAGGCTCGCTGGAGTAAAGGAGAGGAACGAGGTCGCTGGAGCGGGCAATATGGGCCCAACGAGCGAAGTCGCAGGTGCAGCTCAGGCCAGCGGTCAAGAGAGCACGGAGACGGTACAGCACGATGAACGACTCTCCCCACATTTCCGTATACCTACCGTCGACCGTTTCAACTACGCGGCGACGGACTGCTCCGCCCGCGTACACACCGCCCATCGCTCGGCGAAGTCTCCGTCCTCGATTCTCTCCTCGAAGAAGGACAGGTACATGCTCAGTCCGTGCGCGGAAAAGAAGCAATTCGTGGTGGTTGAACTCTGCGACGACATCATGATTGACACGGTGCAGCTTGCAAACTACGAGTTCTTCAGCGGCGTATTCAAGGACTTCTCGGTGAGCGTCGCCAAGACGTCTCCGACCGATGAAGGAGGGTGGACGCACGCCGGGACGTATCGTGCGCAGAACGTGCGCGGGGTTCAGGTATGTACTGTGTTGAGCTCATGACTTCATGTCACTCATTGAGATAGTAGTCCTTCCATCCTCCGCCCACACTGCGTGATTTCTATCGTTTCATCCGAATTGACTTTCACTCGCACTATGGCAACGAGTACTACTGCCCTCTATCCCTATTTCGCGTCTATGGTCTTACGCACCTCGAGCAGTGGAAGTGGGATGAATGGGAGTCGCGGAGCAAGGCACGGCGGGCCATTGAAGATGCCAGTGCTGCCGTGGAAAGCACTCCCGAGCCACCACAGGCAGTACACATCCCTGTCGTCGAAGTGCCGAAGCCGGATCCTACCGAAACAGTATCAGTGGACAAGGTCGATACTCGCTCAGTTTCCGGAATCGGACATACAGCTGGCGAGGATCGGACTGACTCGGCACCTTCGAACGACCAAGCAGCGGCGACTCCCACACAATCGCAGTCTGTCGGGGAACCACAATCGTTTCAGGACGTGATCCCGCCCTCCGATATGGCTGCTCCAGTTTCCTCTATTATAGCTTCAGATAGCGTCCCTCCGGAGACAATGACGACCCCTGACGACCTTCACAATGTTTCTCATGTGCCTCAGACAGCGCACGCTACACATCCGGCTGACGGTGACTCTACAAAGACGACACCATCCTCATCAATATTACATCTCAATCCTTGGATCAACTACCTCACAGCGCGTCTCCCCAGGAAGACTTGTCCTCTGAGAGTGTTCACGCATCTCAGTCCCGAGCGGCGTCCATTGCATCAAACGTCTCTTCTCTGTCTTCTATTCCGCTGGCCGTATCGCAGTCGCATTCTCCACCTCCACCGCCGCCAGTCGTATTCCCTCCGGCTAGCACTGGAGGGGAATCCATCTATCGTACGATCATGAATAGGTTGTCCACCCTGGAAGCCAACACGACTCTGTACGCGCGGTACGTCGAAGAGCAAACGGCTGGAATCCGAGAGGTGCTGCTGCGTCTGGGTGAGGATTTGGGCCGTCTCGAGGGTATCGTACGTCACGTTCCAATTGTCTATTCCGGGCCCATGGCTCATGTTTCGTTGCTCGTACATACAGGGCAAGGCGCAGGCGCAGATGTATCAGCGCTCGGTAACAGAGTATGACAAGCAGCGCAGGAAGCTTGAGTGGGAGCACCGCGAACTGCTCGCCAAAGTGAACAACCTCACCGAGGAGGTCCGTACCACGCTCCGCGTCGCGCTCCATTTTTGACGTTATTCAACGATGTTACTATTATTAGGTGGTTCTCGAGAAACGACTCGGTATTCTGCAACTCTGCTTGCTGCTCGCCGTGCTGGTGTTCATGACCCTCACCCGCGGCTCACGAGGCGAGCATGCATCCGTCCACCGTGTCCCGGGTTCAGGGCGACCTATGGGTATGCGTGAGTGGGGAAGAAGGACGCTGAGCATCAGTGGCGACTGGGTGAGCCGCTTCAGGAGCCGGAGCCCAACCCCCAAGCCTGTCACACGGCCCGAGTCAAGACAAAGCGACAAGGCTCCAGGTACGCCCTCCATCCCCGGTCACTGCAGACATGCGCTCACACTTGCACAGCGCACACAGTCGAGTTCCCCTCGCAAAGTACACAAACGCCCTCCTCCCACCGCCCCTTCCTCAGCAGCAGCCCGCGCTCCCCGACGTTCCCCCGCTCCGCAACGCGCCACCTCACCTCCCGCCCGCGCACGCCGTCCGCCCTGCGCGTGTCCACGCCGCGCTTCCAAAACCTCCATGCGCGCAGCACGCAGACGCCGCCGCCCTCCGCACGCCCGCAGATGACGCGCTCGAGCTCGAGCAGCGCGGGCTTCGGGACGGGCTTCGGGACGACGGTGATCGGCTCCGTCCCGCGGTCGGCGAAGCGGTGGGCGAGGAGCTCGCACCTCCACGAGGTGAAGACCACGAGCGGCGTTCAGGGCCGCGCCCCAGACACTGCACGGCCGGAGTCCGAGAAGGCTTTCGACGGCGTGCACGAAGGCGACAGCGCGGGCTCGTCGCGGACCGTGCTCGCGTCGGAGGGTGCGACGCCGGCAGGGGACGTCTTCAGTCCGCAGCCCGAGAGCGCGTCCACGCCCACCGCGAGCCAGGGCAAGAGCAGGCAGCTCCGCCCGAAGTTGTCACCCCTGCGCTTCTCGGCTTCTACTGACCTCCCTAGGCTGTGCGTCGTCTCCAATCCCGCGTCGGACGCGGAAGGCAGCGAGGGCGACGCATGGGTGGACACCGACGCTGATGGCTCCGAGTCTGAGCCGGGCGTGGTTGCGCCGGGCATTGCGCCCAGCCTTGCGCGGCATGCGATACCAGCGGCGTAGCCATGCCTTCCTCGCGACCGACCAACCCGCGTATTATTGTTCGTTTCTTTCTTTCTGTGGTTCCTCCTTCTCGGCCTAGAACGCACTCTGCATAGCATCCACCGTCGGACACCGCATGTCATTATTGTATCTTGTATATCTGCATCGTTCGAGCTCCGGTTTAGGCTCACGGATTCGCTTCTCTCGCTGCCTTCTGAAGCTGTACATACTAGTTGGTTCGTTCACAAGCTCACCAGGACTGGGATCTCACTCAGACATAATGTCCTGCCAATATATATTGGGAAAGCGAGTAGTTTGAGACGACGACGACGTGAATGCACTTCAGTTCCTCATGAGCGGAAGATATGTATGATAAGAGGGGATGGTAGACAATGCCTGAGCCAGTTCTCCCGAGTATCTCGAATGACTTCTGCGACAACCATGCGTTCGCATGCCGCTCGTCACACATTTTCATACGGTGCACTGGAGATGGTGGGTTAGCCTGGACCACGTCACGGGCGTTAATAACAACTCACAACGCCAACAGCGTCCGAAGCCGCGGAGTTCATGATGAGAGCAACGATGAGACCTACGCAAGTATAAGCCTCCTGCCCTCCAGACACGAGGCCGCACCATGCGAGACGTACCGTAAAGACCCAGGACCTCGGCGAAGATAAGAATGAGGATCTATGAGTGACACCCTCAGTACAGATGTTCCCCGCGCGTTATACAGAAGCTAGACGTACCATGCCGACGAAGAGTCGTGGCTGCTGGGCAGTTCCCCGCACACCGGCGTCACCGACGATACCAATAGCGAAACCTGCCGCGAGACCTGCAAGACCGACGGAGAGACCTGCACCGAGCTGCACGAAGCCCTGGAAGAGGGACATGCGCATGGCGACTGTGGACACGGATCAGCACGGTGCATGACACGTAGGTAGTGGCTACGTACGCTGTCCGGAGATCAAGACCGACACGACGAGACCGTAGATCTGTGGCAACATGAGCCGAAGAGCAGAAGGATTGACGGGAGGTACGTACAGCAATGATACCCGCCATGATGACGGGAATAACACACTTCATCATCAGGTCGGGGCGGAGGACGGACATGGCGGAAATGCCGACTCCTGACTTTGCAGTCCCATAACTGCGTCACAGCATTCAGTCGCTGCGCTACGAAGACCTGTTCGAACACGCTCACCTAGCACCGATGCCTACGTCGCGCATCGTTACCAATCAGCACGGACCGCCCTCGAGAGGTGATTCTGATAATATGCTATACTCACAGGTGAATACGATGGCGCTGGTGCAGCCCTAGCATGCTGTGTCAACACACGTAGAACCAGGCGACGAGACTGCTCACCATGGCACCGAAGAAGGGAGCGTAACGGGGCAGAGGTCAGACATGGCGACGGCGATGAAGGAGGAAGAAAGAGGAGGATGAGCGAGGCAAGCGACGACGACGACGCAGCAGGTGAGCGTTCGGGGACGACGACGTCGGCGACAGCGAAACTAGGCGGCACGGCACTCTCCGAGACTCCGCCCCGCAGCCCTCTCCCCGCAGGCTGGGCGACTGGGCTCCGCCTCAATTCGCGCCACTGCCGCCACCGGGCAGGAGGATACGGGCGCCTGTGTGCGACGGCATGCAGAATCCCACTTCAGTCGCGACGAGCTCATGTCTGCGCCTGGCTTACCCCGCGGGGGCGGAGGGCGACACACCGAGTGAACGAATGAGAGTGATTCCGACGCAAGAGCAAGCCACAGCGAGTGTTTACTATCGATTCTGCAACGCTGAGGTCTGATCACGTCGTATCTGGCAGTGCTTTCTGGCCGAGGACCGCTGCGCGTCCGGCCCAGCCTTCGGGGTCTCTCAGCCACGGAGCTCCGCCTCGCGTCGCCCGCAGGTGTGTTCCCCGGCGTCCTGGTGCGTCTGCGCGCCGTTGTCGACGTGGAGGACGAGATATTGATCATGCGGACTGGAAAGCCCTCTCCCGGCGACAAGTGCGCCCCAGAGACGCGTGCGGACGCAAGGTAAGCGTCACGTGACCCCGATTGATCAGTTCCTTGACTAATTGTTTCTTGTGACTTTGTGTCGTCGCCTCGTTATAAGGCCTCCCATTTCGCGCTGTCGACCATACTGCGATCGCTATCGTTCAGGGCTCTCTACAGGGCCATCCCCCTCGCCGCTGCTGCCTCGCCCTACTCCACCCATTCCCGCATTATGGCCCCCACAACCAACGGCGTGAACGGCGCGAACGGCGTCCATGCGACCGTCTCGCAGTCGTCCAAGCTGCACTCCAAAGTCGTCAGTATCGTCTCGTTTTGCGTCCTGCAGCCTCCGTTTCGGTTCTCAACGACCATCCAGGTTATCATCGGCTCTGGGCCGCAGGCACACAGCAGCCATCTATCTGGCCCGGCAAACCTCAATCCTGTGCTCTTTGAGGGCTTTATGGCGAATGGCTTCGCCGCGGGCGGCCAGCTCACCACAACGACCGACAGTGAGTGCGATTCACACCTCCTCTGGCGGCCCCTCCACGTCCGGGGCGATATGGTGCCAGTTGCGCTCGGCGTCGACGATGCTGACAGCGAGCACCCCCTACCGGGCATACCCTGGGTTGGGAGCCGCGCTTCGGCAATTGCCGACGAATATTTTGCCCATTTTTGTGGCACGCCCCGACAGAATCGTCTTCCGTTCGCGCTGCGTACGGTACAGACGATGTGCCAGGTGCTGCGCGTGTGTACCGGGAAGAAGCCGAGTGCACAGGGCGCGACGTCACTTACTGTTGTACCTATTGCACCCATGCCGTCTGTCTTCTGCGCGATGAGGCCGATCACGCAACTATCCACCGCCCGTGTCCCGTATGCGAATGCTAACGCGAGCTTCTTAGTCGAGAACTTCCCTGGGTTCCCATCGGGGATTCTTGGTCCTGAATTGATGGACAAGTTCCGCGCACAGTCCATCCGATTCGGCACCAGAATCATCACCGAGACCGTTTCAAAGGTGGACCTCTCGGCACGGCCATTCCGCTATTGGAGAGAGTTCCAGGAGGACCAGGAGCCAGAGACCGCGGATACGCTCATCATCGCAACGGGCGCCTCCGCGAAACGGCTGGGTCTGAAGGGCGAGGAGACCTACTGGCAGAGCGGCATCAGTGCGTGTGCTGTGTGCGACGGCGCCGTTCCGATCTTCAGGTAAGTTTATCGGGTTCATCGGAATGCGCTTACTGACTTTCGGCCTTTAGGAACAAGCCACTCGCTGTTATCGGAGGTGGTGACTCTGCGGCGGAAGAAGCGACGTGTAAGCGCTTGCGCGATCCTTGACCATTGATTCAACTGATCGCCCGTCGGACAGACCTGACGAAGTACGGTTCCACGTCTACGTCCTCGTACGGAGGGGCGAGCTGCGGGCGTCGAAGATCATGGCAAAACGTCTGCTCAACAACCCCAAAGTCACCATCCTCTGGAACACCGTCGCGGTCGAGTGCCAGGGCGACGGCGACCTGCTCAACAACCTCAGACTAAAGAACATGGTCACGGGCGAGGAGAAGGACCTCCCCGTGAACGGCCTGTTCTACGCCATCGGCCACGAGCCCGCGACGGCGCTCGTCCGCGGCCAGCTGCAGACGGATCTGAGGGGTACATCATCACCGTGCCCGGCACGACGCAGACAAGCGTGAAGGGCGTGTTCGCGGCGGGCGACGTGCAGGACAAGCGGTACCGCCAGGCGATCACGAGCGCGGGCAGCGGGTGCATGGCTGCGCTCGAGCGGAGCGCCTGATCGCGGAGGAGGAGGAGGGGCTCGAGGATTAGAGACGTACGATATGACACTCGCATGCGCAATCACCGGGTCGGCCGCAGACACATAGATGTACTACATATACGATTTTACTTTCTATAGACGACATTGGTTTCGTGCTACACACGTTCGCTCTCGAGGGGTTATCGATGTCTAAACTCGGTCGAGGTCGAGCCCTACTGACCTTTCCTGAGTCGTCGTGAGGCAATCCCACTCCTCGACTAGGAGCGGTCGTTCTCTTCTCTATCTTCCCGGAACACCGTGCTCAGTGGCTGCCTCGCAGGACCAGGCCTAGCTACGGGCCTCGTCTCAGAGAACGCGTCTTTGAACCGTTCCGCGTCCGCGTGGAGGTCAGCATTGCTCAGCCAGTAACGCTTCGGCATGATACCCTTCCCAAACGTCCTGGTAATATGATTCGCGCACAGCAGGGAGACGAAGAGTTGATGATGTGCACCGGGACGAGCGCGAACGCCGCGGACCAGATCGTCGCGAGGTTCTCGCGCTCGTACCGGAGGAGCTTGCCCTTGCAGCCTGGCAGCGGCGTCCGGGGATAACACTGGTTGCTCGCCGTCGCTTCGTGCAGCGCGTCGTAGTACCCGCAGCAGCGCAGGGAGTCCTGGAGGATGAGCCGCCCGAGCGGCGTGTACCACTGGCTCCATGCGAGGTTGAGCTTGCGGTCGAGCGAGAAGGCGTCCCGCTTGTAGCGGCGTAGCCGATGACGATGATGGATAGGAAGGCGGGCCAGAGAAGGAGGGCGTACACTGCGAGGATGGGCCGCGAGTTGAGGATCGTACCGCTGATGCCGACGAGGAAGCAGAGGAGCAGGATGGAGGAGGAGAGCGTGATGAGCACCAGGATGTCGTTGTCGGCGACGACCATGACGCCCGCCTGCTCGTACGCTATAACACCCATCGTCAGATCCCATTCAGTCGCGCGGCTTCGCGAAGCCCACTCACTTCTGAACCAAGTCAGGACGGCGCAGATCAGCCCGGCGAGCCCGTACACCAGCAGCGTGCTGACGGAGAGAAGCAAGCACCACTTATGCACGGACCACCTGTCGACGCTGCCAATTCCGAGGCCCTCGCCCTCCTCCAGCACCGTCGCGGCCAGCGAAGCGTTCCCCCCGCCGCGGAATGTGAGGTTCTTGACCGACCGCGGCCTGGGGAACTTCCTCGTGAGCTTGTCGGCCGTGCTGAATGACGGCAGCAAGCCCGGTCTCGCCGCGCCCACGCACGCCCCGTCGGCTCGAGACGGTACGTCCGACACGGCCGTGCTCCCACCCGACTCCGTGGAATAGCTGGAGCTTTTGTGGCGCGCGTGCGGCGGCCGGGGGTCGACGGCGGTTGCGGTCTCGCTTGCTGCGCGCGTGCTCACGAAGGAGCGGAGCCGCGGAAAGTAGGAGCGCACGGCGTCCCCTGCGCGCGCGGCAAAGTTGGGCGTGGGCAGCGGGGAAATGCGCGAGGCGGAGGTGTGCGCTGAGGCGAAGGAGCATGCTGAGTGCTCTCGGGGTGGTTGAGGTCGTGGTGTGAGGGGGACGGGGCTGAGATACAGGGTATGGTGTGCGGGTCCAGGGAGGTCTTCATTCGGTGGAGACAAAGGTTCCTCTCGAGGACTTGATGACCATAGCGACTCGTCCCAGAGGGGTACGTCAAGCGTGTTCGTACGGCTGAATGGCGGAAGCGTAGGCGTGACTGGGGTGTTGCGTCCAGCCCGAACGAGGGTGATTGTAGGAGCAGGAGGGGCCGGACCTTCATCCTCTCCTCGGGTCTGTTCGTGGCCGTAGTCTTCAACGGCAACAACGCGTCTACGAGACGTCCGTCTCCTCGCCCGAGCGTCTGACAAGGAAGGGCTGTACGCCCCCGAGCGGTGCCGAATCGAACACTTGCTGTCTACTGCCGAGGACGTTGACGGATAGCGTCGATCCATGGTCGCATGTGGGTGTCAGAGACGACACAGCGCGAGTAGGGGCAGTTCGTTCAACATCTCATCTTTACCTGCAGCCTGAAATGCAATTCATTGTGCTCTCGCCTACGGACTGTCTTGAGCATCTTGAATGGGTCAAGTCAGAATGATACTGACACGCACCTATTTCGTACACGACTGCACACTCAGCCGACTATCGTTGCAACTTGCAACTCGGATTGCACTGCATCCCTCAGATTGAGGTTCCCTGACATAGGCATATCCGCTGGACGTAGGAAACTTCGAGACAAACCTATTCACACAGGCGTCGCATGAACGTCGTGAAATTAATCCGCGATCATACTACTCGCGCATACGATGAGAGCGTCGTCAGCAACAAATACACTAGAAACCATCAAAGAGATTATAGGTCCAGTAGAGTCCACTATCAAATACCAGTCCGTGTCAAAATGAGTGTCAATGTGAGAAGAACGCGACAGCAACGCCAGTTCAAGAGGCCACGGCCGATACCACACAGCGAAGGTCGGTCATGCGTGGGTCACTGAGAGGGTGACAGGGCATTCGGCCTGGGTGACCGGTGCTGATGTGCTGCGTTTACCGACGAGGCCGAAGATGTACATGTCGAGGTCGAAGTTGAACTGCAGGACTGTGAGGGCGTCAATGAGTCTATCCCAATAACAGACAGGTGAAACCTACATGGCCGTGTGCCGTTCGCATTCAAGCCAGGATTCCTGCAGCCGTTGTAGAAGTCTGCCCCTGCACCGACCATTAGCATACTTGCGGCACCGATTACGAGAAACCCCGCGTACATGTAATATCGAGTCGTTGTTCGCGACATACGTGAAGTTGAGCGGCATGTTGACGGTGGGAAGGCTTTGGCGGGCAGCGTCGTCGAGCCCAGATCCCCGTCGCGACCTGTCGCCCCGTCGTCAAGTCCGAACTGTTGCACCATCTTGGTAAAGTGGATGGGCAGGAAGTTCGAGCCGGTGTTGAACTCGAGGTTGAGATTGGCAGGGAAGCTGAAGTTCGCAGGTGAGCGCGAGAAAATGGTCGGCACAGAGTCGCTGAAGGAGCCTGTGGCGTTTGAGAGAGGGTTGGCGGAGGGGAAGTCCATGTCCGGGACGCGGGGGATGGTGAAGGCGAGGATGATGCCAACGCTGAATATCCGGTCAAGTAGAATCCGGTCAGGAGGACTTGGCGACTTACGCTATGCATAGCGCGAACACAACATATGTGGTCGTTCGTTTTGTGAAGTATGGCCCGCAGCACCCTCGTTCCCCGCGATTCCACGCACCGAAGCACTCCCTGAACGACTCGACTCTCTTCTCCCTCTTGGCCGACGACCGCATGTCCCGCATCTCGGACTTCTTCCATTCGGGACCAAGGGCCGGGACTGTCACTAGCTCGACGTCTTTCGGCGTGAATGGCTCGTCCTCCACCACGGAAGCGTGCGGCACCGGCGAAGGCACTTGGCGATAGCTGCGGCAGAGTCTCCATCAGCCCGGCCGCCGTCTCTTCAATCGCACAAGCTCACCCAGTGTCCTGTCCAAAGGCCGTCGAATACCTCGGACCTGCGTTGTTGAAGTCCGCGTAGATGTTGAACGCGTCGTCTGCTGGCTTCGACAGCATGCTCTGCGCCTCGTCCGTCCCGCCCTTCAGCGGCTCCTCCCTCCCCGCAACGAAAAACGACGACCTGTTGTACCCCGCATTCGGCGTCCCACCCATGTAGTCGGTCCCCGCCCTCGACATGCGATTCGGGTTGTAGAACGAGGACGCCGCGGCGGAGTCGGCGCGTGGGCGGCGGGTCGGGTCGAGCGAGGGCGACGAGGTGGATGCATCAAGCACGTCGGTCGACTTGCGCGCGCCGTAGAAGGAGGAGACTGCAGATCGCCGGTCGTAGTCCATGCTTGCGGTGGGCGTTGGGAATGAGCGTGAGGACGCTGTGCGTCGCGGTGAGAAACGACCTCGCCAGGCAGGCGTTCGAGCTGGGTGGGAGCCTGGGCCGATCCCATCGTGAGATCCCAGCGGCGCTCCAATGGATGATGGGTCGGCATCCCGCCGTAGTTGGACCACTTTACAAGTTGAAGTTGACCGTCCTTGCCAACGCCGTCGTCGTGCTTCCACCGTCCAGTCAAACTGTCAGTTCTACTGAAAAAAAAACCCTGCAGTCCGGCTTTCACCCACTGTCAGTGCTGAGGCATTGAATTCTCGCTATCGATATTCACTTGTGAAGGCCACTACTGAAGAAATGCTACCACGCAAGTCACAGAATGTAACTGTCAGGTTTCTGCTCCAGTCTAGATCTCCCCCGTTTTGCGCCGTTTCTATAGCTACTCATGTCTTGGCACTTTCTAGGCCCTAGCAGAGGGAGGCTGCATCTGGGCTGCTAAGTCCTTATTTTGCACCCTTTGTGCAACCTTGTGTCACAGGTAAGTTTCTTCCCCTCTCCCAGTATGCTGTGTACGTGTCACCGCAGTCACCACGTCGGATATCCTTTGTTCAAGGGGCACGCCACATACGCATTCCCTGACTTGGGCACGACGGGACTCTCGGCGGCATCCTTGCTGTGCTGCAGTGTCAATCACTTGGATGAATGCAATACGCTTGCATTACGCCCGGTTCGGGCTCAATTGTCAGTACTGGGCGCACACTTACATCCAGAGAGAAGGGTTTTCCGGCTTCATACAGCGGAGACTAAGTTGACAGGCCCCACATAGAGGCGTTCGTCAGAAATAACATCTTCTGGACGCAGGTGTTTCATGCTAGAGCTTGGTTTCCATGGTCTTGAGCTCCGGTACGCCGCCGTGACAGCTTAGACACATCCGCAGGCTCGTGTCGTCTCCGTCGCTGGCCGACAAGAGGTACTGGGGCTGTGCACTGGCCTCAGACATTCAGGGTGCATGAGTTCCGAGTTCCAGCTCGCTCGCTTGGCAAACTCGACGGTGAACCGTTTATGACCGGTTGACCAATTGTCACCCTGTCTACTTGTTCTACTCTTCCGTCTATGACTCCAGCCTGCCCGGGCCGCGCACGTATGTACTGGCGCAGCAAGCTTTTGGCGTGCGCGTCCCGTGCTGGTCCGCATATTCCCCACTTTTCTGCGGGATATTCGCGCCAATAGTCGTCCACCCATTCCAACGCCCACCCAATGCAGTGCCTTCCTCGTTTGTGCGCGAGCAAATACTCGGGGATGAGACTCCTCGGCCGGGCTATGCGGTATACGAGTGGCGTGTAGAGGGCGTGTATGTAGAAAGGACTGCACAGCTTGTGTTCGATAGCGCCAGGTCCGCAGTGTCGTGCCGGTCGCCCGGTGGCCATTGTGGACCAAACGTTGCACTACTTTCGGTAAGAAAACACTAGGATTGTCTGCATACGGATCCTGCCTGACATGTTAATATTACTCTTTCAGGCAGCAAACCCCGTCTATACAGGCGGCGCGTCGTCTCGCACGCACATACGCAAGGCGGAGATAGGTCCCGCTCTTCTGAAAGAGGGCGCCAGGCCGGGGGTGTGCCATGTGCCCGGCCTCGGTGGCTTCTTGTGGACTTGCTCCGGGCGACTGTATGAAGATAACGTGCAGCTGCGCCGGGGCGCTCGGACGTCAATGGGCAGGTTTCTCACCACCGAGTACTGCGTGCCCCCGCAATCGCGAACCGCACACACCGAGAGGGCAGATGTCGCGGCGACGCGGTTTCGTCCGTTCGCCACTGGCGGGCCCGGGGGCCTTATAAAGTCGCTGCGCCACTGGGACGAGCCTCGAATCCGCCCCCACCGCTCCGAGGTCGTGCTGCCCCTGCTGTGCCATAGCCGCCGTCGAAGAAGAGCATCGCCTCGTCCAAGCCGGTGTAGAGGCTTGCGCACCTGCGGAAGACCCCTTCCTCTCTTTCTCTCGTACCACGAACACTGCCGGGCAATCCGTCAGCAGGTGAGTATCGGATGGCTCTGCCTTTAGCGGAAGTGACTCACGCGGTTGACAGTTTAAGGTCTTACGAGCATGAACCCTCATGTTCTATTCGCCAGAATCGGCAAGAAGAACTGTACGGTCAAGACGTTCGCGGCCACAGGAGCTGAGAATGAGAGCGGGCCGGACGGTCGTATGAGTACGGGTACCATCATCCGCGTGGTCGTGGCCTTAGGTGAATAGCTCCTCAGGCCGCTGTGCGGACAACGGCGTACCGGGGAGCTTACTGTCTTGCTACTTTCTCGAACGCAGTGGTCTTCCTCCTCGTGTTCATCATCGTCATCTGTGTTGCCTGGCCGCACCACCGCAAGTCTCCGGGTCCTGAACGCAGCCCGCAGAGCCAGCGTCGCAGCGGGGCGCACATTGCGTCCATTCCGCGTGCGCGCATTTCGAACAACCTCCGCAGACAGCCCTCAGCCATATTCATCCCTGCCCCGCCGTACGAGCCCGCACCACCGTCCTACTCCTCGCTATTGCTAGCACCGTCGTATGGCGGCCGGCCGCCCACGGGTGACGACCCGTCCGCGGAGAGCATATCCATGGCGGGCGTGTCCCCTTCGCTCAGCCACTCGACCGGAATCCTCGACGCGGCCCGCTCGAGCGCGCCTTTGCATTCAGATCCGGGCGCCGAGGTGCAGCTGCCGCCGCAGGCGCACACGGCCGTCGGCGCTCTCACATAGCAGGCATGGCTGCCCCGGGAGCCCCGGGGCACTGCTTTGCCTGATATCAGTGACGACCCCGCGATGACGGACATGTTCGGATACCACGGTAAATCGACACATACCCCCGCGTCTGGCGCTCTGTCCAGCAGCCCTTGAATTGGGTGCTGTATGTACGGCTCGCTCGGGCTGCTTAATCGCACCTTGACCTCTTCCCTGTTCTTGTTTAGCTGTCCTAGTATCTCCCACAAGTCTCACACGCACATGTATCGTACAGTTTTCTTGCTTTGACGTCGACAAACTGCTGTGTATCCATCTCTGATATCTATCCTATTTGGGTCGATCTACGCCTCGCCCGGACTGGTAGTTCGGAGACGCGAGGCAGTCGTGTGCGCCGCGGTACAGCCCTCGCTCACGACGTATCTGTTCGCGACCCGTTTTGAATATATGATATTGGATGCCTTGATACCGCAGCATGTCTGAACAACAACAGATGAGAGAGACAAGGTCATGGAGGGAGAGTCAGCGGAGGGAGCCGGCCGTTGCGCGTAGGTGCCAAGGGCACTACGCCTCGAGGCGTGGGAACGCGGGTGCAAGCTGTGCGACTACGGAGCTGCCTACCACTCTACATATTCCTCCGTACCCACTCCCGCCACTCCCTCTTCCTCTCCTCAATCCTATTCCCGTCCCTAATATCCCTTTCCCCGACGACGCGGACGGCAACCACCCCCCGCCTCGACGCCCGTGCACGCCCGTTCACGTTACGACCTCTCTCGATTGGACCTAGTAACGCCCCCGGTGGCTGCTACTACTCAGGCGACCCCCGCCATGGCTTCGTATCCGGCATACAGCACCCGTCGCACGTCTCCGACGGTCAACACGACGCCCTACTTGAGCGCGAGCCCCCACGCGACGGGCGACGGCCAGTTCTACCCGCCTGGCGCGAGCCGCATCTCACTGGACGACGACGACTCGGCCCAAGCACACTCGTCCCCGTACAAGAAGCCCGGCGACGTCACGGTCGACATGCGCGCGATTACGCGCACGCCCAGTCCGACGCCGAGCGAGGCGGAGGAGCTCACGAAGACGTCGTTGTTTGACTGGAAGGCGATGTCGAGTTGGCGGTATTGGATCAGGAGAGAGTGGTTATGTGCGTGTCTTCTCTGTTCGTTCTGCGCAGGGCAGGTCTCTTCCACTTGGTTCTCACATCACCGTCGCTGGCCGGCACCATTGTGGAGTGGCCGCTCGTGCTGGTCGCCATTCCGTTACGTCCGCTGCACCATGTTCCTGGGTCTGAGTGTATGCGGCATGCACGCCGGTATGAACACTCCGGGGCAATCGACTTCTCCGGCGATCCATAGCTCCTTCGCAGACTGCATTTGGCTCGATGGCGGTCATCGCCAACCGTCGACTGGCATTCAGTTCTGGTTCATACCTCGTCTGCATGTCAGTCGGCAGGCTGGTCGTCGGGGCCACATCCCGGTGGTGACGACGATGAAATCGGTGGCGCGACTGCAGTAGCAACACTTCTTCCCATCGGACGCATGCCTTCCACTTTGCGGTCAGTGCTGTGGACCGACGCGCCTTCGCGACGGTAGCGAGGGTCGTCGAACTGGGGCTCCACACCTAGCGTCGGGTAAGTTATGGGAGGGTGTGACGCCGAGCCGGTATATGCGAACTTCTCGCCAAGGGATCGCATGTCAGTGCACATCATTCTGTGATGTTTGAACTTTGCGGGTTCATGAGGGACATGCGTTGAATCTCGACAGGCTGATGTTGTGCAGAGGGCGTTGTGCTGACTTGATGTGTTGCGCACAGGGTACTACGTCATTTCGCTATCGCACTGGTCGCGACGATTCTGTTCACGGTATTCCACACACAAATAGTCAAATGGCTACAGCCCGCTGCCAACTGGATGCATGAGTACGTCTTTCTCGACATCTTGCAGTCAAGACAGCGATGAGGTGCTCTGCGTTGCGGTCCGTCGTGTGACTGATGTTGGTTGCTTGACAGTCTCAAGTTTGGATGGCTCATCCCTATCGGTATCCTCTTCGTCATTTCATTCCCTCCTGTGAGTTTTGAGTTGCATCCGGTCCACTTCCAAGGCAGAATTCTCATTGCGGGTCGAATGCTTAGCTCTTTGGCCATGAAATCGTCGCCATCCTGTGTGGTCTCGTCTGGGGTCTCTGGATCGGCTTCGCTATTGTGTGTGCGGGCACCTTCCTTGGTGAACTTGGTAACTTCTAGTAAGTTTCAGGTCCAAGCTACATGGTGCCATTGGGGTTAACGCTTCGGTGTAGCGCGTTCAGGTATGCTGCAGCGTGCGTGGCGAGAAGCTCGAGAAGACAGATCTTCGGTACGCATGCTTGGCGAAGGTCGTGCGGGAGGGTGGGATCAAGATTGCACTCATCGCACGGTTGAGTGCTATTCCTGGCACTGTACGTGATGCCCCTCTAATTGTGGATGTGTGCTCACTCCTCACTGACTTCACCCAGTCACGACTGCCGTGTTCTCAACATGCGGCATGAGCGTCTGGACATTCATCATCGCCGCTATCCTCTCGCTCCCGAAACAATTTATCACTGTGTACCTCGGTGTTGCCCTCGAGCAGTCGGACAATGGCGGTTCGAGCACGCGGGACACCATCGTCAAGGACGTCGTCGTCGGCATCACGGTCATCATTACGTTCGTGGCGATGTGGTACATCTACAACCTCATGAACAAGGCCAAACCCGGCGTCATCTACGACCGCAGGAAAGCGAGGTCAGTACCTCCGTCCGTGGCGAATGGATCTCTGGGCTAACGATCATATCCACAGGCAAGCGAAGCTCATGGGAATGGGCTCGTCTCCGTACTCCAACAGCTCGATGCTCCAGTCGACCGCCTCCGTCGCCTTCAACCCGCCGCGTCCGAGTCGGAGATCCCGCTCACCGCGCGCGGCGATAACTTCGGGGCCGCGGTTTATCAGCAATGGGACACCTCCGGGCGCGCAGTCGGTCACTCGGGCGACCCGAGGCTCTACGTCCCCGAACCGCGCCGCGCACCCGTTCGCCCCTTCGCAGAAGCGCCGACGCACCGCCGCAAGGCGAGCGTGCGGACACGGGCTCAAGTATCGGGAGCGCGTACCAGATGAGCGAGCGGGGCGGGTACCAGAGCACGCCAACAAGGAGTGATTCTGGCCTGACGAACCCGTATCCACACCCGTACGCGCAGGCGCAGGTGTCTAGACCGCCGTCACGCCGACGTACACCGCTACCCCCCACCGATTGCTCCGCCCGTGTCTGCGCCTGCACATGCGACCTCGCCGCAGTCCCGCCGAACATGAGGCCACTGCAGACCGCGCCAGCCCAACACCCGTACGGTGCGCAAGCAATGGCGGCGCCGATGCCGAACCCGTATGCGGCCTACGCACCATCGCCACCGCCAAACGCGAACCCGTACGCGGGCTATGCGCCCTCGCCGCCGCCTACGAACCCGAACAACCCGTTCTCACCTTCGTATGGCGCGGGGAGCGCACCGTCGACGCCGACCGGACTCACACAGCACCAGTTCACGGGTGGGTACCCGTTCAGCACGCAGCAGGTGCCGGGGACCGCGCCGCTGCCGCCGACGTACTCCTCGCAGACGTTCGCGCAGCAGCAATCAATACAACAGCAGTACCCGCAGACGGCTGCACCCGCGCGTGCGGGATACGCGACGTACGAGGCGGGCAGAGCCAGGCGGGGCCGATGCCGCCGAACTACTCGTCTGACCTGCGATGAGGCTTCTAGATGGTGGTACCAGTAGTAGAGGCGGCAGGGACGCCGTGCGCTTGTGTGCTGCACCATGGTCGGTGGACGGATGGATGTTGGCATGCCTGCCGAGGGACATCAATGTACACTAGGGATACCCTGTTGTACATACGAGTCGAGTACGACGACGCTTCACTACTGCCGTGCCTTTTTTTCTCGCTTTTCTGAATCCTGACTATCGTTCATACTCTTGGTGTATTGTATGCGTTAGATACATAGTACTTGCATGCACGGACGGCTTGTGACTGGATGTAGTGTCTGCGACTGGATGCCTGCTGTGTGAATGAGTAACGACACGGACTTGGACGCGACGATGGAAATCTTGCAGTGCACAGCGCCGCCGTGTGAGCGCTGCTGGCGAGGATGGCGCCTTGAAAAGAGCTGGTTTTCTCGTGCTGTCTCAATCGTGTCTCTGTCTTTCTGGCCGCGTCTGTCTTGCTAGTTGTCTGGTCGATCTCAACTCTGCAAGAGTCCCTCTTGCGCGAGCATAAGTATCTGGAAGAACCAAGGCCTGAGACTTGTTTTCAACACACATCGCACCAACGGGGCAGACACTGATACATCGCCATGGTCTTGTTCTTCAAGTCATCAGGTGAGCTTGAATTCACTCTACTCTCTGGTTACCAGGCTCAGCTTATAGCTGCGAGCAGCCATCGACCCACCGGTCGTGCTGTACATGGGTAAAGACAAGGTCGAAAGTACGTCCTCCTAATACCCCTCCCCTCCTAACCTTCCTCGTTATCTCAAGCAGTAGCACCCTGCGGCAGACGAAGACCTCATTAAGTATGCTTGGCCTCAAGACCTCTGGTTTCATGTCGACAAGCTCTCGTCGGCACACGTCTACCTGCGCATGCCGGATGGCATGTCATGGGAGGCCATCCAGAGCCCCTCCTTACAGACTGTGCACAACTTGTCAAGGCAAACTCGATCGAGGGTCCGTCTACCACTGTTCAACCCGCTGTGCATGGCTAGGATGTTGACGTCCGGGGTCGTCAGGCAACAAAAAGGACAACCTCACGATCATATACACGCCCGCAGACAACCTCAAGGTGCGCTCCCCAGTGCTCTCACGTCCCCCTTCGTGGACATGGACATTATCTCATCAGACCCGGGTCTTGGCTCACAGAAAACGGGTGACATGGCTGTTGGCCAGGTCTCGTTCCACAACGATAAGCGGGTGAGCGTCCCTCTTCCCGTCCCATAGCCCCCTTGCACCGAGTCGCGCGCGGGCGTTCCGCACTCTTGCTTCCCGCTGACGCAGGCCCGGCCCAGGTGAAACGAAGTGCGTGCCTCTGCCTCTCACCCTTCCCATGAAACCCGTGTCCGTGCGAATGATGTCCGCATCGCAGTCCACGTCGCGAAGCGCGAGAACCCAATCGTGAACCGGCTCAACAAGACGAAGGTCGAGCGGCAGGTCGACCACGAGGAGGAGCGCGTCGAGCGTATCAAGAACGAGAGCGCCGCACGCCGAGCGGCGGCGCAGCAGAAGGTGTGTGCCTGTCGTCGTTGGCGTTGGTGTGCGCCGTCGCGACTGCTAGTGGCGCCCGCTGGTGATTTATTGACGTTTGGATGTGCAGAAGAAGGCAGACGAAGAGCTTGCGCGTCAGCGGGCGGCGGAGAAGGCGGCGCGCTCTTATGACACGCTGTTCGACCAGCAAGCAGAAGACGACGACGACGGGATGGCGGAGGCCCCGAAGCGATCCGTACGCGAGATGGAAGATGACTTCATGTAACTTAGCAGCGCAATATAAAAGTCCTGTGCCAGTCTACAAGATGGCTTCCGCTGGCCATTCAGGGAACTTCTCAATGACCGACGGGGAAGTGTGAGCCAGAGACTACGTCGACCGAGGACCCGTGTTGCATCCACGTCCTCCGTGGGGTTACGTTCACCTTCGTACCTTGATGCGGTTACCGCTGGACTAGTCTAACGAAGGATATCGGTTCGAGCACCCGATTCACTCAAATTTGGCGTTGTACGCTGACCTCGGCCGTTCAGGCAGACTTGAGCCTGATACCTCAGTCTTTCTGTTTCTACCACGCAAGACCGGAGTGATGGTGCATATGCGACGATCATGCCAGTGCGCTTCTGCGATGTTAACCCGGGGCTACGGACTGGCCAGGTGGTGTCCGCGATGTGTCTGGTTGTGGTCTGGACTTGCTACCGCGCGCTGAGCTTGTTGGTTCAGCATTCAGTACTTGAGACGCGGGTCGCGCTGCTACGGCCGATGGTACGGGGCCGTTGTGACGGAGACGTTGAGTGACAGGCCCGAGTGGTATCGCCCACTCAAACGCGTACATAGGTACCGTCGGCTTCTTGGCTGATCACATCCCGCAATACCCGCATAGCTGCAGGTGGTAACACGGCACGGTCATGTGTGCACTTCATGTGCCACGGGAGGGTACATTGAGGAGGTGTGCAATGCCATCAGAATTAGACGATGATCCAACGATGATCCACCGGACTTCGGTCGCCAATCTAGTGTCGAATTAATGGCGTCTTGAGCTTGGCTTGAGCGGATACTTGTCGATTGCAGTGTTGAAAGTTGAACCTCCAGGAGCTTCGGAGAACGAGCAGCACGGGATATGGAGACGCTTGTGATCCGGATGTGTCTTCTGCACCGGCGTTCTCCCCTTTTGTCGGAGTTCTTACCCAGGGGCCAGGGTTCAGTCACGATTGACGCAGAACAGAGAAGCCTGCAAACCGAGTTGGGTCGTAGTTAGTATGGCGGAACCCGGCTCTCCTTCAATCAGACAACCGTGTGCTATAAGAGTGTCCTCCGGTTCCGCGACGACCTCCACACTGGACTCGTCTCCTGCACACACAGCTGAATCACAAACCTCCGCACGATGTCCGCCAGCCTTGCGAACCCTGATTCTTCACCGTTGACGCATTGGTCGCCATACGTGAAGGCGCTTTATGCGCGGCGTGGCGAGCCACCGCTGGGCGCCGTCGGGACTGTCTACACGGACAAGCTGGAGGAGGCTGCACGTGAAAAGCTCCAGAGCCGCGATCGCCTCGGTGAGGAATGCATACCTTGTACAAGGCGAGAAGTCCTGACCGACGTCGATCTCCCGCCGATCATTGTCTTCTTCGTGTCACCGGTTGGCCGCTCGCAGACGCGTTCTTGTATGTGTATGGCAGTGCGGGGACGTGCTCCTCGCATGAGGACAACATCAACGAGTTCAGGAAATGGAAGATCATCCCGCGGATGATGACCGATGCCTCGAATCGTAACCTGGAGGTGCGTCGCTGGCTAGCAATTGCATATCGCATAGCGAAGCTGACCACGCGCGCTTCAAGACGACTCTGTTTGGAGTGAAATACCCTTCGCCAGTGCTTCTCGCGCCCATTGGCGTCCAGGGCATCGTACATCCCGACGGGGAGGTTGCAAGCTCCGCTGCTGCAGGGGAAGTCGGCGTCCCATACATCATGAGTACTGCGTCGACGCGGTCCATCGAGGCTGTCGCCCAGGCGAACGGACCCAATGGCCATCGGTGGTACCAGCTCTACTGGTATGCCTTATCGAGCAAAGATTGACTTACGCGCACTGAGCAGAATCTTGCAGGCCGCGGCATGACGACGTGACCATCTCCCTTCTGAGTCGCATAAAGGCCTCAGGCTTTAACGCCCTTGTCATAACGCTCGACACCATGCTCCTCGGCTGGCGCCCGCACGATATCGAAACAGCGTACCTGCCGTTCCTCCAGGGCGTAGGTTGCCACATCGGGTTCACCGACCCGGTATTCATGACACGCCACGGCGAGGAACCCTTGCCACTGGACAGCCACCCCGAGTTCCCGTACGACCCGGCTAAGATCGACGAACGCATACTGAACGGCGACGAGAAGACCAGGAGGACAGCTGAGCTGGGCAACGCGTGGATCACGGAGGTCACGTCGGGCTGGTTCAGAACATGGCAGCATTTGCCATTCATCAAGCAACACTGGGACGGCCCTGTTGTCCTAAAGGGGATTATGTGTGCGGAGGTAAGTTCAGTCAACGTGGGAGCCTCGCATTGTCGTGACCACTTGCCCCATAGGATGCTGAGCTTGCCATTGACCATGGTGTTGACGGCATCGTCGTGTCCAACCACGGTATATATCACTTTCCTCTACCCACCTGACAGTAACTGAACCATACCATCAGGTGGTCGCCAGGTAGATGGGTCTATTTCGACCCTCTACGCTCTGCACCAGATTATGCAGAGCCCCAAAGTCCGCGCAGCGCAGGCAGCCGGTAAATTCACCGTCCTGATGGACTCGGGCATTCGTACCGGCGTCGACGTGATCAAGGCGATCGCCCTCGGTGCCGACGCAGTCCTCTGTACGTACCCCTCCCCATCTTCTGAGAAGGCCCACGGATCGATCGCTAATTGGGCCTTTGTGTGGGACAGACGGCCGCCCGTTCATGTACGCCTTGACTCTCGGCGGTCAGAAGGGCGTCAAGCACCAAATCGAGGCACTTCTCGCGGACACCGAGACGTCGCTAGGTCTCAGCGGGTACTCGACGCTGAGCGAGATCCGAGGGAAGTGGGAGAAGGTCTTGGTGAAGGACTGAACAACGAGAAGCCGTATCTCAAGGGGGATAACCAACGCCGGGGCGCGCTGAAGTCTGTACGATCTAGGACTGTATTTCATAGACGGGATAACATATTGAGAACTCACCGGTCGGAAGATCGCAACATAAATATCGTATGGAGGTTGGACGCAGCGCGTTTGCGAAGTCCATGCAGAGGTCAGCAGGAAAGCATCATTAGCGCTGATATACTGTACATTGTGCGAGCTCGGTGGGTCGGGCGCCCTCCGATGGAATGTACTCACGACGGCAGCCATTTTCTCCATCCGCTCTCATTCCATGCATTCTCGAATTCTTCTTCAGAGAAGCGCTGGACGGCCCACGTCCTGGCGCGCTGCCGCAGCGCCAAGTCTTCCTCCGGCGGGAGAGTCAATACGGTATGGAAGGCCTCCGCGAATGTCTCGGGAGAAGTGGCATGATACCCTGTCAGGAAGCCATGCAGCGTCAACGTACAGTGGGAGAGGAGATGATGGAGTTAATGCGTACCTGTAGGCTTCCCTTCGAACGGCACGACGATGTCGTTCAGCGGGCCACCGGATGCGTGTGCGACAGGGATGACCCCGGCCGCCTTGCGAGTGATATGTCAGACCTCCATTTCTCCTTCGTGCGGATGTCATCAAATATCGAACATACCATGAACTCCACGACGTTGATGCCGAAGTGCTCGTCGACCATGGTGCTCAGGCCGATACTAGCTCTCGAGAGCCAGTTGAGCATAGCGGGGAATGATGCGTTGATGACGAACTCTACGTGGCCCTAGTATCGACTACAGTCAGCATTGGGAGTTGCACACACCATGGACTTTACCTCAATCCCCAACTCCTTGGCCAGCTCTCGAAGCCCTTCAACTCGTGCGGCGTCCTCTGCATTGCGACTTCCTCCCACAAGCACCAGCTGGACATGCGCGTCATCGGGTTTCCCGTACTCAGGATGAGAAGCCAGCAGGCTATGGAAGGCATGTAATTGTGCGGCATGGTCCTTCTCGGGTCTATGTCGTCGGCATGAGCATGTACTCGGGTCGAAGCAGAGCAATTATACCCACCGGAACTGCGCAACGCTGAGAATCACTCGCTCTCGGCCCGTCAGAGGGAACTTCGCCATCTCCCGCGTATCACAAGGTGGGTACACGATACGAGCAGACTTCGGTGTTTGCGAGGGCCGAAGGAAACGAAGGAGGACTAGTGGGGTGCACATATGCAGGGCATCGAGGAGTGGGTCGCTGTATTGTAAGATTGAATCTACATGATTCTTGGTCCAGGATGAATTGACCATGACGAAGCTTGCTTGGCGAAGCGAGTTGGCGTAGTAATACATGAAGAGGCGATAATACCTGCACTATTCCGTAAGCATTTATGTCGGAGTACATCATTGCAGCTTTGATTGACAAAGTGCTACAACGCGAAGCAGGCGAGGGAAGCTCAAACTCACAGGAGTTTTCCTTTGCTGAGGAGGCCCGACGATGATATCGCATCCGAATTAGTATGCCATTTCTTCCGTGACCTCACCCTCTCCAGCATGTCGGTGCTGATGGTTGGGTAGTGGACATATGCTCCCACAGGGACACTGCCGAGGAGCCTCACTACATGGAAGGTAAAGGCGTAGCCCATGGTATCTAAGAAATGAGAGTGCATGAGTATCCCGTGAAATATCGAGGATATTTACCGCACCGATGAATTGGTCTGGTATAAGCTTGGACATGGCCTCCCATGCCAAGTACATTGACCCAAGACTTTGACCAAGGAGTGTAAAACGAGGCCATGCAGAGTCCTCGACGAGATGTCTTGAGTTCAAAAACACGAAATGAAGGGTTTGCGGGGACAAGTCAATGTCAAATCGGGCCTGACAATAATTGTTCGCACCGCCGTACTGGCCTGATAGCACAGCAAGACACACCTTGACTTTACTGAGGATCTGCTCCTTCGTCGCGTCCACATCACCACTGTAGACAATGCTGATGACGTCCGGCTCGTCGCGTTGCAGCATTGCTATTGCTGTCCAGAGAACACGCTCTCCGCCCCCACCTGCATTGCTTCACACAAGAGCTACGTAAATCAGAGAACTATTGCAAGCAGGGCTAGTATATGCGTTACCAGTAGGGGTGGAAGAACCCGATGAGTTTCTTCTTCTGTTGGTCTGGCGTCTGCAGCTCATCGAGGATCGCTGTCTTATGCCCCGCATTTTCCTGTCGTACGCGTCGGATTGCGGAGAATAGAGAGTACAGCACCAGCCAGACGAGGCCAGTCGCAATGGCCAACGTATTCATGCCAGACTGCCCTATACCTAGACAGCAACGAGTCCTCTAGGGAAGTGGAGATGGCGATTACAGAATGAAGGTTGCGGTGCGACAAAAACGACGAGAGTATCTCTTTTTGGTCAGCAACGGAGACTAGGTGCGACCGGTGCCACGTTCGCGCGTCCTGACCGTCTGAGAGCGCGTCGCGTATGTCACGTGTTCTGCGCCCTCCAGAAGGGTCGCCGCGAAAATGGCAGAAGGCAGAACTACACCAGTACATTTACATTTGTTACTCTGACCAACTTCTACTGAGTACCAGCTAACAGTACATCGCCACATCTGTTACAGCGAGAGACCACCTAACGCGGCTCCCTTACATAGGCTGTTCAAGAGTGAGCGCGGACCAGGTGCTAGAAATACTGGATCTATTGCTGAGGGAGTCCGTCTCGTCCGAGATAACAAACACATTTGACGACGCATTGCCCGCTGGAGCTGGGATTGGTGGTATGGCAGCTTCCGATTCAGGAGCTGGCTGCATCACGACGATCTCTGAGAGATTGATCGTCTGGCCTCCCCCTCCGTCTTCCTCGACAAACGCAGACGGCTGCTTGTCCACGAATGGATCATCCGGCGAATAGGCGAAGGACGGGCTCGTCGGGCTTGATAGCTGCGACTTGGCCGCGAATGGATCGACACTGAGTAGGGAAGACGGGCGGCTGCGCGAGTCAGCGAATGGGTCCTCAGTCGGTAGGGACGGCCGTCGACTGCGCGTGCTCGGCGACAGAGACAAGAAGCTTCGTACAGCGGGGCTACCGATGCCTCCCCGGATCGGCGTTCCCGCTACGTAGGCGGGAGGGGGCGAGAATGGGGGCGGGGGCGTGTCCGGACCATAGTCAAACACGACTCGGCGGGAGGGCGTCGGAGAGGATGCGTACGGGAAGTCCTGCTCACGTGGTGACCAGGGCGACAGAAACGCGGTAGGTGGCTTCTCCATGTGAGCGAGGTAAGCCTTGTCCCTTTCGGTGAACACGCTGTCGTCGAGAACGGCATAGCGCCTTCTGTCCTTCGGCGTGCGGGGAGTCCGGGGAGTCCGGGGCGAGAGTACGTCTGCAGCGGGAGGAATGTGGAGGTTCAGTCGCAGCTGGGTGGCGAACTTCTCCCGGATATGCTGCTTATCGGGTTTGTTTTGCGAGGGTAGTTTAAACGAGCGTGGGGGTTTCGGCTTCTGCGTGTCGTCTGGGCAAGAGGACCTGCGAGGCAGACAGCGTTTAAGGAACGTAAGGATTTTGTCGAATATGCGGCGGATGGCGGGGCGGTCGCGGTCCGAAGGAGGAACGACTAGGACACGCGTGCGGTACTTTGGTAACGGCGGTGGCTTGCGGTGGAAGCACGGTATGAGCTGGTAGCTGACCACCAGCAGGAAAAGGCACACTAAAACGACAACGTATTGTTAGCACCCCTGCTGGGACCTATCATCGTCAACAAGCACACTCACTAACGCCGAGGATTAAGCCGGTCACCGTGCTCATCGCGATGTGAGGGGACCCTCCGCTCGCCGTCGTCGACGTCGCACTGGCCGACGCCGAAGCTGTACCCGACGAGGTGGCGCGCGCTATAATCGCCATGTTTGAAGGTCGGGCTGACGTCGCGCTCCTACTTTGATCAGAGGGCGGGGAGGGCGCAATGCGACCCACCCGGGCACTACAAATGCTGTATTTCCATGGTCTGGCTTACGTGCGGGATTAAAGCGGAGGAACGAAGCGACGCCAGTTGGTGCGAGGAAGACATATACCGACGCCCGCCGCGTCGTGGAAGACGCAGCAAACCCTTAGCAATGTGAAAGGCTTGGCCTTAATCAGCGTCTGGAATGAATCCACAGCGGGAATTACAGACATCAGTAGGATTGGAAGAGTCGTCAGAGATTGAAGCCACACCTGCTGATTTGAGGTGATGGCATTGTTTCAGTGCATAGCTCGGGACCCTGCCCCTGGTGCGACAGATGAACGCAAGGATGAACGAATCGTTTTGCATCGATATTAATTTGCTCGCACACCAGCGAATTGGCTCAAACCTGTCTATAGGGCGTAGCGTTCGCTGTGCCCTTGTAGCGGACGGCGCGCGGTCGCTGAATAAAGCTGGAGAACGGCGCCGGAAAATCCGTAGAAGCATAAATATGTGTCACAGAACGCACTGCGCTCTATGGCTTGGAAGCTTCGAAGAGCGCGATCTCGCATGAAGCGGCCTGTTGGACGATGCAGTCAACCCGACACTCGGACACGCACGACAGTGGGTCCAACCTAAACTGTCTGAGACATTGACAAGTGACATGCAATCATGCCTCAAAGCGAAGGTGCTCTGCAAGCATTGAAGGGTATTCAAGGCCGCTTTAAAGCCCTATCGGATTCTGGCACGGTGTACGCGCGAACACACGGTCGGCGGGGAACAGCATGAGTAAATCATCGACTGAGACAATTTGTCGACTTACCACAAGATCAGCTCCGAACCGTCGTCGAGAAGCACTTCATGGAACCCTCAAATCTGTGTTCCATTGGGCAGGAGCGCGAAAGCCGAGAAGGCTCGAAGTAGGAGTTGCCACTGTCATGAGCGACGGTGATAAATCACCGAGTCAGTAGTGCTCCACCTTCAGCACATAGCCGCAACGGCGTATGAGGGACGTTGGAAACGGCATTCGCGAAGTATATCCTGTTCACAGCACGTACGTACTGACCTCTTGGTTCTCTACGAGCATTGTAGCGCCCGAGAATACGGTGAGCGGCGCCGTCACGATCACGAGATCCGTGTGACGGGTCCGCCCACAGCCAGAGGCTCGGGTCGTTGGTAGCCAGCACCTCCGAGTCCGCTTGGACATACACTGCCATTCAGCCGACCTATCTTTCCATTTGAGCAAAGGGCATACAGCTGTTCCGTGTGGCAAGAGCATCGGGTTCAAATGCACTTGCGGATGAGCAGATTATGTGACTATCTATTGCTATACACGCAAACAACATTCTTACACGTCCAAGTTTAAAGCAACCCCAGGCCAGTCAGAGCTATGAACGCGAACTCTCTAAAGGCCCCCTTCGCCTTTTCTCCTCTGCTTGATGTGAAACCCGGAGATGGAGAGCCTGACCCAGTGGACTGGAGTTGCTCGCTTGCAGTACCATCGTGTCTGGAGTCTTGGGGGCGTTCTGCGGCTTACTCCGAAGGCTCGACTAGCTCACTCAGCCTTGCACTTGGCTGTGAAGACGGGACATTCTATCTCTTCCATGAATCGGTGCCACCGCCGCAGGTATCTCGAAGGCGAAGTTCTATCGAGTCTTCAGCCAGCCGTCCTCCTCGCCTCTCCAATAGCTCAAGACCTACGAGTCCGCTTCGCTATGGAGGGCTCGGTGTCTCAAACTCTCGCTCTGGATCTCCGTCATCTGCAAGGTCAGCTCTGTCACCATTCCAGGTCAGCAGGACCCGCGCAGTGTCGTCCGTGACTACAGAACAAGCGGAGGCTCCGAAGAACTATGTCGACTTCGACGAGGAGACGGAGAGGATGAAGGGCATGCTGAAGGGGAAGGGCGTCAGGGAGAAGACACCAGGCGAGCTGCTCTCTCCGAACTCAGAGAGAGGGACCAGCTTGGAGAAAAGCGGCGAAGCACGAAGTCCGAGGCTGCGAGCACTCTCCCCGACTTCCTCAATCAAGTCCACCTCAGGCCCTCCTCCACCCTCTCCTATCATTACCCCTCTTGACACGCCTACGGCGTCAAGTACTCTCTCCCTCACGTGCCACGTATTCCCACCGAAGTACGGATACTTGCATGCAGTCAGGGCGATAAAACCTTACGACTCGGGACGATACCTCGTGTGTCTGCAAGAAGCAGGGTAAGCACGACTCGCGGACCGAGTGTCTCCCAGCTCACCCAGAGCGTGGGTAGGAACATCTCCATTCATGCAACATCTGATGGGTCCTGCATCGTCACTGCAGCTGTCGACAGCGAGCATCCGACCCCCATTGGCACCGATTTTCAGCTACATAGGCCCGCGCCCGCTCTGTGGCTCTGGAAGAGCCTTCGTCTTGGTATACTCGGCGAGGTGCGAAAGTTCGCTGAGAAGGATTCCTGGATGTAGTCTGAACATGTTGCGTACCTACAGTCCAATATAATTCTTGCCTGTGCCTCCAGCGACGAGTCGAGCGGGATCAACCAACTTGCGGACGGCCTAGACGATGAGCACGAAGAACATACGCGGCTTGTTGCATATGCGATACATCCGGGCCCACACAACGACGGCCGGGAGATGAACCTCGTGAAATTGGGCGATTGGTGTATCGACGGGACAGCCGAGGGCGTAGGGCTACACCAGAGACCTGATGGTGAGGCTCATGCACCGAAATCGTGAATGGCCTTTGACGCAGTCGAACAGGTTCCCTCACCGTGTTCAACGTTTCTTCCACGCGTTGTCTCACTTTACGATCCCTCGTAATTGCGGAGACCGTCGCGGCGTCCGAGACCGAAAAGAAGGACACTGGCTCGAGAACTGTGCTACCGCTGCCGAAAACGCTCAAGGATGTGCTGAAGGTCCTGTCAAGGGAGCGTGTAGAGGACACCGACAAGGAGGACGAGACACTCGTACGGTTGGGTGACGCTGTTGAACTCGGTCCTGTATCGTTGAACGGCATGCTCTCCGGTATGCGGTCCTTCTCTGACGGAGACAAAGTCCGCGTGGGGTGCTGGTCAGATTCTGAGCTAGTGGTATGCACTGTCCGCATTGAATGTAGTATACTACTCACTGCATTACAGGCATTCGGTTGGCATGGAGAAGTGTATGAGCCACTCTTTGCGCAGAACATCGAGGGCATCAGGGACATCGATTGGACGACTGCCGAAACGCCCACCATTTTGTTCTCGGTATATGTGCTTCCTCACTGATACGGCGTCGACTAACTGCTGAATAGGATCGAGTCGAATATCACAGCATTGTCACAGTGGATGCCAATAACGACATCATTGCAGACGCAGGTAAAGGAAAAAGCCAAGTCAAGCTGGTCTTCAGGTATGTACCCTCTCAATGCGACGGGATCATTGCTCACTACTGCTTCGTGCATGCAAGACTCGAACTGGTGCGCAGCGTGCCCCTGGCGCTCAATGACTTTTCCGCTATCACCTCGACGGGCGACGTGTTCGCCACTGACGTGAGGAAAGGAAAGCGTAGGCTCGAACGTGCATTCCCCGAGAGCGACATAGCTGCAGGGAACGCGAGTTCTCGCCAGGTATGGAAGGCACGGTGTGACTCAGTTGCTCTGTCGTCTGCGGTGCGGATAACTTGCACGCTACCCGTCGAGCTCAGCGTCAGCATCCTGGGATGCAGTGAGTCGCGACATCTTCTGCTTCTGTGTGCATGTCTAGTTGCTGATCATGTTTGGTTGTGTGCTGACAGGTGACGGACGACTACGTCGGTCTTCGTTCCTTGGCCTGTCACGCAAAGGAACCGATCGGTATACGCAAGTATCAAACGTGCCACTGCAAGGCGAGATCGTCAGCCTGCACCTCGTCGACAACGAGCGGACGAAAGAGAGACTGGTGATAGGAGGTGCTGATGATGGTTCAATGGCCATATGGGATCTGCAGTAGGTATGAACGCCAGGTTGGGACACCCTATGCTGACCAGTGCTCGTCACAGGTCTTTGTCGTTGCGCGCCCGGTGGACGATGTTCACCGAGCCTCTCGCTCAGGTCGTGCATCTCAAGGGCGACTCCATCGGAAGACTGCGCGGCTGTACCTTGTGTATTTCGCAGGATGGGACGATTGCGGTCATCGCCATCGATGGCTACCAGTTGTACGTGGTTTACATGTCCAGAGGCGGCGCACGTCTTCTGCTGTGTGCTCATGACCGACGTGCAGTATATTCTTGGTTCCCACATCCTCTGCGCCTCTGAAGCAGGTCCATGTCGGTGGTAACAACTTGATGCTCCTATACCGAGATGGTCGCGCCAGGCTGTGGGACTCGAAGACGCAGGAGTTCTGGAGGTCCATGAACGCCGACAGGACAGATGAGATGCTCAAACAAGGAGGGTGGACGAGCTGGTACGTTCCTCTTGTACGCTTTCGCAGCATGACTCACTGAATGAACGTGTCAACAAGGTCGGTCGGCGATGCAACACCGTCTTTCAGGAGTATAGTCTCTCCATTACATGCCTCCGTAGGGGTCGACTCGGGTTCGTCTTGGTCATGCAGCCCTACAGGATGCCTATTGAAGCTTCATATCCCTCCGCAGGATGCACCATACTGCTCGACGTAGAAGCTGCGATTCGGCAGAGTTCCCCGTCACTAGCCGAAGCAGCATCCACCGACAAGGCTTCGTACGCAGGCTTAGACCCGATACGAGCCGTCTTGTCTGCGCTGCTGACTTTTGGGCTCAACAAGGAGATAGATAGCATATGTCGAGACAAACTGCGCGTCGACCGATCGGGCGCCTCTGTGGGCCTCTATGCGTGAGTGATATCTTCATCACACGGGAGGTATGACTGATGGCGGTAGTCCAGGGATAATGCGCTGTGTTTGTACTCAGAGAAATGCTCTGTCTGGACTGTGTCCACCGAGGTGTCCGGATTGCTCGCTCTAGCACTCATTGCCATGCTGCAGACGCTACTGCGTCACGAAGGTACGCTAGCTCATGTCTATCTACCAATAATGTGTCACAATGAATATGCACAGAGCTTGTGCCAGATACGACCACAGTGATGACCTTCTACGCAGCTTCGTTACCAGAAGTACTCGGAGCCTCGTACAAGTCACCTAGTCTGCGTGTCCTAGCGAAGCATTGGTTGCAATCTACCGGTAAGTCGTATATCATAACTGCACTCTCCTTGTTCAATCGGAATGCAGTGAATGAGGTCAAGAGCGCCTCCAGACTCCTGATGGATGCCGGAATTGCTAGAATGTCAGACTTGGAGACTGCGGAGACAATCGAGTACTGGCAACCGTATCGTGGGTCACATTCTACGTCGGCGCCATCGACTCGATTGACATGGCACTTCGCTAGTCCCTTGTGTACAGGATGAGGCAAATAGAGACAACCTGCGGTGTGCAATGGCTTTGCATATATGTGGCTCGATAGCGATCGAGAAGTATGCACTTCTCTTCACGAGGTCAGTAGCCCGTCTATCGACCGGGCAAGCGAGGACCAACCCCCTACAGTGCCCTCACGGACATCGCCAAGTCGATCGACATTTACCTGCACGAAGAAGCTTCACCCTACCGTGCACTGGCTATCGACCTCTGCTCACGCGGCTTCCAAGTCTGGCAGCAGCACACGGATGCGGTTGAGATGCTCCGCGCGCTCTTCCTCCTTGCAACGAGTGCGAAGAAGGAAGCCATCTCGCCGCACAATGTCGGGTCGCAAGCACGCTCAGCTGTGCTCAATATCGCGTCGAGCAACACCCCGTTGTTCATAACTACGTTAACCATCGACATTCTGCACCCACGCAGTGTCCAGCATCGGAAATCGGTGATGCAGCTCGTCATCTTCATCATACGCAAGGTGAGTATCGCTGATCACTCTTGCGAGGCAGGGATCAGAGCTCATTTCCACACAGAAACCACTTGTACTGTATAGCAACCTACCTCGTCTAGTTGAAGCTGTGGTGAAGTCCCTAGATCCCAACTCTACTGCAAATCGAGATGCCATCCTAGACTTCGCAACAGAGATTCTCGGACAATTTGTTCGAACGTAAGTCGAATTGCTTCTTGTGCTCCTTGTACTTTTCACTCACATATATTCAGCTTCCCAACGGTTGACTTCCACATGGCCACTCAGAGGCTCGCGGTCGGGACGTCCGAGGGCGCAGTCGTGATGTACGACCTGAAGACCGCTACACGACTCTATGTCTTGGAGGGCCATAAGAAGCGCACAACAGCGTGTAGTTTCTCTCCTGACGGTAGACGGTTGGTGACCGTCTCCTTGGAAGAATCATCCGTATTGGTTTGGAAAGTGGGCGCAAGCTTCACGAGCTTCTTCACACCCGGGGCGCCACCGCGCCAGGGGCATGCTGGCTCCGAACCCTTCAAGACTCTGAGCTTCAATGTGGGGGGCGAAGGTGAGATTCGTATATCGTAGCAACGAAGATGCAAATTGACGGGGAGTCCAGCGCGCATGTCATTGGCCGCGACCCTGGAGAATGTCCGCTTTGAGTGGGCTGGCGACCGTAGCGTCAAACTAAAGATTCGCGAAAGTACATTGACGTTCAGTACCTGACAAAAAGACGGGTCGTATTGTCCTCAAGTCAAGCTCTGCTGCATAGATATTGGTGATAACAATGCGTTCACGCGTCAATCAGACTGTCGCAGGGGGCAATTACGGCAACATGCCACTTGCGCACCCACCGGCCCATCGCAAAGAGGCAGGCATCAAGAAATGGCGTGCTGCACCGTAGGTGTGCAGTAGAAACAATGACGCAGATCGCGCACAATGCCAGTGGTGAAGCTTTCTGTCAGAATCACTGGCAGCCTTCGAACTCGGCTCCCAGCCTGAGTAGCCATTCCAGCTTCAAACTCTTGTGTTTCATTACAGTACTACTTAAAATTACGTTCCTTTATTCCCGGATTCTACGCGTGCCAGTTCGACGCAAGTTCTCTTTAGTTCTCGCTCCACCTTGAGCCTGAGGCTCAGTGTGAGTGTCACTTGAGGACTTCGGTAGATCACGTGCACGGCGCGTCTGTGGCGCGGAACCTTAACCGTCGCAGTTGCCAACTCACTGGCAGCCGCTACGAGCTGCCTCCTCGTGGTCTCGTACCTCCTCGGAGTCCTCGACGTTGCCTAACATTTTGACGAGATTCTGGCTCACCATGTAAGTAATATGAGTTGCCATTGCGCAACGAGGGGCTGCTCACAAACTCGCGTAGCGCACATGACAACGGACCGTGAACCTGGTCCTGCGGCTGAAGACACCCTTGAGGGTGTCAATACGGACTCAGACCGCAAGCGGCATAAGACTATCAACGATCTACCTCCGGATGTCCTCTTGGTGATCTTTCGTGAGCTTCTCCTCGGTGTCCGGAGACGGAGGTTCTGGTCGTATCCTCTCGGTCGGGTGGGCTGGAATGACAGATACCTGGAACCTTGGCCGTCCTACGACAGCTCTATGCGAAAGCACCCGTTTCCAGAGTCGGTCGCCTCCGTCTGTCGCTACTGGCGAGAGGTCATGTCGACCGTGTCCTTCTTCTGGACACGCTTGGTCATCTGGGTAGGCAAGGAGCCCACACCACTCTCAACCATACGCGACTACCTTGCTTGGTCTCAGGATGGGCTCCTCGACATCTACATTCTAAGTAAGACTAATTCACCTGACGAGCGGGACCCTACGGAAAAGACGCAGGTGAAAGCTGTCATGGAGACGCTTGCTCCTCACATGAACCGTTGGAAGAATCTCTACGTCGAGCTTCTCCAATCCAGCTCACTCCCGCTCCCTCGCATCGATATCGTTGGCAGCGCGATCAAACTCGTCAAGCTCGAGCTACATTACGCCATCGACGACTCGGTCGCGAGCACGGAAGCAGCCTCGCCGGTGATCGGCGAGTTCCACACACCCGTGCTGGACGAGCTCAGCATGGGTGGTCTGCAATTTCGCGAGTCGTACGTGAAGCCATTCCCGCAATACGAGATGCCGCCCGAGCTCTGCTATGCCAGCATTGTAGGGTACGACGACTCGCACCATCCGCCGTTCCCGATGATCGACCTCCTCGCATGTCTCACAAGCTGCAAGAAGCTGCACCGAGTCGAGCTCGCAAACCTCCGGCTCGACTGCTCCTACACGGGGCCGCCCATCGTCCCGACCGTCAACGACTGGGACGCAGACGTGGACTTCGTGGACATGCCCGGCGACATCATCGCGGAGTACAACCGGCTGCTCGACTACCCCTACGTCGACTCGGTGTCGTACACGCGATGCACGATGGAGACCCCGGCGCCGCTCGGCGAGTCGTACAACCTCACCATGGACGGGATCGCGAGCCCGACGGCGCTGCTCAGCTTCCTCGTGGCGGTGCGGGGCCACTATTCGTGCAGCGTGGCGTCGTTCACGAATTGCGACGGGCTGCGCTCCGACATTCTGCTCATGCTCGCGATGCCGCCGCCACACGCGAACGTCTGGCTGTGCCCGCACCTGAGGAGTCTCAGCATCGAAGGATGCACGCATTTTAGCAGCTCGGACTTGCGGGTGTTCCTTCAGTGGCGACGCAGCGTGCACGCGGCGTCGGGATTCGTGGAGGACGGGCACCCGGCATTCATGGTAGCTTCGATCACGGAACTCGACGTAGAGGATTGCTGCGAACTTGCGCCGGAGGACAAGCAGTGGTTCGATGAGAATCTTGAAAGTGTCCGCTGGGATGACTGGACAGGAGGGACGGGCTATACGTTCTAGAGGTCGTGGTGCTTGAGCACTGTCGAGCATGATCGCTAATATGCTAAAGTAAGTTGCTTGTAGATAGACGTTTTCATGTGAGTGCCCAACGGCGTGGCTGTGACTCCGCTCAGACTGATATCAGAACTAAATGATCCTATCTTCAGGTCTTAGCGGGTGGATGCAGTCATGGTCTTTCAGACACGTCCGATGTACACGCCAAACCAACCCACCTTTGAAGAGGACGACGTGTCATGATTCAGATCTCGCCCCGAGTTGGTACACGTCCTTCCAATCACCTCCCGCCCGTCGTTGGGAACCACCTCCATCATAGCAACGACTTGGACGTACTGGGCCAACATCACTTGCGGATCTCAGGAAGCAGGCTACGCTCGTACATATTGGTGAGTCGTGCGACGTGCATCAAGTCATTGAGCTATACGTCAAGCCGTGAAGACGATCAGAGCGCTCGCAGAGCCGCTTCGGAGTGGACTGGTGTGGAGGAGACATACACAGGAGACGGGTGAGGAGGAGCGCTGTGTGAAGAACTCGGACGTGCCCGTTGGCTCGGTAACCTTAGGATTCCACGCAAGCCGGTTTGTCCGCTGTGTTCAGCGGTCAGGTTGCGCTCAGGTAATCAGCAGGACGCTCAAAACGGCAGTCATTGCCATATCACGTCGTGCCGTTGCATGCGGCGAGCCTGGCTCGGGCCAGTGACTTTGCTGTTTGCAGTAAGACATACCGTATGCGGCCTTGCGACTCCAGACTTGCAGGAAGAGGCACCGGTCGTTTGGAGTTAGGATGACTCCGTTTCGGCGTTTCGGTGTTTATGCTGCCCAGATCGGAACAGCTGCGGCGCGGCAGGACTTGGGACATATATAAAGGCGATGTTCAGTGCGTTGACGAACGTCACAAGCACTAAACCTGAACAGCGACACCGACCAGTCAAAGGTGCATCTCATTCCAAAGCAATGAGCAACAACGTAGACACCCCTGTCCTCATCGTATGTGACGTGCTTTCCCAGACATCTGCTGGATCTCCTGATAACTGTCTTCAGGTTGGTGCAGGTCCTGCCGGCCTTGTACTTGCCCTCGCCCTCGTGCAGAATGGTGTGAAGGTGCGCGTCATCGACAAGGAGGCATTCTACCGCCCTGGCCAACGCGGCGCCGGCATACAAGTCAGTTACCCTCAGTTGTCATACGGTGATTTCGACTGATTCTGACTCGCCTAGCCTCGGACGCTCGAAATCTTCAACTACCTCGGTGTTCTAGACGACATCGTCGCCAAGGGCATTGACGCGCCGAAGCTGCGTCGCGTGTACAAGCTGCCGGGTGGGGTCGAGCCCTTGAAGACGGTTAACATGCTGCAGTACGACGAACCGACCCCCTCGACGCCGATCGTGCGTTAGACCTATTAGCTCTGATTGTGATTGTACAGATCGCTCACCGTTCAGCCACCCTGAGAAAGGCCAACGGTGTGCACATTGGCCAGGAGAACAGTGAGGCGATTCTGCGGGCGCATCTCGCGAAGTATGGCTGCTCGGTCGAACTGGGGATGGAGTTGCGCGACCTTGAGCACACCCGGACCATGTCGTCGCCCATATCGCCAAGATAGCGGTGGCAACGAAAAGATGGAAACCGTAACTTGTCACTTCCTCGTTGGGACGGATGGCGGAAAAGGTCAGCATCTTGACCCTTACACGAATTCTCAGAGACGCCGACGCTGCATATCAGGAGCCACTCGAAAGCTACTGGGCCTGACTTTTCAGGGGGAAACGCGCAGCCAGCACACCTTAGCCAGCGAGATCGAGATTCTTGGTCTGGACCGTAACGCGAGTACCAATTGCATCTGTTCAACAGCATTCACTGACACTGCGCGTCTAGTATTGGCACCAATGGGGCATATGACGACCGTATAGTGCGTTTTCCGAGATTGTCACGATGATCCATGAAGACTAACATGATTCGCAGCTGCATGTGCGTCCGACCGAAACCCCCCACTGCTTCTATGTTGCGCTCGGCGGCCAGATCGATCACAAGAAGCTCGAATCTGACAGGGAGGAGTTCATAAAAGCCATCTATGCCGCCACAGACCGGCACGACTTGCAATTCGGAGAGCTCAGGTGGATCTCGGAATGGCGGTAAGTAATTGCGTAATAGGGAGTATGCGTATCGCTGACGTTGCTTGCGACAGCCCAAACATCCGTATGGTGAACAAGTTTCGCGAAGGTCGAGGCTTCGTCGCCGGAGGTGGGTCCCTTGTCATGAATGTCCTTATATTCAATTTGGCTTACGTTATCTGAAGACGCAGCCCATGTCCACAGCCCGACGGGGGCCAGGGATTAAACTCTAGTGTGCAAGACTCGGTAAGTGACCAACCAAATTGGTTACATCGAACCTTACATTCACTATCATACGAAAGTTCAACCTCGCCTGGAAGCTTGCGCTCGTCGAGAAGGACCTGGCCTCACCCGATCTACTTGACACCTACACCGAGGAGCGCCTCCCGGTGATCGCCGCCATGCTGCAAGCGAGCACTACGCTCCTGAACGCGCTCCAAACCTCCAAGTCCGGCGGCACCGACAACGCTGCGTGGACGCGCGAGGGCCTGCTGAAGATGCTCGGCATTAACTACCGCTGGAGCTCCATCGTCGTCGATGAGCGCACCGAGAAGCCCAAGGAGCCTACCGATGTCTACGGCGGTGAGACGAGCGGTGACCTGCGCGCGGGCGATCGTGCCCCGGATGCCCCGGGCCTTGTCCCCGTCTTGGGAGACCAGCAGCACACGCTGTCGCTCTTCCACATCTTCCGTCCGGTGCACCACACTGTGCTTCTCTTCGCCTCCGACGCCAGTGCTGCGCAGCCCACCCTTGAGGCATTGAAGCGATACCCGCTAGCAGCCTGAAGATCGTCGTGGTATATCCCAGGGGCACTAAGAACGCTACTCCGGTCATCGACGCGGATTTCACCGTCGTGGACAAGGAAGGCCATGCGTACTCTACGTACGGGGCGTCTCCTGCGTGCCCCGCGACGGTCATCATCCGGCCTGATACTGTGGTCGGCGCAATTGTGTTTGGCGTCGACGGCTTGAAGAAGTATTTGAACGCGGTGTTCTCTGCTGTCTAGAACGGTCTCATAAACCGCCCGCCGAAGCACATCTCGGGATTTGTCAATTTGATCTCCCCAGAAAACGGTCGAAAGCATGTAAGTATGTGTAAGGCGTCGTTTGTATATGCAGTGTAGAAGGCACGGAGAGCAGTAGCGACAGACAGAGGCGATCGACTCTGGAAACGGGTCCTTCCGCATAGAGTTAGGTGTCTGTCACTCCAGCCCACCCGACCGACCAGAACCTCCGTCTCCGGACACCGAGGAGCAGCTCACGAAAGACCACCAAGAGGACATCCGGGGGTAGGTCGTTGATGGTCTTATGCGGCTTGCAGTCGTGGTCCGTAGTCGCACCCGCAAGGGTGTCTTCAGCCGCAGGATTAGGCTCACGATCCGTTGACATGTGCGCTACGCGAGTAAGTAAGTACTTTCTCAGATGCGGGATGAGTCTGAACCCTGACGTAGCAAACGTACGAGGCAGCGAAGGACCACGACGGAGCAGACGTCTGGCTAAATGTTGCATGCCGTCCAAGCGATGATAAAGATCGCAGATAGGAAGACGAGTCCTCCAGAGAGCTGCTCTAGCCGCAGCAGGGTGGAACATGGGGGACACCGAAGGACGTTCAGAGGAGGGATGAGACGCGACGTGCCACCGTGTGACAGACGCGCCTGTAGCGCGTCGTGCCAGCCGAGCTCTTCCGCCTGTGGCATGTTGAACTCGTCAGTTGGTCCATGAAGACCTCTTGACGGAGGGGAGGGTTAATTCCACTCGTAAGTCGTCAATCGCGTCGACGACATACCGGTACGTAACAACGTCGTCAATAGCGATGCTGCGACGGAGCCCAGCCTCGCATACGGATCTCACTCAATTCACGTAAATGGCAGTTACTATGTGGTGCTACATGGGTGCTTGTTAATACAATTCACATGCATTGAGAACTTCGACATAAGTACTACTAGTACCAGTAGTAGCACACTCTACGACTTCTGTCGCAGTTGGTGACTCGCGGTTAGATCACAAAGATAGTCACTGCAGTAATCTGGACCACATAGGTTGCTCTACATACATTCTACGCTCGGTACTCTCACACCAATCCGGGCGGAGCGGACAGACATCCACGTTCACTGGGACTGGGTAGGCTACGGTAGCCGGGAGGTGTTCAACGAACAACGGGATGGGATCGCCTCGTTCGTACGACTGCACCACGATATTGATCCGGAAGTTGAGCGCGAGGGACGGGTATTTCTTGTGCAATGAGACAAGGGCGGCGTCAAGGTGCTGCCAAGGAAGATGGTCGCAAGAAGGTCGCGTGCTCAGCAGCGTAAAAGACAGTTGCAGACGGCGCAGGTAAGGGGCATCGAGCGCGATCAGAAACTCTGGCAAGGTTGTGTACTGGTCGATGAATGTCACGTCGAGTGCGTCACAACAACGCAGGTCGAGGACAAGGCTGGCCAGCTTGCGGTGTCTCGATATGTCTAGGTCCCGCAGCCAAGCTACAAAAACTAGTGTCAGAGCGACACGAGGAGACAGATTTGATCAAGCAGCAGACTTACCGTCAGACTCGAACTTGATGTTGCATGACTCCAAGGAGTCGACTGAGACACGTACCGCCTCTAGCAGAGCAGTCGCGCCAGCGAGCACATACGGACCCACATGGTCGTCGATGTCCCACTCGATACGCCGGAGATGCGTCTCGAAAGGAGGCTTCAACAGTCTGTCCACGAATTCGAACAGCACCAGTATGCCATCATCCGTGTTGATTTCTACAGACAAATCCTCGATACGAAGGCGACGTGCATTGTCAGCAAGCCTCTCCGGGACGTTGCTCAAACGCACGTTCGCCAGTCGGACACTGGACAGGAAGGAAAGGCGGCGAGCAGATGAAGTAGATCATTGGCCGACTTGAAGAAACCTTCGATAGTCGTAGGGTTTTAAGAGTCGGCGCTGGAAATAGCACAGCAACCGCGTCGCTGAGGGAATGCGTCGCGATACGTGAATAATCCACGATGAACGTCGGGCGAGAGTACCAGTCGTCGTCGATAGATAGTGTTTCGATGTTCACGAGGAGGCGGATGATACGTTGCAATCTGGGAGTAGGTATGCCGTTGGCAGCGAAGCCAAGGCCCACCAAGCTGAGCTCACGAACATGAATGCGATTCCGGCGGTCGATGCTTTCAAAATCGCTAAGAATGAAGTGGGGCCGCGATGCCCCGAGTCGAGGCGGACCTTGCGGAAAAGGTGGGTTGTGCGAAGAAAGCCCATCCACGGCAAGTCAAGCAACACATCCGTAGGCTTCGCTCGTCCTGGAGGTGTTCGAGTATCTGTTCGTGCAATTCAACCGGTAGCTCGGGAAGCATGCAGTGCTATGCATAGGCAGGTGAGATCAGGAGGTATGTACACCTGTAAAAACGCGGCATGGACCTACACGGACGTAGGAAACGGTGGCTTGTGTACACAGCGTTTCGACTCACAGTGAGCGGTGAGGCCGATGAGGAAACGCCTGCGAGTTGCTGAACGCGAGGACTAAATGAAATCTCTTCCTCCTCCTCCTCCTCCCGATCGGAGCAAAGCACATGATGAGATCGGGACAAAAGATCTGAGCAGTTCTCCGAGTCCGAGAGATCGGGCACGCTGCATCTATGTACTTACTAATAATGGATAGACTAATATTGTATAATACTTATATATTATATAATTCGCTGAGGACCTATCCCGCCAACGCTACTTACTGATTCACAGAGCTCTAGAGCTATCCTCGAAACTCGATGTACTTAGCGCTCCGCAATGCACTGGCACTTCAATCAAATGCTAGCATACAGCATTCTGCTTTCAATCATCACACAAGCCGATCTCGCGAGGCCTCACCATATATATTGTCACGCTCACGACCGCCAAGCATCACCGATAGCGTGCTGGCCTACATACGCCACGGAGGCCCACTAGCATGCAAGAACGCTGAGGTAAGCACACGTAGGACCGTAAGTACGATGACAACGGCTTACCTACGTCCGCGGTGACCTGGCAGTAGACGCGATCCTCGCACACCTCGGAATGCGACTGGGGGACAAGAAGCGACAAGGCTCAAGTCCGATTGTAACAGTGAGTCTCTAGTCTCGGGAGGACTCAGGAATCTCTCACGCGCGCTGGCCGCATAGGCATCGGTCCCGTGCCAATGGCCCATCCAGGATTTCGCCATACCACTTCTCCGGCGTGCTTCCGCTGGGAGAGCGCACACCCCAAGGCGGCCGGCCGCGGCAACGTCCAGACTCCATACATACGGTTTGCGTTACGAAGATCCCGAGGGTCTGCTTCTATAATACATGTTTCAGGACGCCCGGAGCTGATGTGCGGCTGCCGCCTTGACCGTCATGTTCACTGTGCCCGTCCTCGTCGCGCAGCTCGTCTCTTCCGCTCTCCACTTCACTCTGTCGCCTAGCAGGTCTCTCTTCGAGCCGCAGGCGCCGCTGCAGCACTATGGGCACGACGGGTTTCTCGCCCCGCCGACGGAGGCGACGAAGTCTATTGCTATCGTAGGAGGCGGCAGCGGCGGGCTCGCCGCGCTCAAGACGATCCTGGACGTCGCGAATGACATTCACGAGAACTGGGAGGTCGTGCTCTTTGAACAACATAGAGGTCTGGGTGGGGTATGGCTCCCTGACCCTCCAGGACTTGAGACTGAATTCCCGGAGCTTCCTGAGTCGCCAACCTACCCCCTGCTGCACACAAATACACCACATCCTACCATGACCTATCCCCATGTCCCATTTCCACCGGGTACCGAGCTGTACCCGGGGTGGGACGCGGTGCGCCAGTATCATGCAGATTTCGCGACCCAGTTCGACTTGTGGCCGCATATTAGCCTCAATCACACTGTCGTCTCTGCCCAGTGGCACGGGCATGACGACTTCGGCGACTGGCACGTCGAAGTGCACTCTCCTCCGGTAGACGGAGACACTGAAGATGTGGTGCTGAAGCGCACGTTTGACCACCTCGTCGTCGCTAACGGCCACAACCACTATCCGCACATTCCGGAATGGAACGGGACCGACGACTGGCTCGCGTATCCGCGCCCTGGTTGCCCAAGCGACAGCTCTTGCATTCCATCTACTACCGGGACCCCGAGAGCTACAGGGGCCAGACCGTAGTTATCGTCGGCACGAGTGCAAGCGGGCGGGATATCGCTCTCCAAGTATGCACTTGACAACTGTGAGTGACAGCCATCGTACGAGTCGAAGTGAAGCGCTCACAACGCTCGGCAGGCGTACCAGGTCGTCAGAGGAACGCGACCACTACTCCAGGAGCAAACGTGATCGAGAAGCCGGAGATCGCGTACTTCACGCCGGACGCCATCGTCTTCGTGGACGGCTCGGTCGTCGAGGGCGTCGACACCGTCTTCCTCGCGACCGGGTACGAGTTCCGCGTGCCCTTCCTCAGCGCGCCGCACGCATCCACGCTAGTCACCGACCGCGACTCGCAAGAAACCTCGTCCACCGCGCAACAGCTCACGACGAACCTGCGGTACATCTACCCGCTCTACCAGCACGTCTTCAGCCTCGCGCCCGCCGTGCCGCCCACCGCGCTCGCGTTCCTCGGGCTGCCCGTGCTCATCGCGAACTGCCCCTCGGACTACGCGCAGGGCATGTACATCGCGCACGCGCTCGCGAACGCGTCGCTCCTCCCGCCGCGCGAGCAGATGCTCCAGGAGCTCCTCGACAGGGAGGAGGCGCTCCGCGAGAAGGGCTTCGACCCCTACTTCGTCGGGCACCGCCTGCAGAACGACAACGAGGCGCAGACGTACCAGGACAACCTCGTCGCGTACCTCAAGAAGCACGGCGCGGTCCCGGACGACGGCAAGCCGTACGTCGAGCCGTGGAGGCGGATGGGCCGTGAGCAGAACTTCTTGATCAACCGGGGCTGGAAGCGGATACAGGAGCAGGGCGAGGAGGCTCGGTGGCTGCGGGGTGTGCGTACGGAGAGTCAGTGGGCTGCTCTGCTGGACAAGATCGCCGAGTGGCAGAGCAGGTGGGAGAAGGAGCACGGTATTACGGAGAAGGTAGTTACATTGCAGGATTACGAGTGGTAGACGGTATGCGTCATTAGGGTCCTGTGCGTAGTATCTAGTGAGCGGTTGCGGTGCACGGTGGTTCCTGCTTGGTCCTCGAAGTGTACTAATGGTAGGATGGTAAGGTTTGCTTCTCTGGTCGGGTATGGAGAGCGGGTATCTCTTAAGTGTCGATTCTTGAAGCTCGAGAGCGTAAACGACGTCCCATCGCGAGTGACGAGGGGTGCAGACCTGACACGATATGAGGACCATCTACCCGTCCATAGTGCGAGAGACTTACTGAACGGCATTCACTCCCGCGGGGTGGCCAAGAGCGTACGCTCGAGGGCGTCCACGGCGTATCCCGGCACCATCTCAACGATGGGCCTGCCCTGCTCCGGACGCGAAACGACGCGGGCCCATTTGTATCGGAAGACGTCCCACTGAGATTGTCTCTCATGCTGCTGTTTGTCGATGTTACGCAGGGCCTGGACGAGCGGCTGTATGCCGATGTAGTGAAGGGTCGGGACGTACCGTGCGGCGGCGGCAGCATGCCGCAGCAACGACGCGTCGTCGACCGGTATGGTGAACGCCAGATCGAATGAGATGGCACGGAGTTGAAGTGGTGTAACGCAGGGGCAGAACATGTCCTGATATCGGTGGCACTGGTCAGTGCCCGATGCAGTAGGACCTGGTGGGCACGCACTATGACACACCGCATATGGTCGGGGCACGACACGCGCGCAGCGGGCACGCACTGCAGTTGCAAAACTCGGAGTGAGGGCACAGAGGCGGCGGCTACCCACTCAACCAGTTTTACCTGGGCATGGCAGCTGAGGACTACGGGCGAAGACTGTCGTAAGAACTCTTGGGTATCGTCAGCGTACTGATGGTCAGGCAAGGAATGCGTAGTTGTGCTTGGCAGTGCGGAGTAGTGGAGATGGCGGATGGGTCGGCGGACGGGGAGAGGTGAAGAGATGGAGACGAAGTCGAGATTGCGCCAATGCTCCGCAGCCTCGGGGACGGATGGAGAAGGGCCGCAGCCGTAGCTGGGATCAAACACCTTGAGGCGGCGCACATTGGGAAAGGCGCGAGCGAAGTGGGCCCAATTGTCCATGAAGAACGGCTCGCGGTTCTCCAGGTCTAGGTTCGCCACAGCAGGCCAGACCGTATTCGGTGCGAGTGCCAGAATGACTTCCGGATGGCGGTGCAGTCTGAGCGTCGTCAACGACGTGGCAAAGTTTCCCAAGAACCGATCGTCGCCTCTGTTGAGACCAGCATCCCATTGAAGGATATAACATTCGACTTTTCGGGGCCGGCTCTTCATGCGCGAGAACACCCCGATAGTAGCATCGCAGGTCATCGGAAAGTGTATGTCATCGAGATGTGCGAGCTCTGCAACTGCATCTCCTAGTTCGGGGACCTCGGAGAAGACCCCATCTGCGTCGAAGATGGAGAGCTGCCGCAGGTGAGTGCTGAGTCGGATGACCAGGGCTAGCTGCGATGCAGCAGAATAGTCCGTGATGTGTTTGTCCTCGTGGACGTCCGAGCCGCTTGGTCTGAATTTGAAAGCGTCTTTTGTAAGATTCAGAGATGTGAGGAGGGGCATGCGATGTGGAACGTCCGCGAGCATAAAGGCGCAGAATGCAGCCAGCTGCTCTTCATCGCCGCCCTGGACAACTGGGAGTTCCCACTGGTCTATCACCACGTCCGACAGCACATATGGTAAGAAGAGTGTTTGTGCTGCACGACACGTCACTGATAGATGCAGCACGTCGAATCGCGAATCGAAGTGCGACAAAACCATGCCTAGGATGTCATCGTTGAGCGACAGTAGGCTGCGTCGGCGAACTTGGTACTGGGAGCTATCTGAAGCACAATGATTATCGCAATTCGTCCCACTTGAGAATGGACTCACTCTATGTCATGCCCCCGCCCAGAAGTGACCATCAGCAGCAGATTAGTGTCCGAGAAGTCGTGACATGTCCAAGGGACATACGAAAATCTCGGGAGCGATGGTCTTGAAGCCGTCGACAGACCGGCGTAGCCAAATTGAAGCCCTCGTCGACATTCCTGGATGCGCACAGTTTAACTTGTAAACTTGTAAGGAGGGTCAGCAGTGGGGTTTAGCCAAGTCTACCGTTGCGAGGCTGGACCATTCGCGCAACGCCGTGCTCGCGCCACATCAAGTCGTGTCGCGCACCTTGTGCGACTTCATGTAGCTCGCTCAATACTCACTCTAAGTACCTTGTAACATCCTGTAACATCGCCTCTGGACTCTACGCGTCAGGCAGAACAAAATCAAAGCGCTAGTAGTAGGAAGGCAGGAAAATGTGCGAAGCTTGCCAGCGGGAGGGGTTAAGCGCGGGCCGCAGCTCTTCCTGAACGCCGTGGCATGATGAGAAAGGCTGTATCAACCTTGCAGTTTACGGTCAGTAGTCCAGTCATTTGCGACTGTATACCCTCCTTTTGCTAACACATTGCATCCTTCTGCTCTCCAACTATTTGTTCTAGAACCATACATTCTTTACTGGCAAAATACAGTGACGATGATGTTGGCTACCGACGAAAGAGGCATGTTCGTTTCCATTGTGCTCTCGAACGCACACATTTTATCCACGTATATTTGCACGTTGACATAACTCACAAACAGATCATGTCAAAATCAAGCAAATATCGCCGGACGAGACGGTCCCGCTTCGCCACACAGTACTGTGGCCCAGCCATCCCGTGTCGCACGTCCTACTCCCTGAGGACAACCAGGGTTCTCACTATGGAGCTTCCCTCCCGCACGGCGACCATCCAATCGCCGTCATTTCTGTCTTCAAAGAACCGCTGCCTTGCGATGTGACACAGGAAGCCAAACTACTCGACTCGGAACGGCCCGCGGTCGCAGCACGCTTCCGCAAATTTGCCTGCGAGCCGTCTCATCAAGGACGCGGCATCGGCACAAGGTTACTGAAGCACGTCTTCGAGGTAGCTGCTAGCGACCTTGGGTGCGATGTCATTTGGTGCGATGCGCGGCTTGCCACGGCGGAGTGGTACGAGCGGAGAGGGATGTCCCGCTTCGGAGAGATCTTCCACAAGGGAGACATACCTTACGTCCGTATGAAAGCGTCTCTGAACCACTAAAAGAACACTTGATGGTACGATGAATATTTGCACCGATGTCATTTGCTGGCTGACCTCTATAGCGCTCACAGTACTGTATGGCAAACTAGAGCGCGGACAACCAGTTGTTATACTGTTGGCCCCCTTCATGACAGCCTGAATAGTTCTCCAGACTGTCTCCCATTTATGCAGAGGTCCGTATTGCCTATGCTGTACGACAAGATTGCGTACTCAAGTTTTCTGAAAGGTTGCCGTGCGTCTGGGAACGCGCTATATACGACTATCAGACGCTGAAGGAATGGTGACATGAGCCTGCGCTGAAACCTCCGGAGAACAAGTTCCTGACGCCCCCATAAACACCATTTTCAAAAGAACGGGTACAGGACCAATTTCATCGCGTCGCCTACATTGACAGTCCGCTGAAGCCTCAGCTCGACCTGGCAACCTCGCTGGAGTGAAGATGAGGTGATGCTGAGTAGAGCATACCGATGATCCCTTCTCGTGTGCCAGGCAGCGCTGCGAGCCAACATAGGAACGATCAGACGTCTGGACAACCGTTACCAGAGCTGTCGCGCAAAGAGCCCGCTACCTGCATATCGTACTCTGATCTCACGGGCGAACAAACGCAAAAGCCTACACTAGGTAGGAAGACTAAGACACGGCGAGCCATGAGGTGAAATGTTAACAGTGTTCGAACGCCGATGGCTAGACTTCTGGTCAGGATGCTGTTATCGGTGACAGCTGTGCGCTTGGAAGCTTCACCAAGACCAGCTATACCAAGATCATTACTGCAAAGAGAAGCGCAGGCGAGGTTCGTTAGCACCCATGGCCGCGTGCAGGGTCTCGGGCAGGGATATGTCAGCATGCTGGGTATGTATGACTTTTTCTGCTCCGGGCTGCAACTAGTTACTGACTCGGGTGTCAATGGCCACAGAGTGCAAATTCAACGATCCACCGTCGTATCGTGTACGAGCGTGTCCACCTTTGGCATGCCTTATTCTCATCGAAGGGAATTCTGCTTCGAATCCAGCCCATGAAGACTCACGAGTTTCAAACTGAACCCTTCGTCCGAGAGGCTATCGCCTGCGCAGAAACCTTCACATCGGCCTACCTGAACCTACCCGAGAGCAGCGACGTCATTCTACGCCCCGCAGTAAGAGCGTCGAGGCCATAAAGACCACTACTGGCCAGCCTTCCTCTCGCTCGTCGGCGATGGAAAGGAACCTTGGTTACTGCGGTGTATCTGACAGTATCTTGTGGCATCGGATCGAGGGTCCAGGTGTATAGTGTACGTATAGCATGTCTGCTGCGGCTCAGGAGCGGCGACAAGCAAGATCGGCGAAGAGCACGGACTCAGACTCGGCGAGCATATAATAAGTGGTGGGCCCGAGCCATGAACGAAACACTGGGAACACGAGACTGGCATGCACAAGCCTGAGTCCAAGGTCGCTACAACGGGTATGAACGTAGACGTCCCAATCCTTATTGTGAGCGATCTTGTACTACTGTCATGGTCATCCGTCCCTGGTATCACTGATCGCTGATGTTTGCAGGCTGGTGCGGGCCCTGCAGGCCTGGTACTTGCGCTCGCCCTCATACAGAACGGCGTGAAAGTTCGCATCATTGACAAGGAGCCTTTCTACCGCCCTGGCCAGCGCGGTATGAGCATACAAGTAAGCCGTGTTCATTGCGCGCCGGATCTTGCTGATACACTGCAATGTGCGCTCTTAACAGCCTCGTACTCTGGAAATCTTCAACTATCTCGGTGTTGTGGACGACATTCTTGCCAAGGCCATCGACCCGCCGAGGCAGCGCCGTGTGTACAAGCTGCCCGGTGGCGTGGAGCCCCTGAAAACGATCAATATAGTAGAATATGACGAACCGACTCCTTCGACGCCCATTGTGCGTTGTGTTTCTGATCGCGACATGTATAGATCGCTCACCCTCCGGCTGTTTACAGCCAAACGGTGTTCATCTGGGTCAGGAAAACAACGAAGCGATCCTGCGAGCACACCTCGCAAAGTACGACTGCTCTGTCGAACTGGGGACCGAATTGCGTGACTTCGAGCAGCACACAGACCACGTCGTCGCACACATCGTCAAGAAAGACGGTGAGATTGAGAAGACGGAAACCGTCACTTGTCACTTCCTCGTCGGAACTGATGGCGGCAGAGGTCAGTCACCGAACTCGTGTGCAGCCAGACGAGCACTGGCATCGACACTATATTGACGTCGTACAGGAGTTACTCGAAAGAAGCTCGGCCTCACTTTCCAGGGAGAAACCCGCGCTCGACATAACCTGGTGAGCGAAATCGAGATATTTGGTTTGGACCGTGACGTACGTCCCAGCTGTCGCCATTCATTCACCGTGACTGACGTTTCCTAACGTCGACACGTCCAGTATTGGCATCTGTGGGGCAATATGTCTACATTATTGTACGTTCTGCGATGACAACTCGTGAGGCCTCACGTGTATCGTCCTTTGCAGCTGCATGATACTCCCGACGGAGAATCCGAACTCGTTCTATATTGTGCTCAGTGGCCAGATTGACCACGAGAGGCTCGCATCGGGCAGGGAAGAAATCTTGAAGACGATTCGCGCCGCCACGGACAGGCAGGACCTGCAGTTTGGACAGCTCCAGTGGATGGCAGACGCTCGGTGCGTACCCGCGAGACGGACGGCACACTGTTCACTGACGTTGCTTGACGAAAGCGCGAATATCCGTATGGCGAACAAGTTCCAGGAAGGTCGGGGGTTCATTGCCGGAGGTGCGTCCTCCGCTACAAATCTTCCCCGTCATGATTGACCTAACAATCCATCCAGACGCAGCTCATGTGCACAGTCCGACCGGAGGCCAGGGGTTGAATTCCAGCGTGCAAGACTCGGTGAGCTATACCTCATACTGTACAAGTTCCTCGTATCTCATGAGATGACAGTTCAACCTTGCCTGGAAACTCGCACTCGTCGAGAAGGGTTGGGCGTCCCCGGATCTCCTCAATACCTACACCGAAGAGCGCCTCCCGGTGATCGCCGCCATGTTGGAACAGAGCACTACGCTCCTGAATGCGCTCGAGACCTCCACGCCTGACGACACCGACGACGCAGCGTGGAAGCGCGACAGGCAGCTCAAACAGCTCGGCGTCAACTATCGCTGGAGCTCCATTGTCGTGGACGGGCGTGCCCCGGAGAAGCCCAAGGAGCCCGCCAACGTCTACGGCGGTGAGACGGGCGGTGACCTGCGCGCGGGCGATCGTGCTCCGGATGCCCCGGGATTGGTCTCCATGTCTGGAGACAAGCAGGAGTCACTATCCCTCTTCCGCATCTTCCGTCCAGTGTATCACACTGTCCTCCTCTTCACCTCCGACTCCAGTGCCATGCAGCCCGTCCTCGAGGAGCTGAGGCGCTACCCTGCTGGCAGCCTGAAGACCGTAATGGCTTATCCTCGAGACACGGCCCAAGCCTCCCCAGAAGCCAGCGCTGACATTACTGTTGTAGACAAGGAGGGTCACGCATTCAGCGCGTATGGCGTATCTCCGGATCGCCCCACAATAGTCGCCATTCGACCTGACGGCGTGGTCGGTGCGATTGTGTTCGGAGTGGACGGGTTGAAGGCATACTTGGAGGCCGTGTTTTCGGCGATTTAGGACGGTTTGTAGACCCCATCTCACCAGTCCCGAGCGAGAACCAGAAGAATCGCTCCTCATATAGCCGCATTGTTACCATTGTGTGTTATGATCTGCGGGTCTGATAAGAAAGCACACAGTGTAATGTAATGAGGGTCAGTATCATTCGCACTCGCATCCCTCGGGCTGCCCATCCCCATCGCGATCTGTGCCTCGAACTACGCGCAGGGCATGTACGTCGCGCACACGCCCGCGAACGCGTCGCTCTTCTCGCGCGAGTAGATGCTCCAAGAGCTCGTCGACAGAGTTGCTCCGCGACAAGAGCCACGACCCCTACTTCGTCGGGCGCCGCCTAAAGAACGACAACGAGCAGACGTACCAGGATAACCTCGTGGCGTACATCAAGAAGCACGGCACGATCCAGGACGACGGCAATCCGTACGTCGTGCCGTGAAGGCGGATGCTGGGCGGATGGGCCGCGAGCAAGATTTCCTGATTCGACGGGGCTGGAAGCGGATACAGGCACAAGGTGAGGAAAGGTAGTATTTACTATTCAGCGCCATGTCTCATTCCAACGCACCTCCGCGGCCCTTCCTCCTCCCTCAGTACCCGTCACAGGTGGCCTCGAGAACACAGTGAAGATAGCACAAGCTCGCATCCCCTTCCCGGGCAGGGGCCCGCGTCCCGCCCTCGTACCGCCAGCCATTCAGGAAAAAGAGGCCGATCAGTCTAGCGTCTTCGAGGCGCTGCCTGTTCTCGGCAGACGCGGGACCTCCCCAAATGGCTAGGTGCAGCTCCTTGTAGAACAGTTCTCGGAGCTCGTGGTGGTTGGCGTGGTACTCGTGGGAGAAGTCTGTCTTGGCGATCCCCAGGATGTTCTCGACGCCGCCGAGCGATATGCCAAACGAGCCGACTTGTGCGCCCGCCCAGTCGACAACGCCCGCCAGGGTGCCCGTCTGGGTGTCCGCGTGGATGTTGTTCTCTAGCAGGTCGATGTGGTTGGCCACAAGAGGCCAGTCGAGGGCTAAGAGGTACGGGAGGCGTTCGATGAGCCCGTTGAGCACCGGACAGAAGCGCTTCGGCAGTCCCGTCGAGAGCTGCTTCAGGTCGGACAAATACTCTGAGTACAGCCATTTGCGGTCTGGCACCGGCATCGCCATAGGTGTGTTATGCCATGCCGAGGCGAAGAAACTGGGTTGGCGTGTGTCAGTTGGAGTTCCTTCTCGATATGCATTCTGTCGGAGTGACAGACAGACTCACCGAGCGAAGTCAAGCAGTGTTTGGCGTAAGAGGTAGCAATTGTTAGCGTATAGACTGTCCCGGGCCAGGTACATGGAGACGCCTCCCACGTTTCGCATCATGTAGACGTGGAGGTTCCCCAGTTTGCCCGAGTCTGTGTGCCAGGGCACGAAGCCCGCGTAGGCCTTCTCGACATGACGGAGGAACTCCAGGTCGAGGGGGGCATTCTCGGCCCGGAACTGTACGACAAGTTCTGCTCCGACGACAGTGTAGCTGCTGCCGCCCTGGACAGGCGTGGCCGTGGGCTGCTTGCCCGTCGCCTTTGCAGCGTACCGGTCGCATTGGTCCTGCGTGGGACGATTGTTTTCTGAAAAGAAATTCTTCACCTGATACCTCGTAAGGGCCGCAATCGTAGTCTCCATGGCTGCTTTGCGAGGTGAGTGATGACGGCCAGTCGATGTTTGTTCGTGTGGTCTGCGAAGGGGTTGCGTGCTCGGTTTGTGCCTGTGCTGTACTTGTGCCTGTTCCGAGGAAGAGAGAGATTCAGTTGAAGCAGGAGGAGGCCAACTAAGTAGCTGCACACGCCGGCCCGCGGCGGTACCGCTGACGGTGAAGCCACAACGGAGACGACGTCGACGTGACGTGCCAGTGAGTCGCTCGAAACGCACGGACCGCGTGTCGACGAGCAAGTACGACGGCCTTCATGATAAAGATGAGTGCGTATCTCACCAACATGACATTTGACAGATCGGGATGTCAAAACCGGAAATATCATCCGAGTCGCTCGCGCTTGACACGGTACATAGACCCTTGGTCCGAGTCGTAGGTTGTATCGCTTCTTCCTACACCACGGCCTTCAAGTGTTTCGTCTGCCAGGCAAGATGGACATAGGGAGGGACCAGCTCTTCAGTCATTGGTCCACGAGCATACCAGGACCTGCTCAGTATGTCTTTGCTCAGGCGCAAAGGGCTCACAACCAGAGCCTCTCCATGCTGACTGCAGCACGAGACAAAATCAAGTATGTCCAACCTACACACACGTAACATATTCTGAACTCACAACAAACGTAGTTTCGCGGACTCTACGCTGCTTTACCCTCCGGGAGTCGCTGCGCTGTCGATCCTTGTATTCCTGGTACAGTTGGCACTGCATGTTCGCACCCAGAAGAAGGCGTACGCGAAGCTTGCTCAGTCCGAACCTTCGCCCATATCTGAGCCTCTCCATGCTCCAGAAGAGAGTGAAAACGCGTCTGCATTGGTAAAACACGTCAAGGAACACGGGGGCGTCGTCCTCGTCGCGTTCAACGTATTGCGGGCCGCGTCAACCCTGGCGCTCCTGGGCATGTCTATCTACAGCGCGACCGAGTCCTTGGGCCACTCTGCAACCCTGGAGCCTCAGAGCTTCGAGACCGTTTTCCACGTTGACACTTACATAACCTACGTGAGCGACCGTCCGCCTTGCTCTCACCCGTACGACAACACTGACCGTGTTGTCCAGGTGTACGCATCAGCGCTCGGCATCACCTCGCTGCTTGCTGGTCCCGTCCTGAGCACGACAGCTGTTCGCCACCTGAACAGTATTCTGTTCACTGCGTGGGCGGTCTACGCGTACCGCGATCTCTGGCCCTTGGCGACGTTCACGCAAGAGCCCATAGATCTCGCCGAAGGCCCTCTGCTTTGGGCTAGGATCTCTCTCTTGACCATCAGTAGTATCTTTGTGCCCCTCTTGATTCCTCAGCGCTACATCCCCTTTGATCCAGAGGTATGTCGATTCAGTGTGACGCAAACTGGACGAGAGAGTAGACAGCCGATGGCTGTGTAGAATCCGTGGCCGAACCCGCCCGCGGAGCAGACCGCTTCTATCATGTCACTCCTGCTGTTCAGCTACCTTGACCCGACGGTCAAGCTCGCGTCGCACGTCGAACACCTGACCATCGACATGCTGCCTGCTCTGGCCGACTACGATGACGCTCAAAATCTAATGAAGCGCAGTATGAATGTGTGTTCACCTTCTTCGACCGACCTCTTGTCTGCTGATGAGCTTTGAAGGAGATCGACCCGTTCCGAATGAAGGCGAAGGGCAGACATCTCATGTGGGGCATCCTGCGCGTTTTCCGTAAGTTCAAGTGCGACGTATCTCTATACATGCTAATGAACCTCAAACAGGAATGGAGTGGATTGTCATGGCCATCGTGATCAGTTTTGACGTGCGTTTGTTGCTGCCTGAATAAATACACCCAAGGAGGCTTACATTACATTCAACAGACTACCTTAGAGTTCATCAGCCCGCTGGCTATTCGATATATCCTGATGTAAGCTATATGATTTGCACTCCCGTGTCCAGTCGATGAACGTGTCCGCAGGTACATCGAGACGGACGGCGTAGGTGTCAACGTCAGGCCCTGGTTCTGGATCGCGATGCTCCTCCTCGGACCGATCGTTGACTACATCTTCGGATCCGTGTACAATTTCCTTTCCGTGCGTCGACCGCCTTTCGATCTTTGATCACTGCTCATCGTGACTCGTACAGATGAGATTGTTGACTCGAGTCGAGGCGATCATTACGCAGCTCGTCTTTGAGCATGCTCTGCGCATGCGCATGAAGGCAGACGTCTCGCAAGATCCCGCTCAAAGTGAAGGTGACACGACCGTTGCCGGCACACCCGACACGGCTTCCGACGCTGAGTCGAGCGCTACCGCTCCAACAGTTCAAGAAGCCGGCAACGACAATGACAGCGACTCCACAGCGGGCAAGGGAAAGCAGAAATCCACGGCGCAGACGGTTCCCGTGGCTGCACAGAGTGCGGACGCTAACAACATTATTGGGAGGGAGGAGAAGGCAAAGCCAGCGGACGATGAAAAGAAGGGCAAGAACATCGTCGGGAAGATTAACAACCTCATCTCGTCCGACCTCGCCTCTATCGGCATGGGTAGGGAGTTCTTGGTCCTCCGTGCGTGTTTGGCGTATCACCGATCTTGCGCTGCTCGCTCATTGCTTCGCGTCGCAGTGGTCAAGCTCCCCGTCGAGATCATCTGCTGTGTATGGTTCTTGTACGCCATCTTGGGCTGGAGGTCAGTGGCCACACGTCATGACGAGCAACATGGTAGACTGATTAGGCGCATAGTGCATTCGTCGGACTTGCTTCCATTGTCATCTTGTTCCCTGTACCCGGTTTGATTGCAACGCGCATTCGCAAGATCCAGATAGCGAAGATGAAGAAGGTATCATTCATTCCTTCTCGCTCGTGTCTGCGCATGACTGACATGCTCCGTCCAAGACCGATGCACGTGTGCAGAGCGCGACGGAAAGTGAGTACCACAGTGTACTGCTTTGGTGCACATGCTGATCCCCTTCCTATGAAGCCATGAACGTCATCCGTATGATCAAATTATTTGGCTGGGAGCCCCGAGTAGGGAAACAACTGGCGGAGAAACGTGAGGACGAGTTGGAGCTCGTGAAGAAGAGCAAGCTGCTTGACCTCATCAACAATAACCTAAAGTGCGTACGCAGAGTGTCTGCGACCTTCCGAGCTTAGTCTGACTCGTCTCAAGCCACGCCATTCCTTTGGTCACCATGATCGTGACCTACGCGACATACGTGAGTTTGGTTGGAATATATGAGATATGGACACCATCAACTGACTTTGGCTTCCAGACCATGATCATGAAGCGGGATCTTACAGGTGAAGCATATTGCTGACCCCGTGCACGCATATCTCACATCGTCTCACAGCGTCTGCTGTCTTCTCATCTATCACGGGTATGTTTGGCGACCCCAACGGAACGCACAATGCTGACATGTATGCAGTGTTCGACACTTTCAGCCAGCTAATGCATATGGGCTTTGGTTTCGTGCCTATGATGATTAGAGGTAAGTTCATGAAGTGTAGAGAGGCGTCAGCTTGTTGACCTTATGCAACACAGCTAAGGTGTCGCTGGACCGAGTGAATGAATTTTTGCAGAAGGTTGGCCTTCTCTACTCCAATCCATAGCGGCGACTGACAGAAGCAACTTGCGCGACAGACCGAGCTACTGGACGAATACTCTGAACAACCTGACGAAATCCAGACTCAGATCGCAGCGCAGCCGGAGGACGACGTCATTGGGTTCCGCAATGCTTCCTTCACCTGGGCGAACCAAGTCAGCGGCTCCGCGGCTTCGACTCCTGGAAGCGGGCGAAGGAATTTCACCTTGCATATCGACGACGACCTGGTATTTGAGAAAGGCAGTATTAATCTCGTGATTGGCCCGACTGGTTCAGGAAAGAGCTCCTTGTTGATGGCTCTGCTGGGCGAGATGCACTACATACCCGCTGGCCCTGATTCGTTCTACAATCTACCCCGGGCTGGTGGAATTGCTTATGCCGCGCAGGAGTCTTGGGTTCAGAACGAAACCATAAAGGTACGTGGTACGTCGCAAGAATGACATTGGTGTTGTTTAGCTTTGGATAGGACAACATTCTCTTCGGCGCCCCATACAACGAGGAACGTTATCAAAAGGGTGCGTTGAAACAAGTTGTTGTACAAGACAGGCGGTTAACCCATCACTGTAGTCATTGAGCAGTGCGCACTGAAACGCGATCTCGAGTTGTTTGCTGCTGGTGACCAGACGGAAGTTGGAGAAAGAGGCATCACACTGAGGTACTGTCACATCTGTTATTGTGACCTTCGGCATTCGCTGACTCCTTGGATGCTAGTGGGGGTCAGAAGGTACGCAGCGCTGTACTTGGTCGTTCATATCATACTCACATACGCAATAGGCACGCATAACACTCGCCCGTGCTATCTACTCCAAGTCGCAGACACTGCTGTTGGACGATGTGAGTGACACGTATCAAAGTTTCCTTTTCAAAGACTGAACTTCCTGCTAGGTTCTCGCTGCGTTAGACGTTCACACGTCACGATGGATTGTCGAGAAATGCTTCAAGGGTGATCTTGTCCGTGGGCGAACGGTGCTACTCGTCGTGAGTTGATATTCGGCTTGGATTCTCAACTCTTCTGATCCCATGAGCAATAGACGCATAACGTCTCTATGGCTAGTCCAATCGCCGATTTCGTCGTTGCCCTGGGCACAGATGGTAGAGTGACCAGTCGAGGTTCCATTGCTAATGCTCTTGCGCGCGACAAGAGACTCGCCGCTGAACTGGCAAAGGAGGAAGCGGAACTGGAGAAAGCGGAAGCCACCGTTGACGAGCAGACCCCGGAAGAGGCCCCGAAGGAGGATGGCAAGCTTGTAGTTGAAGAAGAGGTCGCAGTCGGGCATGTCGGTTGGCAAGCAAGTACGTCTTAGTATTCTCTTGTCATTAACTGTTACTGACGGCGCATCAGTGAAACTCTTCATGCAGGCACTTGGAGGGAGCCATCGAGTCTTCTTTTGGCTTAGCTTCGTTGGAGGCTTGATTCTCTACATGGCGTTCAGCATCATGGAAACTTGGTTCCTTGGATTTTGGGCTCGACAGTACGAAGAAATGCCTGCGTCCGAAATCAAAGTGCCATAGTATGTTCTCAAAACTTATCTGAGATTGCACCGCTTCATTGTCTTTCAGCTTCCTCGGCGGATACGGGTCGATCATGATCACATCAGTCCTCTTCTACATGGCAGCCTTCTATGTATACACATTTGGGTCGCTGAGAGCATCAAGAGCGATACACAATGAACTGATATCCTCGATTTTGGCGACGACATTGAGGTAAGCAGGAGGGAATTGCTACCGTGACGCGTCATGACGATTTTATAGATGGCTTGACAAAACACCCACATCTCGTATTATCGCTCGATGCACCCAGGACATCCAAGAAGGTGCGTTCCTCATGCATGTGATGGGTTCCAAACTGAGCAACACGACGCAGTCGACGGTCCCGTGGCGAGATGGTTCAGTGCCATCGTGGAGATGTCGTTGGAGATGCTCATGAAGCTTGGTGTGGTGGTGGTGATATCCCCGATCTTCCTCGTTCCCGGCGTGTTCATTGCCGCCGTCGGTGCCTGGATTGGGGAGATCTACATGAAGGCACAACTTGCGGTCAAACGTGAAAGAAGCAATGCGAAGGCTCCAGTTCTCGGCCACTTCGGGGCCGCTTTTGCAGGTCTCAGTACGTGACTTGTCGTTGTATCAAGCAGAGAGGTTACTAATCACCCGAACAGCCTCAATCCGTGCATATGGTGCGCAGGAGGCGTTTAAAAAGGAGTCGTATGTGCGCATCAACCGATACACTCGGGCTTCAAGGACATTCTGGAGTCTTAATCGGTGTGTTAGAAATTGCCCTTATATGGTCAGGCATCCTAATGCTTTCTATAGCTGGGTGACCATCCGTATTACCGCCCTCGGATCGTTCTTCGCTGCGGCTTTGGCTGCCTACTTGGTATACGGGAAGGCAATCACCGCATCCAACACTGGATTCTCCCTGAACATGGCAGGTCAGGGATATCCATGCTGGTCCTCACATTCTCTGCTGACGTCTATGAAGTCGGATTCAGCAGCATGATCTTATGGTGGGTGAGGATCTTCAACGAGTTGGAAGTCTCAGGTACGTCTCACTTCATTGACTGAACGCGGTCTCTGATCATCCTCGATATTTCCAGGCAACAGGTGCGAGATCATTAAAGATGGGACTGGAAATTCTCTGACCATGACCACAGTCTGGAGCGCATCAAGCAATACCTCGAGATCGAGCACGAGCCCAAACCGACACCCGAAGGTGTTCCGCCCGCGTATTGGCCAGCCAGCGGAGACCTGAAAGTCGAGAAGCTCTCCGCTCGGTACTCTCCGGTATGTACTAGGTCGATCTTCCGGATGGGCGAATGTTGAATTGGCCTAGGACGGACCTCGCGTGTTGCATGAGATTTCATTTGAGGTGAGATCAGGGGAGCGAGTTGGCATAGGTGAGTGCAAGTAGAGTGCGCAAGGGTACGTCACTCATATAGCCACCAGTCGGCCGCACTGGTAGTGGCAAGGTAGGCCCCGTGGTATGAGTATCCAGGGTTCGACTGCTGATGCTACGCTCTCAGAGCTCTTTGACTCTGGCACTGCTACGGTGCATCATCACCGAAGGCAAGGTGTATTACGACGGACGACCGACGGACAACATCAACTTGGACGCTCTCCGATCAACTATCACGATCATCCCGCAAGTGGTATGTGCCATTTGAGTGTCTCACTCGCGAAGCCTGACTTCAAGTCCGTCATCAGCCAGAGCTCTTGAGTGGGACGCTCCGTCAGAACCTGGATCCCTTCCAGCAGTATGATGATGCCGTTTTGAACGACGCCCTAAGATCTGCGGGCCTGTTCTCGTTACAAAGCGATCTTATCGAGGGCCGCATTACTCTGGACACTCCCATCGCGAGCGGAGGAACCAATCTGTCCGTTGGACAACGCCAAATCTTGGCTCTCGCGAGAGCCATTGTGCGGCAGAGCAAGCTACTGATCCTGGACGAAGGTCAGTGTTGTGCTCCAAGCGGTATCGGCCATCTAACCACTGTCCCTGTCTCAGCTACGTCCGCGATTGGTAGGGTTTTTCGGGAAAGCTTAGCTCAGAGAAATGCTGACTGCGCTACCTTTAGACTACGCAACGGATGCTGTGATTCAGGCTTCGTTACGTGAAGAACTTGACAAAGGCGTGACTTTGCTCACTGTCGCTCATCGTCTCCAGACCATCATGGATGCCGACAAAATCGTCAGTTGTCCTGTTTTTGAATTTCTTTATCGCTCATATAGCTTGTGCAGATGGTGCTCGATGCGGGCCGAATCGTACGTGACCTATGTTTTTCCAATTTTAAACATGGATGCTGACCACTCTCCATAGGCGGAATTCGGGAAACCTAGCGAACTCCTGAAGAACGAACAGGGTATGCTCCGTGCGCTCGTTGATGAGAGTGGCGACAAGGAGACGTTGCACGCCATGGCGAATGGTGCAACTGGTTCTTCGTAAGATATACATACAAGTTGGTTCCTGCTCCTATTGTTATCGTGTGATGTATTCGGTGATTATTTCGACATTCTGTTGTGCGCGTAGCCATCACGATCGTCCGAGGTTCTCAGATTCCAGTGAGAGAATGTGCGAACGCAAAGTGCCGTACTTATCCATGTCACCTCTCACAGCCACAAACAGCACTACGCTCCTGAATGCACTCGAGACCTCCACTGCGTCCAACGGCATAGACGACGTAGCGTGGAAGCGCGACAGGCAGCTCAAACAGCTCGGTGTCAACTATCGCTGGAGCTCCATCGTCGTGGACGAGCGTGCCCCGGAGAAGCCCAAGGAGCCCGCAAACGTCTACGGCGGTGAGACGGGCGGTGAGCTGCGCGCGGGTGATCGTGCCCCGGATGCCCCGGGATTGGTCTCCGTGTCTGAAGACAAGCAGGAGTCACTATCACTCTTCCGCATCTTCCGTCCAATGTACCACACTGTCCTTCTCTTCACCTCCGACTCCAGTACCATGCAGCCCGTACTCAAGGTGAGGCGCTACCCCGCTGGCAGCCTGAAGACCGTGATGGCTTATCCCCGAGACACGGCGCATGCCTCCGCAGAGGCGAGCGCTGACATTACTGTTGTAGACAAGCAGGGTCACGCATTCAATGCGTATGGTGTGTCTCCAGATCGCCCCACAATAGTCGCCATACGACCTGATGGTGTGGTGGGTGCGATTGGATTCTGAGTGGACGGGTTGAAGGCATACTTGAAGGCAGTGTTTTCGGCGATTTAGGGCGGCATGTAGACCTCATCTCATGGCCGCCATCACCAGTCCCGAACGAGAATCAGAAGAGCCGCTCCTCATATAGCCGCATTGTTACGATCTGCGGGTCCGATCTGCGGGTCTGGTGTAGAAAGCACACGGTGTAATACGAGGTGGGTCAGTACTTGTTATTCACGCTTGAAAATCAGGTACATCTGCCGTGAGACATGGCGAGGAGTGCAGAATGTACGACAGCACCTTCCCCTTCCGATAAAGGCTCCACAGCCAAGTCGTTTCTCCCTGTGCGCTCAGTGACACGATACCACTGATATGGCTCGGGCCCGTCCCATTGACCGGCAAGCGACCATGTATCTGCCTTTTGGCGCACGCCAACGTATTCCAACGTAGATATGCAGGCTGCGATGGCGCGAGCGCATTGTCGCCAGTGGAAGGCCCTGCACCACGGTCGGATTACGACGGCTATCCCTTTCAGAGGGACCGCTGCAAGGAGCGAGAAATCATATGTCTATCCGATAGAGGTTAGCAAATAGGATTTACTATGGCTCTAGCTTGAGCCCAATGCTTACCAACATGGCGTCAACCATATCGTCTATCGGCAGTTGCTCGATCTCGTCCACATGCCCCCGAGTGGGTGCACCGGTGATCCCCAAAAAGCGGACGGAGGACGCGTTGCGAGCGATGCACGAATACGTGCTCTTGCACGCGTTGCACTCGAGTACGACGGGCTGCGTATATCGTAGCATGAGACTGGTGCTATTTACCACAGCCTCGCGCTGTGGAGTGGGGAGGTATTTCCCGAGAAAGACCCAGTTCATCTTCAAGTGTCGGACGGGGTGCTGGAGAGGAAGGGGATGCATCGTGCAGACGAAGTCGAGCTCTCGCCATTGCCCAATGGAACCTGTCGCAATCGAAGGCGGATATTCGACGTGCAAACGGCGCAGGTTTGGAAATGCATTTGCCATAGCCGTCAAATTCACCATAGGACCACGAGCAAGCTTCAATTCACGGACAGCAGGCCATACCGTTTCAGGCTCCAGCTCCTCGATGATGTCGAGGCCTCCTTGCAAACTGAGGGACTCCAGGGACTCCGTGACGTTCCTTAGGAAGCGGCCGGCTCCTCGGACGTATTGACCCGACCATATGTCGAGCGTATTTCGATATTCGATCAAGCGAAGCTCGATTTTGCGAGGGCAGCTCTGCATTCTCGACAGAAGTTCAAGTGTGGATACGCCAGCACCATGAAAGCAGATCTCCTGGAGCTGCGGGAGACTCGCTATGGCGTCGACGAGCCGCGGCGCAGCATCAAAAACGGCGTCCGACTGATCGATGCAGATTCTACGCAAGTCCGCTGCAGCTCGGATAACCTCGGCAAGTGGTGCTGCGAGCGTGAACGTGTACCGTGGCGGTTCGAGATGCTGTGACCCGTACTGGATACAGAAAGCGTCTTCCGCAAGAGTGAGAGATTTGAGTTGACGGAGTCGATACGACCCATGGGCAAACATGTAGGCGCGAAACTGTTCGTAGAGCTCTGGGTAGGCTAGCGGTGAGCGTTTGGCGGTGGAGGAGCATAGCCAAGGGAGCGGGAACACGACTGCCTCCAGGAAGCGTGATGTTGCCATTGGTTGAGCGTCTCGGCACGTCAAGGACAGTTGGAACGCATCGTAGGGGTTGACGAGTGACAGGATAATATTGAGGACGTCTGCATTCAAGGTGAAGAGCTGCATGCCAGTGACGAGTCGTTGGCAGTCACCCTACGTCGATGTCTACGGTAATCTGACGGCACAGTCAGTTAGTCAAACTGGAGCCATCGTCAATTTGAACTCACCTCCTGAGAGGAAAGCCTCTGAGTCTCTCGACTTTACAGCGACCTAGGAAATGTGGCCGACTGCAAGCTATAGGCTCGTAAACGCAGAGAATTTCCAAGTCATCGGCAAAATCGGAGCTACTGCTACGGCCGCAACATGAGGCTGCAGGCAAGACGCCTACTGATTACATGGCGCGCGCATGCCTGATGGGGACTACAACCGTTTTGTATGGAAGCATCGCCTAACGGCATTGCTCGAGTAACTTTCATGGCGTACGATGATGGAGGAGGAGGAGGAGGGCATCTACAGATGCCGGGCGCCAATTCGCTGTGGCATTTTCCTTCGCCACACCGTGGTCACGGTTCACCTCCTCTACCGTGACTATCTAGCTTTGGCTAGCGTACTGACTCTGCGTGGCGAGCGGCGGGCATGATCATAATCATAGGCTCTGTTTGAACCAAACAGCCTCTCCTACGGGTTGATACTTGTCGGCCGCCTCCCGGTGCTTTGTTCTGTGTCGCTGTGTTTTCATTTCAGATGCCTACAAACTTGCCTGATTTCACAGACTGGGAGCACACAACCACAAGGTGCCAAACCCCTGTCCTCTTCCACCGCATGTGGAGCTACGTCAATGACTCACTCAGGTTCTATCGCATACATCTCCTTCTATTGTAAGGATTCCACTCCAGTGCGGTGTTGATTTGCACGTTGAGACTTCATCCAGCACAATTGTTCCTCTTGTGGCATCCGTCATCTTCTGGGCTTCCAATGGAGAGTTCAAGATTGATTTCATAGACGCACTCTTTGTCTGCGTCAGTGCTGCAACTGGCACTGGCTTGTCACCTATCGACCTGAGTAGCACTACGCCATGGCAGCAGGTCATCGTAGTAGTGTTAGAGATCTCTGGCAATCTTGTATTTGTGTCATGGGTGGTCGTTTACATCCGTCGGTTAGTGATCAGTCCGTCTTTGTGTGTGTTGGTATTTCTGACCGCCCCTGACCGATCTCCAGGACCTACTTCATCGGCCATTTGAAGCACATTGTAGTCGCAGAACGCGAACGTGCTATGCTCCGACATGAGACGGCTGCTAGCCGTGCGTCGCAAGGCAGTGCTTCAAGAGCCATCGTCGGCACTCTCGTCACGCGCCTGAGTGCACTACAGGAGCCGCGACGACCACCGAAGCTGAACACAACCCACCTCCAGCCTGAGGGAAATCAATCGAGGCCAGCCAGGGCTACGCGCACACTGAGTGCCAACATGGTACGGAGATTGGACGACGCCCCTCGCCCGATCGACCCGGCGGGTAATGCCTACGTGGCGGCGTACGCATCTAGCGTTCAGCCTTCTCAAGCACTATCACGGACAGCGGGTAGCGAATGTTTTCCCCGCGTACGAAGCGTGGAAAGCAGAGCTCAGACCTATAACGACGCGCACATTCCTCAACCCAGAGAGGCAGGAGACTTTGGGGGTTTTCCATACCCATGGCGCATCCTCTCCGATGCCATTCGTCGACTTTTCCCCCGTTTGCACCAAACGCTCCGCCGCACAGTGACGATGCCACGCACGTCTACCCTCGTTCCGCCCACTGCAGACACTACTGCAGTGCTATCGGGCGAGGATGCAAGGAGAGTGGAGTACTTCTCCTTCAGTACGAACGTGGGGAGAAACTCGACGTTCCACGATCTCACAGACGAGAATATCGAGGAACTCGGCGGCGTGGAATATCGAGCGTTGACCGCTCTTCTATGGATCGTACCCCTGGTAAGCCTACCAGTGTCAGACAAGAACAATCAAGTTAACCGTGGCTTGGCACCCAGTATTACTTCGGCCTGCTGGCAATTTCATTCATCATTATCGCTCCGTACGCCAATTTGCCCCAGTGGCGATGGCTCTTGAGACCGCCAGAGCAGCATCGGGACATAAACCCTACCTGGTACATCTTTCCCTTCCACCCGGATTGATGGTGCTGAGGAGATTATGGTACAAACACCAGGTTCTCAGTTTTCCAGGTCGTCGGAGCCTGGGCGAACACGGGAATGTCTTTGGTAGACCAAAACATGGTACCGTTTCGCAGCGCATACCTGATGATCGTTGTTCTGGTAATCAATGTACTGGCTGGAAATACGGCTTTCGTGAGTTACGCCTGTCTCTTCATAGTACGAACGATGCTTATAATCCATCGCTAGCCCCTTTTGTGAGTGCATTCATTAGTCACCATCGACGCCGAGCTCCATCTAATCGCTGGAGCCATACGTAGCCTTCGATTCATGATGTAAGTGAGGTCTTCTTCAAGTTATTAATTGCATCCGATCGACGTGCCACGTAGCTGGACCTTCACAAAGCTCTTCCCGGCCGATTCTCGCATTCAAGAAGCATTGCATTTCCTATTGGACCATCCTCGCAGGTGCTTTATCTACTTGTTCCCAGCCAATCAAACATGGGTTCTCTTCACGGTCCAGTTCCTCATCGAGTGAGCAGTCTCATCTCCTCTTCATACATCGTATCCATGACCAATGCTCCATGCCAAGTTTCGTTGTGTGGATATTCAACATCGTCTTGGACATCGGCAATCCTGCGACCGCTAGCATTCCCATGGGCATTCGAGTGATAGATGCCCTGCTCCAGGCTGCCGCGGTCCGGAGTTCAGGCTTTCAAGCGATATCTGTGTCGACTCTAGTCCCCGCTGTCCAGTGAGCTCCCTTCTGGCGTTGGTCATGCATCGATATGCTCACGCATATGCTAGGGTACTCGACGTCGTCATGATGTACGTTGCTATTTATCCGATTGCAATGAGGTATGCAGCTCTGGCTGGTGGCTTTCCAGGTCGTTTTCTGTAGACAGGCAGCGTTTAACATGATCTTCCCCGTAGCGTGCGCTCGACGAACGTCTACGAAGAGAAGTCGCTCGGGATCTATGAAGCGGATGAGAACATAGAACAGATGGCCGATTGTTCAGAGTCGCGGGTCGAGATATGGGGTAGATACCTATGGAGACACGCGCGAAGGCAGTTGTCATTTGATATGTGGTGGCTTGCGCTCTCCCTGTTCCTGTTGTGCATCATCGAGGTCCGTGAACGGAGTCTGTATGCCACTACGCGGAAGCTCATGGCATCCGAACCTTATGATCAGCGCACCCCACTTATGGATACGAGCATGGCACCATGGTTTAATGTCTTCAGTATCAGTGAGTCAACTGCTACATCCAGACGGACGGAACTTTAACCTTACTTCCAACCAGTCTTTGAACTCGTCTCCGCATACGGCACCGTCGGGCTCTCTCTCGGCGTACCCTACGTAAGTACCGGCGCGTTCTGCCTCCCCGCCGAGACTGACAGTCAAGATCACTGGCTTTCCCAGGCGAACTTCAGCTTCTGTGGGGCACTTCACACATTATCCAAACTAATTCTCTGCGCGGTGATGGTCCGTGGCCGCCATCGTGGGCTACCCGTCGCACTCGATCGGGCAGTTCTCCTTCCGCACGAGTTTGAGAGGCCGGTGGCGAATGCGGAGGAAGCCCAGATATCTCCTGGTACGGAAGACCACCTGTCAGAGAAGCACGGACGGCCAAACGGATCCCCGATAGCTCATGAGAAGGATGGACCACCAAGCCCCCAGGCGACGTCCATCCCTCGCACACGGACATTAAGCTTTGCGGTAGATACAACAGGGGATATGGCAAGGAGCACCAATGTCAGGATCGACGATGTTGCAGAGGAGGACTTGGATATACCGCACATCCACTATATAGAAGAAGCGTCTCGCGTCTAGTTTATGCCCATGCATCACGATAGGAAGTTTGCTGTACTAGTAATGCCGTTCACTAGCTTTTTCATCCGCTGTCGCAGTTATCCGCATTGTTCATAATACCAAGGTCATTCGCACTCACGGACAGCTTCATGGAGTGGTCACATATGCTCATGACCGGCTGGAAAACGAGATGGAGAGTAATTTCAACAGTATGCTTAGAGATACAAGCGTATGATAGCTCGACGACGAAGTAGAGACTGCACACAGCACCGAATAAAGGCAGATATACGGAGAGAGAGAGGGTGGGAGTCAAAAAGATAGGGAATACAACCGAGGCGTAGCGTCCTGTCCACATTTCCTCAGCTATTACGCGAACACACCGAGCCCTGTCCCGATGTGCCCGTTGGGCGACCGTAAACGCGCAACCGACTTGGCCACTACATCGCGGCCATGCCCATGCCCTGCAACGTGGCCATCCTCTGCGCGGGTGCGTTTGGCACTTGTGGCTGGTTCAGCGGGAGCACCTGGCCAGGCGTGAACACTTGCTGCTGCTTCTCCTCGAGGTCGGAGTAGAGCACGGTCATCTCCTTCCGCGCCTTCTCCCAGTTCTCCGGGTCCCAGTACGAGTACGTGCCGTGCTCACCGCCGCCGACCTTCTGCGAGGGCGCGGTGCCCGTCTCCTTCGTTAGCCACATGCGCATCTCTTTGTGGTAGCGCCAGTTGCGGTTAAATCTGCGCGAAATGAGATGGTCAACGGTTGCGAGGGCCGTACTTATGAGCACAATACGTACAGTTCTTGCGCCGCGATCTCCTGGAGTGCGTCTCGTGGCGAGGAGTAGAACATGAAGAAGAGCGTCTCGTCGCTGAATGCCTGCGCCTTGCTCGGGCCCGGCGGAGGTGGTTGCACGTTATAACATGCCGGTAGATGGAAGTCTGGCTCGACCGTATGCGCAGCGGACGAGTCTGCCCATGGTGTGATGAAGGTAGAGAACAGACTTCTATACCGGGGCACGTCAATCGAGTTAAGCCACAGAGACACTGCGCCGCACCCTTGTGTCTGCATGTCCAACCCCATCGTCCCCAGGTCGGTGCCAACCGACAGCAGGTTTTGATCCGGATCCGCGGTCTTAATCATCGCCAGAAGACCTAGCAACCCCCACCGATCTGCAGGCGACATGAGCACTTGCTGCGCTGGTGTTTGTGGTACTGCACTCGTCGCGTGGGCGGGCCCTTGCGATGGATGCTGGGCGGTGTCCCCTCCTGTTGTTCCATTGCCTACGTATGGCGTTTGCTGGACTGCTAGCGTTTGCTGCGGCGCATGCGGCTGTTGTTGTTGTTGTTGTTGCTGCGAGAACGTTCCAGGCAGTGGCACACCGGGTGGCGTGGTGAGATGTTGTTGCTGTGATTGCGCCGTGTGGTTTTGGTGGGCACCGTTGGGCGCATTCGGCGTGAGCGGGGTCGGTTGCTGTGCGCTAGGGTTCGCGTTGGGGGAGTTCCACGCAGCAGCTGCAGCATGGTTCGTCTGATTGAGTTTCAGCGCATAGTTCTACCAGCCAGTCAGTTCAAAGGACCCGCATAACCAGTAACTGGCACGCACTCGCTGTTTCTCCGCATCAGACTGTGTCTGGAAACCTGGATGTACACCCCTCGCCTGTCCACCCAAATTTAGCACGCCTGGCTGCTGTTGGCCACCCCCAAGAGGCGTCTGTGCGCCACTCCCTAATGAGCCCAACAAATTCTGTCGATGCTGCTGGTCTGCTTGTTGCTGGAAGCCATTTAGTCCGGGTGGATGGCCTTCCGACGTATGCTGCTGCGTTGGATGCGATGTCTGGTTCTGTCCACCTAGCGCAGGGAAGTCGTCTGGTCCGAAGTTTCGTTCTTGATTACCTCCATTGCCTGCCACTGCTTGTGCACCACTCGACCCTGCACCCATCACGCCTGTCCCCGCCTGACTTGCGTAGCTCGTTGCGTTCGTATTTGACGCCGAGTTGGAGTTTGTCGCTGGTGTTGAACCGAGCGCAGGGAAGTCGTTAGGGTCAAGGCCTACTTCACTTGCCGACGAGACCGATGGCGCTGTCCCAAGGCTTGGCGTAGTGGATTGCGCTAGGTGCGGCGGTAGTGTCGACGACGCGCTCGAAGGCTGGGACTGCTGTATAGGCGTGTGTGATAGCGCAGCCGAGCCGGTATGTTGCGACTGCGACTGCTGGAGGCCTCCGGACGCGAACGCGAAGTTCTGTCCGCGTTGTTGGAACAGGTTCGGGGATGGCTGGGCGATGAGGTTGGGGCCTGCTCTGTGGTTCTGCAGCGCTGGGTAGCCTGGCATGACGGTCCGAGCAGGAAGGCCATAGCCTGGATAGGGCCCGCGGTAGGGGCCGCCGAGGGCGGGATTGGGTGCGAGGCTCGGTGGCCTCTGGGGCGGTTGACCTGCACGCGACGTGAACATCTCAGCAGGCACTCGCGAGCTCCAGCGGTTACCTGGACGATTCATGGCTTTTGCGGCGGGGACGTGGGCAGCAGCAGAGGCGGTTGGCGGGGAGGATGGCGGGCGAGATGATGGATTTGAGCCGCTCGCTGTCTGGAGAGAGCAGTGGCCAGCGTCCAATTACCCCCAGTATTTTTGGGGTCGCGAGATAACCCCGGTTTGGGCAGCCGTGGGTATTCCAGCGAAAATCGACCTCAGTGCCCTGCCTGCGTCTTCACCGTCCTCCATCGTCGCTGCAATGCTCAGCTAGACATCGCGCCGCGGGGAAGATCTACGTGCTCTCATGATCTACTTGCCGCTACTCTAATCCCACAACCTCACGACTTCGGTGCGACGCGATGGAGGTTCGTGCGCAGATCCAGTCTCTGCCGGCCCGGCGCAGGCTCACCGACATGTCTGCTCCGCGCAGGTGCTCGACAAACGCTCCGCGCTGCTCTCCAACTTCGAGGTCCTCACCCTCCTGCGCGAGCTCGAGAGCGACCACCTGGCCCGGACCAAAACGGCCCTCCGCATAAAGAAGGAGGAAGAAGCGGTAGGGAACCACTCCGCGCGGATCCAGCCCGCGTCAGACGAAATCTGCGAGAACCTCAGGACCATCGAAGTGGAGGCCATTCAGTACCTGTCAGCGGACTACCAACCCACTGTGTCCCAGACAGAGGCCGGCATCGTCCAGCTCACGAAAAACCTCTCGTCGTACGACTTGACCAAGGCGGAGAAGCTCCAGATCATCAACCTCGCGCCGACGGAGCCTGTAGAGCTCTATGTTGTGCGTACCGCGCATGTCTACCTAGATATAACTGTACCGAAAGACCCGTATGCAGATTGTCGAGGAGCTAGAAGATCGCTTAGGTGCCCAAATGGACGACATGCTCGAGACTGTCAGGTCTTCGTTGCCAACTACTGCGGGTCCCTTCACCAACGGTGTGTACGAAAACAAGACAGGGATTGGGGCCGGCACAGCAACGGCCGAAGAGATCGTCTACACTCAGGACATGGAGATGCAAGAATACGTCGAAGAAGACGGTCATTGGGAGTACGACGCCAACGAGATCATGTTCGACGATACGGGCGAGGGTGCAGGCGTGGAGGGCGATCTGGACGTCGAAGACAACTAAACACGGTGTATGTATCGCATGTTTACATAGAAGATGAACAATTATCGTGTAACAACGAGGAAGTGCGGGTGTACGGTATACAACAACGTATTACTTGCATTCAGCTAGGTAGTTCGCGGCGGTCCGAGTCTAAGTGCAGGATACACCAGCCCAGAGCAACCAAGACAACGAGTGTGACAACAGAAAGAGTGGCAAGAGATGGTACAGCGCAGGCGGCATTCTATGTTGGTCGTGACAGGCAGATGAGAGGGGCGACGTGGCAGCGGCGTCAGACGTGACGAGGAACGAAGATGGCTACGAGGATGATGAAAGGTATATAGGTGAGGAAAGAGATCCCAGACATGACGCGGCACCGATTGCGCCACGTCCTGGCATCTGTACAAGCCCTCATCAACCACACCTGCCATCGATGACAGATAACCACGCACCATGTTCAACCTGCGGATCATCCAGCGTAACTGCCTTCTCCTCGTCAGTGCCTCCGACGCGGCGCGTCTTCGGGATAGGCCAGAACGACGCGAGCCACCAAAGTGGGAACAAAACAAAGCCCACGAAGAAGCACCATGCGTGCAGCGGCGACGCGTCTTGGTCTTCCGAGCGCAGGTGCGGCGCCCACTCCGTGGGTTGTATCTTCGGCAGCCTTCGCGGGTCACGCATGTGGTACTGGCTCGACCGTGCGACGGACGGTGCGTGCGGCGTGATGAGCGCACTGATGGGAATGGACCGCTCCGAGGCGTCGATGCTGCGCCTGCCGCCGCCCGACTCCGCTGGCCGACCCGACATAGCAGACTGTGTGCGCGACGCGCGCGAACCTGAACGGAATAGATGCGCCTGGGCGGAACGCCGCGACCACGACGCGTTATGCTCGGGCGAAGGCTGCTGCTGCTGCGAGGAGGCAGGTCGCGAGTGTGCTGGCGAACCTTGCGGAGTCGACGCCGCCAGGCGTGCGCGCTTCCGGTGGTACGAAGAAGGCGGGTTGGATACCTCAGAGCTGCGATGAGAGCCTGCGTACGGGCGGACGTGAGGAGCAAAAACAAGAACGTAACCATGACATACACCCACGGCGAGCATCTGGAGGTATCGCGAACGTCGCATGGTGCGATGTCTTTTGATCTGGCGGCGTAGTGTCAAGCTCCTCTGCCTTGCGCTTGCCCTTCGAGTTGGTGGGCGTCTCTGGAACGGAGTTCAGAGCAGGCTCGCTACCGGAGCGCGGGGTGCGCAGGACAGACTTGGTTTTTGACAGAGGCGGAGGAGTCGCAAGGGCCGCGGAAGGTGAAGGAGGAGAATCGCTGGGCTGTTGGGGTCGTGAAGAGGAAGCGACAGGTGACGGGTTACTTCTATGAGAGGCACGTTTGCTGCGCCCGGTGGGCATTCCGTCTCCGCGAGCAGAAGCACTGGCAGACCGCTTTATAGCGTCTTTCGCGGATCCATTCCTCGGCAGCCTGCTATCATCAGTGCTGGAATGCTGCAGTCTAATCGAGTGCCGGGTATCCATAGAATGCAAGGAGTCGTGACTGCCGAGGCCTTCGGCCGCTGTGAACCCCAATCTCAGTACCGCTTTACACGCTCCCAAATATTGAAGTCTCGCACCTTCCTGCGCGGTTTGCGACTGAAGGGAATGGGGACTAGGAGAAACGGGTATAAGGCGAGATGGAGAAGAACATGCGGGCGTATCGCGCTCGTCCTCCTGGGTACCACGAGGCTCGGCATCTCCCGTTTCGCCCTGGACACCGTTGCGGAGGCGCCCAACGCGGCTGGTCTCCCCGGTCTCCCGCGTCGCCCTGGTCTCCCTGACATCACTCCGTCCCAAAGACAACTGCACCAGGCGTTGCGCAACCTCGGCGGGCCAACCGAAGTCGGACGGCAGAAGAGCGGTAGCACCTGCTGTGGCCTGCGTTGCGCACCATTCGGCACTAGCGCGTCGTCGGGGTGTGTGAGAAGGCAGATGTCTGGCAGAGCCATGCCACAAACGCTCCGTGGAGGAGATGCGAAAGATTCTGTGAACTCCAGGGAGGCTGGCACTCTTCGGTCTGCGCAGCTTCGGAGCCGTCAGCGCCGGTGCGGACGCCGTAGCGCGTACGTCGCTCATCGTCTTGCCACGACGCCTACGAGGAAATGTACTCGCGTGTAGGGTTGCTGTCCATCTCGGGACGGGAAGATGCGGAGTGTTGCCAAATGTGTCGGAAACGTCGAGTCGCGAACGTGAAGACAAAGCTGAGAGTAACTCGGGGTGTTGTAAAGGCGGAAGAGGCGGCGGCGAAACCGACTCGTACCGAGACGTGTGTCCACCGGGAGGTGAAGGGGCACCAAAGGTATACGGAGATGCAAAAGTAAGATCAGGAGGTGTCGTGGGTGCTGAGTGGTACAGAGATTGCGAGCGAGAGCGTGTTGGGCGAGAACGAGAACCAGAGTGCGGCCGAGAGTATGAGCGAGAACGAGAATGCGAAGAGCGAGAAGAACGCGGCGGACGAGAGACATTGTTGAGTGAAGAATTCTGTGAGTGAACATAATCATGAATGTCGTTACGGTCGTTTAGCTTCATAAGTGGGGTCGAAGGCCCCGATGCAAAAGGTCGCATGTCTGAAGGAGTCCAACATGGGTCATTGCTTCGATGCAGCGAGGTGGAAGAGGCGTTCTTGGACTGGGAATATCTCTTGCTGCTAGACGAACGCCGCAACGCCACGGATTCCGTGCTACCGCGGTGGTTGTGCCAGGCGGACGGAGGTGCTGAAGGAGGCCTGGGATCCGAGGGGGGAGTGACGTCGGTACTCTTCCCGAATGTCGCCCACGTAGAGACGGACGCCATCTGGCGGGAGAAACGCGATAAACCGCGTTTGCGGTGCGGGGTCTCTCCGGGCGAAGAGTTCGGCGTTATGGATGGATTCGAGCTACTGCTCGACGGCTTCTGGGACATTACCGGCCGCGAACCATCATGGCATGCGCTCGTCGGAGGACTTGGTGCAGAGACTGCCTCACCTTCGGGATTGACCGTAGTGGCGGCACGCATATCCTCTACCGGGATAGGCTTCCGAGCAGGCCTACGCGGTGGTTTCAATCCGGCGACAGGCTCCTGAATAGGAAGCGCATCCAGCAGCCCAGAGAGATCGCGTACAATTCGACGGTCAACTGCATACTCTGGCGAGACTGGAGATGCTCCCGCAGGTTCCTCCGAGATCCGCGCTTCCGCCAGCGTGTGTTGCTCGCCCTCCGTCCTGTTCGCAGGGTCTAGCCGCAATCGTGAGTGCTTAGATTTGGCTTTGCTGCGCAAGAACGCTAGTAGCGAGGCCATATCACCCTAGTAGTTATTCGCTACACATGGTTCAACACATTAAGACCGTTAAGCCCGAGCTATGACATAGCGGTCACTCACCGGCGTCACCCTCTAGATATCAAACCTTGGGAGCCTTCGTCACTTTCTTGTCTCAGTCGTGACTTTCGAGGGCATAGCCCAGGGTCGTGAGGTCGTAGCGGTCGACAAGAGTTTAGAAAGGATCGGACTCTGTCGACGTGACCGTCTTCGAACTACCGCCACTCGAACGGTCCCTCCCATATTGGGTCGCCTGCCTTATTGAGCGAAATCGCATCCCAGTTCGGAAGTGCCCATGCTGACGCACGCAAGATCCTCAACCTCTGCAAAATTTCAAGCATTCAGCATAAGAGTGCTAGTTGCTTGTCAGGTGTAGTCAAAGGAATCTGCTTTTGTCTACGGCAGCCAGAGTCAAGATTCTCAACTCTGCCGGACATGACGCGGTGTGTATCACGTGCTGTCACGAAACGTCACTCTGTGTGATGCATTCCGAGACGATTCGTCACGCACTGCCTCGCCACGCCACCGCTTGAGTCGTGCGCTCACCGTCGCCTCGCCAATCCGTAACATCCCGCTCGCGACTTGTGCCTGCCCACCATGGAACGCATAGAATCCCTCTCTCAGACGCTCTCGCAAATCACGATGTACGACATTAAGAGCATGTACAACCAGGTGCGCATCACGACGCGTGTGGGTGTGAGTGCGGACTTGGGTTAACCGGACCCGGCATGGGTGTGCAGGCGAAGAACGTCGTGTTCAATGTGAGCGAGATGGAGGCGAAGGTCAGGGAGGCGACGAACGACGAGGCATGGTGCGTCTGGCATGCAACTCTTGCGAGAATTGGTGTCCTGACAGCGCGTGAAGGGGTGCGAGTTCGACGTTGATGCAAGAGATTGCACAAGGGTACGTGCCCTGCTTGACCGCCTGGAGCGCAAACCTGACTTGTAGACCTCAGAACCTTCAATTTGTGAGCACGTTGCATTCCATCGTAACTATTGACACGCTCATGCCACGTAGTCAAAACTTTAACGAGATCATGCCCGCCATTTACGCTCGTTTCATGGAGAAGGAGGCACGCCAGTGGCGACAGATCTATAAGGTGAGTACCAGAGATACGGCGCGCTTGCAGGATGCTTACCCGGTGTAGGCGCTGCAACTCCTCGAATACCTGGTGAAGAATGGCAGCGAGCGTGTGGTCGATGATGCCCGGTCCCATATTGCCACCGTCAAAATGCTCCGAAATTTCTATTACATTGATGATAAGGGAAAGGACCAGGGTCTGAATGGTGTGTCTTCATGTCACCAGCCATTCAACCATGCGGGCTCACACACACATAGTCCGGAATAGGTCGAAGGAACTTGTGGAGTTATTGGGTGATGTGGACAAGATTCGCGTCGAACGAAGGAAGGCCAAGATGAACAAGAACAAGTACACTGGCGTCGGAAATGACGCTATGAGCTTCTCGTCAGGTGGCCGGTACGGTGGCTTTGGCAGTGAGAATCTTTATGGAGGCGGAGGTTCTGGTGGTGGCAGCGGAGGTGAGTTGCTATGTATTGTGGTGCTGGCTGTGCTGAAGGGCGTTGTGCTAGACTATGGAGGTAATTATTCGGGATCAAGCTCTAGTGCAGGGGGCTTCCGGGATGATGTTGGGAGAAGAGGCTTCCAGGAGTACGATGCAGGCGACGACGAGGAGTTGCCACGGCGGTCGAACTCTGTCTCATCCAGGCCGGCTGCTCAGCGAAGGGGCTCCGCCGCACAGACATCCGCGGCTACCCCCGCTCCTCCCAAGGCTCCTCAGCCAGCCCCAGTAGTCGATCTACTTGGCATGGACGACGATTTCGCTAGCCCGCCAAGTGCATCGGGTACGGACAAAGCGCTGCCATCTGTCAATCAGTCAGCAGTAACAACGGATGGTATGCCAACGTTCATCCGTTTTAAATTCTGTGCTGATATTGCCGCAGCGCTTGATGATGACTTCGACGATTTTCAGACGGCGCCCACGACGGCACCCGTACCCACACCTGCTGTTTCTGCGGCACCGATGACCGCCGTCGTCCAACCACAACAAATGGCCGCTCCTCTCTTCGCGCAGCAAGCACCACTCCAGTCGATGACGCCTCCGGTGCAAACCATGAGTCCCGTGCAAGGCATGCGCCCGGGCATGCAACCGATGGGGTCTGTGCCTCAGATGAACATGAACAGGATGAGCATGGGTAGCACCGGGTTCGCCGGCATGACAGCCTCCCCCGCCACGACGACGCCCTCATGGACACCATATGTATCACCCACCACGGCACCGATGCAGGCGTCCATCTTCCCGTCGCAACCTGCCCGGGCCAATTCCATGTCACCGCCCATGACAAGCGGGACGCCGAAGCCTGCCGCTAGCGCCAACTTCGAGGACTTGTGGTCGATGTCCCTTGGATCGCCTTCGGCAAGTAAGCCAGGGACGCCGGCTGCTGGGGCGAAGTCGATCAAGGACTTGGAGAAGGAGAAGGCGCAGGCTGGTATCTGGGGAACTGGCAATGCAAGACCTGCATCTGGTGCTGGTGCGTTTGCCGGTGCTTCGAGCGCATCAACGCCTGCGACGCAGACCTCACAAGCAGGTAACGGGCTCGACGACCTGCTTTTCTAAATGGTTCGTTGCGGTATTTGTTACCAGTGTCACGTGGGATATAGTTATCTAGAAAATCGTCACTGCGCACAATTAGGGGGTCTTCGTTTCTTTCTCTTTCCACTGTCACTCGCATCGGCATGCAGCCTGTTTTTACGACGATATCTTGCCGAACGGTCCACAGGTGATTGCGCCGTGTCAGACAAGTTACACGATTGGACCTCATCAAGCGCACGTTTTGTTGCCTGCTAAGTATCAGCCTGCTATTGAGCAGATCTGGCAGACACCCATTTATAAAGTCCCGAGCCGACGTGAGTGCGCCGTATACTTTATATTGCCTCGAGGTTGGATCCGAGCGAACGTTGCATTTTAAGCAGCTTCGCCGAGGAAAGGTTCACCACCGCGTTCCCAGGAGATGGTGATAAGAAACATCAAAATCCCACCTCTTCCTCGCCGCCTCGGTGCCTGAGCACACCGAGGACATATTATCGGTGTCAGCATTGCCCAGACATATCGTGGACGAAGTGATCATGCGACCGTGACCGGAGGAATGGCAGCTATCCTGACAAGTCGGCAGCCTATATGCGGTTTCGCACCGATCGCGGAACGCGCAGAGACTTGAAATAACGCTGTCAAGGCATGGGTATACACGCGGCGTGATCTCACCTCTGATCGTCCCTGTGCGAGCGACGCCTACAAGAGCGAGCTCGCAGAGTGCCCAGGAGCAAGCAGACTCTGTCCACCATGTTGCACCGCGTGATCGTCGTCGCTGCTTCGCTTCTCGCGGCCGCATCTCAAGTCAGTGCGCTCTGGCCGCTACCCCAGAGCCTGTCGGAGGGCACGAGCGCCCTGCGGCTCTCTCCTGGCTTCCACATCACTCTCGCACCCAGCATCGCGTTCGGTGCACCGCTCGACCTCTACGAAGCCATCGGGCGAACTCAGGCCTACCTCTTCACGGACAACCTCGGTCGTCTCGTCGTGGGCCGCGGCGCGAGCGATGTGGCCGCCTTCGAGACGGCGGCATACCTCACGGAGCTCCAACTCGCGCTGGAGCCGGGCTCGACGGTGAACACGATCACGACGGAGGCTCAGAAGCCCATCGCGGAGAGGGACGAGGCGTACACGCTCACCGTGCCCGCCAATGGCTCGGCAGCGATAATCACGGCGACGTCGACGCTCGGTCTGTACCGCGGCCTGACGACGTTCGGACAGCTGTGGTACGAGTACGACGGGACGATCTACGCCTTCAACACACCCGTGGAGATCGAGGACAAGCCTGCCTACGTGCGTCTCATTTGCCTGGTTTGCGACTGCTGGCTCACACAATGACAGTCGTACCGCGGACTGCTGCTGGACACGTCGCGCAACTACTTCCCGGTGTCGGACATCCTGCGCACGCTCGACACGATGAGCCTGGTGAAGCTAAACGAGTTCCACTGGCACGTCGTCGACAGCCAGAGCTTCCCGCTCGAGATCCCGGGCTACACCGAGCTCGCGACGTACGGCGCGTATGGCCCCGACATGGTGTACTCGACGAGCGACGTGCAGACGATCGTGTCGTACGCGGGTGCGGTGAGTGTCTCAGATGGTTCGGACCTATGGCGTGTCTGACAGCCTGCAGCGGGGCATCGACGTAATGGTCGAGATCGACACACCGGGGCACACGGCCGTGATCGCGGACGCGCACCCCGACTTTGTCGCGTGCAACCAGGCGCGGCCGTGGGCGTCGTACGCGAATGAGCCACCCGCGGGCCAGCTGCGGTTCACGAACTCGACGATCGCGACGTGGACGGCGGGGCTCTTCACGGAGCTCGCGAAGATGTTCCCGTCGAGCATCATCAGCACGGGCGGCGACGAGATCAACATGCCATGTTACGACGATGACGAGGAGACGCAGAAGGACCTGAACGCGACTGGGTTGAGCTTCAACGACGCGCTGTCCGGGTTCACGCAGCAGACGCATGCGGCGCTGGAGGCAGCGGGCAAGACGCCGGCGGTGTGGGAGGAGATGGTCTTGAATTACAATCTCACGCTGTCCAACGAGACCTATGTTCTGTAAGTGGCCGGGTGATGGGAGCTGTACGTCGATGCTTACAAGCTCGTCTCAGTGTCTGGATCTCGTCGGAGGACGCCAAAGAAGTCGCAGACAAGGGCTTCCGTATCATCCACGCCGCATCAAACTACTTCTACCTCGTGCGTGCTCCGCTTCTCGTCGTATTCACATTGACTTATCCTTCCTTACCAGGACTGTGGAGGAGGGGGCTGGGTGGGCGACAATCCCGCTGGGTGAGTCTCACCAGCCCATTGACAACGCTTATACTGACATCTTCCAGCAACTCATGGTGCGAGCCCTTCAAGACGTGGCAGTACTCCTACACCTTCGACCCGCTCGCGAACCTGACCTCGGACCAGTACCACCTCGTCGTGGGCGGGCAGCACAACCTGTGGACGGAGCAGTCCGGCCCGTCGAACCTCGACCCGATCGTGTGGCCCCGCGCGGCGGCGTCCGCGGAGGTCTTCTGGAGCGGCGCGGGCGGGAACGTCACCGCGGCCCTCCCGCGCCTGCATGATGTGAGCTTCAGGATGCAGCAGCGCGGCGTGCGGAGCATCCCGCTCCAGCCGCTCTGGTGTGCGTTGAGGCCGGATGAATGTGACGTCAGTTGGTGAACGACGGGGAGTCATAGCTGTGAGACAATGGGACTGGGACGATGTTGCTTGGTGTAACGAACAATTGCGGACCCCTACTAAAAGATAATCGGGTTTTAATGGTTCAGTAGATGCTCGTAACTCCTCGAGGCCTCGGAAATGTGTTTGGGCGTATATACATTTGAACACGAACTATGACGAATTCGGCATCCCTTGCGTAACTCGACTAAGCGCACAAAAATCAGACTATCGCTGGTCCAGTGGCCCGGAGTAATGAACATTACTGCACTATACTACACATTTGTACTACATCATCTCAACACGTTTCCTTAATTGCTGACATGGACATTCCAATACATCTCATAACACGACACTCGGCGACCTGCGATCGCCGCGGTGAATAATACCAACCTAGCCTACAAGACGACGTCAGCTCAGCAATCGACACCAACAAAAAGGGAGCATACCCCAAGGAGAACCATCAATATTGGTCGTAGTTGCCCTGGTACCCACCACCAGGCGGGCCCCGGTAGCCGCCACCGTAACCCTGCGGGGGACCCTGAGGGGGATACCCAGGTTCGTATCCTGACGTATTGTGAGCACTAGGGCTCACTAGCTAACGTACCGGGATCACTCACCTCCACCGCCGTACCCGCCCTGGGGTCCGCCATATTCACCGCCAGGAGGTCCTCCGTATCCACCACCAGGAGGTCCTCCGTATCCACCGCCAGGGGGTCCACCATATCCACCGCCCGGGGGCCCGTACCCTGGTGGACGGCTGTATCCGCCGCCATAGCCCGCGTTGTAGTCGCCGCCGTACCCGCCGTTCTGGCGCAGGTACTCGATGCCGTTCTGGCCGTGTCCGTACCGCTCGTTGGCGAGGTGGTGGGCTTGCTCGACGGCCTGGCGCTTGGCCTTCTCGCGGTCAATGTAGTCCAGACCTGGATGACCAGATGTCAGCTAACTAAACGGAGCTGGATGTAGATATGAGCGTACCCTTTGTCTCAGCAAGCCTGTGCAGCAACGCAGTTCATGATGAGATCAGGAAGGGACAGAGGTGCAAGAAGACGTGGTCACGTACTTGTCGATCTCGGCGGCAGCGAAGCCTGCGAGAAGCTCCTTCATCAAAGCATGGCTGGGCTCCTGACCGGTCGAGCGGACATGGTTCTCGTATGCCTTCATGGCCTCGAATCCAGCCGCACCAGCGATCGCTTCGTGCGTCCACGAGCTCTGATGCTGCTCGGGGACATACTGGGTGTTGTAGATCGTCTCGTTGTGCTGCCGCGCATCGTCGTGTCCGAAGAGATCGAAGAGGCCCATGGTTGATGTGTTCAGTTGTAAGTTAACGAGAACGAGGATTGATGGGTGTGATGGGGATAGTGCAGCTAGGAGTAAAGCTTCATATAGGGGAACGGCAAGCGCTGTTCGGAGCTTCGCGCAGTCGCATTGCCTCCTTCGCGCCCCGGTCGCATCGCTTCCTGCGACATCTTAGGACAGCTATCCATCCGATTTCGTGATGAACACTGCCGGGTTGCTGAGCCCTTACTCACGGGTCGTTAGCATTCCAGTCGAGAGGGAGCCGAGTGAATGGATCATCAGGCGGTGAATACATTCGCTTGTATCGTGCTTTCCAAACATGGCAAACTGGTTGAACGTGCGGCGCTGCATCAAGCAGCCCACTGTCTGCAGGTATCTGTCCACCTCTGTACACTTGCTGTATTTGCCTTGTTCAGCGCAGGTGAGCTTGGCTACGTACACCGCGTGCCTTTTTGACTAGGAAAATCGGCGGACTCTGTAACCACCCACTAACAATATTCGGCCCGCCTTGGATCCGGAAATAAGTACGTGGTGGCATGCCCATCACACTCCCCTGGCCATTACTATCCATTCCAGTATTCAGTACCCATTGGCAGTAAGTATGTATCACGAGAACGACTGGGACGGCCCGAGGATCATTGGGGAACACTAAGTGAGCTGCAGCCGTCACATCCATCTGCGCGTCAGCGCTGAGACTCACTGCGGCCATAACTTTGATGTCCCGAATCACATTCATAGCCTGGTCTCTGCATCGTCTGTAATTGCAGTGTTCCGTCGTGAGCGCGGCTTGCCGGACAAGGCGGCGTTACAGAAGGCTCCAATACTAGTGCCATGAGATGGGAGGACGATGTCACCAAAGCACGTATACGTACGGCAGAACTCGTATGTAGCCTACAAGTCTGCGCCGATGGTCGGCTGTAAGGAGAAATAGTCGCTTTGTGTGTTACGACATTCCTAATCAGCTTCACCATGCTTGTAAGTCCCCGCTTGCATCCCATTTGAACTGTGCACGCAGTGATACCTGACTTGTAACTGACACGTCTCTCTTCAGCAGCACTACTCACTCGAGCGTGATATTTCCTGCGGCAGCAACGAACGGCTGTGTACGAGGTTTCCCTGGCTTCATGACTCTCACCTTGCCTCCACCCGCTGTGCTGTACAGTGTATCGCAGGGTGTCCTTGCGCATGGTGGGTAACTGGGTTGTATTCTCCACGACAGAAATCGTCCATGGCAGTGCCGGCCGGATGGTGCGTACACATCCACGTATTTTGCCTCGCTGCCATTCTTTGCCAGTGCAAGGCAATCATCGAAGGTACTTGCACTGTGCAGATTCTGAACCCAACCCCGTCCATCGTCGGGTTTAATCGGCTAATCGATGCGATGGTCTGGTTTCAAGGTGTCATGCACAATGTCGTGATATTCATTATTGTCTTCGTTCGCTAGCGGCTTTTCATCTGAATCGCCGCTCGAACCAACCAAGATGCACCCCGATAGACAAGCGACTGTCTTGGGCTCCCGCAGGCCTCAGGCCTCAGGCTCCGGCCTCGAATCAATCGCGCGCATCGCCCAACGCTCAAGTACTGGCATGTCGGCTGCTGCCGAGCGCTAACGTGACATGAGTCGTAAGGAAGAAGTTAGAACGACCACAAGGAAGATTGCGAATATCGCATTGATCACAGGGCCGGTCTTGCGTGGCGCATTCTTGTTTGTGTGGGGTTTGTGTGGGGACCCCAGTTCTCAAGTTGACTCACGACCGCCACGACTTCCACGACGGTGACGAGAGACGCACTGGCAGCTTCCGGCATGGACGACCAGACTCGGACGCGCGAGCCTGTGGCGAAGGAAAGGGTAGTGCAGGTAAAGCTAGATATAGAACATGCGGTGGTAAAGGATGACCCACGCAAGTGGTCAAAGAGCCGTAAAGTGAGTGGAATTTACTTCATCGCATGGAACAAGCGCCCTTACCTTCGCTCGGACAGTACATCTTGGTTGCTATGATATCGGCGGCATGCATGATCAATGGATTGGGCGCGAGTATATACAATCGTATGTGTTTGACAAGGCTGCTGTAACCGAGATTTAACTCAGAACATTTCCGCCAGCCGCAATCGCACAGATAGAGTCTGACCTGCACGCGACCGCCACCCAATTTAGTTTGACCCTTTCCCTGTTTGTGATTATCCAGGGAGGATTCCCCATACTATGGAGCTCAATCAGTGAGATTCATGGGCGAAAGGTACGTCTGACTGTTCGCCGTAAGCGAGTGTCTCATACCTGTCTAGGTTGTATACGTGGCGTCTATCACCCTATGCATGGTGGGATGCATCGTAGCAGCCACGTCAAAAACAATCGATGTCCTCATCGGCATGCGTTGTCTCCAGGCTGCCGGGTAAGCACATCAATCTATGTAGTAACACACGTCAGTCTAATGCAACCTTGCCATTCATGCAGTTCCAGTGCTGTCCTAAACATCGGAGCCGCGACGTTAGCCGATCTCTACGAGCCTGCTGAGCGTGGCACGATGATGGGAATATACTTGTGGTGTGTATCGAATGGCTCTTCGTGGGCTGTATACCGTCGTCACTGGACATAACGTGCTGCAGCGCCCCTCTGCTCGGCCCCTCCCTCGGTCCGATCCTAGGGGGTGTGCTGACCCAGGCGTTCAACTGGCGGGCAACGTTTTGGTTCCTCGCCATTTTCACCGGCTTGTGTGTTCTCTCCTTCGCCTTCTTCCAGGATACCTTTCGGAAAGAACGCAGTCTTGCGTACCAGAGTGTGCTCAAGCGCGTGCTCGAGCAAGAAGCGAAGAAGGCGACGGGGGATGCTGGGAAGCAAGTTGCCACCGAGAAGAACACAGGCGACGCGCGCATCACGATTGTGCCGACTGATGATAATATCTCCAATGATACGGAGGCCGGTGTGGAACTGGGCGAGGATGTTGTTGACCGAGACTTTGAGGCACAGAGCGCGTTGCCTGCCACCGAGATACCTGCAGCGGTCAAGGAGGCCAGACTCTCCTTGAAGGACGTGAACCCGATTGGGCCGATGATCCGTATTTACTGCCGGTGGAACAATGTCGTACTCTTCATTGCTTCGGGTGAGCCTCATGTCGAGAAATGCCCTAGGATATATTCAACGACACCACAGCGTTCATCTTTGCCTTCAACACCACCATCACATATACCGCATCGCGGACCCTGGCTAATAAGTATCATTACGATGCGCTCGATATTGGATTCGTTCTGTTGGCATATGGGATAGGTGTGTTCTGTCAATGCGATCTCGGGTCATGGCTGACTCGGAGCTGCCTAAGGGTGTTTGTTTGGTAGCGTGCTCGGTGGTCGGTATTCGGACCATATCTTCACCAAGCTGAAGGCCAAACACGGAGGAAAGAGTCAACCGGAGGTACGCACTCTGCACAGTGTCCAAATTAAACGGTGGGCGGTCCGTGCTTACTGTATTGCCTGTTCTGTAGATGCGCCTCCAGAGCACATTGCTGCCTATGCTATTCTTCCCACCTTCCGTTATAGCATATGGCTGGGTCTGTGAAGAACATGTCCATATATCAGCAGTCTGTGTGATGCTGTTTCTGTCAGGCTTCTTCCAAATGTATTTCGCTCGCTTCGTCCTTGGAATGCGGGGTGACTCACACTTATCCTTCGACCTTTAGATCCATCTACACGAGTATGCTGGCCTACGTTGTAGATTCCAATGTAGGCCGCTCTTCGGCCGCCGTAGCCTGCAACAGTCTCTTCCGTGGGACATTAGCCTTCGTTGCTACTGAGGTTGCCGTTCCACTTCAGGTGCGTTCCTGGACGTATCTCGGCCCTCTTGCAAATCAATGTGAGGTCGAGAAGATTTGCATGATGCTAACGTCCATGCATAGGACACCATAGGTGATGGCGGGCTGTACTCATTTTGGGGCGGCCTGACCCTCCTCTGCGAGTTGCTGATCCTCCTCGTATGGTGGAAAGGAGAGCGATGGCGGGAGAGGGCGATAGAAAAAGAGGCTCGCAAAACTGGGCGCCATGACCATGCTTAGTTGTGTAGGCTACTGCCAGCCTTGCCTCCCTCAGCGGCCAGAGGTCACTATGCTCCCTGCACAGTAGACGCACCGGCGATGGGACTCAACTGAATGTCATCATGATGAACTGCCAACGACGCCTTGTAGATAGTATGTTCTGCGGTCGTCTATGATAGAAGCTCCATACTTTCTCGTTCAGCATGCCAGATATATGGTACGCTGCGGGAGACGGGACATGAGACCGCTAGTATGCAATGTACTGCAGCAAGTATGTACTGGCAAGAGTCGCCGAGGTTTGGACGCGTTTCAGAGATCACGCGCACGCGCCACTGGCGCGTCTGCCGCGTTGCATGCCAGATCTGCGTGCTATAGTGAGTAATGTACCTAAAAACTCCCTCAATAGTTGTGACCTCCGTCTTGTGCGCATTCTGTAATGTCGACAAGAATCTCAAGCTGGATGCGGTCTATCGGCTTCAAATATAGACCATTCCCCATCGCTCCCGAGGTTTTCGTACGTCCCTTTGAAATGCCACGACATCTCAAACACTGACTTGCTATCCATTTCCGGGCGGGGACACGACTACTAGAGTGAGTGTTAGTATTCTCGAGTGAAGCGGATCACAGGGTTATCATGCTTCAGACAGCTCCCAAATCCAAGTTCGCCGGCGCAGCATACTATCGCTCAACGATGACATCCTGGGCATCATTCTGTCGGAAGTCGAACGATTCGATGTACTGCATCTATCAGAAACGTGCCACACAGCGCAGGCACTCTTCCTACCGTATCTACTGTCAGACGTGGTGATAGACCAGTGGGAGCTCCCACTTGTTCATGGCGGCGACAAAGAGCAGCTGGCCGGATTCTGCGCTTTCATGCTCGCGGACGTTCCACGTCGCATGCCTCTCCTCACAGCTCTCAGTCTCACAAAAGAAGCGTTCAGATTTGAACCCAGCGATGAGGACGTGTGTGAGGAGGATTGGATCATGGACTATTCTGCTGCGTCGCAACTGGCCCTGGTCATCCGACTCAGCCCGAGCTTGCGGAAGCTCTCCATCCTCGACGCAGAAGGGGTTTTTTCCAAGGTCCCGGAGCTAGGAGATGCAGTCGCAGGACTCACACGCCTCGACGACATCCGTTTCGGTTGGACCCACGACTCGGATGTCACTACCCACGATGTCACTGTCGGGGTGCTTTCGCGCCTGAAGAGCCAGCCCCGAAAAGTCGAGTGTTACATTCTTCAGACGGGTGTCGGTCTCAATAGAGGCGAAGATCGGTTCTTGGGAAGCTTCACCACTTCGGTGACGACACTCAAACTGCGCCGCCATCCAGAGGTCATCCTAACACTCGCACCGAATACATTTTGGCCTGCTGTTGAGAGCCTAGAGCTGGAGGGCGACCAGAACTCGGAGTTCTTCATAAATAATCGGGCCCACTTCGCTCGCGCCTTTCCCAACGTGCGCCGCCTTAAGATACTCGACCACAGCTGCCGCGTCCCTTCCACATCCATCCCCGCGACTGCGAACCATTGGCGGAATCTCGACTTCGTCTCCATCTCTTCACCTCTCCCCGTCGGCCGACCCGTCCGCCATCTCCACTACTCCGCGAACACAGCTTCGGTGCACTGGAGAATCGATCAGTACGCTAACGATACCCAAGAGTTCCTGCGACAGTCTTCGCCCGTAACCCTCAGCTGCCGCGCACAACAAGACCTGGTTGAGTGGGTAGCTGCGACTGCGTCCTCACTCCGAGTTTTGCAACTGCATTACGTGTGCAGGCCGCGCGGGCACGCGCCGGGTCTGGCGGACGACTCAGACATGCGGGGTGTCATAGTGCGTGCCCACTAAGTTCTGTGGCACCGGACACTGACCATTGTCACAATTATCAGGACATGTTTTGCCCGTACATCGGATTGCTACAACTTCGTGCCTTCTCTTTCAGTTTGGCCTTCACTTTACCGCTCGACGACGCATCTGTTTTGCGACATGCTGTCGCCATCGCACTGCATATCCCGGCCCTTCACTACATCGGCATACAGCTGCATGGGGGAGAAGAGTTGGATGTTTTCCAATACAAGTGGGCCCGCGTCGTTTCGCGTCCACAGCAGGGCGAGCCCGTCCTAGAGATGGTGCCGGAATACGATGTGGATGCCCTCGAGCGTACGCTCTTGGCCACTCCGCGAGACTGAATGTTGTTATGGGAAGTCTCTCGCGTTATGGACGGGCAGATGGTCCTCATTTTATGTTAGGTCTGCATCCCTCGTCTCTCGCATTGGGACGCCGTTCACACTGTCGAGCTTCAGAAATCGACACTCGTGATATATGTATCCGCTCTCCATATGCGATCACAGAAGGAAACTGTACAGTACCATCAATACATTCCGAGGATAAAGCTGAAACCACCATGCTCCGCAACCGCTCCCTAGATACCCTAACGGCGTATCCCGTCTACCACTCGTAAGACTGCAATGTAACCACTTTCTCCGTGATATGTGGTCCATCTCCCAACTGCCCTGCCACCCGGCAATCTTATTCAGCAGAGCCCACTGTTCTTCCGTGTGCACCCCCTCCAGCCAACGCTCTTCCTCATCTTGCGCCTGTATCCGCTTCCAGCCCCGATGGATCAAGAAAGTTTGATCGCGGCCCATCCGCCCCCACGACTCGACGTACGGCTTGCCGTCGTCCGGGATCGCGCTGTGCTTCTTGAGGTATGCAACGAGGTCGTTCTGGTACAGTACGTCTGTGCCTCGCTGTCATTCTGCAGGCGGTGCCCGACGAAGTAGGAGTCGAAGCCCTTGTCGCGGAGCGCCTCTTCCCTGTCAAGGAGCTCTTGGAGCATCTATGACTCGTGCGGTCGGAGGAGCGACGCGTTCGCGAGCGCGTGATGAGGATGAGCAGCCCAAAGAACTCGAGCGCGAATAATACTGAGCCTCGTTACATTACATACACTGTGCTTTCTATATCAGACCCGCGTATCATTATACATGGTAACAATTGCGGCTACAAGAGGAGCAGCTCTTCTAGTCCTCGCTCGGGACTGGTGATGGCGGCCATAAGATGGGGACTACATACCGCCCTAAATCGCCGAAAACACGGCCTCCAAGTATGCCTTCAACCCGTCCACTCCGAACACAATTGCACCGACCACGCCATCAGGTCGAATGACAACTATCGTGGGGCGATCCGGAGACACACCACACGCACTGAATGCATGGCCCTCCTTGTCTACAACAGTGACGTCAGCGCTGGGCTCTGGGGATGCTTTAGCCGTTTCTCGG